ATTTATTCTCCTGATCTCCTGACAGGCAAAGGCAAGGTACATTGCAAGGAGGACCGGCAGGTTGGGATGCCGACATGAAATAGATTAGAAAACCAGACACACCTGCACTGCCATGCGTACCTGACAGGTGTCTAATCAACGAGGGAAAAGCAAGACTGGGAGGTGTGGATGGAATGAGACGGTGTTTCTGATGTCGCACCACCCCGGACATTTCTTTCTCCCAATCTTTCCTTTTCTTCCCGATTATTTTAATGTAATCAATCCCATTCGCGCAGAGGGTTACAGATCAGAAATTTGTCGACAGAATCATCCGGAGGAGATGGTACAAGACTGATCAGAAATCGATAATAAGATTCTGTCTCACAAATAATCAAAATAATATTAATAATAAAAGTAACAATGGCGTGCAGCAAGTCGGACTTCTGATCCGTAGGCTGGACTCTGGACTTTCCCAAAGAGGGAGGGATTGACTCCAGTTGGCGACTCGCCTGTGATCCCATCAGCGACCAGAGACGGCAACGAGCAGATCAATTGGATTCTCTATATTAATTATGTAATTATTCATCTTATCTATCTATTTATCTATCTGTTTGATTTTGAATATGCTTCTTATTCTTCTTATATTGATTTTTCTAATTTCACCCCTGATGATCCGACCCAGGCTTGACTCTGTGCAACTACAATCTTATGCTGAAATTGGCCTTATTGTTTCCTCCATTGTTCTGTGATAGGTATCATCTCCAGGTCTCACAATCTAATATCATTAGGGTTTCTTCCCGAGAGAAATAATAAAAATAATACTGATAATATTATAGTATAATATAACTTTCCGAACTGTTTATGCATCAGCCCTAATGAAGGAGATCATCGGATGTGTATTAGTTACAATCACTTTGACCTTCATAGTATTCGTAGTCGAGTCAGATAGCAGAGACACTCCTCGTGGTCATTCGAACAAGCGGGGCTGGATTGGATGCATTCATTTCCTTTCCCGCCTGCCCCGTCCCGTCTCAGTCGGTCAAAGCTACCTACGTCCTCCAATACTTTGAGTGTCTAGATCTTCAGTACACATCTGGACTTCCTTACATCAGCCCCCCATGACTGATAATTGCACCCGGTACTGATTCAGATAGGTCGCACTTGGGCATGGCGTCCCAAAGCACAGCATACAGCATGATGCATACGAGAACTACTTCTTTCTCCAGTGCCTGACCATCAGCCAGCCATATCTCCCTACTCCATGCAGTGCAGTACAGTGCTCTGGGTGGCGGCATCTCATGGTAGCCCACATTGTTAGGTTAGTATTTCGTGATCGACCGACCCCCAGTGAAATCTTACCACTTAGAACACGCCTCTCCCTATAACCACCTATCAAGTAGCCTGGCCCTGCAGGTTTAGGCGCGCATCCTCAAAATGCGGTGGCATTGGGGCGGTCGAGTCAGTGGTCGGTGTGTGTGTGTGGTTCCTGTCATACCTGATCCTGATCTCGCTCCTTTTTATTTTGATTCGTGTTCGAAGACTGACTTCCGGCTACTGCTACCTGATTGACTGCCAGGGTTCAAGGTTTGCGATCCAAAGGGGCGGAGCTAATGTATACCTGTATTTTTTTTATTTGATTTATATTTGTTTGGGGATGGATTTTTTGTCGGAATCTGTATACCCGATCTTTATATATATGCAGGATTTATTCCCTTTTTGATTGATTGATTTTTTTCACGTCATGCTGCATTATTAATTCAGATGAATTCGTTCCACCGTCTTTATACATCGCTGCTAAGATCGCTGATTAGCTGAGTAGTTCGCTTGGCTTGGATTCTCGATCCTGTAGGTACTTGACGACGTATTCTTTTTTAGTAGTACCATTCTCCCTTGTTCTCTTCCTCGCTCGAACTTGATCAATTGTCGCCCTTTCTTTCTTCTTTATGAGGTTTCCCCTATTGATTATTGCAAGTTAATGTAATTTGTCTCCACCTCTCTCCTCCGTTCTCCATTCTCACTGGTTTTGCAATACATACTTAGGTTGCCGGCCCGGAGTGGACCGCAGCGGGCCCAGGTGGACCATGGGTCCTAGCTCCTCAACCTCATGCCATTACTAACCTAACCAAAGCATTAACCATTCATTTAACCCAATTGAGGCACTATACTCGGTGTACTAGTAAACAGACTCCCCCAGTCTCTTCCAAGACCATGAACCCCATGTCTGTCGACTTTAATAGGGCAAGCTCCCAATCCTTCAACCCTGGTCCAGCCCATGTAACGCAGAAACCTAATAAATTGAAATCAATCTATTCCCTCCTGGCATCCCATTCGCTTATGCCGTGTTTTGACACTTGGATTTATTTTATTCTATTTTGTTGCTTTTTGGCTCGGTGACAAAGTACTGTGCAGATCAGGGCTGCCACTGATGGGATGGCATTCTGGGATATGATTAGTAGCTGGTCTTGAGCATTGATTTGTATTTGCTCCAATTGGAGGGAGGAAAGGAGAGTAGTAGGAGTAGGTACTAGCTTCAATCGGCCTCCGCTGACTTGGGAGATCAATCAATTGATGAGGCTTCACTACCAGGTACTATCCAGGATCCGATTCGAAGGATGGGTAGGATCTACCGTTTTATCATCTCTCCCTCTTCGTTCTGATAGACAATTGATTCTAATAGTTTGTTGTTCTATTCGCCTTGTCTGTGCTGTTCCTGCTGTCTTCCCAGCAACAACACATAGTACCTCAACCCTCAGAACAAGCGAGAAAAGAAGAAAGAAGAAGAATAAGAAAAAACCGTTTGAGACCATCCCTCGTGATAGCTAGCTAGCCAGTCAACAATCACCGACCCTCCAAACATAAGCATATGGTCCGAAAATCATCGCCTCCAAACCTAACCTCTGCTTTAGGTTCGGCGGTCATTCGATCCGTTCCCCGTCCGTTGAATGGATTGTGGCTTACTCGAGGGAGAGACAGAAAAAGAAAAAAAAGAACTGTCTTACGCCGTGGTGTTCATGATTTGCGTCCGGGGGTGATCGCCTCGACTGTTGAGGTTGGCGGTCGTATCGTATCGCTTGGGGAGGATGGGGCAGGCGAAGGATTTCCTGTCATGGGAGGTAGGTGTTTTGGTGGGAATCTATCAGGGAAAAGAAAAAGAAAGAAAAAAAAGACAAATACAAACTTTGGAAAAAGCAAAAGCAAAGACTAACCTTCTTTTTGTCTCTTATTTTAAACCATACCTTATATGTCTTGGTTCTGGGGTGTATATTGTATGGAACTGGAGTATCTGCAGACCGTGGTATAGACAGCCTGAGGACCTCCACCAGTCGCCTCAGGTACTTACCAAAAGAAGTAGTACTACTCCGTATATTAGGTAGAGGTAGTAACTTAGTGACTGAGAACTACAGTACTACACGAATATGACAAGAACGAGTTCGATACGATACCCTGACACAACAGCGTACGAAGCCATACACGTACACCCCGTTCTAGCGGTATTTGAACCGGCCGGAGATCCCTGTTCGCCAATCTAAAGCCCTGACCAATCAGCGGCCCAAACCCCCGCCAATTTTCGATGGGGAAAATCATTTTCATCCTTTTTACTTCGAGCCCGCTGCCCAATCGCGGGGCTGAATGGGGTCTTTTTTCCCTCACTTCATCCTCAAGTAAGTTACTTCCAGTCCATGCACCTGCCAGGGCTTGGACTCGTGCTCTTGTCGCTCCTCTATCTACCACTTGGACAGGCTCTATTTCCGTCTTGTCGGTTGAGTGTCAAATCAGGTACGACTTCATGTGCCTTTTGATTTGATTTATCTATATTATTGTTATTATCATGATGATCTTATTATATTGTCCCCCAGTCTAGATGATCCATCTGTCCGTATACCGGAGTTACCATGGACATGTGGGTAGTATGTATGCTACTGGTTGATGAAGCACTGCCGATATTATTATGTCTATCAGGCATATCAAATATAAAAGCCTCTCAAAGACTAAACAGATTAAATCGGAATAAATAAAATAATCGACTGGTAGTATTGATCCTCCCATCAATCATCTCTTCCATCCTAGCTGTTTCCCCTCTCATTCCCCCTCCTTCTCCCTCCATCATTGTTCTTCTCTACTACTCGCTAACATCTTCCCTGATCGTCACTGTGCCTTGCACGCTCGCCTGGCCTTTTCTGACTTCCCTGTTCCCTTTTCTTTTTTCGTTTTTCTGTTCTTTTCTTTTCTTTTTTTCTTTTTTATTTTTAATTTTTTATTTCTTGATGTATTTTATATTTCAGAAAATAAAACTTAATAAAACAATAATTATTATAATCATAAATCAACATTTCATGCCTTACCCGCACTCTGCTGTGACTGTCACGGCGACTCTCACTCCCCATTCTGACTGACTTCTCTCCCTGTACAAAACGGCAAGGGCCTGCAGGATTTTTAGTCTGGTATGCATACGGGGCCTTAACTTACTTCATTACTTACCACTTATTACTACCGACGGACTGACTTCTTTTGACTCTCGTCTTCCTCGATCCTACTCCTCGTTCTTCTCTCGCCTCCAGCTTCCGTTCCTCCCTCTGGATAGCTCGAGTTTAGATTTACAGGTGTGGAAAGTCTGTCACCCTCACGGGACTATATCTCTCTTCATCGCATTGCATAGTATTCTTTACTTCTGTCTGTTTGCGGTGTTTGGTTTGCTTGCTATACTCGCTTCCACTGCTTCATAATCGCATATCGACTCGACTCCATTCGGCACCACCTCCAATGTCGAATATGCATCGTCGTTTTTCCACCTGTCTTTAGATTGTTCATGCCCATCTCAACATCATTTGCTTGCTTTTTCCTCCATTGACCTTGGAGACCGTTTCCCGGCCTGAGACGCAGACCTGGTTGGAATCCATACCGGTGCTGCACTGTTGCACTGCACCCAGAGACTGACCGACCTGCCTGGTTCACACCTGCATTTTTCGACTGCCGGACTCTTCCCCCCGTCTCTGCCCCTGTCTCTGAATCCCCTCTTCGAGATGGACACGGAGAGCTCTCATTCCCAGGACAATGACTTTGCACAATCACCCTGGGTTGACATGGGAGGGTTTCACCCGGCTCAGCAGTCACCACCACTCGACGACTACCATGGATTCCCGTACGGTGTGATCCCCTTGGACTCGGCATATGGGGTGACAATACCGCCCCCTTATGCTTCTCTTCCGTTAACGTTGCCATCGAATACGTGGCCGAGTATGCTCACCAACCATCAATCGCACTTCCCGGAGGGGGGTTTGCCGCCAGTTCCCATTCCGCCTTCGTCGGTCTCCCCCGTCACCCCAATCCCGCCCCCGCGCAAGTCCTCCACGAGCAGCTCCACCCCGCGGAGAACGCTCACGGATGAGGACCGTCGGCGAATGTGTCTCTATCACGAGGAGAACAAGACTGCTAAACAGACAGATATTGGAGGTAAGACCCGTCCCCTGCCGTGTCACCTCTCTCCTCTTTTAGATCAGCGTACTAACGGATTGCAGCATTATTCGGGGTGGAAAGAAGGTACAGTTCATGCATCTCCACTAGGCCAGGATCAGCCACGTCTAACCGATATCCTTGACAGTACCGTTTCAAAGGTCCTGCGCCAGAAGGAGAAGTATCTTAACCCCGATGATGGAAGCCGTTCCCCCATCAAACGGACCAAAGGGAGAGTGCCGGATATTGAAAAAGCCCTCTCCAACTGGGTGCGCAATTACCAGCGCCAAGGTTACCCCTTGAGCGATGAGATGATCCGAGAAAAGGCCATCTTCTTTGCAAATACGTGCGGGAGCCCTGATGGAAAGGAGAAGGTGCTGAGCACCGCCTGGTTGGAGAAATTCAAACACAGGAACGGCCTGTTAGGCGCGAAGTCCCGCAAGGGCTCCTTTGCTAGGAGCGACTCCGGGAGTCCCACTCGCTTGAGCATCAACTCGGCTTTGGCGTCTGCGGTGCAATCGCCCAGCGTGCTCTCCCCCACGTCGCCCACGGGCTTTGCCACGCCGTCACCCTTGTCGCCAACCCACAGCCAGTTCAATATCAAAACCGACGAGACGCACGACTTTGGGCCCGACTTGCACCAGGCCCTATCCAGAAGCCCCCCCTCGCTTGATACCACATCTACCTTCTCTGCTGCGGTCGCGAGCCCTACGTCCACATTGGTGTCGGATAGTCCATTTACTCCCACGAGTCAGTCTCGTAATTCGTCGACAGACAGTCATTCTAACCGACCCAGGAGCCAGACACTTCCAATCAACTCGATTGACCCGAGTCTGATGTCGGCGGGCGACTCAACGGAGCAGGTGTCCCCCAAGACAGCGCTGGAGTCGCCTCTCTCTGCCAACGAGGCGTTCCCCGAACAGGTCCACAATCCCCGTTTTACCCCGACTCTAGATACCTCCGCGAACACCATCAAGCGCAATCGGAGCAACCCCGAAATCAAAACCAAGACCATCTACCCGCCTCTATTCTCCAAGTCGACGACGGTCTCGCCCATCAGCTCCCCTGGATCCCCGACCCAGGACGAAGCCCGCAAGGCGCTCGAGCTGGTGATGAGCTACTTTGAGCAGCAGCCCACCGGACTAGGCGCCCAGGAATATGTGACCATTGGCAAACTGATGGAGAGACTGGAGCTTGCAAAGGCGCAGCATATCACGCTTCCTGGCGGGTTGACTCGTATCGAGGAACATGAGGACGGGCCTCACCTCCACAAGAAGCGAAGCATTCACTCTCTCGGCTGACCGACATCAAGTTTGAGATACTTTTCGGCTTGTTTTTCGGTTATACTGTTTCAATCTACTAACTATCCATCCCATTTCATGCAACTTTATTATCCTCTTCTTTTCGTTTTATGTTCTTTTCCTCTTTTCCTCTTTTCCTCTTCTTTCTTTTCCTTTCCGCTATTTTACGTCTCGGTGGCCTTTTGTTTTACTAGCATTGTACGTCATGTTGGATGAATTTCTGTGCTAAACGCCCGGCAATTGCTGGGCCGTGGAGGATCAAAAGAAAAGACCCGATAATACATACACAATAGGGAAGAGGGCGACCTCGAATACACGGTTCATATACGACACAGGCGCTGGTCCTATTTACAGGATGATGGCATGGATCACAACCAAGGTTGATTTCGGAGTCTTGATTTTATTTTCTCTTCATTTGATATTTTCTTACTTTTTTGGTTGTTATCATATTATATTTTTTTTTCGTGTCGGTGAAACAGGGCAGGACCAAGGCATTGGTCCAGGTAACTTAACATGAGCATGGATATCAGGTTCCTTTTCTTTTTCCTCTTCGCTTTTTCATACTTTGAATTTTTCTCACCGCATTTCTGTGTCATAATTGATCAGTTTTATTATCATTATTATTATTCCTTTTCCTTCCTTTCAAATACTCCCTTCGTGGTAATGAGAATGAATGTATCCCAGGCAAACCCATGCTTGTACTGCTTACCCGTAACCTGGACCTGCATGCATGCAATTATCTGATTTGTTCGGACGGGGTCGATTTGCTGTCCTTTTTTGTTCCTGTGCGCCCTTTCTCACCCCTGCGTTTTATTTTCAACCCCGCTGCGTGCCTGCGTGTGTGTATGTACTGTATGCGTGTCCGGTTTGCCCCTTATTTGGTAGGGTTTCTTTTCTTGGGGGAAACTTCCGTCTTACATTACTTGGTGCGACATTGTTATGAGTCATTGGAACTGTTATATTCGTATATACTACATTTAGATCATATCATAGTTTATAAGTAGTAAGTTATAAATGTCCAATAAAAGCAAACCCGACAGAAAGGATACAGAATAAAGAATAAAGGAACAAAGAAAGAAAGAAAGAAAGAAAGAAAAAGAGTAAAACTCTGTCCAATACTCACTTAGTAAATGCTATTATACCCCCGTGGACTGTAGTACAAGCCGCAGCAGTCCCCGAAGTAAGAAGCAAACCTATTACTTACTACATGCCTACTATTATTGAACCTGTTGATTGAATAGGTCTAATCAGAGATAGTTGGATAGGTATTTCCGAGCCTTGGGAAACACGAGTGTCAGCGTACTACCTACTTACTTACCTACCTACCTACCTACTACCTACCTACTACTCAGCCATCCAGCTACATTACACATGTAGGACTAGCGCCAGGGTGTACATACTACTGCATACATCGTACATATCCTAGGTGAATAGGTAGGTACGTAGGAGTAGGAGTAAATAGGTCGTGGTAGGCGGGTAGTTCTCGGGAAATTACCCGCCTACCTATCTATCAATCATCCTATCTACCCACGTAGGTAGGAAGCAGGTACAGCCCACTGCATCATTGGTGTAAAATGGTTCCGTGCTGGTCAAGTGATGGGGGGTTTATGTGCGTTGGGTGGGATGGACTTCACTAGTTTTCCTCTTTTCCTACCTTGGTTGGTTGGTACCTTCCTGCTTGCATATGTAGGTGTGGAGGTATGTATGGAGGTGTCTGATTTCGGTGGCACGAGCTGACTACTTTTGGAATACGCGTGGGTTTCTTTTGTTTGGTTTTATTATCTGTCTGTCTGCCTATCTATCTGTCTATCTATCTAGTTTTCTATTTTTCTATTTCACTATATGTGAAGCAGGATAAGTAAGTAGATTATCTCCAAACACATATACACTTACACTTTACACTTTACCTCCTCCATAGTATGCAGTATTATGTACTGCGTACAACCCCTCAACAAACCACAGACACAGCAGGAAGGGAGGACATAGACCGTAGACCGTACATCACAGGAAGGATCGAAGTATGCCTTAACCATGCCTGATGGACTCGTCTTGGGCTGACTCGTCACTTTGGTTTATGCCTGCATTCCTTTATTTCTCCTATTTTAGTGCTTGAGGGGTCGATATGTAGGTCTTAGGTTGGTACGGAGTACTCTGTAGTACATAGGTATATCCCTCCTATACTCCGTATGAAGGCGTACTGGGTAGTTGTGTGGTATGTCCATATAATGCGATTGTTACGATTGTATCCACTCATAAGGGTGCATACTACGGAGTACTCCGTACACAGGTAGGTAAAAAGGTAGAAGGTATCTATCACTCTAATCATTTCTGTAATATCTACTAGTTCTCTCCACTAATAAGAAAGATTGACTCGTCGATTTGGTTGTCTCGCTAGGTCTAGCTAGGTATATAACTAGCTTGTCTATTATTTGCCACTCACTTTTACTACCTGCTACCCTAATTGGGTCTTATGGTATACTAACTAGCTACCTAGCTTTACTTATTCAGTACGGTTGGGTATAAGTAGGGTACGATTCATGATCGTCATTATCTATGTATAATTGTATATGCCTGATAATACTACCGCAGTAGCTCACAACTCGCTTGTAAAGACAGTCGAGTACGGTGGTGTTAAATCCCACTCGTGGCGGTCAGGGGTACACCCCTGTGCTCCATTAATTCGGTGACACTGTATTCCGATAGCTCGGGTAGAAGCCTGGACAGCACGGTCTCGATGATCGCGTACACGAGGTGCCGGTTGCAGTAGTCGTCGGCAAAGAGATCCAGAATATCGGTCTCAATCGCTGTCAGCAGACGCGCCTCCTCGTCGTCCTGCGAGGTCGGTGTCAGATCTGGCGGTGATGGCGGGGATGGAGCCCGCGCTGGGGGTGGCGGTTGTTGTGCTTCCTTGGAGGCGGCCCAAGACTCTTGGCGTTCCCCAGGGGCCGCTCCAGGCGAGCCAGGCGGAGAAGGCGAGGTTGACAGGCCCAAAAACCGTCGCGCGACTGGCCGAGGTACGAACGAGAGGATGCGGGCCGCGCACGATCGCTTTATGGAAGCGATTTCGGCCACGGACAGGCGACTGTCGGTGGGCGGCGATACGGAGGACGGGGGCGCAGGCGCTGACGCGGTAGCAACGCTACTGCTGGCGGTACTTGCGCCAGTGGAATCACTACGAGGGGCGCTGGCGCCCCATTCGATAGGAGATGTCGATGGTTGCACGGACACAGACACAGACACGGGCAGAGACGGCGGGTGTGGTGCCGGCTGCGGCCCAACACTTACGCCCTTAGCGGTCGCGGCCGCGGCGGTCGGATGCGAATTCGAGGGAAACAGGGCTGCCCGCGATGCGAGGAGCAGATTGGGCAATAAAGTGGGGGTCAAAATATAGTCTTGAATGGTCTCGTGAAGGAACCTAGTGGAGTCAAAAATTAAAAAGTTAGTAAAAAGGCGACCCTCTAGCAGGGGTGAACCTGGCGCTTTTCCACAAAGGGGAATCCAGCGAAAATGATCATTAGCGGTCAGATTGCGCAACGAAGGACGGAGAAACCCCCGATGAGGTTCAGTCATTGGTGAGCATGAGTAGGAATCCACCCCAGCAGACAATTTGTCAAAAGTATAAAATGAAAAAAAATAAAAATGAAAAGAAAAAAAAAAGAACGAGGATGGGTCAAAAAGGCCTCATCTCGTGAGTGGAGACCCAATGGCACAGGATCTGCTCGGTGTTAAGGAGCTTGGGCCATCGATTGGTGCGATTGCTGAGGCCCCAATATTAGAGATGACGACAGACCAACCCTCTTGTCTATCATTCGAGCGAATGAAAATAATCATCTGTTGGAGGGGCCAAACTGAGGATTTCTTTTCCCCCAGTTGCTGCAGCCTCGTCGTAACCCCAGAACGAAAAAAAGCCACCATGATCTCGGTTCAAGCGTGAACTTGCCGTGCTTGGTGAGCATTTGCCGCAGGCTGGATTGAAGGTAACCATGAATCAGGAGACCCAAGGGGTAAAGGCGAATGGGCTTCTCATGGTGGCTCTACCCAAGTTAAGCCCGGTCGCCGATAGGAATGTAAACCGTCCTTCAGGTAGAGTCTGGATGATCGTCGCAGAATTATTTCACGTTAAACCGGCCAAGCCCAAGACGCAGCCACTGGTCGTTGCAGGGGTCTGGACGAAGTTCCCTCAAGCCTTGTTTTTATTTTTTTTTTTTTGTTCTTCCCTTCTTTCCTTTTTGGTTTTTGAGGTGGGCCCTTTCTTTCCTCTCTCTTTGTTTCCTTTTCTGGCTCGGCCAAGTCAAATCCGGCTGATGCGCAAAAAAAGAAAAAGAAAGGTAAAAAGACTGGAATCGCACGGGACGGAAAGGGCCGGGCCAGCCCATTCTGGCTAAAACATCTATGAGGTAATCTCATCGTGAAGTGAAGAGATAGATGTGATAGATTGACGGCGGATCAGGGCACGTTCAGGCTCGAGCTCGGAATGGCCGATGTTGGCTGCAGCCAACAGAGAGACGGTCGGTCGATCTGGCTATCAATTCTTGTGCTCATGCTTGCTCGCTCGCAACGTCCCTGGCAGTACCGTCCCAAAAAGGGAAGAGGCAGGGGAGGGCAATAGGAGTGAGGAGAGAGATGATCCTGGTGACCAGGATTATCCGGAGCCAGGAAGAAACCATAATCAAAAGTAATCAATGCTCCGTCGGTCAGAACGATACCAACACGGTAATATAACCGTACGCGCCGGTCACAGACCGTAATGGACCATACGGTCGTGCATAGGCGAATCAGGGGAGAGGAGGACGATGCGCTGTGCATCCACCCTCAGATCAAGTGATCGATGCAGCATGCGAGCAATGCACATCCGCGACATCGATGTCCCGCCGGATATGCAGCCATCTTCCACGGGCTTCCTCCGCATGCTCGGCAATGATAGTAACAGAAATAATAAAAAGAAAGAAAAAAAAAAGAAAAAGAAAAAGCGCCCTTGCCAATACCAGCGTAGATCATGGTTCGGAGATCGAACTCCTACCCTAGAGTTGCTCCGTCCCGTTTGACAAACCGCCATGCGCAATCTGAATGGTGCTCGAGGAAGAGGGGAAAATGGGTGGGTGGGAACTCAAATAAAGATGCGACTCACCTATCAAGGACGCTATCCGTGTCACCGAGTCTGCCTGGACCCGCCACAATCAGGTATTGGAAAAGCGCCAACATCCCGCTCAACCAGGGCATCCGCCGAGGTATATCCACCAGCTGCGAGAGCATGCTCGATGCTCGGTAGTAGAGAACGGGGCGCTTGCCCTCGGGGTTATTGTACGGGGTGGGGGTCTTGTTGGTTTGACTGGTTGAAGCGGTGGAAGTCGATGGTGAGGTCACCGGACCCGTAAATGCAACGCGGAACAGACCTACGACGATGAAACGCAGGGTCACAACGGCCAAGTAACCCAACTGAAGTAAATTCCAAATCCAGTCGGGGATCCTCAACTGGATCTTGGGCGGCGAACGGGCCCTCACGAATTCTTCCCTGGGCGAAAGGAGGCCGAACTTCTGTAACTGGCCCTTCCCCGTCGTTGCAGTATCATCCTCACGGTTGTCACGTTGTCTCACCACATCGATGATCTTCGTGACACTGCCCCAAAGGAACCAGCCTTTGGTCATTCTCCCGCTCACTTCGTTGCCCAGAATCAGGTCCGCCAGGATGTCGCCAACCAGTGTGCGCAGGCACGCATTCTCCAAATCCTCCGTTGGAAGGAGAACAGCCAGCGCCCCCTGCGCCAGTAATTGCCGATATACCGCTTCATTTTCACGTTGCCGCGTAATTGTCTCCGCATCGGAAGGGTCCGGGATTGGCGAAAGGCTAGGATGTGGATTCAAAGTGTGGTAGATTTGGCGGACAGATGGAGAAAACCCCGACATGCTCGACTGCGCTCTTGCTAGTCTGTATGCTTTTGATTGATTGAAACCCAGTCAGTGACGGGAACGGTCATTTCGGCCATGTCCGAGGAGCACAGAGTTCATTATCTCACATGTAATATGGGTCTCTACCAAGTCTGGTATCTCATCCAGAAGCAACTGAGCGACATCTATCTCTCGCAGCCTCTGCTCCAGCGCGCGAGTACAGTGCGCCATCACCTGGATGACCTCCGCAGCAAAAGCCTGATCGGCCGTTATTTTGGAATACCAGGAGAAGACAAATTCCTTGACGATGATGGCAACGAGGGCATATAGTTGGCGGTCCACCTCATTTGAGCTTGTCAAAGGGGGCAAGAGCTCCTCGAGAGGTGGTGGAGTGGAAGCTCCGCCATAGCTGGTCGACTGGGGACAAAGGACGCGACGAATGAGCGCCGCAGTCGCCTTGTCGCCCAGGGGATTGATCTGCTCATCCCTGCTCAAATTCCTGCGGTGTTGCGGTCGCTGGGATGTTTGGGATGAGGAAGACTGCAGAGTCGAGGCCGCTGGCCGCGCAGTGGATCTAGAGCTAGACGTCGTCGGCCCAGCTTTCAGTTGCGACAACGGGCGAAGGCCCGGGCGTGGAAGATCGGTGGACATTGCATCACACGAACTTTGTCTGTGTAAGAAGAGTAGAATACCATTTAAGAAAAACAACAGATAAAGAAACAGTCATTCCCGTAGGACATGCAGAAGTAGATGAAGTATGGTGAACGCGGATGACATCGTGGAAGTTTCCCCGGAGAGGAAGCTACGACAGCTGTCCCCATTAGGAAGGTAGGGCTTAGGGTTAGGCACCTGACGGGCCTTATCGCCTTATCGGACAGATAGGGAATTCCCCGCATGATAACAGGCCATCTCGACTTAATCATATGGTTGCATCGTGCTTGAGAACAACAAACAACTTCTTCTTTCTCCTCTTTTTGTGAGAACCGTTCAATTTAATTTGAAACCTTCAGACCGTCAATTTTCAAATACACCTAACATGGCTTTTGCAACGGACCGCGTTCCTCTCTGGTTGGACTGTGACCCTGGTTAGTCGACCCCTCCTCCCATCGAGTCATTATTAACATTATTGCCAGGCCACGATGTAAGTAGACCAAAAGTGGTCTTACTACATACATTAGAACATGACTCATTAGACTGAAGTAGCTAATACACGATCTGCTTCACTCACGTAGGACGCCTTTGCTATTCTCATCGCTGCCCATCACCCGTCCTTGAACCTACTAGGCATCACCACGATCCACGGCAATGCGTCTCTCGCAAACACAACCGTCAACGCCACCAGAATCCTGGAAGCCATTGGTCGACCCGAGATTCCAGTCTATCCAGGCAGCAGCAAGCCGTTCTGCAGACCTGCAGTTCACGCCGCGAATATCCACGGTAAGACGCCTGCCCAGCCCAGTCCCCATCATTGCACTCTAACACGGCGCGTCAACAACCAGGCGACTCGGGTATCGATGGCACAGATCTCCTCCCCAAGCCGTCTCGCGCCCCCATCACCGACAAGAACCCAATCCTCGCCATGCGCGATGCCCTGCTGGCCCAGCCAAAGGGCACCCCGTGGGTCATCGCCACCGGCGCCCTAACCAACGTAGCCCTCCTCTTTGCGACATTCCCCGAAGTCGCAGAACACATCCAAGGCCTCAGCATCATGGGCGGCGGCGTCGGCGAGGGCTTCACCGACGCTCCAATCTGCCGCCTCGTCGGCGAAGAAAGCAGAATCGGAAACGTAACGCCCCTAGCCGAATTCAACATCTACGTACGTCACCTACCAAAACCCCTCTTCCCCAATCCAATCCAAACCAACCTAACCCAACCCAACAGTGCGACCCCGAATCTTCCCAAGCAATCCTGGGCAATCCCATCCTAGCCCCCAAAACCACCCTCATCAGCCTCGACCTAACCCACCAAGTCCTCGCCTCCCCCACCGTGCAAGCCCGCATCCTCCGCGGCGGAGACGACCCCTCCATCCCCCCGACGACCCTCCGCCAAATGCTCTTCGAACTCCTCACCTTCTTCTCCTCGACCTACGAAACAGAGTTCGGCATCACAGCCGGACCGCCCCTGCACGACCCGCTCGCCGTTGCCGTCATCCTGTCAACGCTGAACCCGACGTTCGCCAAGAAGCATCCAGCTCAGACGTTGAGATTTGACGACCGCGACGGCGAGCGCTTTGCTGTCCATGTCGTTACGGACGGGCTTCATGGTTCTGATGTTGCCTTGGTGGGTGAGTTGGGCCGCTCCCGCGTCAAATCTGATCCGGTTGGCGTGGCGATCCCCCGTGGGGTGGACCTTGAAGCGTTCTGGGGCTTGGTGCTGGAGTGCATCAAGCGTGCGGATGAGTGCAATGCTGCGCGTCTGAATTGAGCGGTTTGTCTTGGTTTGGATTGCTTAGATGGTCTTATAGTAGAGTATATCCAGATGTTATTCATGTTTCATGTCATTCATATAGTCCGTCTGAATACACTCCGCTATGCAACTAAAAAGGAAGCAACAAACAAACAGAATGACCCTACACTCAGTAAAGAACAACTTAAGACACTAAGGAAAGAAATCACCACTCCCTAATCCCCCCATCAGGACCAAAAAACTCCTTCGGCTCCCAGGGCTTAGTATCCAGCGCAACCCGCCGAACAGTCTCCTCATCAACTTCAATACCCAACCCCGGCGCCGTCAAGGCAGCCACAAATCCATCTTGAACAGCAAAGACGCCCGCATCCTTGACATAGCTATTGATATCGTACTCACCAGCCTCAGTATTATAGTGCATGCCAATGCTCATTTCCTGGATGACGAAATTAGGCGTAACGAGATCGACCTGCATGCAAGCAGCCAGAGCGATAGGTCCGAGCGGACAGTGCGGCGCGATAGCCACGTCGTACGTCTCAGCCATAGACGCGATGCGCCGCAGCTCGGAGATCCCGCCGCAGTGGCTGATATCCGGTTGAAGCACGTCGACGCTGCCGTCCTCGAGAAAGCGCTTGACGTCCCAGCGGCTGAAGAGGCGCTCGCCCAGCGCAATGGGGGTAGACACCTGGTCTGAGAGCTGCTTGATGCCTTCGGGGTGTTCCGACAGCAGGGGTTCCTCCAGGAAGAGTGGGCGGTGCGGTTCCAGCGCCTTGGCCAGCTGCTTGGCCATGGGCTTGTGCAGTCGGCCGTGGAAGTCCAGCGCGGCGTCTAGACCTAGCGCTTTGATGGTTTTCAGTCGTTCGACGCTCGAGTCCAGCGCGCTGGGCGAGTCGAGCCAGTTGATGTCTTCCGTTGCGTTCATCTTGACGGCTTTGAACCCCTGCGCGAGCCGTGCCTTGCCAGCGACTTCGACGTCTGAGGGTCGGTCGCCGCCGATCCAGGCATATACGGAGAGCTTGTGGCGGACTTTGCCGCCTAGGAGCTGGTGGATGGGGACGTTGAGTCGACGGCCTTTGAGATCCCAGAGAGCGATGTCGATGCCGGCGAGCGCGGACATGAAGATGGGGCCGCCGCGGTAGAAGTTGAGGCGCCAGACTGTTTGCCAGATATGTTCAATGTCGCTGTGAGATGTCTGGTTAGTTTTGGGCAGGGCTGGGTTGGGCCGAGTTGGAAGGACGGGTGAAGACGTACTCGGCTTCGTAGCCCACGAAGCGCTTGCACATTGCGTTTAGAGTCCCTTCCACGGCCTCCGTGTGGCCTTCGAGGGTACTTTCCCCCCAGCCGTAGTGGCCCTCCTCATCGACAATCTTGACAAAGAGCCAGCGGGGGAGGACGCGGAAGTATTCGATGGATTTTATTTTGGCCATGGCTGCGGGGAAACTGGGGATGTGGGGAATGCCGTTGGACAATCCGATATGTACGGAGGTTACGGAGGTTATTAGAGCGTGGCTGTTCCGGGAACAGTATCTTGAGGATATTCACGTACTGACAGATGGCCTGTGTTTCAGACGCGACAGGTCAGGACTCTTATAGGTAACGACGAGCGTGGGGTTCGTTCTTCGGAGTTGCTCCGTTCAGCCAAACCGAGTTGCCGATGGCGCATCCACTGTTTTTCAATGAGCCTCATTGTCTATCGTCAATGGACCACATCAACGTGAGTAGTGGAGGTAGGTATACTCAATATTTGGTCTCAATAAGTTGGATATAGGCATATTGCCACTAGCCAGGTGAGGAACCGGAGGCGGCATCTTCCCCGAAATTACTCGGGTTATAGTTTTATATGCGGGGAACTCGGCCACAAAAACGTCTTTCCATACGAAGTCCTATTCTATAGAGCTAGTTTCAAATAGAAGTGTGCATTTGTAGCGAGAATTAAGATGAGAGATCAGAAGATGGCGTGGCAGGTGGAGGTGGCACGCGGTCTATGCCTCAGGTTATTCAGGTTTGGCCATAGCAAAACTCCTTCTCCAGTTGCATCTCCAGGGCTGCTAATCAGCTACGTGATCGTAGAGTCATTCAATCCGACTGTAATCTCCTCGTGCGCTTCTCAGCTTGGCCTAGGTAAGTTGGGACCGCGATGTCGAGATCTCCGTGACGCGGGAGCAAGTAGAGGGGGTCCTGACCGGGTCGCTGTGGAAAAGCTTTGCAAGTATAGTGACAGTCTGATAAGACAGTCTGACTCAGGCTGTTATGCATCTACGAAAGTGACCTGGTAGGTGAGATATGAGTTCATTTCGGCAGGGAAGCGCTTAAAGGTGACGAAGTTATACGTATGCGGAACGTTGGCCTGGGCTTGGGGCGCATTGGAAGCCACTGGATGCGCGGTGAACATAATGGTGAAGCGTGAGGCCATTTTCAATCCATTGATTCTGGAACTTCGCATAAGTGCGTACCTCAGGGAAACATCGGAGGGTTTCTCAGTGTTCGAAGTGCCGCTTGCACTTTCTGTTTCGATTCTTATATAGTCTCCAACAGAAAATCTTTCAAAAAAAAAAACCAACGGTCGTAACTTGCAAACGACCAGGGAATGATGATGGAGATATCGGCCATATCAAGCCCTACCAACATGCCGTTCAGTATTTTGGTGCAATGGCTGAGAAATGATATACACGGCTTCGAGATCGCCCTTTAGAGAATCCTGTGCTGCGTCTCTTCCGCCTTGTTGAATGTTATGGCTTTCGTCACCATACAACGATCTCTATCGCATTCGAGACAGCCTTTGCGGAAGTCCGAATCTCGTATTTGCGGCTCCTTAAGCATCTCATACACGGCTGAGCATTCTCACGTCTTTTGATATAGTGAGTCAACTGGGGAAGGCTTTTCTCCGTCAAAGGCTTTTACTAGGGAAGCCAATCAAGCAGTCCCCTAAAGCAGTCTTGTAGCTTTTCGGGCTCATTTGTTAGAGATATCAGTCATATCCACCCTGACCAAAACGCCGTTCGGCATTTTGGAGCAGTTGCTTGGATTCATGACCTCGTACGTCTCGCGCACAGCTGTAAGATCATTCCAGCCATCGGTCTTCTCGAACTCAATCTGAGGAATCTAGACTCTGAACACAATGTCCCGTTGGTTGGAGATGCGGGTTGAGGAGCGGGGCGGAGGTGGAGACGATCCGCGCTTGGTTTGGGCATTGTTAGGGGAGAATAAGGTGTGATTAGCATTACTGTGGTGTCAGGAGGTGTTGGAGAGATAGTAACATTACAGTTGAGCCTTGAAGGGAGTTGCATATATAGCTGGAGAAAGAGTGTTGTTTATAGACTTACAGTTACTGACAGGACCATGATAGGGAGTAAGCAGTGACAAGTTACTGGATAGTTCTATTTTGATGGTTATACTGAGATGGACTGGATTACTCCGTAAATTGACTCTAATCACTGTCAAAGAAGAGTAGCAGTTACAGGAAGCCCACCTGGTGAATGATCCTAAATAATTCATATATCTACATATAATTGTAGTGAGTAGTGACAAATATGTTGCCCAAACAGGCAATGCATCGTGACCTCCAAATTTCCCGAGATCCGCAACTTCATTTCTTCTTCGTCTTCATCTCTTCTTTCATTCATCCCACGACTTCACTCCCCCGGTCAGTCTAGATGTCTGACCTGTCTGTTTCTTCAACATCCCACTGCAGATCCTTCTCCTCCTTGCTGTCTCTCCACTCTTCCATTCCTATCACTATCAACTATCACCACTCTCCAATGAGTTGATTGCCACCGCACCCCCCATTCTTTCTGTCGCCGAGGACCATGCCCCCTCCAGCCAACACCCCTTCGGTATGTTCTCTTTCTTCTTTTGAATCCCTGGTGTCTTCTCTGTCCTTTTTGATTGTTCCCTGTTCCCATCTATATCCCTGCCAGTCTAGGGTCCGCCCCCTTGCGCCTCCGCCTCCTATCAACCCGTGAACCCACCCGTCGCTTTATCTAGAAGTCGTCTGGAAACTAATCCTCTTTATCAATAGGATACCCCCGCTCGCGCGCGCCCCGCTGTCTCTCCCTCTGCTCAACAACTGAATGCCATATCCATCCCCGTCCCCTCGTTACACGCCATCGTCGCCGACGACGCCCACGATGACAACGTGAGCTTCCTGCGGACTCGCGCCCCACCGGATACTGCCTCCTCCTCACTCGCTCGACAACGCCGTCGTCGGCCACAGACACAGACCGTGCCCGAATTCGACCCGGAACCGATGGATTTGGATGACACGTCCAATCTACGCATGTCCGTCGAGATCAACCGTCGCATCCCCATCATCCGTCGCCAGCGCGACAGTTCCCTCACCCCGCAAGTCAACATGCCCAACTACGACGGCCGGACGGCCAACCCCCGGTCGCTCTACGGCTGGGCCCCCGCGTCCGACGACGAAGACGAGGATGATCTCGCCTACGAACCGATCCATGACGGGGACACGTTCTCGTCCTGGTTCGGCCGGTTGTCCGACCGCGGGCAACCGAGCGCTCGCCGCCATCGTCACGACGCCGCCCAACGAAGTCCGCCGCTGCTACCCGAGGACCCTTTAGATAGTAGTAGTAGTAGCAGCCATCGCCCGAGTGGCTCGCCCATGTCGACCACGGAGGCGTTACTACAGTCGGTCCGCCGTCAGCCACGCTTCTCCCGCACCCGAACGCTTCACAACTATCTACTTGACCGGGAACGGGCCAGCCACGATGCGGAGGAGACGCTGCGGGACCGGTCGGGCGCCGCGGCGGCCTCGTCCAGAGCATATCGGTTCCTGCCGAGCAGTCGCAGCGAGGCCCATCGACTACTGACACACAACGACCTACGCGCCCGGATCAGCGCCCACCGACAGATGCACCTGGACAACCCGCCCAGTCCGCGGCTCAAAGAAACCATCAAGTACCTCGACCGTCTCCGATACTCCAACTCGTTCGAGGAGAGTCTCACCTCCGCGGCCGCGGGGGGGTTTGTGTCGATGGATTTCCTGTCCTGGGACGAGGACGACTTCATCCTCGACACGACCTCGATCGCGCCCCCGCCCATGTGCTCCTGGCTGCGGCCCGGGATGGTATTCTCCGGGTCCCAGCGCGCCGCCAGCAGCGCCAGCACAGTCCTGTCCCAGCACCCGTCGAGTCCGTCCGGGGGGCAGGATCCCGTTATCGTCAACGGCAGCGAACAACCAAACCCCGCCCGCGTCGGCGTGCGCACGTCGAGCGGGCGGCGGTACATGGCCAACAACATCTACCACCTGGGGAGCGGCAAGGACGAGAACTGGCCGGTCAAGGTGACGATCCACAATATCAACCCCTGCGACATGACGTTATCCGGCACGATGGAAGCGTACAACATCCCGGACAAGACGACACCGTCGCACGACGCGCATATCGTGACCTTCCTCGAGGGGGAGATCATCGACTTCAACACGCATACGCTAGAGACGAAGAACTTCACCGCAAACGCAGACATCGACAGCACGTATTGGCGGGAGCTGCATCCGTTCAAGAACCTGACAGACGACGAGATGACGCGGAATTTAGTGAGTCGGAAGTGGGTGACGGAAGAGCTGTGCCGGGGGTGGATATTGATGCGATGGAAGGGTAGGCTTTATCCCCCCTTGAGAAATTCTGTCTGTACTAACCTGGCAGAACGCTGTTTCATCACACCAACGGATTCACGACAAGGACTTACGATATCGGGATTCTACTATATCTCCTTGCACCGGGAGAGCGGACACATCGAAGGGTTATACTATGACCCAGGGAGCTCACCGTACCAGCAGTTATCATTACAGCCGGAAAACAAAAAGATGGTGCGACCATCGTATAGTTTTCGCTAATGAGTATACTGTATATATGTATAATAGTGCAGTCACATAGCCTACAAGACAATAAACAAGTTAAGGTCAGATGACAAGACGTCAAGATTGAGCTATCTGTAGTTGTAATTGCAGTTGCAGTAGATACAAATCCACCTACAAATCCACCCGACACAGAATCACATCCAGATCATTAAAGATCAAGACATAATCTACTGCTCAGTCTGGAAGTAGTTGAGCAGCACGGAGCGCTCCTGCGACTCCTCACCCCAATCCTTGACGACAACGCAAGAGCAGTTGACGACCTTGCGGGCGTTACCCTCGCGATCGAGCTGGCCTGTACAGTAATTAGCAAATCTCATCCCCTCAAAAAAACCCATCGGTTTCTTCTTTCCCCCCTCCGGGAGAAAAAAAAGGCGACTTACAAAGACCAACCCACTCGCCGAGCATCTTTCCATCAGGGACCTTGATCAGGGGGATCTTGTGCTCGGAGCAAAGCGCAATAACCAGCTTCTTGTAAGCCTCCTCCTCGCAGCCCTCGTTGAGCACACACATGTGCGCCTGGCGACGGTCGAGCGTCTTGGCAGCCTCGCGCAGACCGCGCGCCAGACCGTCGTGGATCAGCGAGATGCGCAGCACGCCCTTGAGGGCGTCCAGCACGGACATCTGGCCGGAGCCGCCGGCATCGGCGCTCACTTCGACCTCGTCGGCCGCGGCCACGGGGGGGTTGGATTGGGTCTCTTCTCCGTCCGACTATTTCACATGGTTTTTCGTTAGTTGGGGGAATTGGTTTCAACGGGTTTGAGGGGGGGTGCGGTTGAGGGGCGACACTGAGTGTATGCGTATCGTTGGGGATAGTAACGCACCATTGTGATTGTTTCGGATGTTCCTCAAAGAGTGAGTTGAGTGTGGTGTTGTGGGAGTTGTTGTCGCTCGATTCGGGCTCATCTTCGCTTCGCCTAAAATTATCCGTGTGCCCTATTAGTCAGCTCACGTGTTGGTCACGTGATCTACTATCCCGCAATATGCTCCGGTAGCCACGTGACACCCCACCAAGTCGACTCCACAGTCTACTACACAATCATCTACAGTATACTCCGTACGGTAAAGTAGTATCCAATATCATACACTAGACGTATGTACTCGGTCGATACCCGTTGGTCAACCCCTCCATAGGCCCATGCCCATGCCCGTTGGTCCGCGCCTCCTGATCGATGTGCATCTTGAGAAATTGCAGGTCCAGCCCGTGGAGGTGCGGAATATGAGGAACAAGATCCATAAAGTCGGACAGCTATACCAATTAGTTTCAGTACTTCAATAGTCAGAAGGGGGAGGAAGAATACCTTAACCCAAAATACATGCTCCATCTCAAAGTATTTCGGTCGTGTCTCACTGTCCTTCTGCATGACTTGCCCCCATGATGATCCTAAAACTTCCCTCTCGTCCGCCTGCACCAGCATCCGCCGTGTAACCCGCCACAGGTTCATCCGTTGCGTCGGGGTTGCATCGCGCTTCTCCCAACTGGCGTACTGCGACAGCTGGAGGTCATTCGTCGCCAGGAGCGGTGCCACCAGGTAGTTCGGCACCCATCGGTCCTCTGCCACCGTCGCATCACACGTAGGATCCAGCTGCCGCGTCTCCGCCGTCACTACCGGCAGGAATTTGCGCAGCCACGCGTGGCTGCGGGCCTGAGCGTCGTTCGACCCCACCAGGTGCGCCGCGATCCGCAGTCGGCTGGGCAGTCCCTCGCGCCGTCGCTGCTCCAGCTCCTCCTGCTCACGCCGCTGCTTTGCCAATCGCAACCGCTCCTGCTCCAGTCGCTTCTGCCGCTCATCCTCCGCCTGTTTGACCCGTCGCTGCTCCGCTTCCTTGCGTCGCCGCTCCTCCTTCTCCTCCTCGGCGGCCTTCTCTGCGGCCTTCTCTGCGGCCTTCTCTGCGGCTTTCTCTGCGGCTTTCTCTGCGGCTTTCTCTGCGGCCTTCTCCGCGGCTTTCTCCTGCGCCAGACGTGCCGCCTGGGCCGCCCGATCGGCCGCTTCCCGGTCCAGACGAGCCTGTTCCGCTTCGGCCGCCAGCCGCGCTTCCTCAGCTCGTCGTTGCGCCGCCGCCTCTGCATCCCGCTGCCGGCGGGCATCGGCCTCGGCGGCATCGCGGGCGCGTCGATCTGCGGCACTGTCGGCGTCCACCATGGGGATGTCGTCCAGACCGCGACGCTCCTGCTTCCCGTGCTCTTCTTTCACGGGATCCCGTTCGACGCTCTTCAGCGGCGGCCCTCCCACACGATCGTGATGGGTCGTGGGACGGGGCGGCAGGGGATGACCCTCCTCGGTTGGCGGCGGCGCCTCTCGCTTCCCCCCGCCGTTGGGGAGGTTCGGCGTCCCGTCATCGTTCAGGACACGGCGCTTTTTCTTCGGTCCGTCGGGGGCGGCGGGGCGCTCGGGATCCGTGCCACGCGATCGCGGCCGCTCGGGGCTCGCACTGCTGCGTCCCCGCTTCAAGGGGGCCGGGGGTCCGGACTTGGCGCCTTCCGGACCGCCCGGTCGGGTACTCTCCTCGTCGGAGGAGGGTAGACTGGGCCGCCGACGCTCGCGGTCCGCTGGCGGTCGTCCCGAGAACAGTCGTCGTCGTTTCGGTGCATCGTCGCCGCGATCCGCGTGGCTGTCCTTGCCTGCCGGGGTCATCACCTTGGGTTTAGCGGTCTCCGCGCCGTCGCCCTCCTTCCGGGCCACTTTCGGACGCGGCACGCCGGGCCGCTCTTTGGGGTGGGGAACCCCGTCGCGGCGCTTCTCCTTCAGGAGGGACGCTTCCTTGGACACGGGACGCGCCGCGCCGGCGGTTTCGATGGATTTCCGCGGGACGGCCGCCGGAGAAGTGGAGTCCCGGCGCCCGGGCCGCTTGTTCTCCTTGTCCTTGTCCCGCGCCCGTCGGGGCGAGGAGGCGAGTTCGGCCTTGCGCTGTCGCTTCGCCCGCACGTGCTTCTCATATGCGTCGCGGAGCAGGTCGTACTCGTCCTCCCAGTTCTCCGCACGGCGATCGCGGGACAGTTCGTAGTACGTCCGGTCTCGATACAGGCGACGGGTCGGGTTGAAGTCGGGGTTGTCCAGGAGGATCCGGATGACGGCCAGGTTGCCGCGGCCGATCGCGGCCAGCATGGGGGTGTTGTAGCCCGGTTTGTGGGAGCCCCCCGCGACGGGATCGGGATCCGGGTCCGCGTCGCCCATGCCCAGGAGCAGCGAGATCACCTCGTCGTGGCCGCCCTTGGCCGCCGCAATCATGGACTCGGGATCGGCCTTCTGCCCCACGTTGAGGATGTTGGCCACGCCCTCCATGTCCCCCTTGGCGGCGAACGCCTGCAAGTTCTCCGGCGTCGCCTTGGTCCACAGGAGGTCGTTGCGCGTGGCCTCGCGGCGGACCACCTTGCGCCGCGCGGCGGTGGGGCCCGGCGGCGGCGGACTCCGCGGCCCGTGGACGGGGGTCAGGTCGCGGCCGCTGCCGTTGGAGACGCGCCGGGACGCAGGTTCCTTGCTGACCGACGCCGCCCGCTCCTCCGAGCGACGGTGCTGGCGGGGGTTGGCCTTGGCATCTGCAATCACGCGCCGAATCTCCTCGAACTCCTCCGAATCGGATGGGACCAGATCGTACGGCTCGTCGCCCTCGGCGTTGAGGGTTCGGGGGTTGGCCCCCGCCGCGAGGAGCAGCTTCACGACATCGAGGTGTCCGTTTTCGACGGCGTCGATCAGCGGCGTGTCCTTGTCGATGTTCTTCGTGTCGATCTCACAGCCGGCCTCGAGCAGGAACTTGACGATCGGGGCACACCCCTCGAGGGAGGCGATCTGCAGGGGGGTGTTGCCTGCGTTGTCAGCCACGTTCAAATCGTCGGGTCGTTCCGAGTGTCGCGCGATGGCCGCCTCAAGCTCCTGGGCTGCGCAGGCCCGCGCCAGCCGCGTCCGACCGTTCTGATCCCGCTGTTTCTTGCTGCCCATGGGGCGGGCTGGCGACGCCGACGCGCCGTCAACCAGTTTGCGCAGGTGCGCGGTGGGGAGTGGGGAGCCGCTGGTCGAGGACGAGACCGACTGCCGATCCTCGGAACTCTGCCGGGGGAAGCCCGTGACGAGGGGTGTTGGGGCCTTCTTCTTCCGCGGGGGCGCAGCATCGCTGCTGCTGCTACCGCCCAGCTGCGGGCCCGAGGCCGCCCGCTTGTGGGTGTGTCGCACGGGCGACGTCGATCGGTCCTTGACGGAGGGGGGTGGAAGGGAGACGTCGCCCAGGTCTCGCCGGGCCTGGTGGCGCGAGGCCGCGGGATGATGGCGCGGAGGGCGACCCGCGTCCCCGTCGCCGGCCATCACCTCACTCAGGCTCCGTTTCCTCGGCAATCTGGGCGCCGACGTCGCGGGCGCGGGCGCGGGCTTGCGGGGGACGGCATCCAGTTCCTCAGACCTTTCGAGCTTGACAATCGACGGGGGGGTTGGGGGCCTCGGGGCAGACCCGCGGGACGGGGCGGGGCGCGGTCGCGTGCATCTAACGGCTCCCTATCCACCACCTCCGCAGCATTCCCCCGTCGGGGCGGAACCTCCTTCGGGGGACGGTCCCTCTCCCCAGGTTCTACACGGTCATCATGTCCTTCGTCACGTCGTTTCGTGGGTTCATGCTCAATATACTTGCGTCGTTTCTGGGGCGACAGCGACTCGCGGCCCGACTGGATGATGGTCTCGGCCTCGGAGTCGGCCTTGGGGCTCGGGGGCCCATCGCCCTCCTCCGGGCCAGGGGCCGGGGCACCTCGACCGACGCCTCCTCTGGTCGGGGGGGCGAGGGTGGCGAGGCCCTCCGGGGCGACGACGGAGCGGCCGGGGACCGGTGGTTCACCTCGAGGGCGAGCGCAGGTTGACCGGCATCCAGGGTAGCTGGCACGGAGGGGGCAGTGTCAACATCACTCATAGCGGTAGCACTCGAATGTTGGGGGTTCTGCTCGTCATCTTCGGGAGACGTGACGGACGGTAGAATGGTGGCCGAGGCACCAGCGGACGAGCGCGGAGGTGCTGACCACGCTATGATAGCAATCGGCGAGCTTCGTCTGTCGTGATTGGAACGTGGGGTCGAAATGGGCTTGGAACGCGTGTACTCGAGGACCGGTGAGTAGAAGTCGTTGAGGATACGGTGAGGTGGGTCGAGGATTTGTGGTTGGATTGAAGGGAATTGAAAGCAGAGACTCGGGATGATCGGATGGGGTCAACGGATGGGGTGAAGAGGTGAAGAGGTCAAGAGGTCATAGGAAGGAGGATGGAATGGGTAGAGAAGAAGGATGGAGGATATTAATAGGGAAGATCGATGGAGGGAAGAGAAGAGGATGCGAGGTGGGTATGAGGAAGAAGGAAGAAGGAAGAAGACGGGGGAAGAAAGAAAGAAAGAAAGGAAAGAGAAAGAGAGAGAGAGAGAGAGAGAGAGAAGAGAGAAACGATGAAACGACCGAGAGGGAAAATTGGGGAGTCGAGTTCGAGTCAATACGGTGTTGGTCACGTATGGTAATTCTCTCTCGTTCTTCTCTCTCTGTTTCTGTTTCCCTCCTCTATCTCTGTCTTCTTTCTTTATGTTCTAGAAATATTGTCCATATCTATCGACCAGAATAGAAGATTCATCTGTCCAGATTATTCAACACAGATGAGGACAAACCATCAGATCAAATGACGATGAAGATGAAGATGTAATCCGGATACGTACGCCGTAATCCTGCGCGAAGGCCCAAAAACCGGGCGGGGCGAATCCAGTGGCGGATGAATCATTCTTTTGATTTACTTCTCATGTTCTTTATAATTTATTCATCTTTCTCTTTCTTTTCTTGATTCTGTTAATTCTCATAGTCAAAGTAAGATAATTATCATCGTGACGATAGAATAGTGTCCAAATGCAAAGAATCCTGACGCCTAAGGCAACTTCGAGGTGGACGAGGGGCGCCTTTCCTAATCCGGCCTAGTGGGCGGGCTCCCCCTCAGGCACCAATCAGGCCACGCCACCCTGCAATCAGCTGACTCATCCTCCCCACATCGACCATCGTCCCCCTTTGACCGGATGGCGTTGCATCCATGGATCAATTGCGGGCATATATATAGATAGATGGATGGTGGAGTAGCAGTATAGGAGTAAAGGTATCCGGAAGAGGAGTAATAAAGTATTCTTGTTGGGAATGCTAGGCAGATACTCAGATCAAGATCAAAGCAGACTCGGCTCCATTCGTGTCTAATGTCCAGTCTAACGAACCACCCATGACTAGTTCACTAGCTGGAACTAACCAACTCTCTCTTCTTCTAGTTTCTACCTGCGTATTGACGATCTACTATTCATGTGTCTCCCTCAGCTCCAGCTGACAATAGACGGTAATCTTTGTTTAGATTCTCACCACACAGCGCCGATCATACTCTCCTTGGCTTCCCCCCCCTCAACATCCTAGTCCGATCGCAACCCCTGCTGATAAGAGCCAAGAGGGATTGCGCTTGTATCACCATGAGTCGTCAGAATCTCGTTTCCCTCCACTTAATCAGAAACCGAATCCCTGCTACCTCCAACAGTCGAGGGAAGATGACGTACACGTGACGTGACTTCATTGGGGACTCGAGGGATCATGTGATGCAGCCCTAATTACCAGATCCTTTCTACACTTTTGTTTTGATTGTAGAACATAACCTATCTACCTACTTTAGATATTGTCCATTCTATCAGTCTGGGATGGGAGAGATATGGATGTCACTATTATTAACTGATATACGATACAGTCCATTAATATGGAGTTCTACTCGACAAGGACGAGATCGAACCCCACTCATCAGTCGATACATCAATTGCTGCCGACGTCCTCGTCAACCCAGGGAATGCTGGCGTGCAGCAAGCAGCATCAGCTGGATCGGGCCGATTTCTTCATTATGCATCACAGATCAAACTGATCAGAATAAACTGGGGTAACCAGAATTAATTATTAAATTTAGATACGAACAAAAAAGAAAAGAAAGAAAGAAGAAGAAGAAGAAGAAGAAAGAAAAATTAAGATTTCCCAACAAACTTCATTGCATTCCCCAACTTCGCTACCCTCACCACATCTCGATACGTCAGACTGACCCTCGTCTGCCGCTCCGCCCACCCCGCCGCGAATCGCTCCCGCTCCCCCAACAGATCCCAGTTGCAGATGGTCCCCGCATCCAGCGCCTCGTCCCTGCCGGTCTCCGCGATCCCATGCAAGAACTCCCGGTACAGCGCCCCCCTCGTCACCAGCAGACTGCGCCTTTCCTGCAACACCCGGTACCGCGGCCGCCGACCACCCTGGTCATCGTCGTCGTCGTCCGTCTTCGCGTACAGGTCCAGCACCGTCGCCGAGCCCAGGCTCACCGTCGCCACGAGCGGGTGGTACGCGGGGCCGTCCTCGTGCGGCATGATCCCCTGCCCGGGCCGGTACTCGTTGACCAGGACGTGGTTGGGCCCGCCGTGCGGCGCGTCGCGGAACAGGCCCAGCTCGTCGAAGCGGGGACGGATGATGGGCGAGACTAGCCACGCGGGCAGCGGTGCGGCGATCAGCGTGTTGGTCTTGGTGAGTGCTGATGGCCACGTCTGGAGACGCCGGTGCGACAGGTGCGTCCAGCGGGGGAGGGGGGCGCTGTTGATCTGAGGCTGTTAACTCTGGATGTGCAGAGAGGTAAGGTAAGGTGGAAAGAAGAAAACATTCACCCGGATAGATAGACTGCGGGCCTATTTTCTATCTTTCACCATCTTACGTCCCCTTTCATCCCATCAGTCATAATCAACCTCCATACCTTTTGTAGCAAAGAAGCCTCCTCATCCTCCGAGACAAAACCCGCAATGTAAAACGCCTCGTCAGGCAAGGTCTTCACCCGGGCGGCATCCAGATCCAACCCCATTGTTTGCTATTGCTATATCCTTAGGGTAGTATCGGAACGAACAGTGCATCTGCGTCGTCTGATGTATCAACTTTCAGCTCCTCACACACAATGTAATGTACCGGGGGGCCGCGCGGGTGGGTTGTGCTGGATGCATTGGCCCTGGTGTACGGACCAATAAAGCAAAGCAGCAAGGTGGCGCCACAAGCACCAAGTTCGGATATGCATGCATATTGGCCCTCAAACGGGGGGGTGCGATGAAAAACGAGATCAAAGTATCCCCCTCCCCCATCCCTCCTCGCGGAAAAGAGACGTGTATACGACCTACCGGAATCCTCGGTTTCTAGTTCGAGTGTCTGACTGGTTGGAAGGGGGGGATCGCCCGTGTTTTAGCAATCAGTGGGTGTGGGGGGAGTGGTAAGTGTACTACCCGTAGTATACTGGAGAATGAGGGGTGTGTGAATAGATAGATAGATCGATAGATCGGAAAGAAGATAAAAGATGAAGAAGAAGACAAGATGGAGATGAAGATGTTATAAACAACTGCCTCAGGCTGCAACCCCACCGCCCCACACCCGACATCATCTTCTTCTTCTTTTGTCTTTCTTTCATTCTTCTTCTTTCTCCTCCCCTATAACTTCTTTGTTGTTGTCCACACACTCTCTCTATCTCTCCCATCTTATCCAGTACCCCACACAGCCAAGTGTATCAAACATGGCACCCAAGAACAACGCCAAGGGCGGCGACAAGAAGGGGAAGGGCAAGGACGAAGGGAGCTCCGATAAAGGGAAGGGGTTGAAGCCAGCCAGCTCGATCAACGTGCGGCACATTCTTGTATGTTTCTTTCTTTATTCGTCTTATTCTATTTTTTCTTGGCTTTGTTATCCTCTACAAAGCATGTGGGGTTCCGAGTCAAGTCAATTGCATCTTATCAATCTGGGAAGAGATGTAAACATGCTGTGGTGTCCATACATACTGCTATCCGGTGGCGCATATACATACCTACATGTATGCTATGCTAACAGGGTACAACTGCGCAATATCTGGCATGCGGGATGCATTTGTACCTTGTACCTATCCCTTGATGAGTTCTCCACTGCGCTGCGGCGGACTACCCTGAATTGGATATGGACTTATCAACCTGTATCCTCGTTGATATTGGCCATCTATCCCCCAAGAACACCACACCCAAAAGCACAAACTGCACCCAAAGAATGAAAGAAAGAAAGAAAAACTAACCCACCCAGTGCGAAAAATTCTCCAAAAAAGAGGACGCCCTCGAGAAGCTGCGCAACGGCTCCAAATTCGACGATGTCGCGAGGGAGTTCTCCGAAGACAAAGCCAGACAGGGTATGCATATCCTTCCTTATCTTTTCCCTCCTATATCATTATGATACTCCTCCCCCAACGCACAGGATAAGGCAATCATCACCGTAGTTGTCAATTGACTAATGTACGAATCAGGCGGCTCTCTCGGGTGGAAAACCCGCGGTAGTCTGGACCCGACGTTCGAGAAAGCCGCGTTCGACCTGGAGCCCAGCACGACGGCGAATCCCACGTACGCGGATGTGAAGACTGGGTTTGGATATCATATTATTATGGTTGAGGGGAGGAAGTGATCTCCTTCTTCTTATTCTTATTTGTTCTCCTTCTCCTTATATGTTATCTTTCTAACAATGTTGCTGTCTGGTGTGTGATGTGTGGTCTGTGATCTGTGTGTCTTATCTACGTGTGATACCTCCTCGGCTATTTCTTTCTTTCTCTGTCTATATGTTTGTCTTTCTTCTTCATCTCTTGGACACCCGGGACCGATTCTAGGAGAGTAAGTGTTGATTTGACTACTACCGATGAAATAAATGAAAAACGATAATGCGAACTCAACACACTAGTTGTATAACTATCCAGTGAGAATCACAATCTCTACTAAGATCTATTGTCAACCCACGACTATGTACATATGGAAGAATAACCAAAACCAAAAACAAAAGAGGAAAGAGGGAAAAGTTGATGATAAAGCTAATCCTTCTTCGCCCGCGCCTTGGCCTTCTTCTCCTGCCGCTGCACGATAGCCTCCGCACCGATCCCACCAAAGACGAGTCCCACGCCCAACCACTGCCCAGCGGACAGGGAGTGACCGAACCAGAACACGCTGAGCAACATGGTGAGCATCTTGCGGGTGACAGTAACAGTGACGAGGAGGAGCGACGAGAAGCGCGAGAGCGTGTAAAAGATGAAGAGCTGGCCGACGGCGCCGCACGCAGCGAAGCCGAGCACGTTCTTCAGGGCTTCAGGGTGGCGGGAGAGGAAGGAGATGGCGGAGGTGAGCTCCGTCTCTGTGGAGGGGGGGATGGGGATGGGGAGGAGGTTGTGCAAGATGCCGGTGGAGGAGAGGTGCGGGACGGCGAGGAGGTAGGCGGTTGTGAGGAGGGTGGAGAGCACGTTCTGCGCGACCATCATCTGCGGGCCGGTGAAGCGGGTGTAGGTTTGCGGGGAGGTGAAGACGTGGTCTTGGGTTGTGTTTGTGAGCCCGTCGAGGAGGAGGTTGATTGAGAGGAGGAAGATGCCCCAGCCGGACTGCTGGGTGGAGGACGCCGCGGCGACTTTCTTGCTGGTTCCTGGGTGGTGCAGGGTGAAGGTGGCGACGCCGAGGGTGACCATTAGGACGACGCCGTATTTGTATAGTGGGTAGCGCTTGCGGAAGATGGTCAGGTGTAGGAACATGACGGGGAGCAGCTTGCAGGACTTGGCGAGGATGAAGGTCAGGTAGTCGATGTGCGCGAGACTGGCGTATCCGAAGGGCGAGGCGAGGGACGACGAGATGCTGACGAGGAGCAGGGGGGTGATGATCTTGCGCGTAGGGAAGATCGACGGGATCTTTTGTCCGGAGGGGGTCGAGAAGAACAGGTAGAGGAGGCCGGTGATGGCCGCGAATGTGGACTGGATGGTGTTCAGAACGATCGAGTAGGTGAAGCGCTCTGTGGGAGGCTCTGGCTCCGATGCGCTTGCTGCGCGCACCGGGTACGACACGGTGGTGATTGCTTCCTGGAGAACACCCCACGATAGGCTATTCTCGGTCAGTATGCGAACATATATCTCCACTCAGGTGTTCGAGGGAAAGGGAATAAGGCGCATACAATGAGGCATAGATTCCCAGAACGCAAATCGCGAGCTGTAACAGACCTGGGGATTCTGGCTCTTCGTGACTACCAGGTCCCCCAGAGACAGCCCCATTCGCAGTGGATTTGGACACCTTCGCGCCGCCATTTTGCTCCTTCGCTAGCGACCCATTCTCTTCTCGAAGCAAGTCTGCCAATTCTGACGACGTGGTCCGCTGCAGGGGCGTGGATTGCTTCTGGCGCGCCATCGTCCTGTATCAGATTGCAGAGCAAACACGATCTAAGTGAAGGACGCGAACAAAAACGATTGATCAATAAAAGTAAATTCAGAGAAGGATCCTTCCAAAGTGCATGAATTGTGTCAAACGAAAGAACAGAGTGAGCGAGAGTGGAAAAGAAAAACAGCGGCAGATGATGCCATGTGTTAACTAAAAACCGCACAGGGCGGCACGATCGCCGTTTAGCGTCGGTCTGGGTGGGTCCATGATTGATTTCTGCTTCTTCAGTTTGGACTGGGTCACCTGTGAACACTCAATCACCAAGTCTAATATAGATCTGTACTGTCTACTTGAATCTATTCCCATTGAATTGACAGAACCCGATCCTCCCAACTCCTCCAGTCCACCCCCGATATATCCATACCATCACCAAAACCATCTCGTCACCCCGCCAATTCTCCATCTCAGACAAAAAGACCTCCAGCGCACACGAAAGAAACCGAAACAGAAACATCAAAGCAACTGAGAAAGAATAAAGCAAAATGACTACAAAAACACCCACCATACCCCCCCAACCCTCCGCCCTCACCAACCTCATCGCCTCCTCCACCACCCCCGAACCCTCCCACCCCCTCACCGCAAGCACCCTCCAAATCCTCCACAACCTCCAACACCAACACCTCTGGACATCGCTGCAGACACACGAGATTGAACTTCCCGCGCCATCCCAGCAATCACAAGATACCCCTTCCTCCTCCGACCCCTCCTCCACCGCCTCCACAACAACAACACAATACCTCATCTCAGGCATCCCACCCCACCACGTCTACATCCACCCCGACGAACAACTCTACATGCTCCAGCGCGGCCTGCGCGAGACCGACATCGAGCTAGAGCGGCTCTTCGTGCTCCCTGCCGTGCAGGGCCAGTCGTGGAGTCTGGCGCGGTTGGCGGCGGTGTTTGATTCGTTGCCGGGGGGAGGGGAGCGTCCTGCTGCTGCTGGTACTGATACTGCTCTGGATGAGGGAGAGGGGAGTGAAGGCGACAAGGCTGCGAAATTGGCAGAGTACTACGAATACCGGGAAAAAGCGTCCCTCACGAAGGAGTGGGGCGGGAAGAGGATCCTGCTGGCTATGGCGGATAGGATGATGGGTGGGGATGGGACGGTTGTTTATTATGTTGTGCAGGAGGGGGCTGTTAAGCCGAGGCAGAATTAATTGATATATACTGTGTTGATCACTAGGTGGATACTGCGACCTTAACTCTTGGTCTTGGGGGGACTGCGAGGTCTGTGGACAAGTTTCTCATTCCTAGCATTGGTCGACCGGCCTTTCCAAACTGCTTGGCTGGGTAGCTAGCTACAGCTATTATATACATGGACAGAGAGATGGTAGGCCAAGTCTCGGTCGTCCATCCTGGATATGTTCGACAAAATAGACAGACAACAACAGACATCAACTGCAACCGGGTATCGTTTCAACAAGGAAACCGAAAAGGGGGGAAATAACACGAACGACAACAATAAAAAAACGGCGGGGAAAGGAAAAAAAGAATCATGGATTTTCCAAACCGCGCCCCTTCTCCACCAGCCTGTCCTGCTCCGCGTGACAGCTGGTGCAATACTGATCATACCACTTCTTGACATCGCCCGTGAGGTCCGCAAACACCGACGGACTCGGTTGATCCACGTCTGCATCGTCGCTTCCATTGTCCTTGCCGAGAAGGGACTCCACCTGGCGACAGCGGCGCAGCTCCTGCTTGAGCCAGCGCTCCCATTCGCCCTCGATGACTTCCTTCTCGATGCTGTTGACCACCCGGAGCGCGACGAGGAGGTTGTGTCGGTACATGCCGAGGCGCTCGCGTGTCTGCTGCAGCCGGCGGACGGCGCTCTTGGTCATTGCGTCTCGAGCGCTTGGCATCCCGACGGCGAGCATGCTGCCCGGGTCGCGGATGGTCTGTTGGTGGAAGGTGGAGAAGCAGTCGCTTGCGCCACTGTCGGTGGTGTTCCCAGCACTTGAGTTGGCAATCGCTTCGTCGATGTCTTTGATGTAGATAGCTTTGCTCATGACGTGGTCCGGGTGGACACCAAGGCGAGCCATGAAGTTCCCGGCGTTTCGCTCGTGGTACCACTCGTATGCGTCCCGCGATGTGTAGAATGAGTTAATGAAAACGCTCGATATCAGGAGTCCCAGGATCACTTTGTTGGCGTTGGTGGTCTTCCAGATCCAGCGGAAGAGCCCGAACGTCCAGAGCATGACGGATGACACCGTGCTCTCGAGTAGACTGACGAACGTCTCGTAGAGTAGCTCGGCCAGCGCGCGCTGCTTCCGCGGGTTGCGTGGCTCCGTTTTGAATTCCGGCTCGCTGGGGAACTGCGACACGAGACTCTGCCGCCCGATGTGGCCGAAGATCGTGATGGCTTTCTTGGTTCGACTGTGGGCGCCGAGCCGGCGCACCTGGTCGCTGACCAGATCGACCAAGTCCAGAGCATCTTGCTCCAGATCACTGTTGGCTTGTTTGTCAATGACGCCTAGAACTTTATTAACAGCCATCGTAGAAATAAGACGGACCAGATACTCACTTTGGAGGCCATAAGACGACCCCAGCCACTCGACCTTGGTGTAAATTGAAAGCTTGCACTTCCCCTTGGCGGCAAATGTGATCACGATCTTGCTGACTAGTCGGAAAGAACGCTTGAAGGGAAGATGCCACGGGGTCCGTTTGTCCGTAACCACGTAGCACAGGTGTTCATTGAGGACGTCAATGATCTGGTAATCGGAGATATTCTTGGCTTGAGATCGTCCTAGAAGGGTCAGTTCAGTGTTGGACTAAAGAAGGAAAAGAGGCAGGACACACCTAACAAGTCATCCGTCTCAATCCGGTACTGGAAGTCTCTCCTCAAATGACGTGAATGATTTCTGACCCATGGCCCTTGCTTGATGTCTTCATCTCGTCAGTCTCGCGATCGCATTAGAGGGACAGGTGACAGTGACATACCTCGCGCCCTTCTTTGATGGAGGAGCAGCTGCCAGACAGCACTCTTGTCGCCAAAAAGTATATGGCAGACCGCTTTCGGGCTGAGATCGAATACTTTCTCCGCTGCCAGGTTAAGGTTCCCCTGGGGAACGTACTGGACCGGCTGCGTTGGCAGTCTGAACTTTGACGCATCAAGTCCATGGCCGTGCCTCTTAGGATGCGGGTCAAGAGTCTTATCGATGTATATGGGCGCCCGGAAATCCCTTCTGGGCCCCGACCCGGTGACGTCTTCGCCAGCATGAGCTGTCTCGTCCGCGCCTGTCACGTCTTCCCAACTGTCCAAGCTAGGAGTCCGCGTCAAGGAATCCGTTTCCATCTTGTTCAGCGTCTTGAAGATCGCTTCCAATCCCATGGGCTCCACGGCTGTAGAGTCATTGATCAAGAAATTGAGGCGCTTCTGGAGAAGTCTCAGCGGCTCGAGGAATGTCTTGACTGTCACTCGGCCAGGGGTGTCTTCTCCGGGAGGCGGGATGGTATGAAGGAACAGGAAATCGCAATCTCTTCCTGCTGCAGCCGTCACTTCTCTAATGCCATCCAGAGCGATACTAGTAGTTAAGACCAGCCCAAAGTAGTGGCTATAGAAATAGAGGTTTTGCGTAGTAACGTAAGCCCTTCCAGGGAACTCTTGCTGATCATTCGGATTCCACGTGGCTCGGAACACCATGACCAAAGGCTCCTCTCTCCGGACATTGGGGAAGAGTAGACGGAATTGGGCATCTTGGATCTTGAGTTGCGGCGGGTAGTAGCTAGGGTACTCGTGTGCGAGTCCCAAAATCGAACGCTGCATCTTGGAGGCGTCCCCATCAAGGCTAACGGTCTGTCTGTGACGCGGGCCGTTCTTTGGCTGTTCACTGTCCCCTTCAGCGATTGCTTGTTTAGATGAATCACTCAATGGCGAGGTTGGCGGCTGTACAGATGTCGTAGTCTGTCCAATGGCGTCTCCATACAAGCGTTCCCGTGCAAATTTGTTCATGAAGCCCCAATTGGAGCTACCCCATAAGTTCGCCATCATACCACTTGGCATTCCCCCAGTCTTATCGCTCTGGCCAAGGCCGATCCCTCGTTCATTGTTGACGAGGACAGCTGCCTTGCTCATACTTGTTGGCGCAGGCGGGTTTGCCAATGTCAGAGGCGCCAGGGTTGAAGGGGCATCCAGGGGATTCGTCATGCTACGGCTTCTTGTACCGTCGTTATCCAAGAGAGTAGATGTAGGCGGAAGGGCACCGCTGGAAGCAATCGCGTTGTGACTGGCCGAGATCAGGCTCGCTATCCCGCCATTCGCACCCGGGATTGAATAAGATGGCTGCACTGCATTGTTGCCCTTGCGGTGGAGATCCAATTTATGCATGATTCGTGAAGTGTGCTCTCGCGCGGAACTTTCAGGCTCCCCAGCCGTCATCCGCCGATGACTGCCTAGATCAGTACTACTCCGAAGAGCACCCTCGCGCTCCGGCAACGCAAGGCGATCGCTAGAGCCCTGTTCGTCGCTCGAGTGGGGAGTCAGAGAGTCGGCCGGATCAGCTGCGAATTCTGGGGCTGGAGGCTGGGATATGGAAAATGCAGGATCTTGCACGGTCATCTTCCCAGACACCGAAATATCGGTGCTTGCTGGGTTCTCCAATGCTTTCCGTTTGGCAGCCTCAAAGGCCCCGATCCACTCGATCAGTTCTTCCTGGGTCTCTGCCTGGAGCAATATGGTGGTGCTCTTGGTTTTGACCTCGAAGCAGAATCGACGATCTTCCTGGGTAGCCGGACGAATACTGCAGAGGAGGACACCTATTCTCTCGCTTTCCTCAACACCACCAGTCCGCGAACCCTGCACCAGGCAGCCAAATATACCGTACTTCAAGAAAGCCCAACGTCTCACCCAGAAAGCGCGAGTAGGCTTCCCTGAGAGCGTACGCAAGTTCACCCACCCTTGCTTCTCTGGCTTGGCGTCTTTGGTCATCTCGAGCGTAGAGATTGGGCGAGATCCATGATAGGGAACGGTGGAGAGATTATAGTCTTCCAGCTCACGAGACGGCCGTGACGCCACCTCGGCGGCATCCTCAATCTGCTTTCTAGCACCGAGAAGTTCCCGCCTCGAGGTTCTCTCACTTCCTTCCATCTCGTGGATCCACCCCTTGATGCGGTCCATCTCCTGGCCCCATTTCGCGAACGTGGCACCGTTGTTGCTGTGGAAGGTTTTGAACTCGCGCCAGTTTTCGAAAGACACCTGGACTAGCAGCCTATCGAGGGCATTCCGCAATTGGGGAGCCTGCACGGAAAAGTCCATCGACGCCCGGAGGTAAGCCTTGCGGGCTTCGTGGAGCTGGAAGGCATCCTCTCGGAGCGACGACGGCTCTTTGGACTTTGACTGCCCCGAGTATCTAGCTTGCAGGTAGTCGTAGTGCTTCTGTGTTTGTTCGAGCGCGCGATGGATTTCCTATGGCGGGGTACGTCAGCCACTGCCCCTCCATCAATCACGACGACGGTCGAGACCTACCTTGAAGTTCCGCAGATCCTCCTGAATGAAGGCTCGAATAGGCTCCGACACGAGCCCCTCAATTCTCTTGGTCGTAGCAACAAACCCATTCCACAAATCCCTGGAGCTATCGCCAGACCTCCTCATCGCCAGCAGGGTGTAATCATGGTCGAGGACGGCCTCAGACGCAACCAGGGGATTTGTCGAATAAGACAGAAAGACGTTCACAACACTCTCCAGAGCCGCTGAGTCCGCGGCCAGCCTAGATGCGGCCTTTGCGTATCCGTCGAGCCATCGTTCAACGTATTCGATCTGGTCCGAGAAGTGAAGTGTTGTGGCGCGGAAGGTCGGTGAATCGAGAGCGGCCTCCTTTAATCCAACGGGACTTGATCAGAACTGTCAGCATGGATTCATCCTCATTTTCCCTCATCTCCGAAAACGACATTCAAGGGCACGGCTGGCTTACACCACGCTCACGAGCTTCCCGACCTGGGGTGATTGGTTCTGCGGCGGAGTCGACATCTAGTGTATGTTCCCCCAAGCATACACGCGATGGCGAAGATATCGAATAAAACTAACAATAGACCCCGGATTCGATCAGATCAATGACACGAAGGATGTCATTTAACAGGGGAGGAGTCAAGTTCAACAAAGGGGGAGATCAAAGAGTGGGTAAGGAATATCTGGGAAGCTTGAAGCGCCTCCTCAGCCTTCTGGGGAATACAGGCCCGTGGATGGTCCAATTGGCTACGTCAGTAGAACTCGCTGGCAGCCTGGGCCTGCCGGTCCTCAGGCAACAAACCTCCTATTATGGGAGCGGTGAGTGCGGGTCCTCTTTTTTCTGCCGCCAACATTTTTTTGCCAGGCGCGGGTTAGAAAGAAAAAAAAAAGAGAGGAGGTTACCCACGATCTACCATTGTTCAATCTTTTTTCTACAAACAGCAAAAATGGAGCCTCCGGCGAAAAAATCGCGCATGCTGCTAGATGATAGCAACTCGGATGATTCTGGAGATGAATCTGGTGGTGTTACACTGAATACTTCCGGCGACAAGGACTTCAAGATCAAGGTCAACGAAGATTACGCCCGCCGCTTTGAGTACAACAAGAAGAGAGAAGAACTGGCGAAGCGTAAGTTTGATGCTATATACTGTTTGGTTCAAATCACTAATCACGACGTTTTATACAGTGGAGGCGAAACACGGAAGTGCTGCTCACGAGGAATCTGAAGAGGATTCCGAAGATGGTGTGGAAGAAGATGACGAGGCCGAGCTAGCTACTGAAGCCCTTGATGCGGAAATCATGGATACATTGAACGCGATCCGATCGAAAGACCCTCGTGTATACGACGCCAATGCGACCTTCTACCACGAGGGAGAAGAAGACGGCCAGCCTGGCAGCTCAGACAAGAAAGAAAAGCCCATGACGCTACGAGACTACCATCGGAAAACGCTCCTCAGTGGTGCTCATCTGGCGGATGAAGATGAGGATGCGCCCAAGACCTACGCCCAGGAACAGGAAGACCTGAAGATGGCGATCGTGAAAGAGATGCATGCTTCCGGCGATCAGGAAGCGTCGGAGGATGACGAGGAATCTGATGAGGACAACCTCTTGGTCGCCAAGTCGGCCCCCGAACGTCCCTCGACGTCCAAAGCTGATGTCAAGCTCGATGTTGAGAACGCGGACAAAGACCCCGAATCTTTCCTGTCGAATTTTATGTCTGCCAGAGCCTGGCTCCCGACCAATCGATCGGAGCTGAAGCCTTTCGATTCTGACGACGAGGAAGAAGAGCAGCGCGCCGAAGTCTTCGAAGAGGCATACAACTTCCGCTTCGAAGACCCCAGCAAGATGAACACGGTATTGATCACGCACTCCCGTGATGCAATCAACCAGCAGACCGTCCGCCGGGATGAGAAGAGCGGCCGGAAGAAGATCCGCGACCTCGAGCGCCAGCGGAAGGAAGAAGAAAAGAAGCAGCGCGAGACCGAAAAGAACCGGTTGCGAAAGCTGAAGGCGGAGGAATTACAGAACAAGGTCAACAAGATCAAGGAAGTGGCCGGCATCCGTGCGTCCAAGTTCACGGACGACGACTGGACCAAGTTCCTGGATGGCTCCTGGGATGACAAGGACTGGGAGAAAGAAATGCAGAAGCGCTTCGGCGACGACTACTACGCCGAAGGCGACGGGATCGGGAGCGACGAGGAGGGAGGCAAAAAACGGAAACACCCGAAGAAGCCGACCTGGGACGACGACATTGACATCAAAGACCTGGTGCCTGACTTCGAGGACGATGAGAAGCCGACTGCAGGCTTGTCTGACGTCGAGATGGGCGATGACGACAACGATGACTCCCCCCAGAAGAGCAAGGCCCAGGAGCGGCGTGATGCGAAACGGGAAGCCCGTAAGGACAAGCTTCGCATTGAGGAGGCGCTCGACCGCACTCTCGACCTAGACATCACTCTCCTTCCCGGTGCGACGAAGAAGAACGCCACTCGTTTCCGCTACCGCGAGACATCTCCCGAGAGTTTCGGGCTGACGGCGCGCGACATTCTCATGGCGAACGATCACGACTTGAACAAATACGCCGGGTTGAAGAAGCTTGCTTCGTTCCGCGAAGAGGAGAAGAAGCGTAAGGATCATAAGAACCTGGGCAAGAAAGCTCGACTGAGGCAATGGCGCAACGATACGTTCGGTAGCGAAGCCGAGCCCGAATGGCGCGTTGGCGAGGCCAAGGCTGCCGAGGATGCGCAGGAGGAGACGACCGAAGGCAAGGTTGATATTCGCGGGGATGATGGAGAGCCACGGAAGAAGAAGAGAAAGAGGTCCAAGAAGAATTAATGATTGTGTTTGTATAAAAGTGTGATGGGCTAGTGCATGTATACCAGGCCGTTATCTATGATGATCTTTTCTATAGCATATGGTTTTTTTTTAACTCCTTTACCTCAATCGTACACTGTGGTAGTTATCTAAATCTCCAGTATACGCAGTAGAATGAATACCCTTCTACGGAGTAATATGGTGGCATTATCTGATATAGCAGTTGATTGAACATCCAAGGCTTGAAAAACCAAGGGGCCCGGGATGGATTCACCACGAAAATATATAATCGAGTAAGGCTATTGATACACACCGTCTACTCCGACCACCCTACCGAGTAAAACATATATCTACAGAACAACAACCCAATTCCCTCCCTAAACCAATTGCACAAAACCCACTTGATACAAACCTTCTAGATACTCGTAGATAGACATCGAGCTATCCACGCCATGGGCACGATCCACAAGAGCACACTCCAGCTGATGTGGCAACACAGAAGTCAACCTACCTAGAAACTTCCCACGATCGGAAATCCGAGTGGCAAAGAGACCCAGACAACAGACATGCCTGAAAACCCGGAACGGTTCGACAATGACAGGACCGATGGTCGGAAAAGACAGTAACTAGTAGGCTATAGCATCACTACCGTGCCCGAGATTATACTTCGGAGTTCTCGGCGGCAACGATGGGGTTTCCATAACAACGACCAACTATCCTTATCATACAAACAAGGGAGACAAGGGAAGAAAAAAAAAAAGCTAGCTAACTAACCCGTTACAATCTAGGAGGTCGGTCGTTTTGTTAACTAGCGGTTAGTACAATAAGTTGATGGACTATGTTTGGTGGGTCTGGTTTCAACGGCGACGAAACAGAGGTTCCAATTCTGGCTGTTTGATTCATAATGATTGACCCAGGGGCCCATTTTTTGCCTTGTCGAAAAGGAGAGAGGACTCCATCTATGGTAAGGATGGGAGGAAGTAAGAGAAAAATTGAAAAAGGGAGGGTTAAAAAAAAGTGGGCCTAATGAACGGACACAGGACACTTGGACACTTGGACACTTGGAGATTTCTTTCTTTCTTGCTTTTTTAATTTATTTTTAATCTTTATCTTTGGTAGGTCTGTCGAGTCAAGTCGATAGATACTATTTTATGTGCTCCGTATGCAGGCAATAGGCATAAGGGGGACGTGGCCTTTTATGGGAGGCTTGAGAGACGGATATTTGACCTATATTATATATAGACGACTGTACAGACACCTATATAGTAAGGGATCATATTTTGAGGATGTGTCGATATAGTATTCAATTGTACTCCGGATATATTACAGATTACCGAGCAATCTATACCTACCTTTATAAAGCATCAACACCGTCCGAAATGATTATCTAGATATTAATCCGTGGATGAAAAATAGACATCAAAATCCAATCTCAAAGAATGAGTTATTGTTTATTTATAACGCATCCCAGATGACCATCATCTGAAAGCGGTCTGCCGAGGAGGTTGGAGGATTCATCCTTCACCGCATTCCGCATGGATGCCGACGCATCGGGATGGTCTTCTTTTCAATTGATGAAATCTATGTCTACTACGGAGTAAGATGAAGTGAATTACTTCAATCTGAATGATCAATGAGTCTTGTCTGGATATATAAAATTCTTCTATCAATTGGCAGAAAAGTTCCCTATTATGTTGGCAGGATAACTACAAAGTATAGTCGTGTATGGATGGCTATTCTCGGGCACATGCAATTAGACTCTGGCTATCCCGGTGGCGTGGCAGAATTCTCTGATCAAATAGTCAATAGTAATACCTATCATACCGATCCAGAAGATGCCTATCGAGATGGGGTTCTGGAAACATGGGGCTTGGCATCCACACTGGTTTGTCGAGGGCGAAAAAAAAATTGAAAGACCTTTAATTTGCCATCGGATGTTCGGAAGTCGACGAAAAGAAGGGAGTTTCCCCGGGTGGATTGGGCGAGAGATTACGGAACTCCTTGTTTTTGGTTCGGTTCACGGTTGACACGGGGAAATGGAGGTGTTGTACTTTACTAGGTAGGAAAAAAGAAGGAAACCATTACTCTATAACCATGAAGAATTAATGTCAGGAGTATAGAAGTCTGGACAAGTGTCATGGATAAATCCCGCAAGATGCATAATTAATCTTCATTGTCTGAAAACTCAGGCTGCCAAAGAACCAGTATAATCTCGCAGTCTGGGTGGGAATCGGGAGATATCGGCTTTCGTTGCCTGGGCCAGCATTAGCGCCGGGTCGTTTTTCTTTTTTTTCTTCCTCCCAAACAAGAAAAGAAAGAAAAATAGGTAAATTAAAGAAAGAAAAAAATAAAAGATAATAATAAAAAAAGAATAAAATAAAAAAAATAAGAAAATTCAGAGGCCAGCAAAGCCAAAAAAGACCCCAAACCGAACCAAACCAAGCAAACGCAAGTCCCACGGTCATATCCAAGTCTGCCCAAACGGGACTAGCGGCTCCGCTCGCTTCTTCCCGCTTACAAGAGCCCTTCGCTCGCTATTTTTTCATCCTCCCTTTCCCCTTCTTTTTCCTCTCTTTTTTCTCCATCCCTTCTGAAGTGTCTCCTTCTTCCTGACACTCTCTTTCATCCCCATCTCCTCTCCTCTCCTCACCTTCCCTCATTTCTCTTCACAGCAGTCAAAATGGCCGCCGGTGATGTTAACCAGGGCGAGAAGTCCGTCTTCGGCATGCCCGTAAGTTGCAATTGACACCCTCCCTTATCTGGCGACTTGGAACTCCGGGATCCCGCGCTTCCTCGACAAGAGCCTCGATGGACCTCAAAGGGGTCATGGATGGATGGAGGTCGTGGAGCGGCGCGGGTTTCGAGTGGTTTCGAGGTCGTTGGATGGTGCTATTTGACTGAATGGTGTACTAATGAAAATTTTTTCATAGGGATTCGTCGTCGACTTCATGAGTATGTCTACCCCAATTCACTCTTCCGATTGAGGCGCAATGGAGACGCGACTGGTGTTCATTGCAAATTGAATCAATTGGATTCAACTGCCCTTCCATGGTCTGTTACTAACGGATTTGCAGTGGGTGGTGTGTCCGCTGCCGTCTCCAAGACCGCTGCCGCCCCCATCGAGCGTATCAAGCTGCTCATCCAGAACCAGGTTGGTTACCCCATCCCCCTACTTCCTGGTTTCTGGTTTTCGGAAAAAGAAGACGAGCCATCGTTGCTGCCACGGTTGTACCGTTGGCGGGAACCGATCGGCCCGTGAAGAATTTTCTGGGACGAGACCGGGGCTTTCCTCAAGACCGGTGATTAACAACTCCTCCAGGATGAGATGCTGCGCGCCGGTCGTCTCGACCGCAAGTACAACGGTATCAGCGACTGCTTCAAGCGTACTGCCGCCGCTGAGGGTGTCGTCTCCCTGTGGCGCGGTAACACCGCCAACGTCATCCGTTACTTCCCCACCCAGGCTCTGAACTTCGCCTTCCGTGATACCTACAAGTCGATGTTCTCCTACAAGAAGGAGCGTGATGGATACGCCAAGTGGATGATGGGTAACCTTGCCTCCGGTGGTGTATGTTCCCTTTACTACCCCTGGTCGGTCTAGCAGAAGACTAACAGATATAGGCCGCTGGTGCCACTTCCCTCCTGTTCGTCTACTCTCTCGACTACGCCCGTACCCGTCTCGCCAACGACGCCAAGTCCGCCAAGGGCACTGGTGAGCGTCAGTTCAACGGTCTCGTGGATGTCTACCGCAAGACCCTCGCCTCCGACGGTATTGCCGGTCTCTACCGTGGTTTCGGTCCTTCCGTCGCTGGTATTGTTGTCTACCGTGGTCTGTACTTCGGCATGTACGACTCCATCAAGCCCGTTCTCCTGGTTGGCCCTCTCGAGGGTAGCTTCCTTGCTTCTTTCCTGCTCGGCTGGACTGTCACCACTGGTGCTGGTATCGCTTCTTACCCTCTGGATACCATCCGTCGCCGTATGATGATGACCTCCGGTGAGGCCGTCAAGTACAGCTCTTCTCTCGATGCCTGCCGCCAGATCGTCGCCAAGGAGGGCACCAAGTCCCTCTTCAAGGGTGCCGGTGCCAACATCCTCCGTGGTGTTGCCGGCGCTGGTGTCCTGTCCATCTACGATCAGGTCCAGCTCCTGCTCTTCGGAAAGCAGTTCAAATAGACGATTGATTCAGTTCAATTCGTTGAAAAGTGATGGGGAAGGGGATGATCGGCTTCTGGCGTAACTGCCAGTGGCTACTGTGGAAGAAGAATCTTTAGAAGAGATGTGTCAAGATAGTTATCTTGCGCATGCGCAGTGTGTCATTTTTTTCCTCGTGTACTAGTTGTACTTTACTGCCTGCAAGCTATTTCTTTTTCTCTGTATTTTGATCTTGGATCCCTTGTAAAAATCGTAGCCTGAGCCTGAGCATAAAACTCTGCACGCAGTCAGCACGCCATTCACATGACCAGTCACATGACAACCCATCAGTGACGTACGTCCATCGTCTCTGCTCGGATATACCTATAGAAGAGACAACCACAACGAACCTCAATTCGACCACCAAACCATCTAGATGACGACCCCTTCATCTCCGGACGCGCAGGCGTCTCACCCACGGACGTCTTCTCCTACCAAGACAGACTCTATCCCTACCTCCACCGAGGCCACCACCACAGCCGAAGCTCCAGCTCCAGCTCCAGCTCCAGTCCCAGCGACAACCACTGCACCTCCACCGCCAGGCCCTCCCCAGCTACAACGTCCATCGCCGCAGAGCCAGAGCCTGTGCCGTCTCTTCCAGAGCAGACTGCCCCTCCGCTGGCAGCAGCGGACCACCAAGCTAATCAGCTTCCGAACCCGACGACTACCACCACCGCCACGGAGACAACCTCGAGTACTTCCCCTCCTCTGCCGCAACCGGGTCCGATTGCCGTTCCTCCTACGTCTACGTCTACGCAGCAGGAGCAGGAGAAGCAGCAGCAGCAGCAAGAGAAGACACCACACGCTCATCCCCCAGCTCCAGCTCCAGCCCCAGCCCCAGCCCCAGCTCCCGTCCCAGCACCAACAGCCCCAATCCCAGCCGCAGCACCAACAACCCACAGCAGCTACAGCCCCAGCTACGGCAACTACAGCTCCGCCGCTCAAAATCTCAATCCCACTCCCAACCCCAACCCCAACCCCAACCCCACCTACAGCTACAGCCCCGGCTACAGCTACGGCACCGGCACCGACACCACCCAAAGACACACCTACGGGTCACACCAACCAATAGCACCCACCAAGACCATGACCCCGCAAGGATGGATCCCTCCTACCTCCGCTACAGCCAGCTACAATACCTCCTACGGCAGGGAAGTAGACCAGTACCCGAACCAGCAGGATGAAGAGGAAGGCATTCTCGGCACCGCGATGAGCTGGGCTCGTAGTGCGGGTGAGAAACTGGCGGATGTTGAGGCTGCTGTTTGGAAGAGGATTAATGATGCGCATGGGGGTGGGCCGGGGGATTCGTCGAAGGAGTCTTGATTTTCTTTCCCCGGGCTTCTTTGGTTCCTTGTCTTGCTGTTGACTGATGCATGCAAGGGAGATGTGTATTATATTTGACTATGGTTTTTTTGATCCCTTGGTGGCTTCTGTTTGCGATTTGATTTGGGATTGGATGGGTTGGTTGGTTTGGTTAGGTAGGGTCTACTAAAACTTGGGTGTCTGGGTGAATTGGGTCTGGTTGGCTGGTTAGTTAAATGGATGGATGGATGGGTGGTTTTAGGTTGTTCTGGCGTTTTCGATTGTATCCTATTATAGTCCTTTATGGCTGCATGGCTTGGCTTCAAACAATGCCTTCTGGTGTTTTCCTACCTACCTGTATGTAGTAAGGTAGTAGATATCTATCTATCTGGCTTCAATCTCTAAATCCATCAATCAAAGATCAAGTATTTAACTCCTTCCTCAGTGAGAATCATATTCTATAATGGATACGGTCTATCTACCTATCTAGGTATGTATCTACCCAATGAATATAATAACAGATAGATAGAATAGTCTACACGCATGATCCATCTACACCGAAGAGACAGACCATCGTGACTTGCGTTTCCTGATCAATAAAGTATCCTCTCTACTACCTACCCCCATAGGTAGTGAATTAAGTAGATACTACGTATACGTATACTGGGGAAAGTCATACCTTATTAGCTAGGATCTATCTATCTTATCATGTCCATACTTTGACCACCGATCTGGAGGGATCTCTGGTGTATTGGGTGGGGAAAACTGTCTATACTTCAGTGATTCGAATGGTGATTGTGCTGGATTTGTTGATCATAATGTAATATGATATATTATAATACAATATGGTAGTAGGTAGTGTGGACAATCCTTCCTGTAAGTATGTATGTACGCATGATGTATGTATGTAACAATGCACACACGCAAGTAAAAGAGAAGAAAAGTAAGAGGTATATAGTCTGCCCTGTCTCTGAGTTCCAGTCTCAGACAGCACAACATGAATAGACAGAAACAAACATGCAATACTGGTATAAGTAGCCAGTCTGTATCAAACAGTTTCAAAAGAAGAGTGAGGAGTATAAAACGTAGAAGTAGAAGAAAAAAACGCCAGTCATAACCTAACCTAACCTAACCGTCCCATCCCAATCCAGCCCAATGCATGTGCCAATCTGTCGAACCGGTCGACTTTTTGTGGCTCTCGATTATTAATATATGCCGTAGTCGAATGTAGAAATGAAATGAAAAAAAAAAGGAAAACAGGCCAGCCGTTACAGACCCGATGGCTGGGCTCATCGATACCACCGGGCCAAAATGATTACATCGATCCAAGTCGTAGGAGCGCCTCCGCTGCAGCGCGTTCGCCGCCGTCGGGGAGGGAGAACCCCAGTTGTTGGATGGGGGCCTTGAGTGGAGCGGATTTGGCGAGGGAGGATGAAGCGGGGCCGCCGCCCCGCAGCTGGGAGGATGGAGGTCGCTTGCCGTTGATAAAGAGACCACCCCCATTCAATGACCGCGCACGGAGCGCGTCCGCTCCGATCTGCGCCCAGTCTTCTTCGTCTGTGACGTCCTCTTCGCGGTAGTCGTCGTCCGGGATGTCGTCGTCGGGCGCCTCTGATGAAGAGCAGTAATCCCGCCCATCTCCATCTAGGGACATCTTGTCGGCCTCGTGGTCGAGCATGTCCTCGAGCATGGGGTCCTCCGTGTACGAAAAGACCGCCGAATCGCCCGTCACGCTGGTCCCGTAGGGCTGCAGACTGTCCCGCTTGGTGGGAATCTGCATCCCGGGCCGAGGGTACGAGCTGAGAAAGCTGGATGGGGGCGACTCGTTCGCGTGGTGGTGATCGCGCGCGGGTTCGCCATGGCGGCGCGCATCCCAGCGACCCCAACCGACCTTCTCAAAGATCACCTCGCCCGTCGCGTCTTGACCGCCTCGTTCCAACGCGGCGACTACTAGCCGGCGCGCTTTGGCGGGCGGAATGCGCGAGAAGCCCGGGACGGAGGTTGTGAGGAATCCCGTGACGTGGCGGATCGCCAAGGGGCCATGCTGGAGCATGATCTCCGGCAGGTGGTGGCGAGCCAGCATCTCCGGGGTGATGGCACCGACGCTGTCCAGACCGGCAGCCGTCTCATGGGACAGCCCCTGGCCGTCGGGGTGGGCGGCGGCGTCTTCCAGGTCGATGTCGGAGTCAAGCTGGGAGGTGGGCAGCGGGGGGACCCGGGAAGGCTCGCATCCCGGCGCCGGTAGGCCTGAGGAGGAAGCGTGGGGGATATGGAGTTCGGAGGAGTGGGCAATAGGGTAGGGTGACCCGGACGGGTGGCATCGTGACTGCCGGACACGAAGCCAGACCGGGGCTTGGGGATGTCGACCGAGGCGGTCTTGCCGGCCAGGGCCATGGCAATGCTGGAGGTCGTCTGCGGAGCCATGATTGCGGATCGATGAAGGATGGAGGGACGATGTCAAGGGGTTGTGAAATCAAGTAGATTGGGTCTTGAAACTCAGGTGGCTAATTACCTAGATCGTTGATATGAGTCAGGGGACGAACCATGGAACGCATGACCGCAAGCCAACAAAGAACGGTGCGACCTGACAAAGAAACGGGGAAAAAACCCCCGGGGAGAACTGAATGGTTGAGACTTACTGCACCGGATTCCAAGGATGTTGAGGAGGAGCGGTTTGGACGGTAGACACAGCAACAAGACTGTGTCTCTATCAGGGAAGGGAAAGATGCGATGCGATGCGATGCGATGCGACGCGCTACTGAGCGACTAGTATGTGATAAGACGCGACCGGCGGGAGGGAGACAGTCAAAGGATCTTCAGGAACGAGTTGAGGAACTAGCAAGGAATAGACAACCAGGATGGACAATGGAGGGTGCAATCAACAGTATTTGATGATGGAGAGAAGGAGGAGGAAAGAAGTAAGAAGAGAAGAGAGAAGGAGGAAAGGCCAAATGGAAGGAGGGGAAGGGGGAAATGGAAGTAAGGAGGGAATGATGGCAGGTGATAATAATAGTATAGTATAGAGTAGAGTAAATCCCCCTTTAGGAGGGATTAGGGATGATTAGGGGAATGGTTGATTCAATGGAATGACGGTATGGACCATACAGGTATGTATACAATTTAGAGTACTTTAATAGACCTGGATAAGAATCATTCAGCAGGGATCCTTCCTCTTATCTTCTTTCTCCCTATACTCCATCATCTACTCCGTACACTATAATATCCGTCATAGTTATCATGACCCAGTGTATCCAAACTTCTGTAGTTACAAGACCCATACGGGTATCGCGTGGTCCGCTTCATTGGCCCACAGTGGTCGGGCCCGCCCTGGACAGCCCCGGGAGGTACCGGAGCCACCGATCAATTTGTGAGGGATTACCATACCATACCATCCCTTCCCTTTGATACCTACGTAACATGTCCACTATCTATGGGGATAGTACGAAGTATCATGGAGTACAATTCAGGCACGTGGGTGGTCATAGACAACCCTCACTGGCCGCCTCTCTTTCTCCTCACTTTCCAACCTCTCTGCCTTTCTTCCCTTCCTTGGATTCTGCCTAACTTTATTTCTCTTCTATCCAAGGATGATTGTGATCATTCGCTGCATATGTGGTCAACTCCACCTCTGATTTGTCCCTCGCCTCTTGTCATTGTATGCACTTTAATCGGGTTGCAGATGCTGAAGGGTACCTTCCAATCAAATCCATGGCTTTAGATACATGGAACAGACCGGGAAACCTGGCATCCGACAGACAGTTCTTGACCATCCGTTCTCGCACGGTCATCCAGGATCTACAAGTGGACATTCACCTAGACAGGAATGACTTCAGCCGAGGATTTGGCCGGGTCAGCGTGCCGTTTTCGTTTCCCCTCAGTCCGCATGGTCCTCGATGGTTCATTTCCGAAGGTTCTCAAGATAAGAAGACCCCCCGGTGGAGACCGTCCGAGTGCGGGGGTCGCGGTCAGGGCGCAATCCCAATAATGCGCTTGACAAATCCCGGTGTGCGGAATAATTTACTATCCCTACGTAGTAGGTACCTGGCTACCTGCGGACTGTCTGTATTGTACGGAGTATCCTGTGCCGTTCCTGATTCTCAGCCAAATGGCGTGCTTCCATTATCCTGGTTGGATTATCAGGTACGTCATCCATGATCTTCGAGTATCACGGATGGTGTATCCTTTTAATGGAAAGAACAGAAACAAGGCAGGCAACAAGGAAGACCAACCCCCCACTTATTGGTATATGGCTCATCCACGTAGCCGCGGTCAACTGTTTGCTTGGGTATCGGGCGAGGGGCATCGCCCGATACCCGGTGGGGCCAACCGTTCGATGAGCCGACACTTTCGCAGTCCTCGACTGTGCCAGTCGTTCGTTATACCCCAAAGCAGGTAGTAATTCCCTCACACTACCTCCAAATACTCATGGTAAGAAAACTTGCTAGCCTGTTTCTTGATTACTTGCGTAACGTTGGGCGTCCTAACTATGACTAAGGAGTAATCAATTACTGCGCCCTTTTATTATCCTGTTCTGTCCGTCGCGCCGACCAACCATGGTTCTTCGGTCTGACGGCTGACAGACACGATTCTATGTACTGGGACATAAGCCCTAACCAAACCTTGCCATGGTATTCATTTTCAGCAACAAAGCATGGCAACTGGAAAGACACTGCAGCAAACAAAACCCCAACCCCAATGCATAATGTCTTAAAATGAACAACCAGCATGCACCTACCATGCAACTAAACTGCAGGCACGCCCTTCCTTCTTCGGACAAAGCCCGCTCAATCACTAGGTCCTTTCCAGCCCCCGGGGACCGAGCTGGCCCTGATATTGTACTAGGCACTCTGCAACTACACGAGAACTCGAAACTCTGACATACATACTGAGGTGGAGTCATCCTCGTCATCTTTTCATATCTTGGTTGAAAGGTGGGTCTTGAACAAAACAAAGACGGACTATGTCGCTCCTGGTATGAGACTCGATGTTACATTCATTCGTTCTTTTGGCCTGCCCCTCTTCCGTCTCCGAGAGTGGGCTGGAGATAAGGATTCGTGCGGTATTAACTAGGTAACTACTAACAGTGTAGCACGGGCCACTCGCACACAAGGCTGAATGGAGTATACGACCCCATCTATGTAATGATATGGCCGTCATCCACGATCACATCGGCTGTTATTGCACATTATCAATCATCTACTTCTAGCCAGTGCCAACCCTCGGATTACATTGCTCGAAGCCAGATGTTGCTTATTAAAAGTTATCTCACTTGAGTTATAACTCTGTTCAATGCAAACCAGGAGAAGCAGGTAAGAACCCGACGCGAACAAGATATTCAGCACTCTTCGCTACAGCGCGTTTCAATCGCAAGGGAGTGCAGACACGCTTCTCTAGGGAAAAGTTCGCTGTCCGCCTATCGTTCTGGAATCCCTCAATCATGTGCGCCAGAGGCCACAGCGGGTGTGTCTCCTTTCCTGCGTCCATGTCGGCTCGGACAAGAGCTAGCCACTCGGCTGTAGCCTTCCCATGAAGCTTATAACCGAGACCTTCGAGAATGGACCATATCTCTTTCCACGTTATTCCGTCTACGGGAGACTCATCGGTGACGTGTGTATCTACGCTATTACCTAGCGCTGCGTCGATAATCGCCGTCGCAGTGGTTGCGACGTCGGAGATGAATAGCCATCCGTCTGCCTCAGAGGTGTTGTACGCCCCTATTTTGATACACGTCGCTACCAGTCGCCAGATATAGTTGCTGGTGTTGGAGACGCCCTCGTCGGGCGTGCCGATGACCCAGCTGGGGTTCAGCACAGCGAGACGACCGGCCTCGGATGGGCTACGCTGCGCCGCACGCCGGACGACGGCTTCGGCGACGAGCTTCGTTTGGCTGTACGGGATGGCGTCGGCGACTGAGAGCTCCTTCACCACGTCAGGCTCTTCGAGAGAGCTCCATGGTCGACCACCGGTTATATACAGGAATCTCATGTAGGGTAGTCTGTTGGCGAGAAGCAGCAACTCTACGGTCGAGCCAACATTGGCTGCCTCTAGGACTTCATAGCTTTTTGTCCAGTGCACTGTGGCGCCAGCGTGGATGATGATATTGGCCGCTTGGCCTCCAGTCAACGAATCCCAGCGCGTTGGGTCAAGCCCCAGATTCGGCTGGGATAGGTCGCCCCGCCAGACATCAAGCTTCTCTGCATGGTGGTCTTTCCACCAGAGCGCTTTCACAGCCGCATCAACGGTGCGATATCTGGATGCCTCGTCGGTCTCGCCGCGCACGAGACTAATCACACGGCTGACGTGACGAAGTCCTAGGAGCTGGCGTAGGATTTGAGTGCCGATGAAACCGCTGGCGCCGGTCAAGAACACGCTGAAGGTCTGATTGTCTTTGTCAATTGGCGAGTTATTGCTCAGGATGCGATCAAGGTTTGAAGACTTGTGCCGGGCAGCCATAACTCTCGCGTCATGTCGGTGGATCTCGGCCATGAGGTCGATTGAAGCTGATGTCGTAGTTGAACCATGCCCAGCAAGACAGTTCTTAGCGACAGAAGCCTGGCAGTCTACTAGATATTGAGCGAGACTCCTGATGCTCGTTACACCGCTCATTAGAAGCCGCATGTGGACATGAACATGGAAATTCTGTGAGATAAAAGAAGTGAGCTCCATCATGTCTACCGAGTCGAGACCTGCGGACTGTAACGGCACGTTGTTTAACCCAGTGGTTCCCTCGTCCTTTCCAGAAGAGACATTTCGCCGACTCCACGAGGAACGCAAGGAATGCACTTTCCGGGCGAGTGTATACGCCGGCTGTTCAGTCTCCAGTATTGGCCCGTCTATGGGAGACTCTTCCTCAAGACACTGCTCGGACGCGTCCAACAATCGCTCTCCCTCGGTCAATAGCACCGCCCGGCCGATTTCACGCAGTCGTCGCCGGTCTGTCTCTCCCGTGGCAGTGAGCGGCAGTTCCAACACGGAAAGAAAAATCGTCGGCACCATGTAGCTCGGTAGGTTCTGTGCGAGTTTGTTCTTGATGGTGGCCGCCATGGGGTATTTCATGGGTTTGACGCCAGGCTCACTTTTGGTCGTCTGCATGGCAGTCGTGCGTTCTTGAATAAAGGCCATTAGCACCAGTCTGGGATTCGTCCCGGCCTCGAGCACAATAACTTCAACCACGACCTGGATCGCTTCTGGTGGCAAGCACTTCAAAATATGATGTTCAACCTCTTCGAGCTCAATGCGCTGTCCTCTGATTTTGGTTTGACTATCATTGCGGCCCACAAACGACAGACTCCCGTCTTCGTTGTACCGTGCCAGATCAGCCGTCTTGTAAAGTCGACCATGACGCCCTGGTTGACCAATTGAACCTTCCAGAAGCCATTTGGGGTCTTCTATGAATGCCTTAACGGTCTTTTTTGGGCCATTCATATACCCCTTTCCAACGAGCGGTCCCTCTAGGAGCAGTTCGCCGGTGCATCCGGGAGGCATTAGGACGTTGTGGTCCTCTGGATCGACAATCCATGTTACGAGCCCCACGCCCTTACCTATCCGCATAGCCTCTTCAGAGTTGGTACTTGAAGAGTTGATAGTGCTAATTGGGGTGCATTCAGCGGGTCCATATGTGTTGATGAAATGGACGTTGTGTGACCTCCATCGCTCGGCATCTCTGGCTGTGACCGGCTCGCCTAGTAAAATCAACGTGTCCAGACCCTGCAATGCTCCTGGGTCGACCAGACGTGCCACCGTTGGAGTGAGATTCGCCATCGTGGGCCGCATGACCGAAATGACCTCGGTAAGGTCATTCTTGCGTGTCTCTTCAGACGGAATGCACAGGCATCCTCCTGCAACAAGCGTAGCCATCACGTTGTGTACTGCGGCGTCAAAAGCATAAGACGCAAAATCCAAAATTCTAGACTCCCTCGTAAACCTGAGAAGCCCGAGCTGGTGGTCAACAGCAGAGCAGAAGCTTGCGTGCGTCACCAGCACGCCTTTGGGGGTCCCGCTACTACCGGAAGTGAAGACTGCGTACATTATCTTCGACGATGGCGGCGACAGTGCCATGGAACGCATAGAATGTCTCGGGACACGGTCCTGGACATGGCTTGGAGACTGCAAGAGGTCTGGGCCAATTTGGACAACAATCTCAGACAACCTTCGGCTCAAGCTCACATTAGCGTGGGAGGATAGAAGCACCCGAGAGCCTACTTGGTGGAGTATCGATCGTAGTCGGGGCTCAGGAAGGGACGGATCGAGCAGCACAAAGCCTGCACCGAACTTCAGGACACCAAGAATAGCCACGACGGCCCATGCGGACTTCTCAAAGCATAGGGGTATCAGCATGTCTGGTCCCAGTAGATGTGGGCCGACCCCGGATTCTACAAGCTGTGCCACCACTAGCTCCGTGGCGAGCCTGTCTAGCTCGCTATAGGTAAAATCTCCGTCCCAGGCAGATATTGCCGATGCATTTGGCTGACTCTGTATCCTCTCTTCAATCGTCTGGTGGATGTACTGATTTACCGGCGATGGGACAGAGCGATTCCAGTTCCAGACTCGCTCGAGGTTCTGGGGCGAAACGTGCTTGATCCCTCCTATGGCCTGCTCAGAGCCTGCATTGTCGAGCTGCGTCATTACAAAGTCTAGCTCTTCTAACAACACTTGCACAAACCATGGCTTGATCACCCTCGAGTCAAATCTAGCAATGACCGTATTTGCGCTGAGTTGCACTTCAAGCGACAGTGCGTATGTGTTGACCCATTCTGGCGAACAGCTCTCCAACCACTTTCCGAGTGTCCCGTCTGCTCGAGTCATCTCTTGTGGCTGGATGACGAGGAGCGTTTGGAACGCGCATGCCTGCTTAGCTCCTAGGCAGGTCTTAGCGATCCGATGCAAACCGAATTGCTCAAAGGGAATCATCTCCGTGGCTTGCTGCTGCATGACTGCCAGATAGTGTGAGACCTTCTGGGACCGCGGGATCTTGACGTATAGCGGAAATGTTGCGATAGTCGGGCCTACCACTTTGTCAATGCCGCGGACAGGCACACTTCGTCCTGACGCAGTGATGCCAAACACCACATCGTCTGAGTTTGTGACGCGACTGACGAGCAAAGACCAGGCGGCACGGACAAGCATGGCGGGCGTAACGTCTCGCGACCGTGATTCGAGGCATTTTATCGGGTGAGCCACTTCGCTGTCTGCTACTGGCCGCCGTACGGACGATGGAAGAGTCGGAAACGAGGCGCAATCACACCCCTCAAGGGTGTTGCGCCAGTACTCAGCCATTTTTTCACCATTCTGCTTCCCAATGTACTCGATAAAAACATTGAATTCGTGCTCCGCTGACTTGATCGAGATGCCACGATACGCTTGATTGACCATGTCGAGCGTGAGTGGTAAGGACCAGCCGTCGTACAGCGCGTGATGCAGTGTCCACACAAACCATCGACGTGCACTTGAAGGATCAGTGATGAGTGCATACCGCGCAAGTGGCTTCCCAAGCTCCATTGGCAGTTTCCTGTCTTCTTTCAGGTATTCGTCTAAGCCCGTTGTATGGATCCACTGTATTTTCTGATTCGATACTACCTGTAAGATTCCCCTTTCGCGGGTCTGCACGATTCTTGTGCGCATAATAGCTACATTTCGCACTAGGGTCTCCCATGCCCGGCAGAATTTGCTGGTTGGGATCGAGGGACGAATTTCTAGAGTGCGCTGGTGTACGTATTCCCCAGCATCCTTCAACAACAGAGAAAAGAGACCTTCCTGCAAGGGTGTGCAAGGGTATGCATCGACTATGGAAGCGCGATCTATTTGGTACCTATTGGCGGTCTCTTCAACTAGCTTGGCTGGATTGAATTTATTACCGAGGAGAGTGAACGGTCGAATCACTTTTGGTGCCTCGTCCACTGACCGATACTCTTGGCTGAATAGACCACCAAGTGTAGGGTTTTGAAAGATGTCTGAAACAGTCATTTCGATGCCGGCCTTGCGAGCCTCGGAGATGAATCGCATCGCTGCAATGGAGTCGCCCCCTAGTCGGAAGAAACTATCGTCGAGGCCTATAAGTGCTGGATCTAGGGCAAGAGCGCGACCTAGTATCGTCTGAAGCTCTTTCGCAAACGGTGGCAGAGGCGACGGTTCTGAGCTGTGTCGTTGCAGCTGCCTGTATTGCTGGAAGCATGACGTGCCCAGGTCGCGTAGCTTCCTGCGATCTAGTTTTCCTGCCACTGTCATTGGGAGCTCTGGTACAGCGAAAGCAACTGCTGGCATCATGTAGCATGGTAGATGCGTGACCAGAACCTTCTCAACACTGACTGACAGATGGAGCACTTCGATTGCACCTTTCAGCGGCTTGGTGTCGACTGGATCGCTGTTCATTTGGACGAAGGCTGCTAATACATGGGTGGACGTGTCCCCTTCAAAGTCGATAGTGTCTGCCACGACACGAAAGACCTCCGGCATATGCTCCATTAACCAGAATTCAATTTCCCCGAGCTCGACTCGCTGTCCGTGGATCTTGACTTGGGCGTCTTTGCGTCCGACATACGTTAAGCTTCCGTCGTCGTTGTATTTGACAAGATCTCCGGTCTTGTACAGACGTCGTTCTGACCAGTCTTGCTTATCCGATGCTTCTCTCTGTAGCCACACTGGTTTTCGAATGAACGTACTAGCTGTCTTCTCGTCATCACCCAAATAGCCTTTACCAACAAGTGGACCCTCGAGAAGCAGCTCGCCGGTATGCCCGAGCGGAAGTAATCGATCGTGATCGTCCGGGTCAACGACCCATGTTACTTGGCCGGCGCCCTTACCTATTCGGGTGGCTTCTTGTGGACTTGAAGCGTCGCAGTTAAAGAGGCTGAATGGTGTGCATTCGGATGGCCCGTACAAATTGATAACCTGTACTTTCCCCCACCAACGAATAACATCCCCGATGCTTAGAGCTTCAACACCAAACTTGAGAGTCTGCAAAGTGGGTACCTCATCGGGATCTAGCAGTCTCGCGACCGAAGGCGTGAGAAAGACAACGTTGGCGCGCAAAGACGTGATGCTTTGAGCGAGCCGGTTAGTGCGGTCTTGCTCTGTTGGCACACATAGACAACCACCTGCCACGAGAGTGTCAAAAGCATCGATAATTGATAGATCAAAGGAGTATGACGCAAAGTCATAGACACTTGACTCTGGTGTAGATCCGAGATGCCTCATCTGATGATAAAGAGCGGATGCGAAGTTGCTGTGGGTAATCATTACCCCTTTGGGTGTACCTGTACTGCCAGAGGTAAAGGTCACATACATGACTGACATAGGGTCGACGGAAGTCGGGCGCCGGTCTGCTTTGACATCTAGTTCTGTGAAAAACTGACTGCTGATAAATATCACGTCTGGCGCCAACCTCGCACCGAGAGCCCGGTTTGAAGCGGAGGTCAGGATCCGTGTGGCTTTGACTTGTCGAATGATAGCCTGGAGACGCTGCTCTGGGAGAGAGGCGTCGAGCATCACGAAACCTCTTCCGGCTTTGAGCACACCCAGCATGGCAACGGTGGCCCACATTGACTTTTCGAAGCATATGGGGATCAACGTTCCGGGGCGGAGTCCAATTTCGATGAGTTGGGTTGCTAACTTTGTCGCGAGCTGATCGAGTTCACCGTATAGGAGGTCACCATCCCAGGCACATATAGCCAAATAGTTCGGCTGCTTTTGCGCCGTTTCTTGAAACATATCATAGGCACATCGCTCAATTCGCTCTGGATAGGTCTTGTTCCATGACAGGATCGTCTGAAAGTCTTGCTGCGAGATCGATCCATCTCCTCCTAAATCAGCATTGACACCGTTCTGTTGGTTCGAAGCTCCTCCCATGATTGCCGAAAGTTAAGTCGCAGCTGTAATTTGTTTGAGATAATTTCTCATGTGGGTAGATGGAATGCCTGACGGAAGATGCAAGGACAAAATTCCCCCGGCATTGATGCTTGATGATCCCGTCTGCTCTTTCTCAGATGCCTCAGGTTGACAAATGATCCCAATGGAAGATTGCATGCGCATTCCATTATGCGGCATGATGATTGTCAGTGGCTTGAAAGTCAAATGCGCAGAATCATCACATGATTGCTGGTCTGGGCTACCATCGATGTCATTGCTCGCTCCTTCCAAATAAATGTCTCCAAGTAAGTCTCTACGAGTTATCTAAAGGGATGGTTACACTGCACTTGGTTTCTGTAGGCCTAGTTTTACAGTAACAAAGAACGGGGAATAATTGAATATGGTAACTGCAAATTGAGCAACAGGTCTCTATGCAGATAAGACTCTTCACGGATTCCATATTTCATCCCGAGGGGGGCTGATTATTCTGTACTAGAGGGAGCCCAGTCAATACAGACCACAACAATCTCATTTCCATCTATAGCCATTTGTTCAACAACCTATCCGATGCCTGACTGGAATGAACTCCGCAGTGTCATTCCCAACGGCGAGGTCCTGGTCCCAGGCCAAGATGGGTACACAGCCAGCGTGGAAAGATGGAGTATCGCAGCTGAAATCAACCCAGTCTGTCTACCTCAACTCCGGACACCCTATCCCTGTTGACAGTCGAGACTGTATTTCACTAATACTCTTACAGGCCGTGGTTGTGAAGCCTACCTGTGCCCTTGAGGTATCTTCAGCTATACGATATGCCGTGTCCCAATAGGGGAAGAAGGGATGTAGTCAGGACAGGACTTTGGAGAGACGAAAAACATTGAATGTCGATAACTTCTTCATGCTTCATCTAGATGTATGTATGTGTGCGCGTCACTTATCCATCCTTACCCCGTGCTTAAACTCTATCCCGGACCTTGATGACCTATGATTCTGCAGAAGAAGTAATGGGGCCACACTAAGCTATGCATCGAGCAAGGCAGTATCATGGCATTGTAGCCACAATCACTGAAGAACCGAAGAGTAATGAAACCCTCTCTATTTCGGCATTCCAATAGTCTTAAGTAATTCTCTGGAATCTATCATATGCTAAGGATGATCTGATCCTGCTAGGCAGATCCCACTGTACTCGTGTAGCTGAGCGGTGTTGTAACATACCTTGAGAGTCTAGGATTATAGTGAAGGTATTCCCAGAGTCCCAGGCTTCATTACCTAGCTCTCCTATCACAGAGACGCGATAAGCATCCTTTGACCAGAGAATTGACTTCGAAATCCGAGTTAGTCAGAAGCTTTATGACCAAGGTATGACTCGTCCGGGCACAAGACCAGCAGGGAACACCTGGTCTCATAAAGAGCATACCAGACCTTGATGTTCCTCCTCCAGACTCTTCATCATAAATGAACTAAATACCACTTCTATCGAACCCCAATCACTTTGGAATCATCTACTGAGAATACTGCAACAGTTTTATCTACCCACCAAAGAGGACTTACTTTCCACCATAAACCAACCGACGATGTCTACCAACAGGACCTCCGCCAACCCCCATGTCGCCATCACTATTGCCTCACGCCCAGGCGATATCGACGCAGTCCCAAGGCTACTGAAAGAAATAGAACAAGACTTCAAGACCCTGAATGCTTGCAGCGATGAACCCCGCAAAGACCTCCTAGTCAAGTGTCGAGCTCTGGTTCAAGCGGTAGAGACACCCCGGGAGACCATGGTGGACCATCTTTGGGGACAGGTAATGGCTACTACTATCTACCTCTTATACATATTGGTCAAAAATTTAATGATATGAACTCTGGCAGCTTGGAGTAATCTCAGCGGTAGCGTTCGGCGTGGACTGCGGACTATGGGTGTTGATGGCTCAGAATGGCGATATTCCCCAGAAGGTGACTGATTTGGCTGGGGGCCTTGGGGTTGATCCGGAGCTTCTTCGTTAGTACTGGATTGAGGTTTGTCTACGACGGCTCTGACTGATGGGTTTCAAGGTCGTATCATGCGTCATATAAGTGCTATGGGGCTTCTTGTTGAGGTCGGTGAGGATAAGTATGAGCCTACGAATTATACCAAATCCCTGAGATTCCCGCAGATTGGGAATGGGTATCTTGGTCTGTAAGTGAATTTTTATCCTTTTTTATTCTTGTTCTTTATTTTTTACCGTTTTCTTTCTCTATTGACTACGACCAAAGCTGATATCATTACAACTAGTGCATCCTGCACCGGCGGAGCCACCTTGAATTTCCACGAATTCTCCCGTCAAAGAGGATGGAAAAACCCCACTAACCAGCGCGACACAGCTTTAATGTCAGCCTACCGCACCAATAAAGACACCTTCACCTGGGTGCACGATCAGGGTTACGGACAACACCTGATAGACTACCTCGGCGGCTACAATCTGGGCCGTACCCGGTGGATGGACCCGTCCTTTTACCGCGTGCACGAAAGGCTCATCGAAGGCGCCGATACAGGCCAGGACGCGGTATTTTTTGTAGATATTGGAGGGAATGTGGGCCATGACCTGGAGAGACTCCACTGGAGCTATCCCTATGCTCCGGGGAAGTTGATCCTTCAGGACTTGCCGATGATGATTCGCCAGATCAAGCACTTGGATCCGGCGATTGTTCGGATGGAGTATGATTTTCGTGATGAACAGCCTGTTAAAGGTGCCTCCCTTTCTCCTCATCTCTCCTTGTTCTTCTTTCTCCAACTTGAACTAACCTGCCCAGGTGCACGAACCTACTACATCCACTCAACCCTACACAACTGGCCCGACCACGTCTGTGACATCATCCTAGCAAATGTCAAAGCGGCCATGAAGCCCGGCTACAGCAGGCTCCTGATAAATGAGATTGTCGTGCCCACGACCAACGCACACTGGGAGACTACGGGGCTGGACATGATCATGTTAACGCTCTTCTCGAGTATGCAGCGGACTAGCGCAATGTGGTACAACCTGATTGAGAAGCGGGCGGGTTTGAATATCCGGAAGATATGGAGCAAAGGGAAGGGAGTCGAGAGTGTTATTGAGTGTGAGGCTCCTTTGGGGGAGTATTGATTTTGTTTACGGTGTAGTCTGACACTTTGGATGGAGGGGTGTTTTATTTTTTTTGTAGTGAGCGTACTCTTTATAGTGGTCTAGGAAATTGATAGTAAGTAGCCACAGCAGGTGTACTCTCATGTATAAATGGTAAAGTGTAGATAGCCTGAACATGGAAACCTGTAGCTTCCACAAACGCAATTACTTCCACTATCTTGCTGAGCATGGAGTCGCAAATAACAACCTACAACTGCCACCTCTATACGTACGCACATCCCTTGTATATCTAGCCTAACGCCTGACTTCCTCGCACAGACCCTAGATATACATCTTCTTCCCCTGTTGGATCTCCCTTGCATAAGTAACTCCTCGCAGAGATTGGCATCATGTTATATTCACCGGCAATGATCCTGCACGCTCATTCCATCTCCCTTCGCCCTATCTATGCCCTATCATCCATGATCATCCACGTTGGATGGGATTCTTGCTTAGCGCAGATGGATATGCAGATTGATAGGTATCTTTACTTGGGAGCTGATTATGCTATCGAGGAAATTTAGCAATGACGTGTAATTCCTTGGTATCTTTATTTGGTTTTATGAAGACTATAATTTCGATAAACTCCGCACTGCTCATGGGTCTCTATAGGTTACCGTCGTGCAGTAACTAATTCATGGTTAAAATGTATATGAAGCCATACTTTATATGATTCGTTGAATGGTAGCTAGATATATCAACTCGGTGGGTAGATGTGCAAACAGCGTCTGTAGATACCCTGCCATGATTTGGAAGCCGACAGACATGCATGATATGGTCGATTGTTAGAAGCCTATCAATAGAGATGATAATACGGATAGTGCAGGTTGAACATGAAATCGAGTACATTCCTCAAATAGATAAATAATAGTATCCAGTCCCGGTGTCCGTCCTCATCTCACTCTAGATCCATTCCACTTCACCTTCGTCTCAGTCGAAGGGAGTGTGGTCAGTGGACTTCTTCCTTCCTCTCGCTTTCTCCTGTACGTTAACAAAGAGATAAAGCATAAAGCGCCTATGCAGCAAAGCAGTGGGCAACAAAGCAAGGAAGACAAAGATAAGAAGAGATGAAATGCACTTTTTTGTTTTCCTTTTTTTTCTTAATCATTAAGAGAGAAAAAAAAATAATTTCCTTTTCAATTCAGGTTCGGTTTTCAGTTTCCACATCGCATAATGCTGAGAGAGCAAAGTTAAAAAGAAAAAACTTTCAAAAACCGAATCTATTCGTCATCCTCCTCCTCCTCCTCGTCGACGGTGGTCTTGGCGATCCGGTCCAGATCCCGCTGGCCACTCTGCGAGATGCGGCGGCCGCCCTTGTCCTCGTCCTGCTCGAGGACGCCGATCTTCTCCAGAGACTGCATCACCTTACGGTCGACGGACCCGGAGGCGTCGACGTGGTGGGCCGGGCGGGCACCACGGTTCTTGGTGGAGCCGTGGACCTTGCGCAGACGGCCAACACCGACGGTCTTGCGCACGTAGATGTGACGGGCGACGGCGGCGGCACGGACGTAGTACCTTGAATCTTGGTCAGTTGCTGCTGCATTCATGGGATGTGATGTTGATCGAGGTGGCGGTCGTACCAGTCAGGGTCCTGGGGAGGGAGCTCGTTGGAGGCGGAGGTCTTGACGGTATCGACCCAGCCTAGTATTCGTTAGTACATATATTCCCTTGCTCGATTGTTGCAGGGATAAAGGATAACATACCGGGGATGGGGAGCTTGCCCTGACGCTTCAGGAACGCCGAGTAGGCAGCAATGAACTTCTGCGCCTGCAGTGGAACAATAATGTTAGCGTTTTGATGTCCCATATCAGATTTTGACCTGGACATGGACACCCGGATCCCCAATTCCCAGCAAGTCGATGGTCGGCAGATTTGGCAGATTCGATATTCGTATGGCGCTGGTCTCAACCGATTCAATCGGTCATCCAGTGCACGGCGCAGCATCGATGCAATGCACCGTGATCGTAGAGTCCATGTTCTCAAGTCCTGGTCGAGTCGCAAATCGTGTAGCGTAGCATCCACACGCAAAAACCGTAGATAGTCGCGTCATCCATGGCAATATTGCAAGAGCATCCAGTCAAATTTCGACACTCCATATCGATGGATGACTACCCGTAAGGTTCCTCCGAAAGGAAGGTCTCGGAGTGAGCGAGATCAATCCTCTCTCCATCCTTCAATCGTCCCAACTTCCAATGTCGTTTCCTCGCGCAAAAAAAGACCCGAGCGTCACAGCGTAGATGTACCGAATATCGAGTGGGAAAAGAATCTGCCAAATCTGTCCAAGCCGCCTGTCTGCCCGTTTCGTCCAAGAGAAAGAAGATCCTGCCTGTCCAAGTCCAGTTCCGGGGGAGGTGTAAAAAGCAAGCAAGCAACTTACGTCCACATCGCGAACGGAGACACCACCCATTTTTGCGACTTGAGACCTCGAAGGTGAACGGAGGGGGCGAGTTGAGGGAGGGAGGGAGGCGGGAGGTGGGATGGGTGTCGTTGTCGTCGTTGAAGTCGGTCGGGGAGTCGGACGGAGGCGGCCTCGAAATTCGCACACAACAGAATAATCGATGGACTTTCTCGGTTGTGTGTCGGCTGCGCGCTAGGCCGGAATGGGTCTAGCTGTACCCTAACCTGTTTTCTCTTTTTGTGGTTTAGCGTATATACCTGAGGCATACATTACACACGCTAGTCTATATCGAGTTAGTCGATTTGGTCACTGCTTCAGATACTACGGAGTATGTCTAGTAGACCTCCAGCTCATGAATGGTTCTTACTAAAGTACAGTACTCAGTATTAGAGAAATTCATATTGGTAAGGATATCATGTAATTCTATCATACAAACAATACAGCTCGTGTTTCGCTCTACCGCTTCGCATCCAGTACGCGCTCATCAAAACAAAAGGGATATCATCAAGCAAACTACAAGGTCGGGGCGCGCTTCAGCCCAACACAATACCGCACAAACAGCGTGTCCATAAAATGTCCGTGGCGAATGCCCGGTGGTCGCCGTCGCTCAAACTCGTCAATCGCCTCCTGCACACCATAACCGCACCGCTCGATCAGGTACGACACGAGCAAGAATCCCGTCCGGTTGAACCCGTAGTGGCAGTGGACGCCCACCACCGGGCGCTCACGGTCCCCGGACTTTTCCATCTGCTCGGTGATTTCACCCTGGAGTCGATCTACCAGAGCGATGAAATCCCGCGTCTCGTCGGGTGTCGGAGGGATCTTGGAGACGGTGGGGTGCTTGTGGTAGTGGATGCCGCCTCGTTCCAGCGAGGCCGGGTTGTACACCGGGTTCTCGTAACTGATGTCAATCACCGCGTAGATCTGGTCGCGGTACTTCTGAGCAAACAGTTGCGGATTATGCTCCTCGTCCACCTCCCGCAGCATCTTGAGAGCGACAAAAGTGTCGGCGATCCGCTCCGAGACAGGGGGGACCTTCTGCCACTTGACCAGGTTTTTCACATCCCACTTGCCAGAAGTGTTGAGATGCTGCAGCTGCCATCCCAGGCTGAGACGGTGGTCAACGTGTTTTCGGAGGAAGTCTTGGATGATCCCTGACAGAGTGCGATACGTCGCACGATCGTAGATAAGCGCGTGAGAGGCCGGTGCAGGGAGAACGACGGTCTTGACACAGCGTTTGGTCCGGGCTGGCTTCGTCTCGGCCTGATGATCAGCATCCTTTTCCACACAGGATGCTGGAACATCGCCAGAGTCAGGCTTTTGGTCGTGGATTTGAGACGCATCAGGAGCGCGGTGGGTGATGTCCTGGTCTTGGGACTTCGTATCTCCAAAAAAGTTGAGGATTTTCCGGAGCTCCCCAGGTTTCGTAACGGCGTCTGATTCTCCGGCCACAAGAAGCACAGGCAGAGTCACACCAGCCCAGATATCGCGTCCCGGGATACCGCCGGTCGGCTTACCACTGCTGTCGTATTCCGGAAGGGTCCCCCAAGCCATCCGTCTCCAGACCGCGGTTTTGCTCTGCTTATTGTACCGCACTTGGAGATGCCGGGTGTCGGGGTCGGCACCGGCGCCAACAAGCCTGTTGACGCTGGCACTATGCAAGCCGCCTCTTCGATCCCAGCAACGCCAGATATCAAAGATAGGCCCTGGGATTTGGAGGAGGCGGCGGAAGCTCGTGACTTCCTTGGGGCTCGGAGGAGATGCGCGAGGGCATACGGCGATCAGTCCCAGAATGTGTTGTTTCAGGTCCCCGCCTAATGACGAGGCGGAGGAGGCCAAAAGCGCGGACAACGAGCAGCCGAGGCTATGAGCGATCAGGATCACGCCTTGCCCGGCCTCTTTATCACGGTGCTGATCAATGGAGGTGGCCAGTAGCTCCGCCATTGCATCGACCGTGTACGCATCCCACGAAGTCGGGGCGAAGTCCGACAGGCCACAACCGGGGAGGTCAATCCCAAAGCATGGCCCGACATTTGACAAGGTGGTAAGGAGATGATTGAACTGCGCCAAAGAGCCCCCGAGCCCGTGGACGAAAACCAACAACGGGATCGGGGAGGGTTTGGTTGGCAATTTGTCCATCTGCGGGTGGGGACGGTAGAATGTCCGGACAGACGGATAGGTAGCAACAGAGGTCGAATAGGAGAGATACGAAGAGTGTTTCTTCAGTAAGCCGGGGTCTGTATCGTGTGCTGATTGGGGTCAGTCAGTCCGGCCGATAACAAGGATGGGAAGGAGTCCCGACTCACCTTCTTCCGACTTCTCTTGATGGTGCGGCGGGGCTTCTTTTTCAGGGACCGTGCTATCTGTGCCAGGGCGCAGAGAGGTCTTGCTATCGAATTCTTCTTCATCGGAAGAAGTTATTGTCTCTTCCGCAGAAGCCTTGGAGTGGTTCCTCCGCAACCCGCGACGAAGCCGACTTCTTTCATGAGACGGCCTGCCGAGTGTCCGCCACGTCAACGAAGAAAAAAGCCCACACCCGGCCATGACGAAGCAGAATGTGGTCAGAAACACTACTTTGGTCCAATTCACGGTTCCATCCTGACCAGCAGAGTAAAAATAACGAGTAAAGGAGCTCCAATCACTGGGCGAGGAGAGAACAGCGGAGATCGGGTTCCAGGATCGTAAGATAGCACCGATATCTAAAGTTGGGCGAGATATGGCCGAGTTTAAAGGAGCACCAGAGGAGCCCATCGTAATAAGGACGGACGTGACAATAGTGTCCACGTCTATAAATAAAGCAGCGGCGAGATCTCCTTGGTGGAGAATAGATTTGCGCCCCTACTGGGTATCCAAGCCTAACGGCCAGCGTCAGGAGACCCTGTGGTACACACGGCAGCTAGAAACGATGAAAATCGGATCTGGAACAGGAGTCAAAAGCCCTCACGGGATAGAATGCCGAACGCTGTTTGGTGGGCGGATACAGCCTGACTCGATAGTGAGGCGGGAGGGCGGGTCGATCAGAGCGAAAGATATCCAAACCCCAGAGCATGAGCGTAAAACTGGAAAGCTGGAGGACCTTGGGTTGTTCCTCCTACCACGTCGGGTAGGTAGAGGTACCTTAGGTAGGTAGGCAGGCAATAGGTCACTAGCAATCGAAACCGAATGCGCGTACGTCTTCTGTAGGAACTGGGCCAATGAGAGAAGAGAATCCAACACGTTGGTCTCCCGACTAGTTCTCTGCGGCCCCGGAAGATCTTACAGCTCCACACTTCCAATTGCAGTCACGAGAGCGTGGCCAGAACTATTGATTCTGTGGGAACTTGATGTGAAGAATGCGCGCGACGAACAGGCTTCAGCGAGTCGGCCACATGGACTAACTAGACCGCTATGTGGGAGTCAGTCATGGACAAATCCGGTAGGTCTGATGCAAATCAGGGGTGGGAATCCACGAAGAATGTGTCCAACATTCCACCGGATACATACCGCGGAATGCCCAACAAATAGACCGTCTGTACTCTGTATCCCACGCTGTTGACAGGAGACGGCCGGAGTTGCCTATTTTATATGTATCCCGATGGCAGAATTTCACTGCGGAAAAAGCCGGATGACAATGTTGTGAAACCCGCGACGAAAATCCCGATCTCACCGGACCAATTGTTCGACGGGAATTGTGGGAGTCAAAAGACGAAGTTAGATATCAAGATTGAAACTATCTAAGCACGTATCTTGGAAGATCAATCCATCTGCAGCCGTGCAAATCGCAGGAAATCGCAGCGTGGAGAATGGAGAGAAGGAAAGAAGAAGGCGGCATGATTGACCCGCGTCGATGACTCATCCACCCATCATGTGACATCACACAAACTATGGGCATTGTTGACTCCATCTCCATTGTCCTCGACAGCAGTACCCTCCTTCGAAAAAAGAGGGGAGTATGAAGAATTATATTTTTATAAACCCAGTCTAAAGCCATTATCCATTTATTATCTCTGACAACAGTTTATGGAGACAGGTCGAGCCTGATAGAATCTACTACTTAGTAGTGGGCTACTACTGGTTGAAGTGGCTTTGTTAACACCCAATATGACCTTTCTAGATACATTGGATTAGACCTGTCAAGAGTCACGGAGTCTACAGATCTTTTCTAACTGTCGGGATATTTTACACACTAAAAGACAATTACGTGAGCATCGAGATTCCGCAGCCACCAAAAGGCGTTCGTATTCGGTAAAAACAACTCAGGAGCCCAGCAGTGGTATGCGGCTATGGTGCCCAAAGAGCCAGTGTCGGCCGCAAATTATATTGGCCGTCTTGTTTGCCCTCACGGTCAAGAATGTACTTCACCAAATATGGATGGCGAAGTGGCACCTGCAGCAGCTAGGGCGGCAGATGAGGTTACGAGAAACCAGAATCCTGCAGATGAGATGAATCAAATCCAATAGGAATTTAGCCTCATGCGGCATCCTATAGTGGCTTCGATCTGGACTCAATCTCCGAGAGACGTCTGATCTCAGACTTTAGCGAGTTTATGATGATAGTATACCATGCCCAGTACTGATATAAACTACAACAGTTCTCTGGTTCGTCAAATTGTCTCTCTCCAACATTCTCGTAGCCATCTGCAGCACCATGTGGGCAGCATTTCTCTTCTATGGAGCAATTGTCTCCGCCAAACCTGGTGCGTATGATTACTGCTACTGCAGTACCAATGCTAACATCGGACTGTCCAGTCCTCCCCCGAGATGGGATAGACACATGCACAACCTCCTCGACCAGCAGCCAATGGCTCCATACCTGTGACACGACGCTCTTCTGGCCCACCTCGACCAACTACTACTATGGCCCAACTGCCGGCCCCTCTGCGTCGGCCGTCCTCTGCAACGCCGAATGGGTCGAATACGACGGCCGTGCCAGCGGGCTCTCCTCGCTCGGCGCAACATCGACCTCCACGATCTACGAACCCTATCCGACCAGCACCGGAGCCTGCAATACCAAGGTCTGGGGCGAAGGGTGGCACGACACGCACACCGGCCCAGTGACCACCCTCTGCGACACTATCCCACGCGCCCTGGGTCCTCGCGAAACTCTCACGTCCTTCTGGCCCGGCACGGGCCCGTGCAGCACGTTCCAAATGACAGAAAGCACCACGAAACCCGTCTACCGCTCGCCCGACCCAGCCCCTTCCTGCAGTCTCAACACCCGAGACTGCATCGCCATCTGGTCCACCTATTCCTCTCTCTCTTCCGCCTACCGCAGCGCCGTGCCGACGCCCCCACCAGGCGACACAAACAGCCCGATCCGCCCGACTAGCTGTCCCTCAACCAGGCGAAACTACACCGAGAATGACCCCTGCACAAACTGCCACTACCTCCCCGGCGAAGCCACTCTCTTCTACTGGCCCGTTTCCACCGTCTCCGGCGACCTCTGCTCCCAAACGGGCACAACCATCCCAGCAACGCCCACCGGGACCGGCCCGAACACAGCCGTCATCAACGGCAACACCTTCGTCTCCCCGACAATCTACGTCTCCTTCACCAGCATCTACGCCCGCAGCAACATGCGCGCACACCCGGGCGGCTCCTGCGGCGGCGAGCACGAAAACGTCATCATCTCCGTCGAGCCGGACGCCGTCTCGTCCTACCGCGGCCACCGCAACGCCAAGTACCCGATAATCGGGACCGCCTTCCCCTTCAGCTACGACGAGTTCCAGCTGCACCAGGTGGGCAACTACTCCATGCCGCTCATCCCTTGGGACAAGTACGAGGGCGGAGGTCAGTGTCCCGTGGGCACGTCTTGCACGCTGGTTAGGGACGATTATCGGCCTCACATGGGCATCCCCAAGGGCGTCATGACCCAAATTGATGAGCGCTGGACCGCGTGCCATCGCTCTTGGTATATCCCGCCTGTTAGCATGGTGCCGTTGATTGGGGAGGGTAGCTGGAGTGGGAAGGCGGTGCCAACGGGGTCTGCGACTGGGAATGAGGATGTTGGTGTTGCAGCTGTGCCTGAGTCTGTGGGTGCGGCGCCTACGCCTAAGGAGACGGGAGCCGACTGGTAGTCTCTTGCTCTCCCTGTGTGTGTTCATGATAAATACGCTATGCGCAATGATAATGGTAGTAAAGCAAGATAAAACATCCAATCCTTTTTAGAAAAGATCCGTCATCGCCCCCGTCGACGCATCCCCCACCAACCGCGCATACTTAGCCAACACGCCGCGCGTAACATGCGGCACAGGCGGCTTCCACTCGCGCATCCGCTGCTGCAGCTCCTCATCCGACACATCCATAGAGATCGAGTTCGTCTCCGCATCAATAGTAATCATATCCCCATCACGCACCACCGCTAAGGGCCCACCCACCGCCGCCTCCGGCACAATATGCCCAACAATAAACCCATGGCTAGCCCCAGAGTACCGCCCGTCCGTGATAAGCGCCACATTCGTTAGCTTGGCCCCCATGAGCGCCGCGCTGGCCTTTAACTGCTCAGGCATGCCCGGCCCGCCCTTCGGCCCCTCATACCGCACAATAACCACCAGGTTCTCCCCGCGCGGAATCCGCCCCTGATCCAACGCCTCGTTCAGCCTCCACTCCTTATCGAAGACCCTCGCCCGCCCCGTAAACGACAGTCCCTCCTTGCCCGTGATCTTCGCCACCGCGCCCCCCGGCGCGAGGTTCCCCCGCAGGATCTGCAAGTGGCCCGTGGCTTTGATCGGCTGGTCCAGCGGCCGGATGATCACCTGGTCGGCCGGCAGCGACGGGAACGCCGCTACGTTCTGCGCCAGCGTCCGCCCCGTCACGGTCGGGATGTCCCCGTCCAGCAGCCCCGCTGCGACAAGCAGCTTCTGCACGGACGGAATGCCCCCGATGTCGTACAGATCCGCCATGTAGTATTTCCCGCTGGGAGCCAGGTCCGCGATGAAGGGGATCTTGTCGCTGACGCGCTGGATGTCGTCTAGTGTGAGCTCGACGCCGGCTGTGCGCGCCATGGCCAGGAAGTGCAGCACGCCGTTGGTGCTCCCGCCGAGTGCCATTGTAATGACGAGTGCGTTCTCGAACGATCGCTTGGTCAGCAGGTCGCGCGGCCGGATGTTCTGCTCCATGCAGACGCGGATCGCGTCTGCTGCTTTGGCGCACTCGCGCATCTTGGACGGCGAGGACGCGGGCGTTGACGATGAGCCCGGTAGGGAGAGACCCATTGATTCGATGGCGGTCGCCATGGTGTTCGCAGTGAACATACCCCCGCAGGCGCCGGCCGTCGGACACGCGTGTCGCTCCAGGTCGTCCATGATCTCGTCCGCGCTCTTGCTGGTGTCGCCGCCGTCGTCGGTCGGCTGGCGGAGGGTTCCGTAGGCGTATGCGCCGGCGGCTTCGAAGCAGCTCGACACGTTGATCGGCTTGCGCAGGAGGTTCGAGTACCCGATTTGGATGGTGCCGCCGTAGATCATGATCGAGGGGCGGTTGTGGCGCGCCATGCCCATCACCACGCCCGGCATGTTCTTGTCGCAGCCTGGGATCGCGATGCAGGCGTCGTGGTATTGCGCGCAGGTGACGCTTTCGATGCTGTCGGCGATGATTTCGCGCGTTTGGAGCGAGAAGCGCATTCCTTGGTACGTTGGTATCTGTCAGCTGATTGTTCTTTCATGTAAAAGGGTACGTGCTATGTGGAGTTGGATTGGGATCATTACCCTCGCTTCCCATCGTGATCGCATCCGATACCCCGATGGTGTTGTACTGCCACCCGATCATGCCGTTATCTGTGATCGCCTTCTTGGTTGTCTTGCCCAGGTCCAACAGGTGCATGTTGCATGGGTTGCCCTCCCACCACACCGACGCGACGCCGACCTGGGGGCTCGTGGCCATGGCTTTCTGATCGGGGACGCCGGCCGCGTAGAGCATTGCCTAGGATATGCTTAGCAACGGCCAGTAATTGAATAAAAACACATAAATAACCGTCATAAAGATAAAAGACAGCAATAACCAACCTTCGCGCCAGGAAAATCATGACCCCGCGTGATATGCGACGAATACCGGTTCAACGCGGGCGTGCCATCCTCGTTCTTTGCGCCGTCCGGAAGACAGGGAAACTCGAGGTACTTGGCTTCCCCGAGGGTGCTGGACACCGCGGGCTGAGAGGGATCCATATTGAGATACCGGTTTAGTTGTAAGGGAATGAGTAGACAGGTCTTGGTGGGAGAAAGCAAAGAGAGATAGAGGGGTGGAATAAAAGCCCCGCGCCGGATAATGACCGGTCGGTGAACTCGGCGCGTAGTCCGTTGCGGGGAGGAATAACCTCGGAGAGAACCTGTTGTCAATTCAGATGCTGTGATTTGCGGGTGTTCCTTGATCCAATGGTTGAAGTGGGGAATGATCAGTCAGATGTAGTATAGGGATTGTTGAGGTAGTGGGGAAGCTGTGAATGTTTCTATTTACTTGATTGATTGCTGATTCTTGTGTAAACAAACTTATCTTCGGACTCTCACCGAGAATAAAGGTGAGATGTATATCATGAGAATGAGTAGATTGCTGGGTATCTCCACCGAGAGTCAACTTCTAAAATGAACTGGCTAAGACATAATGTTGAAGAGAAAGAAAGTCAATAAAAACGTAGCAGGCGCACCAATATCCATAACAGTAGGGTTATTCCTTCTCGCCGTCGTCCTCTTCATCAGACACTTCTTCGGTAGATTCCCGCTCCACGGTAGACCACTGACTGGAGTGCTGCAACGCTTCGTCGGACGTCAGCTCTTCCAATGGACTGGATCTTCCCCGGACACCGTCGGAGTCATTGTCGGAATCGCCGCCATCAGCACCGGTGCCCTCATCGACGGCGAACCCCACGGTCTTCCCGGAGCTCGGTGGTCGAGCTTCCTCCAGGACGTCGCCGTTCCACGGCTTGCACTTCTTGACGGTCTCCCCGCAGCGGAGACAGACCCAGCCTTCGCCCTCCTCGCCTTCCAACTTCTGTACAATACAGACGAAGCAGTACACGCATCCGCATGGCAAGGTCTCGTAGGGATTCGTGATATCGGTTTCAGCCGAGCCGACAACGCCTCCAGCGCCCACCATCTCCGTCTCGGTCACCGCGCCCGGGTTGTTGTCCTTGTAACAGATGGCGCATGTCCGTTCGGGCAGGAAAGCGAGCTCTCCCTGACTCTCGTCCAGCTCGTCGTCGTCGCCGCTCGCCTTGAACGTGGACTTGGTTTTCCGCCACAACCGAGACAACCACCGCCGCCAGCGACTGATCCCAACGAGCGGCAATAAGAAGAGGAGGAATTCGGTGAAAGCGTGCCACACGAGTTGGCGATTCAGGTATTCAAAGGAAACTTCGCGGCTGGCTTGCTGCGAGGGCGGGGAGAGGCGAATGCGGAGGATGCGATCGGTCAACGTCCGGTATCGCCCGTTGACAAGGAAGACAAGGAAGGAGATGAAAGCGGCGATCGAATGCGTTGTCGAAACTAGATCGGTCGTTCGCGCGAGCATCCGCACTTCGCGTGATGGCTACCAAACCAGTAAATAAAAAGTTGCCCCCAATAAAAGTGGAATAGACTCACCTCCTCATAGCCGCCCTCTTGGTCAACCAACCAACTTTCCCACTTCCCCCACGCGTAGCGACCACCAACCGTAAGCAGACCGTACAGCGATTTCTGCCATTTCGTGGGGGCGGAATGGACCGGGCCTTTGCTGCGACAGTCGACATATTTCAGGCCCTGTAAGGCCGCCCCGTACGACGCATCGTGGTCCCATATCGCCAGTTTGAACAGGATCGCGCGCAACACGAGTTGGATTTCATTCGACCAGTCCTCCCGCAATTGAGGCTAGAACAGACCACAAGTCAGCAAGATACGCACTCCATCGGTATGGGGTAACACGGAGATGACCCACCCCATAGTACTTCAGCGCATTGCCGACCTCCCCTTTTAGCAAGTCTAGCAGTTCCTCATCGAGCAATTCCGCATCGACCTGGCCAACTCGAAAGGCCGGTCTTAACCCTTCGCGGCCTCTGACAGTATTCCAAAGCGAGTATCCCGACTGGGGTAATGTATTCAAAGGGTAGGGCAGTCGTTGGAGCGCGGAATGGTTGACCGGCGACGCTCGCTGCTGCTCCGCAAACCGGGCGCGAGATTCGGCCTCGCGGAGACGGCGACGTTCCAGTACGCGCTTTTGGGCAGCAGCAAAATTTGTCGAGCTCATCGTGGAATCATCATGCGTTTCCCAGGGATGTCAGGAATAATGGAAACTCGAGGGGGGATCGGGCATATGGTAATCCATCCGCTCGGTCGGTTTCCCCAGACCGAGTTGGACCAGCCGAGGTTAGAGCGGGGCACGTGACTTATGCCAGTTGGCTGCTGACTGATGCGACACCTAAGGCAACAACAGTGTCTCCACATCGGTCTGTTGGGGGCGGCTGCATGTACCGTGTACGGTGTACGCAAGGTGTTCAGTCGAACTGATTATTTCAATTTCGTTCATAGTATGATAACAGGACTATGAGACCTCTATAACAAGTCGCGCTTTTCGTGATCGAAGAGCTGTCCCTGTGTTGATCTTTCCAACATGTGTGGTCATAGAGTGGATCACGTCCATGTGGGGAAACAAGTATAGCCTTATCGGCCCTAAATTCCAGGCAGGCAACAGCTGAGACATCACCCAGTATCATAGTACACACCGAAGAGGTAGGGGGGAACCAACTCATCCATATTTTGATAAATACGGGCGACTGAGTAGACACGGGATTCTGGATTGATTATTCGTCCGTGCGACAAAAGATGGAGGTGGCTGAAAGAGGCATACCTTGTCCTGAAAATATACTACCCAATTTAGTAGTGAGTAGTATATAGTTGAAAAGGGTTGTAGTGTTTGTTGACACGGTTCAACGTCAACATTATAACAGTACTACTATAACCTCCTGAGACACTCAAGCTGTTGTACGCTAGTCGGTCCCAGGAGCAAACAATCAACAAACAATCCTTCCATCCAGCGTCAGTGCTACCTTTCTATCTGCACGATCGACTTATTGACTCTCCAGATATGATCGAAACACGTGCCAAGCCCCATCCGCCCAATTGGCCATGAGGAGAAACAGGACGAACTCCTCTCCATATTCCTCTTTCATCTCTACCTTCCGTCTTCTTACTGGAATTTCTCTAGTTCTTCCCTAGACTACCTCCCGACCATTTATGATTTGGCCTCCTACACCCATCCCTACTAGCGGGGAATGGGATAGACAACGAATGAGCCTCGTCTCTTATCGTTGGAGCTCTGTCGACCGATGCTACCTTGGACGGAACCCCGCAGGCTTTCCTTAGGGTCATGCGCCTCCCCCGACCGCAGCCCCAGCTGAGTCTTTGTTATGCGATTACTTATAAAAGGAATAGGCCAGCTTCTGGTCGGGGTCTGCATTCGCTCTTGCTGATCTTCCTCCCCCATCACCGCTGCAAAGTCGATCGCAAGACCGATCAGTTGTGAAAAGATCACCAGTCTTCAAGATGAATACCTTTGTCGCCAGTCTCGTCCTCGCTGCGTCCTTGGCGCAGGCGCAAGTGATCTCGGTGAAAGATTCGGAACCCTCGATCGCGCAAATCACGAAAGCTCAAAAGACCACCGAAGACCCGTTGTCGCCGGTCTCCAATGTCAAAGGGCTGGCTTTCCAGCGCTTCTACCAGATCTGGCTTGAGAACATCGTAAGTGATCCTTTCTCTTCAAGTGGAGTCGCATTGTTTCCTTCGTTGCTTCGGTAAGCTAACAGGGTCTTACGGGGTAAAGGACTATGAAGATGCCGAAAAGGATGAGAACAATAAATGGCTGGCAGACCAGGGTATCACACTGTAAGAGTCCCGGCCCCCCATCAAGAGTCTGATCCCCGGCAACACTGACACTTCTCTCGCAGGACCAATTTCTATGCAATCACCCATCCGTCTCAGCCAAACTATTTGGCCGCCGCCGGAGGTGATGCGTTTGGCATGGATCATGATGAATTCGTCCAGGTCCCGGAGAATGTCTCGACGGTGGCAGATCTGCTGGACACGAAGCACATCTCGTGGGGAGAGTACCAAGAGCATATTCCCTACCCTGGGTTCCAGGGAATGAACTACTCCAACCAGGAGACCTATGAACCCGACTATGTGCGGAAGCACAACCCCTTTGCCCAGTACAACTCGGTCACCCAGAATGAAACCCGTCTGCGTCAGATCAAGAGCTTCGAGGATTTTGAAGACGACCTGAAGAATGAGAAGCTCCCGCAGTGGGCGTTTATTACCCCCAACATGACCAACGATGCGCATGATACCAACATCACCTTTGCGGCCAAGTGGCAGCGCAACTGGGTTGCCCCCCTGCTCAAAAACCCTTACTTCATGAAGGATACCCTGCTGCTCCTCACGTTCGATGAGGACAAGACCTTCCCCAAGGACAATAAGATCTTCAGTGTCCTCCTTGGCGGCGCCATTCCCGAGAACTTGAAGGGCACCAAGGACGATACCTTCTACACCCATTACTCGACCATTGCATCCGTGTCCGCCAACTGGGGTCTCCCCTCGCTCGGACGCTGGGACTGCGGCGCGAACCTTCTGGAGATTGTCGCCAACAAGACCAATTATGGCAATTATGAGGTCGACACCAAGAATCTCCGCCTCAACGAAACCAACCCCGGACCCCTGTCCGATGACGACCTGTCGAAGTTTACCCCCGAATGGCCCGTCCCGTTGACCGAAGGCGAGTGCTCCGCGGGCCACGGCATCCTGGATATTGTCAAGGAGACCTACAAGGGTCACAAAGCTAGCCACGACTACACCAAGCCCTTCCCGGTTGATACCAAGGCTGGCTACAACGTTGACGTTAAAGCGACCAAGACGAAGGGCGCGTCGGGGTCCGCGTCGCCTGTTCCTTCCCCGGACGCAGCAGCTTCTCAAGTGCCCCTCACCCTTGGCTCTGTCTTCGCTGTCATGATGGCAGCGGCCCTGAATCTCTTCTAATTGCACTCTGTGGCAAAAGAAACAAAACCAGTCCGCTTATATGCGGAGCTCTAGCTTTAGTAAACGTAGTGAATGAGAAATGAGAATTCCTCATGAATCAGGATCATGATGCCAGTGCTCCATGTGTAAAACGTAAACATTGTATTTCGACTGTAATGTCTTAGCTAGCTGTAGTCATTTTTTCCTCTTGGATGCAATGTGATGGTACCTTCAGAAGCCACTATACCCTGTCATGCATATAAAATTGATTCTCAATAACTTCATGGCAATCGCTCGCAGCGCTAATCACCACTCAATTACTGTGTGGCAATGTCGTGGGTATAAGCACTAGTTGATCGGCGGAACAAACTTGGCTACTTGGCTACTTGGCTACTTGGCTACTTGGCTACTTGGCTTTTCCTATCTCCATAAATCCCTAACAAAGCCGCTTTCTCTAGATTTACATACGTAGCGAGCTCGCTTTTTTAATGTATTCTGGAGTTTGACTACTAATAGCTTCTAGGATCATGTTTCTTCCTTTTAATAGAAGACCAGGGGCATTTCGCCAAGGTCGTAACTATCACTAGACTGCAAATATATCATGACACTTTGGGTTTCATGGGTAACCCTATCCTCCACTACGATACATCAATACGGTTAGTATTCCGACTTGGACTACAATCAAGCATTATATGTTTGAAAAACCATGATTTGAGTACATTAATATTCCATTACACCATGAGCAAAGTAAACCAATCCAGCTAGCAATCCCTCACGCAAGCCCGTCACGCTTCAAGTCCTGAATTCCCAGGGTATCCTGGTCACCAAGACGGCGCTCAGATGCAAGCTTGGCCTTATCTTCCGGGCCTCCCTCCCCCTCATACTGCGCGGCGGGAGCAAGTCTTTCAACGTGTCAGCTACGTCATGTTCTTGACTTATAGAAAACCGGATTGTCACTCACCTGCCGCGGTCGTCTCTGGTCCCGCCCTCGTCTTCGGGGATCGGCTTCTTGTCGCTTCCCGTAGCGCCTGCTTCTCGGCCCGTCTTGACACTCGTCGCCTGAGGGAATTTCTTGTCCACCATCTCGTTGACGTTCGATTCGAGGGCTGAGCGGATTAGCTTTCATGCTCGAGGGGGAGGATGGTTATGGGGGGGATCGTACTCGAGTCACTCTTAGGTCCAAGACCCTGCTTGGCCTGGTAGCTGTTCAGGTCTCGTTCGGCCTGGGCGGCCATGCGGAGGTGTTCGGACTCAGCCATTGTGAATAGTAGTATTATTGAGTAGACTTTTGCGTTTCAGTCTGGTCAGATGTAGGATTCATCGCTCGTTGAGCCAGCCATCCTCTGCTCTATATACCCAGCGAAGGAGCATGATTCCTTGTTAGAATCCCATGTGGATTCCATTGCATCAGTATGCATCATCGAAGGACTTCAACATGTATCAAGCTTCACCATCGACCACAGTCTGGTTGCGAGGCCATGACGTCATGCGATCTGCCCTAAGTTGATATCCCAGATTGGACTAGCGTTTAGGGTCCAGCCCTAGGGCAGATCCGGCAGGGAACAACCATGCTCCGGTGTCTATGCCGCGGGGAGAGAAAGATGGGTCCGTGATGGCTTTGTTGGGCCCTCATCCCGCCCTCTGCATGCCGCTTTTCTCCCCACTTAATCTAGGCAGGGACGGTTACGGAATCCTGCCGATCGATATTCTGGAACTCTAGCTGGCGCTGCTTACGGATTTGATTGTGCAGTGTTTCTGGTCTTGATTACAGACCGCTTCTTTTAGCATTTGAATACAGCATACCCCTCCGCACCCTCAACATGGCTTCCATGGTAGAACTACCTGGAGAGTCGAATCCCTTGACAGTGCAAAATGTTCTCAGTGCATTGGTACAGGCTGCAAGCTCGACACAACAACAGGTGCAGACGGGCGGCCAGCAGCTCCAAAATTGGGAGAAGCAGGAAAAATACTACACCTATCTTCAGGTACGGTCCTGTCCCACGGAATGCGTCAGGGACATCTTGCTCATTGATTTCAGGATGTTTTCTTAGATCACTCCGTACCAGTCGAGGTCCGATACCTTTCCATTATCCAGCTGAAGAACGGGATCGACAAGTACTGGCGAAAGACGGCGACAAAGTAGGCTTGCGAACACTCGACGCGTCAACCGAGGATGGATTCATTGGACGGATAACTGACTGGCTGGCAGTGCAATCAAGAAGGATGAAAAGGAACAGATCAAGACGCGGGCTCTCCAAGCAGGCATTGTCGAACCGGCACCGCTCCTCGCCCTTCATAATGCGTTGATGATTGCAAAGATTATGCGCCAGGAATTTCCTCATGACTGGTATGTCGTATATTTGTTGCACTTGGGGGCCATTTCCTAATGACTTTCTAGGGCCGACGGTATCTCTTCCCTTATCGCCTTCCTTCGTGCATCCACCGAGCCCGGTGCGAACCCGCTGCAGCTGTCTCGGACCCTCGTCATCATCCTCCAAATAATCAAAGAACTGTCCACCGCGCGATTGCAGCGAACGCGTGTGCACCTTCAATCGGTTTCGCCCGAGATCTTCCATATTTTGGGGAGTATATACGTCGATAAAGTGAACAACTGGGTCTCCATGCTGGAACAGGGAAATGCAGATGAGGGTACCGTGCTGCAGTTGCTGGAACAAAGCCTCGTGTCGCTGAAAGTGGTCCGACGTCTCATTATTTCCGGCTTCGAGCATCCCAACCGCGACTCGGAGGTCCGAAACTTCTGGCTGCTGACACACAACCATTTCAGCCGGTTTCTCAGTTTCATCAATGGCTCTGTTCCCATGTCTGAGCAAACCCACCGAGCTGTCGAGAAGCATCTGTTGCAGCTGTCCAAGCTCCACGTCGATATGGCTAAGGACCGTGCGGCGTCTTTTGCGCTGCTTCCGGAAAGCATTACCCTCGTCCAGTCATATTGGACGCTCGTGGTACAGCTGGCAGAGAACTACAGCCAGCTGGGCGAAAGTGAGTCCGAAGGGAAGTCCCTGATGGAGAAGACTGGCCTCAGGGCGCTTCTCCTCATCCGAGCCTGCTCGAAGATGGCTTTCAACCCCGCGCAGACGTTCAAATACCAGACCCCGGAAGACAAGGAAGAGAAAAGACAGTCTATTGAACTGATCAAGGGGCAATTGTTCACCCATGACTTTGTTGTCAACGTCATGGAGCTGCTGGTCACGCAGTTCTTCCGGTTCAGGAAGAGCGACTTCCAGGAGTGGGAAGAGGATCCGGAAGAATGGGAGCGCAGGGAAGAGGATATTGCCGAGGCGTGGGAATTCTCTATCCGATCGTGCTCTGAAAAGCTCTTCTTGGATCTGGTCATCCACTTTAAGGACCTGCTTATTCCGCGCCTCCTGAACGTTTTCTATTCTTTTGCCAGTAAGCATCGCCTTCCCTTCCTGTTCCCTTCTTTTAAATACCCGATTGCTAATGATACCAGGCCCTGAAAGTCGCGACGTGCTGTTGAAGGATTCCTTGTACTCGGCCATCGGACTGGCCGCGGCCAGTCTGGAGCAGCACTTGGACTTCAACAGCTTCCTGGAGAACACGCTTGTCCCCGAAGTACAGATCCAAGAAGAAGGATACAACCTGCTTCGGAGGAGAATCGCCATTCTTCTCGGACAGTGGGTCCCCGTCAAGTTCGACCAGTTGAACCGAGACGCCATCTATCAGATCTTCCAGCATCTCCTCGGCCAACAGGACCCATTGAATGATCTGGTGGTTCGCATCACCGCGGGCCGACAGTTGAAATATGTGATGGAGCCTTTTGAGTTCACGCCTGCTGGGTTCCTGCCATATGCCCCTGCCATTCTCCGGGATCTGATGTCGCTTGTCCAGGAGGTGGACCTGTCTGAGACCAAGATGGGACTGTTGGACACGGTGCGCACTGCCGTGATCAAGATGGAGGATCATGTATGCACTCTCTATCCCTGCTTGACTCTCGGTGTACTGACAGTCTTCTAGATCAACCCCTTCTCCGACCAAATCCTGTCGCTGCTGCCTCCACTATGGGAGAGCTCGGGCGAGGAGCACCTGATGAAACAGGCGATCCTGACGCTCCTGTCGTCACTGATCAACTCCCTCAAGCAGGACTCGATCCGATACCACTCGCTCATCCTGCCGCTGATCAAGAACTCAGTGGAGCCTGGCTCCGTACGTTTCCACTCAAAAAAACTTCAACCTCCATTCGCACAAGCTAACCCCACCAGGAAACAATCATCTACCTTCTCGATGAAGCCCTCGACCTCTGGGGCGCAATCCTGACACAAACCCCCGCGCCCGCCTCCCCCGAAATCCTCTCCCTCCTCCCAGCCCTCTACCCCATCTTCGAAGCCGCCACCGACAGCGTCCCGCAAGCCCTCCAAATCGCCGAATCCTACATCTACCTCGCCCCGCAAGAAGTTCTCAGCGACGGCGTCCGCTTCCACCTCCTCGCCTCCTTCGAAGCCCTCCTCAAATCAACCACCCGCCAACGCCTCGGCATCGTCCCCCGCCTCGTCGAGCTCATGCTCCGCGGCGCAGACATCTCCACCCCCCCACCCAACAAAGAAGCAACCTACAACACCATCGCCCGCTCCCTCATCGACTCCTCCTTCCTCGCCTCCCTCCTAGACGGCCTCCACGCCGCCCACGAAGCAAGCCAATCCACCGGCCCCAACCGCAAACAGACCTCCGTCTACGGCGTCGTCGAAACAGACTACTTCTCCGTCCTCGCCCGGCTGGCCCTCGCATCCCCGCCCATCCTCGTCTCCGCCCTCTCCGCCACAACCGACCCCTCCTCCCCCGCCCTCCCCTGGCTGCTCAGCGAATGGTTCCTCCACTACGACAACATCGGCAGCGTCACGCAAAAGAAACTCCACGCCCTCGCCCTCACAAACCTCCTCGCCCTCCTCCCAGACCCCTACTACTCCCCGCTCCTCCTCTCCCACCTCCAATCCTACCTCTCAACCTGGACAAACATCATCACCGAGCTCGCAGACGACACCTCCGACCCCAACGCCAAACAAGACTACCTCGTCAACTGGTCCACCCCCGAACACCAGTCCCCAGAGAATGACCCGCCCGAGACCATCCGCCGCCGCGATTGGGATAACGCCGACCCGCTGCACAGTATCGATATGCAGGCTTTTGTGCGCGAGCGTCTGCACGCTCTCGTTGCTTCTTGCGGCGGCGAGAGCAGGTTCCAGGAGGAGTGGCTCGTTAATGTTGATGGGGATGTTGTGGGCGGGTTCGTGGGGTTGGGGTTGTTCTAGTCGTTGAATTCTTCCTCTAGAGATACATAGGACCGACCCTTGGGTGGGATTGGCTTTGAGATGTTGTTGAGTTGCTTGTTTGTTTGTTTGTTTGTTTGTTGTGATTTGCTGTCTTGATTTGTTATTTGTGTTTTTTTCTCTTGATTGATTTATTGATGTTGATTGATGTTAATTGCATATACTGTCTGGCGAGTTTGCATTGTTGTTGTTATTCCTTTCGCACAGTATTACTGTTACTTAGCTAGGTCCTAACTACATAAGAATACCCTATAGATGAATGACAATCATGTATCACTCACCACTTACTCACTACGCCCTATTTATACTATGTAACCTCAATCAGAGAATCAACGGATTGATTGAGAAATACCTGAGTCTAACAACTCAAATGAAGGAGATAATAAAGATAACAATAACGATAAAGACCAGCAATTTGAGGAGCGAACGATCAAAAAAATAGGAGAGATATAGAAATAGAGAAAGAATGGCCCGTGCTCAAGCAAGGTCAACACCAAGATAACAGAAAGCTAACACAACCCAGGATACCGCCTATCATGCTCACTCGTCGGAAACAGCCCATTAGCCAACAGATCGCGCATATCCCACTCCGGCGACCCCTCCGTGGTCCAAGTCCAGAAGATCCAGCCCGACTTGAGCTCGTACGCGTCGATCTGCGCCTCGACGAACTTGCGGAGGTTGGTTTTTTCGAGGTCAGACAGGCCGGCGGCGCCGCCGTCGACCTTGCGCGCGCAGTTGCCGACGGCGCCGGCGGAGCCGGGCTTGCTTCCGTCGTAGCGGGCGCCGACGCCCTTGCCGTTGAGGTACTTGGTGCAGTCGGTGACGGCGCCGGTCCACTCGCCGACGAGGGTGGGCTTGTCGTTGGGGACGAGGTGGGTGCGGGAGAACTCGCAGACAGAGCGGATGTGCGCGTTGATGTCCATGGCGAGTTGGCCGTCGTCGAAGACTTCGTAGTGGTGGACGTCCATGACGACGTTGCCGTCGGTCGTTTGGAAGCCGTTCCAGCTTTCGGGGGCTAGGAAGCCGTCGCCGAGGACGAGGGCCACGTCTGGGCTGTGCTGGCGGAGACGGCGGAGAACATCGTTGTAGTATCCTTCGAGGACGCCGCGGGGGACGCCGCCGGGGACGTTGGGCTCGTTGAGGGCTTCGATGGCGCTGACGACGTCGGCGTCATCCGTGTACCGCTTGGCGAGCTCCTCCCAGGCGATGATGGTCTTCTGGACGGTGTCACCCTGGCCCCATTTGATAGGGCCCTTGCGGCCGCTGTTGTCGAAACCGTTCTGGGAGCCGGGTGCTGTGTGATGTTAGTCAAGGTAGGTTGCAGATGAACGTGTAAGGGTATACGCACCGCCGTGCAGGTCCACAATGACCTTGAGGCCGGCATCCCGGGCCCAGTCGATGGCGTGGTCGAGGTACTCCAGCTGACCGTCCACGTAGGGCTCGCCCTCGAGAGGCGTCACGGCCCAGTACCCCACGGGGATTCGGACGTGGTTCAGACCTGCCTCGGCCATCTGGTGGAAGTCGTCGGGCCCGACGAAATGTGCCCAATGGTGGGAGAGACGGTGCCTGGCCTCATCTTTGCCCAACGCCTCGGTCAGGGTCCATTCGTCGACGGCGGCCTGTCCGCCGGCATCAAAGATCGAGGGGGTGATCCACGGTTCGAGCACCAGCCAACCACCCAGGTTGACACCGCGGACCTTGTCGGTGTTGTAGTTAAAGGAAGCCGCACGAGGCTTCAAGTGTCTATTGTCCCTGTCAGCGATCTACTACAGGCAGGGACTCGATCTCGGACCACTGACATGCTTGCGGCCTCGGAGCCAACCAGCGCCAGCGCCAGGGCGATAAGCGCACTTCGCGAGAATTTCGGGAACATTTTTGCAATCGCAGATCTCCAACGGTAATCGAGGAGGTTGGACAAATGCAATGAGAAATCGAGCGAAGTTGAGCTGTGGAATGGACGATCGGCTGGTTTAAGTAAGGGCTGGTGGTGACTACGAGGGCGAGTGGCCGAAAGCAGCCGGAGACGAATTCTAATGGGTCCGCGATGGAGAGCAGTTTGCACGGGGGTCTAGACAAGGCTGCTTTCAGACGCCCTTGCTCGTGGCGAGAGATCAGGGCAACGCGATGACGATGGTCCGCGTGGGCTCGCCGGAAACAGGACGCGATCCAGTAGGAAGGTCAAAGAATAGGGTAATATAGGTAATAGGATATAGATAATGACAGTGGATTGGCACGCTAGAGGATTCGATGGGTTTACAAGTTACTAAAGGGTGCACCGAGGGGCATGACGACGCAGGCTGGAGTTGCAGCGCCACGGTGGTGATGGGGGAACTGGCACGGGCCCTGAGATCACTCTGACGAACGTAGATGAGAACAGGAACAGCCTCAGGAGAAGGTTCTCCGGGCCGATGCGGCACTCCATGAGTTGGGAGTTGTGAGCTCGGCAGGGCAAGGACTACCCATGATTAGGTTGGAGAGCTCATCACGACTGGTGAGGGGCAATGGTCACGGAGCCACGAGTTTCTTCATTCCTCGTCGGATCTTACCATGCCATGTGCGTAGGCAATGTTTAGGAATCTATAGAGCCCCATTAGTACAGTATCTACCAAGTATAGAATCCTGTGACTTGGGAATGGAAGTGGTTATGGGAGTTGGAGGACCAATGGGAGGCCCATGAGCCCCACGGAACCAATGGATGTGTCCCGCATCCGGGGAACAACCAAATGCCGGATTGAGGAGAGAAGTAGAAAGGGAGAAGCAGAAGAGAAGAAGAGAAGAAGTGAGGAGGTGGATGAGAAGAGAGGGAGGGTGGAGAGAAGACAAGATCCGCATCCGGTAATCGGTCACGTGGATGGGGTGCGGCACAAATGCATATCATGGTCAGCAACATGCATAATATGCACCGTTGGCTGCCAGAATGATGGTATCCCAACATTGACCACCCCCGACGGAATTATTCTCCTGGGATGAGATACTTTCCAGTGGAGAAGAGTGGAATCCGTTTGAGGTACTCCATACAGTCGAGTGGATGATAGAAAAGCAGCATCTAGACCAGCTTTACTGAGGAAAGGCAACAAAAAGCCGAGGTAAACCGACCCTCAGCAAGGAAAAGAATGTGCAAGGGGTATAGACTCCTGATAGATCAACCAATCGCCGTCAAACAAATCCAAGATGACAGGACACCGTTGAACGGAGTCCACGGACCCATCCACATCCAAAACGCTCCAGAATCTGGATATGACGGATAACAGGACGGTCGGCCCTTCGAGACCTGCCGATCGGGTCTCTTTGATCCATGCGTGTCACTGGCTGGAGGACTCATACTGGTTGGAATCATGGAAGTCATAAACAGTTGCTGGATGGATAGATAGTGTGTATAAAAGTATAGATATATAGATATATGCTGAGATGGTTTGCGAGACTAGATCGAAGATCCCTGTCAATATGGTTAGTATTATAGATGTTCGAGTCAGCTAGAAAAGAATAACTAGTCAGAATAAGTGAGGGAGGTGTCTCGGAGATTTTTCTTGGAATGAAGAGGGCGAAGTGGATCCAAGTGGGTTCGATGGAATAGGCCGTGTCCGAGATTGAAAATAATAGATCAAAAGAAATGAAGGACGAAGGAAAAGATGAACGAAAGAAAGAAAGAAGAAGAAGAAGAAAAGAAAGAGATGAAGCAAATAAACAGCCAAGGATGATCTATCATGTCGGCAAGAGAGAGCTTGACGATATATTGACAATATCGGTAGTTGATCAGATGGGACAGTCGGGATATCTGCACAACGAAAACGATCCGGTGGAGAAGAGAAAAAGAAAGAGAGATCAGACCATTCTGATCTCAGATGAAAATTCTATCCATCATCCTACTTCATTTAGATAGATTGAGTACTACCTTATCGGGTCACCGTATACTACAAGGCATAGTATAGTATAGTATAGTATAGTATAGTATAGGTTAGTATAGGTTAGTATAGGTTAGTATAGGTTAGTCCTCCGAACCGTATGATGTCCATCAGATGATACTGTGAGACTGACTCATGGATAGAGAGTCCACGAAATAATAATATACCAACAGAAATAATAAGAAGAAGAATACTAATATGTCAATAAGGAAAACATGAAGAAAAAAGACGTTAATCCACCCATGGTTCCACGTGTTTCATGATCCATCACCAATATCATCAATATGAATGGTTCCTCCTCCTCCCTCACCACCAGATAATCTATCCGATGGCAATCATAACAAGACCAGATATTACAGGGAGACTGCAGACGATCACACCACTACTACTCTCAACAATCTTGATACTGACCAGTGTACCACCAACCAACCCAAGGATCCACGATGACGCTCCGTCCTGAAACATCCCCTCCATCAATTGGTGGATCGGTGGAGGGATGTCGCGACTCGCATGCGCGGTCTTTGCCTTCTTCCTCGATATTATCGTACACCCATTGTAGTATGATAATTCTCATCATGACAGGGATTATATTTCCCTTCTAATTCTTTTCTCCTTCGGGAAGTACTCCTCCCCAAACGGCCCACGCTCCGAGTCATTCCCACGGTCCCTATATAAACTCATCCACTGCATCCATCCATCCTTGATCGTAAAAAGAAAATACCCAGAAAAAGAAAACCAGCCAAAACGAAATAACCAAGTCCTCCGTGGGTCCTCCACCAAGTCATTCCCGTACTTGCAATCTCCCATTCTTTGTTCTTGTCCTGTCCAGACCCTCTCCACCAACCCGTCTAGCCACTGCCAAACCCCAGGGGTTCGGAACCGCTTTTTCAACCAATTCTTTTGGTCCAATCTCATTTACCTACCTTTTTCTTTTGATTATTTATAAAGGGTCCTACCCCCCCAACCGCCAAGCTGGATCCCTTGCAGGTACCCTTGTCCGACAGACCTCGGAAAATGGAGATCCCTATCGATCCCGGTCGTCCCATCAAACATGTCGGCCGTAAAGAGCTGTATACCAGTCTCGAGGCGCGCGTTCGATATCTCCGGGAGATGGTCGATTTCAATTCTGGTATGTCTCTCTCTATCTTTTACCCCCCGGTAAAGAAGAATGCTAACTCCAGCAGCCGACGTCGAGGCCCTCACCACTGGCTCCAAGTACATCAAAGCCCTGATCCCCGCCGTCGTCAACATCGTCTACAAGAAACTCCTCGAGAATGATATCACCGCCCGCGCCTTCCACACCCGCGACACCGCGGACGAAACCCCCATCGAGGAGTTCTTCACCGAGGGGAGTCCCCAGATCCAGCGCCGCAAGGTGTTTCTGCGCTGGTATCTCGTCCGGATCTGTTCCGACCCTACCCAGATGGATTTCTGGCGCTATCTGAATAAGGTTGGGTAAGTCATGCGTCTTCCTCACTCACCTTAAGAGAGATACCCCCACTAACAAGAGAATAGACAAATGCATTCCGGCCAGGCTCGTATGCACCCCCTCAACATCGAATACATCCACATCGGCGCCCTCCTCGGCTTCATCACCGATATCTTCATCGAGGCCATCATGTCCCACCCGCAGCTGTCGCTGCCGCGCAAGGTCGCCCTCGTCCGCGCCTTCAACAAGGTCATCTGGATCCAGAACGACCTCTTCGCCAAGTGGCGTGTCCGCGACGGCGAGGAGTACGCCGACGAGATGTCCGAGATCATCACCGACGACAAGGAAGGCTACATCGGCGAGAAGAAGGTCCTCGGCGATAGCTCCTCCTCCTCCGCTAGCTCCACCGACGGCGACAACTGCAGTATCGCTAGCAGCACCGCCCCCTCTGCCCACTCTACCGCGGCGTCTGCCAAATCCGCCTGTCCCTTTTCGGAGATGAACAAGTCCATGTCTGAGACGAAGATCTGGGCTGGCAAAACACGGTGACCGGTATCACCATCGTGCTGCACTGAAACGTCGACGTATCTGCTTCGTTGTCCATGTCCAGCTATTAATAATTCTTTTTCCTTCTTTGTTTCCGGCCTGGTCGTCCGGTCTTGCCCCATTGCATGGGTTTCTGTCACTGCATGGATGGTGTTTGGGGGGTTTGGGGAGTTTTTGTCCACGATATCCGCCACGGCCTGTCGCCTCTCATTCCAGTCGGGCAATTAGATAGATCGTTCAATCCATTTTTTCTAATATCATTCCAGTCATACCAGTTCCATTCCTAAAAGGGAACGATAGAAAGACATGTCGCATAAACCCAGGGAGACCCCACACCCAGCAAGGGCTAGACATTCCAGAGGCGTGGATATAGCGCCGCCAAGTCCAAGCCACGCAGGTGAGGTCGATCATCATGGCAATTCAATTATTGTTCGTTATTGACCATGCCGGGTAACTATCGATGCGAAGGCGATCACACATGGCATATTGTCGGATTCAGTCGATTTTGTTCTTCTCTCAAGGTCTTCACCCGATACTAGATGCGGACCAACCAGTCAATAAATACCGTGAAGCTTCTGCAGCGAAGAACCGTGGCTGTCAAGTATTGAATGGGACGATAGATAGTATCTCCCCGTCCCAGGGCTAGTAAAGTCTATTCTGCATCGCACGGAGGGTTAGTCATTTTGCAGGTAGACAGATGGTCAAACAACTTCGAAGACAGCAAGGTGGTCGGCGCTGTAGATATCGAAATGCCTGTCTCATGGCCTACGCGAATGTCAACCTGCATATTTGATACCTTCGGAAGATTGCATCCGTCGTCTGCAAACCTTATCCTCCGTGCGGAGTCCAGCAGTGCAATTCTCCACCACACGCAGCCAGTCACACCTGTGCCACGGAAGAGTCAGGGGAAATGGGGAGCGGCGGACAATGGTAGTGGCGATGTCGGGTGTCGGTCCCCCGCACAAGAGCCGAGAAAAACGGAGTCCATAGTGTTCGTGCGCCAGAATCTGAACAAAGAGACACTCTGAAGTCGGGAAATCAAAAATCAAAAGACATAGTCGAAGTAAAAAATGGACCGCAGAAATCCCCGTCCACCAATTCCCCAGTGTTGTACAGCTAGTGCTGGAAAAATAAGCTATCCAAACTAATGTCGAGAGAGGAAAACGTCATTCCCAAAAGGAAACCGATGTGCTGCAGACCAACGGTCATGAATCGTCCCCCCACTCCCTTGCCGCGTCGCTCGCTCGCTTGTATTCCGAAAGTCATATAACCCCTCCACCCCTCGCAAGACCTTATTTGACTTTGTCAATCTTGCGCCATTCTGCCATTGTCTGCCTGCCCGTCTCCACTCGATATTGCAACAGGTTTTTGAATTTGAGGATTGGAAATCGGCACACAGCTGAATTAACCCCACACCATGTGCTCAAACGGCACAAGCGGCGACATCGTGCCGCTCATTATTAATAATGAATCGGTCGTAACAGACATTATCTTCGACGTTCACAACCCCGCCAAAGGCGAAGTCGTCGGCCGCTGCGCCAGCGCGTCGGTGGAGGATGCCACGCGCGCCGCGGTAGCTGCGAAAGCCGCCTTCCCCGCGTGGAGCAAGACAAAGCCCTACGAGCGCCGAGATATCCTCATGCGCGCCGCCGACATTATGTTCTCCCGAAGAGAGGAACTGATCCACTATCAGATGGAGGAGACGGGGGCTGGCCGACTCTTCGTGGAGAAGACCTTTGAGATGGGCGCCAATTTCATCAAGGATTTCGCAGCGCGCATCCCCTCCATCCAGGGTGCCGTCCCGTCGGTCTCGGAGGAAGGAGAGGGTGCTATGGTCTTCAAGGAGCCGTACGGTGTGATTCTGGGGATCGCTCCTTGGTAGGTTTCCCGCCGCGCGAACGAGGCATCTTTCCGCCCGGACTGCTGTTAATCACCGGCCTCTGTAGGAATGCCCCGTATATCCTCGGCGCCCGCGCCGTCGCCCTTCCCCTCGCCGCCGGTAACACGGCGATCCTAAAAGGCTCCGAGCTGTCTCCGAAATGTTTCTGGGCGATTGGTGACATCTTCCGCCAGGCTGGTCTTCCTGCGGGGTGCCTCAACGTTCTCTACCACCGACCTGCCGACGCTGCAGAAGTCACCACCGCCTTAATCGCTCATCCGGCCGTCCGGAAAATCAGCTTTACCGGGAGCACGCATGTAGGATCGATCATCGCTTCGACCGCTGGTAAATACGTGAAGCCGGTGGTTCTCGAACTGGGCGGCAAGTCGACCGCCATTGTCCTGGATGATGCCAATCTGGAGCGCGCCGCTATGGGCTGCGCGCTGGGAGCTTTCATGCACGTAAGTGCCCCTGACGGGTTGATCTGATCTGTGTGACCCGCCGATACTGACCGGAAACCGTTCAGTCGGGTCAAGTATGCATGTCGACCGAGCGCATCGTGGTCCAACGTCCCGTTGCAGAGAAGTTCTGCCAGACGCTCACGGAGGCTGCCGAACGAGTCTTCGGTGGTAACGCGCCGGCCCCGGTTCTGGTTGCGGCGGCTGCCGTCCAGAAGAACAAGGGGTTGGTCGCGAATGCGATCTCCCAGGGTGCCAGCGTGTTGTATGGCGATGTCAACGCCTCGGAAGCTAGCAGTCACGCCATGCGACCCCTGATCGTAGGCAATGTCACCAAGGAGATGGACCTGTACTCCACGGAGTCTTTCGGTCCGACCGTATCTCTCATCGTGGTCGACACCGAAGACGAAGCTGTGGCCTTGGCCAATGACACAGAATACGGCCTTACGTCGGCGGTGTTTACCGACAACTTATTCCGTGGACTACGCCTAGCGAGGCAGATCGAGTCAGGGTAAGTCGGCCCCCAACGAATCCTTCCGTGATGACGCAAAAAAAAATCTCCGTTACTCATTTTCCCTTTAGGGCTGTGCACATCAACTCCATGACTATCCACGATGAGCCCGTGTTGCCTCACGGCGGGTGGAAGAGCAGCGGGTACGGTCGTTTCGGAGGCCCGGCCGGATATGACGAGTGGTTGCAAACCAAGACGGTCACCTGGACGCAGTGAGCGACGTTGGAGGGTCATACTTACTCCGAGGCACAGTGTAGTGTTTACTGCTATTTTAGACTTAATATCTTCATTCCGCAAGGACCCATAGAATATAATCCGGTGACCTTTTGATGCATCAGCCGCGCGCAGCAAACATAAATCAGAGGCCTATGACAGCTCCAAGAATGCATCGCCGTAGGTGCGGACCATGGAGGGCACATCCCCGGTGAAACAGCTCCAATGACAGTCGTCCGTGGTAGGTTCCGAGATGCAGCCTGTGCGGCTCTTTGTGAACGCTGGGATAGGGTAATTCATCAAGGCCCGTCTTGGTAGCGAACGGTTTAGACCGGCGACATCAGCGAAGTCAGCCTCAACTCTGTCTGTAATTAATCGGGGTTCTTCAGTCATAGCGATCGACTCGCCCAGAACATATTCCAAAATACCACTAGCGGTGATCCAGTTAGCTTGAGTGTATATAAAGCTACAGGCTAGAGCGATGCTACTCTGTATAGAATGGACAAAAATAGGCGATTTGGGATCTCCGATCGGTGCTGATGGCACGGTGACGCTTGTACACTGGGGACCGTCCAACCAGACCCCTGTCGGGATAGCCCACATGGGACAACCCTTGGCGTCGTACAGACCGATCACTTAATTTGCGCCTTCGTGAGTCACCTTGACCGCCAACGAGGGGAACAAAGGTCTTGCCAGACAAAATGGAGTCATGGGCACTAGCTAGGCACTTACACTAGTCCAGCGCCACTGGTCCTGCGTAGCATCCGCATATACTTCGTACACACTGTAGCAGCGCATAGCACGTCTGGTTTGACGTGTCCACCGAGGTACTATATACTATCGTACATCGAGATTGCTAGACGACACGTCTCATCGTTGGGGCGTCATGTGCATCGCCCCGGTCTTCTTCATGCTGCGCCTTGCCTGAACGGCCCTTTTCCTCTTCGTGGCCTCAATGTGATGTTTACCTTGTCAAATCCTGGGTAACGAGGGGTATCACGGCACAATTTCCCTGGAACGCTTGTAATTAAACTAAACGATGTGCTAGGTAGCCGGCGGGTGGGTTCCACCAAACTATGCCTGAGACAAGAAATGAACGACCCGATTACCGACTCTGCCTTCCTAAGTCGACATAGAAGGGCTTGGTTTTGGTAGAGATCTTCTTTTTTTGCGGGGAATAGGTCTTGTTCTCATGCCTTTTTTTCCCTGAACTACTCAGGTTCGGCACTGAAACTCCTGATCTGAGATGCTGCTGCACCTTTATGATTGACCGATGGATTGTACTGGGTGGGGAAATGCGGATAGGGCAACTGTACAGATCCTTCTAATTTCACCCTGGCTTCAGTCTTGTTGTCATGCAAGGTATGATGAGATTTGATCTATTGGCCTACTGTTCAGCTTTTGAGACTGTTGAATGGATACACCCCTCACCTCGGGTAGAACCTAATTAAACCAGTCTCTGAATGTTGTAGACATAGGTCTGAGTTCATTGGAAGCGACTCAGAGGCTCAAAAATTTGAATTGGAAGAAGGAAAATACGCGAGGAGGCGCAGACAGGAATAGGATGGGGGGAAGTCGAAAAGGAGAAGAGGAAATGTTGAGCGAGGTAGAAGTCACGTTGGTTGGTTGCCTGGGGCTCGCGTGGTTCATTCCATCCAACGTTCGGATCTGACATCCTCTCTCAATCCATGTCTCAATTCTGTATCCTGTCTCACTGACTGCCATGCCATCCATCCCTTCCAAGTTATGATTGTTATTCATTCTCTGGAGGATAGTATCGACCCATCGGGAATATATCGGTTAATGTCACTTCAGGTACAATTGACCATCGGTCCGCGCCGTTAACGCTTAGTCCTTAGTTTTGTGTGCTAATGAAGCATAGGATCCACGAAGTAGTGAGCTAGTCCTAGTCCTGTATTGCCCAAATCCACCCTCGGACCCCTAAGTCTGCCGTATTGTTGTGATTATTACGGAGACTTCTCGTGGACAAGCCACAACGCCCCCCATGTCGTGGGACCCGAGGAAAATCTCCGCCAATCTGCGACCTTCCTGCATCCTGGTGCAGTGATTGCCCAGGGCCTTGGGCCGTGGGATATCAAGCTAACAAATGCTGGCTGACCAGTAGCGGGGTCAAAACGCCCCTGGGCGAAAATTACCTTTTTGCTCAGGACCAAGGGAGGGTGATGTTGGGCTGCAGCATTCCAGTCGTTCCCGTCGAATGCACAGTCGCATTGCAAGTCCTGATATGGAAAATCAACAACAGTCCGACCCCAATGCTGTGCCACCCCTGGCGGGAAGTCTTCCCCTGTAGTTCATTTTACGGTCCCACTGTCCGATGAGCCGCAATGTTCCAAATGGATGAGACAAAATGCTTTGTCCAAGGGGGGAATTTGACGGACAGACCTAACGTTCAGCTGATGGCGCACCCGGTCCGGCTCATCTTAATTGGAGCCTTTTTCTTATGTACCTCCCCCCCCGGTCTCTCTTCGTTCTTCCTTTCATCCTCTCTTTTCTCATCATCCATTCTTTAGGTATATATTGTTTATCTCCTCCGCTTTTGCGGCAGTCATTCTTTTACTCAACTTGAGATTCTACCCACTCAGTCATTCTTTCATTCACTCTCTCCACCTATTATAAAGATGCGTTTCCTCAAGACTTTCCTGGTGTCGGCTCTTGCGGCTGTGGCAGCTGCCCACGTCGAGCCCGACTACACCAAGGGCCCGGATGGCAACTCGATCTCGAATCCCAGCCTCGATGAGGTTGTCCCGGCGGGCAAGCCCTACACCATCACCTGGAAGCCCACCACCAAGGGACCGGTGTCGCTGGTCCTCCTGCGCGGGCCCAGCACCAACGTCCAGCCCATCGCCACCATCGCCGAGCAGATTGAGAACACGGGCAAGTACGAGTGGACACCCAGCACCAGCCTCGAGCCCGACGTCACGCACTACGGCCTGCTCATCGTCGTCGAGAACACCCGCCAGTACCAGTGGTCGACCCAGTTCGGCATCTCCAACAAGGACTTCGCCGAGGGCTCAGATCCCGCCACGAAGCCCACCCCCCGTTCCACCTCCACCGACGTCATCTCCAAGGAGAAGACCACCACCCTCCAGGAGACCTCCAGCGCGCCTCCCGCTCCCGCTCCCACCACCTCAACCACCTCCTCCAGCAGCTCCAGCACGAGCAGCAGCATCGTCATCTCCTCATCCGTAGCGCGCCCTCCCAAGTCGACCACGGCGTCGACGACCCTGCACAGCGCGAGCGCACCCACGACCGCGCCGTCCTCGACCGAGGCCCCGCCCCCGTTGTTCACCAACGGCGCTGACCGCAACGCGATCAGCTTCGGCGGAATCGCGCTGGGCGTTGCCGCCATCCTGGCAATCTAAACGGGTTGAGCCCTACTCTTCTTCTTCTTCTTCTTATTTATTATTTCTCTTCTTCTCTTCTAGACCTGTATCTAGATTACTTTTTACCCCTTCTCTGACTACCCATTCTTTTACCTGCTTTTTTGGTTCCTGATTTGCCGGGCTTGAAAGCCTACGGCCCTAATGGAGATCACGTTTACATAATGTTGTACTTGCTAAGGTTTTAAGTACTATGATAATAATGTTATCGTACATTCAGTTCTGGCCCCCAGTCGTATATTGATACGTGTAGACCGATCGTAGACTAGAATAGATGTAAACTCCTATTCCAGCACGAGCAGAGTGGGATACGTGTGGGTCACGCTATTTATTAACCCCAAACTAGATATCTAGTCTGTGATAGCCCTGTCCATTTACCTCTACCTAGTACCTAGTATCTACTGCCTAGTGCGGATAAATACGGTAGGAGTAAATACTAGTATTAGGCAGTAATCAATATAGTGCATTATATATACTTTACCTTATGTAATACATCTATCAACATAAGAATATGTGTATCACGTGACAGATAAGCCGATAAGCAAATCTGCAACTTTTTCCACCGATCGACCGCCTAGCACTGGAGTGACTTATTGCATCACGAGCAGATACAGAGCAGTACATATCTATCGCCATACGAAAAGAGAAATCATAAGAAAAAGAGAAGAACAAAGCAGAGAAAATGGCCCAAACACCACTCAAGAAGAAGGCGTCGACGAGCACGAAGAAGCGGTATGTTTCTCTCCTCTCCTTCCTACCTATTCTATTCCTGCTCCTACTGCTTTACCTGCGGTGTCTATCGCGCTTTACAAGAAAGAAAGAAACATATCCCAATATTATACTCGGGCAAAGAAAGAATCTAATCAGAGGTTTCTATAATATAGAACAGCATCCACCCTCGGACCGCGCAACATCGCCCCCAAGAAGCAGTTGCTCATTAAGCAGAAGAAGTTGAATAAGGTATTCCTTTCTCTCCCTCCCCTCTATTTTCCTCTTTCGATTGATATATATATATATATCGTTCTGATATAATGAATAATGAATAATGAGTGAAATGAACAACGCTAATATGTATACCATGATAGAAACTCACATCCGGCCTCGTCACGCGAACAGAACGAACCCTCGCCCAGAAAGCAGGCCATCTGGAGATGTTGGCTGGGGGAAAGAAATCCCAGAAGGAGAAGGAGAAGGAGGAGAAGGAGAAGGCGAAGAAGAAGTAATTTATTCTTCATGATTTCTTTTCTTTTTCGTCTTTGGATAAAAGCGTTCCAAGTTTATATCTATGGAGATTGTTGTTGTGTGTTATTGTTGCTATTGCTGTATATCATTATGATTAATGAATGATAAATAGATACCCTTTGCATAAAATTGGTCGTATAGTTGATTCGTAAATAATCTGTTAGTATATAAATATAGTCATTTGTATAGGTCTATTCATATATAAACATCGGTATTTATAATCATTGTATATTCTATCGTATATATCAAGTAAACCAAAACAGTACGTACAAGCCATATACAGAGTAGAGTCATCATTCGTAAGTGTCGCTCAGGGGTATCTCAAATTCAGTTCTATCCGCCGTCCATCCATCCAGTGTGGACTCCATGGTTGCCACCATCCGACTAAGCAGCCACCCGCCGTCGCACCCCAGCCTGGTCAATCAGATCCTGTCCGCGATCGATCCACCGCTGGAATCCCTCGTCGGTCGGGTCCGCCGGGAAGTCATCCCAAACGGCGTTCTCGGAGTCCGCGTACGAGGACCACACGCCCTTGGGAACATCCGACGCGGACCAAGACGGGAGCTTGGCCAGCACGCACGTGTAGTAGACGTACAGGATGCGGCAGAGCAGGTCCACGCGGTCGACGTAGTGCTGCTTGGTCGGGTCGGGGTCGCGACCGCCGTCGCCGAGCCGTTTCCACCATGAGACGCGCCAGCGGAGCGTGAGGAGGATGTGGCCCAGCTCGCGCAGGAAGCGGAGGTGTGTCTCTTGCGAGATCTGCTTCCATTTGATGTTGTAGAAGTCGCGCTCCAGCTTGCGGAACCCTTCTACCTCCAGCATGCGGCAGATGATGCGTGAGAGCTGCGCTGCGAGGAGGATCTCGCGTCGGTCGGACTCGTTCTGGATGTCCATTGGTCGCTCTTCGCCTCCGCCTTCTACGGGGACGAAGCTGTAGCTGGCGCGGCTGGGCATGTTATTCCACTGGGAGAGGAGAGTCTACAGCAGGTTAGTGATCCTGCCCCCGATGGTACTATAACATGTGTGTGCGGAAGAGACTTACATAGACGTGGTTCATCGGATCGCAGTCCTTCACGCAGGTCAGCCAGTTCTTTGACTTGTCCTTCGACTCGAGGATGCGTCGGTCGACAAAGTCGAGGAAGTTGGACCGCGAGTTGCCATTGCAGTCACTGAGGTTCTTCAGGAACTTGTAGGTTTCGGCCAGGTCCAGCACGTAGAGGGACCCCCAGGCCTGACTGGCGCGGATGTTGAATCGCCCCTGTCGCTGGCTCAGAACGGACAAGAGTTCGTTCAGATCGAATTCCACCGGGATCTCCATCCGCACGCGACGCGCGCGGTCCAAGGTCGGATGGTTCACGGCACGTTGGGCTAGAATGGTCAGTGGCAATCGGACAAGGAAGGATGAGGCATCTTACAGATGTAATTGCACGTTCCGTATTCAACGATGCTGGCAAAGCATGCCTTGGCGCATGGTTGTTCGTGGAGTGTCGGTCGGCATGCTTCACATGGGGCGTTGCCGTCACACTGTATCTGGTCAGCTGGGGTCAAGCAGAAGAGAAAGAAAGAAAGGAAAGACCAACCTTGCGCTTGTTCAGCCGACATTGCACGCATGTATCCTTGTTCTTGCGTCGCAAGCCGGCGTTGGCCCGGCCGGTCATGGACAACGGTCCCTTGCGACGGGCCCCCCGCGGAGGCGACACGAAATCGGCCGACGCGATCGACCCCCCTTGGCCGTCTTCCTGGACGATCTGCAGGGGCTTGGGTTGGCCGTGGTCCAGGCTGGCGTTGGCACTGCGTTGCTTGCGCTTCCGTACCGTGGCCGCGGACTGGAGGGCCAGGGCCGAGGGCCGATCGGAGCTCCGCGGCGCGGCTGCTGAGGCGGCCCGGGACCGGGGCGGAGCCGACACAAGGAACGACTCGGACGGGGACTCGCTGACCATAAAGGCCGTGGCCTGCTGCTGCTGCTGCGGTGGGGGTACTGCCTCGGATGGAGACTGTTCCTTCCCACCCCATGAGTGGTCTCCGTCTAGCGGTCGCTCGGCCGCGACCGGCAGGTGATCGTCACTCGTGGCCGAGTAGGAGCACTCGTAGACCCCCGACAGATCGCCCGACACTGACGAGGTTTCCGACCGGTAGTGGAACCCATCCGGGGTCCGTCGGTCGCCGCCGACCAGCCCCGTCTCGTACGAGAGGGCGGACACGGGGGGCGAGATCATGGCGGCGGGCAGCTGCGACTCCACGGCGGGGGTCCAGCGAGGATGGAGGGGCTGCGTGGACTCAGAAAATCCGCGCAGCATGTTGGCTTCTTTGAGCGAGCCCGGGGCCCCCAGGGGCATGGGGACGGGTGCGGGCGAGGTGGCCGCCGAGCCGGTCCAGGGCTCGGGCGCGTTGAAGGCCAAGGGCGGCAGCATGTTCTGGAAGGCCAGGAGCGGGTCGGACAGGTCGCCATACCCCGGATCCTGGGACAGCTCCCCGGTATCGCCGACGATGACGGTGTTGTTGGCGGGGGCGGGACCTTTAGAATAGGGGTAGAGGGAAGATTCCATCGGGATGCCGGCGGTCATGGCGTTGAGCAACTGGTAATGCCGCCATGAGTCATCGAGCTGGAAGTGGTCGTCGGCGGACGGTGGCAGCGTTCTGGGGCTCATAGTGCCACTGACGGTGCCGTCGATGGGGCCCTCCATCAAGCCGAAACGGTCGGGGGAGGTGGTGGTGGTGCCAGGTTTGCTACATGGCCGAACGACCGTCAGCTTGCGACCACGTAGGGGGGCCGGAGGGAGCGCGCACCTATCGGCGGTGGAAAAGGGGTCCGACGGGCCGAGAAGGTCCCTGGCTAGAGAGGCTTGAGCGGCATTCATGTCCGCCGAGTCATCGCCCTGACTGGAATCTTGACTGGTATCCCACTCCAGGGGTTGTTCGTAGGCGGGATGGTCCCAAGTCGGGATGGTGTTCAGGGCGTCTTGCCAGTTGTCGAGGATTTTGGGGTCGATGCCCGCGGCGGAATCCGACGTCCGGCAGTCCATTCAGGGGGGTTGACGTTCTGAGAGGGAGGAAGATGGAAGATGGTGAGATGTCAACTTGGCCGTTGATCAAAGGTTTTTCTGGTGTCTATTTTTATTTTTATTTTTGATTTGTGATGATGATTTTTCTTTTTCTTTTTTCCTTTCCTTTTCCTGCGCTTGGGCGGGACAAGTGGATCTCCGTGGAGCTGATGCAGAACCGGTCAGTCAGGTCAACCAGGAACGGGGCCACGCAATCTTGGAACCCACCAGGGGGGGAATTCTATCGATCGGAAGATATCGACGTAGGAGAAGAGAAGAAGGAGAAGAAGTAGAAGAGGAAAGAAAATAAGAGAGGGGAATAATGTGGGATGATTGAGAAGGTCCGTGTTGGATTGGAATAATGATAATTGATTCCCCACCACGGAGTTTACCCCCCCGGCGGATCGGCCGTCCAGTCAGCACAGGCCAGATTCTAGGATCGGGATAATGTCGTGGAAATAGGGAGCGTTGTGGAACACGGTGTTATTAGGGGGGGAGATAGGAGGAGTGGGAGGGATGGTGGTAGGTAACTCTAGGAGAAGTACGAAGTAGGGGAGAAGGAAGAAGAAGAGAAAAGGAAGTAGAAGTAGAAGTAGAAGTAGAAGAAGAAGAAGAGGAAGAAGTGAGTGAAGCCTGAGGAAGAGATGATCCTATTACTGGGAACTGTCAACTCACAATGGATGATCAGAGCACGAGGGGCTTTATCTTGATTATTACTGTGATGATTATATATATTATCTGATTGTACTTATGATTGACTGTACATCAGTCTAGAGAATCCTACACATCATTGACAATCCTCATCCTCATCCTGCATCCTTTGAATCTTTTATTGGATTCTTTATAATGATCAATATGTTTCTAATGAATATAATGTATATTACACTTTCTTATGATTATTTCTATTATTAATAATCTGATTCCGCTGATAGTGGATTCTGGTTATGCGATTCGATTATGAAAGGCATTCAAATAGAGTGTGTGGAAGGGTTCTAGAACTTCCATCAGGATTCCATCATACCTTAATTATGTACAGCACCTCTTTCTTAAACGATGATGGTTTTCTCTCTGTCTTGAACTATCTCTAAACAGACCATTCCTTTCTCTTTCAATCCTCGACTCTATTTAATCAATCTATTATGTCAATCCATGAATCAATGATCTTCATTTCCTGTCCAGCTGACCAGAAACTTTTGATCGGCTTCACCGCAGTCTCTTTTCGGGGCAGTCTAATACCGTATTTTACCGTCTCCCTCCATACCTCCCCGATTATGGTCCTGTAAATAATGTAATCCAAATACATCCTACTCACTCCTCCTCCTCCACTCCACTCTTCATCCATCCATCCTAACCACTTCTCCTCCATTCCTTCAATCCCGAACAATCCAGATTCATGGCATGTATCATCTATCCGTTCAGAGAGAGGGGAACATCCCCCCTCTTTCCTCCATGATCCATTCCTCTTTCTGTTCCCCGGTATGCCCTCGGTAGGAATCGGCTGGTCGACCCTCTTTGCGACGGAAATGGATCGGGTCCCTCACCGAACCATTAAATATCTATAAGTATTGGATCTTGTTCCCGACTTCATCGCTCTCTACGTTCCACTACATTTTCGTTTGATTCTTCTTATTCTTTCAATTCATTCCTTCAAACATTGAGCAAGATCATCCAGGATCCCCAATTCGTCCAGCTGCAGATCGCCCTTTATCCATCCCGGACTAGACTTCCCGCCCAGACTGTCGCCAAGTGCTAATCCACTAGAGATTCATCATGCATATCTTGGTATGATTGCTTTCCTCTCCTACCTTATCTCGAAGAACAAAGAGAAAGGAAAAGCAAAGAAAAGATAAAGAAAAAAAGCAAAAGAAACTAACTGATAAGGTGGTCAATGACGATGGCCCTCCCTCCAACCGACTCTCCCCCTACATCCGTCCCTTCGTCCACGCCCTCCAATCCGCCGGCCATCAAGTCTCCGTCGCCATCCCCGCCGCCTCACGCTCCTGGATCGGCAAAGCTCACCTGATCGAAGCCTCCCTCACAGCCACCTACGTGCCCGAATCCGCCTTTCGCGACGACGGCTCCTGGGATCCCGCCGCACCCGCTGGGCCCCCCCACGCCCAATGGGTCGTCATCGCCAACGGCACCCCCGCCAGCTGCGTCCAGCTCGGCCTCTTCAACCTCTTCGCCGATCGCGGTCCCATCGACCTCGTCATCTCCGGCCCCAATCACGGCCGCAACGCCTCCACCGTCTATAACCTCTCCTCCGGCACCGTCGGCGGCGCCCTCGAGGCCGCTACCTGCGCCCACCGCGCCATCGCCATCTCCTTCGGCAGCAAGGATCCCCAACCCGCCCCCGTGATCGACGCCGCCGCTCGCCTCGCCTCCCGTCTTGTCTCCCACCTCGCCCGGACATGGGATCCCCGCGTCGAGCTCTACAATCTGAACGTGCCCATGCGCGCCGACGTCGAATCGCGACCCGTGCGCTATACCCGCGCCTTGCCCTATCACTGGACGCACGGCTGTCTGTACGCGGAGACACAGTCCAACGGACTCTCCTCAGTTCAGAAAAGCGAAACCAACGGGGACGCACAGCCCACTATCAACGGCGTCTCCCATCACGACCGCCATCCCAGCGATGACAACGACACCACACATCCCCTCCAACAACGCACCTTCGCCTGGGCCGCTGAGCTGTCCGGTATGAAAAAGGCACTGCAAGCGAGTCCGGAAGGGACAGATGCGCAGACCGTGTTGAGCGGAGAGACCAGGTTTGTTTCCTTCCCTCCACCCACCACTAGAATACTGTATCTTGAGATACAGTAAGAAGTAAACAAGAAGAGGAAAAACTAACTGAGTAATAGTATCACGGCCCTGTGCGCCAACTTCTGGCACGTCCCCGGCCTCGAAGGGGATCTCGTCCTTGATGATGATGATGATGATGTTCCTCAATGAGTTATGACACTTGATGGTTTGTAGGTTGGAAAACAAAACAAATGTCAAGGAAGGAGAAAAGTAGGAAGAGATGAGATGAGAAAGGGGGGTTTATAGAGATAGATACCCGCAATGGTTAATTTATTTTTTGGTTTATTCATTATTTACCTTATCTATTTATTTATGTGCTTGTCTATCGATTGATTGACTGGTTGGTTTATCATGTTTATTTATTGATTGATTGATTTTGGATTGCCATCGTCCAAAACATTGAAAAGAAATGGTGGAATGAAACAAAATGCCAATGCCCCCTGTCTTGCAGTAGCTGGCTGAAATCATACAGGGTAAGGTGTCTATATAACAGACAAACTAGGCCACTACTCATTCAATCCCGTGGTAGATAGTAGAAGTCCAGTCCAGACCGGTTCATCTCTAGTGTCTGTAGACAATCCCTAGAAGAAAGGAACCTCTAAGAAAGGATAACCCCTCAGGGGAATAAACCCCCAGGATAATATGTAAAGGAACAAGTTCATTCCAAAAACAAAACAATATACTCCGTAAAGTACTAAGATAACGATAATTACAGCGCCCGCGCTACCTCTCCCGCCCCACTATCCACGACCGAGGCCTGCTCAGCCCGCATCTTGCCCTTGCCCGCGCCTCCCTCGCCGACGCCCATCCGCCGCGCCACGTACCGCTGCGCGATGATGCCCACCGCCAGCGAGAGCGTCTCCTCGATCCACTCGGCGGCCCACTCGCGCGGGTCGACGCCGCCGCTTTCGATGATGTCTGCTATTTCGGCGGGTGTCGTCGTTGTGGTGTTGTTGTCGGCGTCGGTGTCTGCGGTGGTGGTGGAGGTGGTGGTATTGTCTAGCCAGTCGATCCATTTCTGCGGGATGCTCTGCGAGATGGTGTGGAAGGCGATGCCGTGGATGGGATCGTGCAGGTACACGGCGAAGGTGACCTCTTCCTCTGTGGCGTCGGGGACGTCGACCACGCCCGGGGGCGTGGATTTCTCGGTTGTAGGCCCCGCCTGGAATAGCTCGGTCGACGAGGTTTGGCTAATGGCCTGGATGGCGAGGAAGATGTCGCTGCTGCGGACGGGGTTGGTCTCGCTGAGGACCTCGGAGGCTTGCTTGGCGGCTTCTTCGACGCCGCCGCGGGGCGCGAAGAACTCCGTTGCGAAGGACTCGGCGCTGGCGCGCGCCAGCTTGGATGCTTCGGCGGCGCCGCGGATGGAGGCCAGGCTGCGCGGCGTGCCGGGTGTCACTGTGCGCCACCAGGGCCCATCGTGCCAGCCTGGGGCGCGGTTGCTGCCTGTGAGGTCGAGGCCGCGCTTCGGGGCGGACTCCTGCCCGCGTTGCAGCACTAGCAGCTCGCCGCCTTCGACCTGGGCCATGACGCGCGAGAAGACCGCGTAGACGAGCGGGTCAATGCTCGGGTATCCGGAGAGATCGTGCGTGACGTGGATCTGGAGACGCTCGTGGGACGAGATGGGGGGCGCCAGGGTGTGGATGAGCGTGGTGAACGTGGGGATGGCCCGGTCGCGAAGCTCGCCGCCTGGATGTGTGAGCATGGTGCGCTTACAGTCAGATGTCAGGATGGAGCATACCCAAGTCTCGAAGTGCCCCCACGTTGCCTTTCACCTGCTGCGCCCATTTCTGGGCCTCCTCGTTGTGTTGGATCTCCTTGACGGCAGCCTCCGCTTGCTTCATGGCCGCGCTGGCCGTCGCGAAGATCCCGCCCCACCATCCTCCACCGCTCGCCTCCGCCTCCTCTGCTGTTGGCTTCTCGGATTCGGCGGGCTGCGCGGTGGCGGGCTTGCTGGCCGCACGGGAAGCCGTCCGGGCACTATCCGTTGACTTGCGGGGGGCGGCCTTGTCCTCGCTGGACCGGTTGGTCGAGGGGGTCGTCGCCGTCGCCGCCGGCGGCTTAGGGGACCGGGTAGACGGACGGGCTTCGTTCATAGACACACGAGGGGTCCCCGTGTTACTGCTGGGGCGTTGGGCGGCGAGGTTGTCCAACTCGGCGAGGATGTCCTCCGACTGGCCGGTTGTGTTGGCCGGCTTTGCGCCGTCGGCTTTGTCACCGGAGTCGACTCCGAGCGAGTCGAACTGGGCGAGCAGCTCATCGCTGGTGGGTTTGGAATTTTTAGGTCGCATTGTCGGGGTGGTGGTGAGGGGTGTTGGGTGTTTGTGGGGAAGGAAAGGGAGGAGAGGATGTTGATGATGGTTTGGGCGGTGGAGACATGTGGCTGATGACCTGCGCCAAGAAGCGGCTTGACAGCACGCTGGACAGTCACGCGTCACGTCCAATCCTCGATGGCATTCAGGGTTCCTTGCATTGGTTTTTTTCATGGTTTATATTTGATATTATAATTGGCGTGATTGGTAACTCACCTACACCAACATACATACCTAAAAAACCACAGGGTCACTAGAGGATGACAACAACTGGCCTATTTGTTTATAGACCTGCCTGGCTCGATTTCTAAATGAATGGACGCGTCCTTCAACGAAACGAGCGTCGCATTCGACCGGATACTACCAGACTAAAAGGAAACCGGACTCGACGATGCTGGCGATGGCACAATCTCCTTCAAGTTGTCCAACTTTGGGCTTGACAGCGCCAATGTAGAAGGGCGAATCCCGCTTTTCAGTCTCAAATATAGCCGCAACTACGGTGCACTCCATCAAGTTTCCAGCTTGGGTCCTCGTTCCATGACTTTCTACATATATCGTGGTTCTGTGATCTAGGCCTGCCATCATGTAGGCTTTGCGAATGAGTGCCTCCTGTGCTGCTGAGCTTGGATCTGTCATCTTGTGGGTATGACCGTCATGATTGCGGCCCGTACCTTGAACGATGAATATGATGGGCCTTGACGAAAGGCTTCTCCGTGACCTGTTGTTTGCTGGGCTTGACTGCCCGTGCTTAACGAACGCCAGAAATACGCACTATGTATCAAAGCACGGGAGATAGGACAAGCCGTCAAGTTTTCGAGATGTCTAGATGGTTTCGACCGATTTTGCAAATTGATCAATTCCAGTTCAGAGGGAGCATGATGACGCGACATACAACTCTGTACCCATGGACATTCAAGAAGCGATTGATGCTTTTGCTTAACTATAATAAGGCATGCTACACTGACTAGATGGCGAGGAGGCCGTGTCTCGAGTTGAGTCGCATCTGGAGAGGGACTGGAAGTGAGTTGAATATAGTAGAAGGATGGGATAGTATTATTTTCATATTCTTTATAGATTAAACTCAAAGCTTTCCTTATTCTATTCTTCTCCCTTATAAGTCAAGTTAGAAATGGTTAGATTCCTATTTAATACGACTGTATATATCCTTTCTATATAGTTGACTGATTTATTATCCTGGCCATTGTTGATAGGAGCCAATAGATAATACCCAGCTGTTTCAGCCACATAATTTTCGAGGTATACACCAGTACTCCGAATATTAAAGTATAGATAATGCGTCCTCAACTCACCAATTGATCAACAAAACGATCTACTGTATGAGTCAAATGAGATCGGTTGGATTCCGGTCTTATCCTCGGCTCCCGTAACGGTCCCGCCCGCGGAGTGGAGGAGAATCGGCATAAATAGTGAGTAGTCCCACGTTCGATCATCATTGACTGCATTACAGAGGCGGTCCACCTATTCAGTATGTATCTCACAGATTTAAATACTATGGTTTACTAACCTAATCACAGCATCTACACATTCTCGGCTCGAACAGTTTCTTTCCAAGAACTTTATATAAATACATATATAAAGAATATATATAAAATGCGCCTCCCATACGTCCCCGACCCCCCACCAACCACCACCCCGGAGGAAGCCTCCATCCTAGCCCGGGTGCAAGCCCGACGCGCCCCCGGCCCTCTCCTCCCACTAGACCGGGCCCTCCTGCACTCCTACCCGGTAGCCGACGGGTGGAACTCGTTCATCGGGGCGATCCGCACACAGACCAGCCTGTCGACCATCATCCGGGAACTGATCATCTGCCGGGTGGCGGTGGTGAACGGGGCGCTGTTCGAGTGGGAGCAGCACGCGCCGCTGCTGCAGGAGGGCGGACTGAGCGAGGCGGCGTTGCAGGCGATCCGGGACGAGGGGGCGGATTTTGCGCGCTCGGTGCGGGAGGGCGTGCTGGGGGCGGCGGAGGGGGCGGTGTTGAAGTATACGGATGCGATGACGAGGACGGTGAGGGTGCCGGAGGAGGTGTTTGAGGAGGTGAGAGGGTTCTTTAACGAGAGGGAGGTGGTGGAGATTACGACGACGGCGGCGGCTTATAATTGTGTGAGTCGGTTTTTGGTGGCGTTGGATGTGGGGGAGAAGAATGATGAGCATTAGGATATGGTTCAGCCAAATAGAGTTGATTTGGTTGAATTTGGACTAAATTATTTGTTTTATAGATGTGGATATAGAGTGAGGCTGAGTATAGAGTACAGAGTATGGAGTATAGAGTCTGGTCCTGGTATGGCCAGATTACTGGAATCTGTCTAGTATATGAACCTGTATCTATTGTCCAGCCTTTCTTTAAGATATTAGATTCTAGTTTCTCTTAGATTCTCTATAATCATTATTAGTATATTATGATTATTACCAACATTGAATATCAAATACAATAGGAATAGGATAGAATGGAATAAGTAACTAACAACATCATAACAATGATTTGCTGTGACAGGGGGAAATGAATGTAATAGTCCTGTAAATGACGGAGCCACCGGATCAGCCGCTCCCTATCTAGTGATGAATACTGTATGGTACTGTCACACCCTCTAGTGAATTTTTTTTATGATGATTGATTTCCGGATCATCGACACTCCAACTACAACTACAACAACGACATCAACAACTACTTCAACTACTTCTCTGGAAGTGATCGGACAATTCACAGCTTCATTCTATCTGTGCAATCACTTCACCTCTCTCTTCTTTTCTCTTCTTTTCTCTACTTTACTTTCTCCCCCCCTCCTCTTTCTCTCTTCTTCTCTTCTCCACTCTCCTGTCTTTCTCTACATCCACTTTCGTACCAACTACTACAACTACCACCTCTCCATTCTTCCTCCTTTCCCCAACTCCCACAATCCCAATCAACTTCAATCTGTTTTCTCTAATCATCTACCTCTTCTCTTCTATCCCTCTTTCCAATTCTCTTGTCATTGACGTGCCTCGCGTGGCTGTTGTCCTTGCTTACCGATCGGCTGTCCTGCAGAGCCAAACCAAACCAACCCGAAACCCACACCTACTTTAACTTACTACTTACACCTACTTACTACTACTACACTTCTTACACTACCGAAGTTTCTACTTCTTCTACTTCACCATCAACCTTGCTTCTCTCTCCCTTTCTTCCCTGCAACCACCACTCTCTCAATTTCCATCTTCTTCTTCTTCATCAAATCCTCCTCAGAACGGCCATTCTATCGGCGTTCCTTTTTTTCCAATTTCTCGGACCCTTGGATTGAATTATTCAGGTATGTTCCCATCTCTCTACTCTACTTCCCGTCACACGCGATCTGCCACACTCCCCCATTTATCTTAATCCCCCCCTGTACACACATGTAGCGGTCCAGAGCATGTTCTTGAATTGTGCATCCTTTCTGGTCCATCTCTGTGTTCTCGTGTTCTTCCCTTCGATATCTCCCTCAACCTCCTGTAAACTCCCTGTTGATCGGATGCCACGCTCAGTACTTCCTGGCGTCTTGGCATCCGGAAGCGAACTTTTCTCCCCCAAACTGACCTCCAACTGACAACGTGATAGTCAGGTGTCGATCGGGCAGAATCCATCCGGTATTCCGGTCTATCCCTTTCTTGGTGATCGTTGTTTATCCTGATCTCGGACCGATCTGGGATTCCCCCGTGGCCGGCTTGCCATGGCTCCGGTCGCGCATAGTGATATTGAGGCCGGAAGCCATACTTCGGACATGGCCAGCCAGGACTCTCCCATCCGCCGACAATTCTCCGAACCAATCCACCGCCCCCAACCTCCACCCCATCTCCCCCCCCAACCGTCTCCAAATCCCATTGTGCCTGGTGCGGGGAAGACTTTGACGCTCCCGACGACGATTTGCTCGCCCAGAATGACGCCCTCAAGGAGCACATGGCCTCCGTCCACCCGCAGATCGCCAGACGCGCCACCCTCGACGGCGCCGCCGACGAGCCCGTGGAAGCCGATCGCGTCTCCACCGTCGCCGAAATCGAAGAGAACGACGCGGCCGATGTGGAAGACGAGCAGGACGACGACCTGAGCGAAGCCGCCGTCGATGGCGTCGCCGACGGCGCAGAGACCACCGAGCCCACGAACCCGCCCGACGAGGACGAGGAACTCGAAGCCGAACCCGAAGCCGACGCGGACGGGGACACCGAAGCCGTCGACGGCGACGGCCACGAAGTCGAGTCCGACCTCGCCCTCTCGAATCAGCTCCACGAGTTCTCCCAGCCGCAGGACTCAGTCTCCTTGGACAAGCGCGTCCAGAACCTGTGGAACCTCCACGAGGCCACCCTCTTTTCCAGCGACTACGACGAGACGGCCACCCACCTGAACCAGACCTGGGCCCACGTCTTCCTCGACCCCCTCGACCCCAAGCGCGGCAAGAAGCGGGACGGGTCCGACCTCCTCGACCGACCCGACCCCTACAAGAAGCCCCATGTGGGCCGCGGCGATTTCCTCGAGATCACCCAGGTGGAAGCGTTCTTGCGCCAGCTCCGGGATCCCGAGCTGCGCGCCTCCGACCAGCTCTACGCCATCACCGAGAATGTCGCCTACGCGCTCCAGGCCTGGCAGGATGAATACCTCGCCATCGAGAAGCTGCAGAAGCTGGCGACCCGCCACAACGCGAAGCCCAGCAGCAACCCCCGCAAGACGGAGAAGCCGCGCATTTTCGAGGACAAGAAGGAGGCGATGCTCTACAACTACAAACACGACCCCAAGAAGGACAAGATCAACCACCAGAACCCCTTCGTCCAAGGCGGCTTCAAACCGACCCTGGCCCAGGCCCGCAAGATGGCCGCCAAGGTGGGCCCCGATAATCCCAACCCCGACGGGTGGCCGACCATCACCAAGTTCGGCGTCGAGCACGTCCCCAAGTTCCAGAACCCGCCGCCCCGCGTACCCGTGGTTCCCAAGGCCACGCGCAAGCGCAAGGCCGCCGAGCTCGAGGCCGCCCGCGCCCGCGACACAGACCAGACACCCGGCGGGACGCCCGCCCCTGCGGACACGGAACCTGAGTCAATCCCGCCCAAGCGGACCACGCGCGCCCGCCGGACGGACCCCGCCCCGACCACCAGACCTGCCGCCCGCGGTCGCGGACGCGGCAAGGGGGCCAGAACAGGCGCGCGCGCCGCCTCCGAAACGCCCCAGCCCGCCACGCCCACGGCCCCGGCGCGGGCGTCAGGTCGCATGCCCGGTCGGGAGACCGCCGCGCCGGCCACCGCCGCCGGCACCTCGCAGACCCGACCCGGCCTTGCGACCTCCCTGGCGCCCCTCGAACCGGCGCCCCGCGCGGGGTCTGTCACGACTGCCGCGGAGATCGGGGATGGGGGGTTAGACCCGCTGGACCCGGCGGAGATCGCCCGGCGCGAGAAGATCGCCAATTCCAAGAACCCCAAGCGCACCGAGGCCATGCTCAACCACTGGGCCCGGTTTAACCGTGAAGGGCGAACGCGCAACCCCAAGCGGTCCAAAGCGCAGATCGAGGCCGATCGGGTGGCCGAGGCGGCGAAGCGGGCCACGGAGCCTGACAAGCTCGTGGTCAATAACCAACCTACCGAGAGTCCGCCCTATGGGGGCCCTCCTCCCCTGCGGACCGACGCCGGGCTAGCCCCCGCCCCGCCACCGCCGATGGCCGCGTCCGCGCCGCTGGCGCCAGGCCTCCCGGGGGCACCCCGCGCCTGGCTCCCCTTACGGCGCCCCGGGGGCCCTGGGGACAGGAAACATGGCCCCCTACGGCCCCATTGACCCTCGGGCCATTGCGCCCTTCCCGCCGGCGCCGCGGGGGCCACTGCACCAGCCGCCGCCCCAGCCCTATCATACGCCATATCCTTATATGCCGTATGGGGCGGCGCCTGGCATGCCTCCACCGGGGCCCCCGCGGCCGGCGTGATTTTTTCTTTTTTCTCTTTTTCTTCCCCCTTCCACTTTCCCCCTTTTTTAACCTTTTAATTCCGTGTTCTTATATCCTAATATTGTACTGTTTTGTTCTTTGAGCAAGAGGCCGGGGGTCAGGGCATCGAACATATGCCATCTAGCCCATTGACCCTCGGCCTCTTGCTTCATTCTGCTTGCTCCCGGCAGCCGCCCCAAAAAGAACATTCGACACGATAGGGGCGGCGGCCGGGCTCCGGTACGGGAGTCATCCCTCATACTGTTTCCCGGGGTCAATGGGCGCCGTCTCAACAGACATCAGGCATCGCCCCTTGGCCTCAGCCCATTGACCCCGGGGACAATTACCACCCGCGACCTCTTCGCCAGCCGCCGTCCAACATACCATCCGGATTGGGGCGGCGGCTGGACTCATGGGAACCTACGATTGGGTTCCTTGTTTACTGCATCTACTCCTTTTCCGATTTGGAGAGGGGCTGTCTTGTTATTTTGTATACTACCATCGGATCCTTTTTCTGAGGCATTTGATTTTGCTGTTCTGGATTAGCGTGTTGGCCAGCGATGGCGCAGGTGGTCTGTTCTTGTGGATTCGCGGACTGTTATTACTTGATTCAGCGCCCGCGCGGCATATGGTGTTGTACGGCTTCAAAAAGGCGTAATGATATTTACTGCTGTTGCATGTATGCTATGGAATATATCGATTGAATTACTATCCAATTTTAGACCATCTTCATCATCTAATCTACTACCGTACTCACCTAATCGAGTAGAGTAGACACGTGACGTAGATCCCACGTGACGTCGGCAGGTGACCGCAGGTGACTTCGGCGGCGATTCCAGACGCGGTTGTCATTTGCCTCTCTCATCCCATCCATCTAGACCACCACTTTATCCTATTTAATACCGCCGCCATGGGAAAGAAAAGACGCGGACCTTCGCTGGAAGAGCTCCTAGGACGACCATGGTGCTACTACTGCGAGCGCGACTTTGACGACCTGAAGATCCTCATCTCCCACCAGAAAGCGAAACACTTTAAATGCGAGCGATGCGGGCGGAGGCTCAACACAGCCGGAGGTACCTTCTTCCTCTCCTCGTCCTTTACTATGATTTCTTTGAGATGACGATAAACTAACTAAATAGGCCTATCGGTCCACATGAGCCAGGTACACAAGGAGCAGCTGTCCACCGTCGACAATGCGCTTCCTAACCGATCTAGTCTCGACGTGGAGATCTTCGGCATGGAAGGCGTCCCCGAGGACATCATCCAGGGCCACAACCAGCGCGTCGCGACCCAGTTCCAGCAGGCCGAGGCCGAGCGTCAGGCCGTCACGGGGAACCCGCCTGCCGGCCAGGGCGGCGCCACCCCCAGCGGGGGCCCGCAGCCGGCCAAGCGACCCAAGCTGGAGAACGTGTCGGATCTGAAGAAGCGCTTGGCGGAGCATAAGGCGAAGAAGGCGGAGGCTCTCGCGGGCGGGAGTAGTGGGGAGGTTACGCCTGTTGGGGCTGGTCAGACGACGACGACGAGTATTGGATTTGTATGTCCCCTCCTCATCTCTCTTATGTGGTGTATGCTGATTTTATTTAGAATGCATCAAACCCCCCCGCTCAGCAATTCTCTTATCCCCAGCCGTACACAGGTGCCGCTGCGGGTTCTCCCTTCCAATCAACGGCAAGTCCCGTTTACCAGAACTTCTTACCCGGCGGTCCACAGCAGTACCCTTCTAGCACGCAGTACACGTCGCCGTCGACCTACTCGCCGCAGCCGTTCACGGCCCCGACCCCGGGACAACCCCTCGGATACCCGTCGCAACCGCCGTCGCAGACCAACACCCCGCCGCAGAGCGCGACCGGCCTGCCACAGCGACCGCCCAGCCTGCCCAGCGCGTCTACCTTACCCCAACGACCGGTGATGGGCGCCCCGCCGGTCAACGCGTTCCAGATGCAGCAGATGCACATGGGGCAGGGGCAGGGTGGGCCCAACGGCGAGGGCACGACCCCGTTCGCGACGTCGGTTGACGATTTGATCTCGGGGGCAGCGCGGGCAGCTGACCAGGCGGCGGCGCCGGCAGCAGCCCCAGCGGCACCGGCACCGGCGCCCTCGAAGGCCGAACCGACAGACGAGAAGACGACCAAGAAGGACAAAGCGAAGCAGACCCGGCTGGTGTACGCCGACAACGAGACCAGTCCGGAGGAGAAGATGGCGCGACTGTCGCGGTATGCGTTCGTTCCTCGGGAGGAGACTGTTCTGGACGAGGTCCCTGCAGCTGTGACAGCACCGAATGATACTCTAGGTAGCTAGATGCGTCGCAGCAGCCTAGCAGGATATTATCGAAGGAGGTGACAGCGGAAAAGCTAAGTCGATCTATGTCAAGCAAGGAGACTTGTCACTGACGGGCGGCTTGGTAGTGGGTGGTAGTGGGTGGTAGGCGGATGGTAGGCGGGATTGGTAGAAAGGAGAGAGAGGTAGAGAGCATGACATGTAAGTTCCGGAGTCCAGGTAGGGAATATCATTATCATATCTTATTATATTGTAACGTACGCTACGGAGTACATGAAACAAAACAACCATCCACTTTAAGTAGACAGACCATCAATCAGTATATCAATCAATCAATACACACATAAATAACACAAACAAACCCTCCAAACCAAAACGAAGATAAGATAGATAGATAGACAAATCACCTCCGATTCCAAACCGCACTCCCAAAAACCACCCCCCCAACAAGCGCCAACCCGCCCAACCCAATCGGAACAACCTTCCCCGTCTTGATCGCCCTCGGGATCGAACTGCCCCCCAGCACGACCGAAGCGAGCAGCGCTAGTTCATCCCCGTAGGGCTGGTTCGCCTGCAGCCGCGTGTAGCTGTACAGGTAGAGGGCGCCGATGGAGACGCCTGCTGCGATGGAGGGGACGGAGCCGGTGCGCGCGTAGCCGATTATGCCGCCGAGGGAGGTGAGGGCGGAGAGGGAGAGGGCTGTTTTTTCGGTTGTCTTTTGGTGGAGAGTGGTTAGGAGATGGATGGATGGATTGTGTTTGGGGGAGTTGATGGGTGGGGCGTGGTTTGGTTGGGGGTGGTTTGGGGTGAGTGAGGGGGATGGAGTAGTTAGTGGGTTGGATTGTGGGTTTGGAGGGTGAAAGAGGTGGGGATGAGGGTAGGGTGGATTGACGTACCATTTTGAATGATATGATTGTTCAGTTGTTGCTTTTGTGTGAGGTAGAGGAGGATAGGATAGATGATGATGTAGATCGAGGTAGGTGGTATGATGAGATGGAGATGGAGATGGAGAGCCTGAGGGGTGTAAGGTATGCCGAGGTAGGCTAGTACACTTTGGGGGTGACAGCATATATTACTCATCTAATATTAAAGCTAATATGTATAATACGGGCCTGAGAAAGAATGAAAGAGCTGCTTTTTCATTATTATATATGGATTTTTCGCCAGTTACCTGATTGAAAGTATCTTATCAAGCCTTTGAGACTTGTTTCACTACTGCTATTACCCAAGATTTCTCTATAGGATCATGCTATGTTCCCACAACCCCCAGAACTCGTAATCAGAGTCAATGCATATCGGATAGTACATATGGTGACTTACTGAAAAACCATAGTCGCAGGCAGTAACTAGTTATCCACAGATCCTGGTACACTACATTCTGTCGTCGACAAGTGGGTGTGACTGGCCATCTGCCACCGATCGAAGGGACTCGAAATTTCTGGGAATGAATATGTAAGGCTCGGCTATCTTATGCCCTGGTTTTGAAAAGAGGTTCAGAATTACAAGAATCAGAAGAAGAGACCATTTCCATATCCAAAGGCTAGTATATCATGCTTGATAGCATGACAACTCGATAATCGATTCAGATCTCTCCATTGGTTGCTCCCAAGGTGATCGTTTGAGAAAAGAAAAGCTGCAGAGATTAGATAGTTTTCGCACTCTAGCCAGACTTTTTTCGATTGATCCTTCCCCCGGGCTATTAGACTCGTCAAAGCCTGTTTGATATGAGGGCGCATATGTTTCGTAGGTGGTTTATCAAAGCCGCAGAGCGTCCCCTCAGAAGACGCACATTTTTAACAAGAATAGCAATCGAATGTAGCTTGCACAGGCGCTACAACGCCATTGAAGAACTCCTGTCGGAACTGCGCATAATAAAAGTGCTTCGTTATGTCTCTTCCCGGAAATTCACATCGCAGACAACGTTTAATCGCGTCACCATACTCCGGGCCAGCGTCGAGATGTAGCTCGTCAGCGAGCTCAATGGCAAGCTGATAATCCTCCAAGATCGACCATTGTTTGCCGTCGTCTAGCAAGACTTGTTCGCGCAGCTCTTCAAATGATCTGTTGAATCCAACCTCGACCAGAAAGATTCCCAGTGCAAATAAGGTCCGGTTGCGGACAAGTTTGTATTGCAGCGGCTCTTGCAGTGGATCGTCGTTTGGAGCATTGTCACCACCAAGTTCACCTCCCGTTGCACACGATAGTCCGGAATTGTGAAAATGACACGATATGCATGGTGTATCGCTCAGCAATTCCAACTGGGAGCTACTATTATCCAGCATGAACTGAACGTGATCTTTCTGCCAAGTCTCAGCTAACCATGGCGATTCGCCCAGGTAGAGAACGGCCCACGCCATGGCGGCGGCAAGGCCAAGTCGCTGCTTCCTCGAGAGCTTCAGCTGACGCATTGACTGGGTTGTCAAGAGACTGCGGAGCGAAATGAGTTGCAAGGGTGAAGACAAGGTTCTTTGGGCCGACGACAAATGGACCTGGCTGCTTTTCCCGGACGCGTCGGTGTCCAAAAGAAATCCTAGGACCGTAGTCTCGTGGGCTTCCAAGAATGCTCCACAGAGGCTGTTAATAGGACGCTTGGGCGAGGGTGTATCGGACGCTGATCCAGTGTTAACAAAGACGCTGGCCAATTTCTAATGCTAAGGGCTGCAAGTCAAAGGCTCGCTATTCCAATACTCACCTGGCAGATTATTGAAGTCGCACGGAGCCAGTGGAGCAGGCTTTCGAAGAGGCAGATTGAACCGGAGGCTTTTTCTTGACACTCTGCTTTTGCCCGCGTCCTGTGCCTCAACTTTCACTGTGACATCTCCATTCTCTTGCGCATTCTCTTGCGCCGAAGGGTCAACAGCTTGCTCCTCAACTACCCACATATTTGTCTTATACCAGAGCTCCGCACAAGTGTTACTGCCGCCACAGGGTGATTTTGGTGGATATAGCAAGGTAAGGTCGAAGCGCTGCTTGGCCTGGCTGGCGCCACGGGTATTATGCCATTGAAGATCAAGCGCGGCCTGGTGAGGCAGTGCACAATTACAATTCCAGCCGCGCCGCAGGGCGCGATGGATTGCTGTAACGTGACTTCGGGTCGTGTTGCAACGCTCCAGATCGAAGCGTTTCTGTAGGGTTTCAATTGCGTGAGTAGGCGCTGTGATAGTCGAGAGTTCTTGCTGCTCAAAGCAGTTCCGGAGGGCGGTGTTTCGTCGTTGCAGATCCTCAATAGCCTCCCTTCGTTCTTTGGAGCTGAGACTTCGTTTGACACGGCGCCATTCCCATTTCGCTCGCTCCGGAGGGTCGCTCGTCCAGGTTGGCTGACGGTAAGCCCAGGTCAGCATGAGGGCAGTGGAGAGGAATACAAGCCCGAGTGTGTCACCTTCCCATCGGGGCTGATTTTCATCTTGCCCATCAGCCTTTCTATGACCCTCGACATTTCTTGGATGATTGTGGTGAATGCTGTGTACTGGGCTGGAGAGTAATGGCAGAGTCTGGCTTCGATCTCCCGGAGAGTCGGCGGAAAGACGGTGACGCCGATGAACCTCAACGTGGCGTACAGCTGCTCTCGCTGAAGGATCAAGTCATTGCGGAAGGTCGTAAGCACCTGCTCGTACTTAAGGTATGTTTTGAGGGGCTCGCGATACTGGTCTGTGACCCAGATCAGGATAGGAATGCCCCCGAGGATCAGTCCTGCGGGTTCTGCCATTTCCCAGGTTTGTTGGTAATGATGAACAAGGATGAAGCCATGGATGCCTGTGCAGCCGTGCGAGGATTGCAGAGGACTGCATGTTGCAGCCAAATACCCCGCCCATGCGGGTGACTTGCGAACATTGAACCCGTCAGCTTCTCTCTGCCTTCACCCTGCACTCGACCCGGCGAATCGAGCATGAGAACTGAACATGACTTCTATATCACTTCTATATTCGGAGACTGTTGACGCGTTCAGAAGGCTACTGTTCGCTCTAAGTGCCGCCGATTGTCGCACGGTTTCCCTGGAGCAGGTGCAAGTGTCGGACCTGCAGGACAAGCTGGGCCGATTTCAAGTCTGGGGGGATCAATCACGGGCGAACCTCCCTGAGCATGCGAGAGGCTCCTTAGATGACCTGCTGCGATCGAATGAGGCGCTTCAAACCGTCACGCAAGGGATCCTATCGCAGGTACAAGAAGGGGTTAAACTTGGTACAAGTGACAGTAGCGCTGGGTCCGAGAACACGAGACTGACTCGTCCCAGCCGTTGTGATCGCTGAACGAAAATATGACCCACTGAAGGGATCTGATCAAGATTCCATCAGCAGCGTCAGCGATGATTCGAGCGACGAATCCGACATCGATGATGACGACTCACCACAGGGCAGACGGATACCCAAAATCAGGTTTCTGGTTTCTCAGATCGATGCCCAGATTCAGTCTCTCTACAGGTTGGCTGCCACTGTGCGTCGTCCTGCTGTGGTGAGGAGATACCTTCGCTCCACTGGCCAGAACGGCCGGGGCGAGGTGCTGTCGGCTTTTCACGGGTACGACTACAACCATGTCTGGGAAAAGATGTGTCAATGGAACCACTTGACAAAAGCCGATGTTGCGACACCAACAGGCGAGGAAACGGCGGTTCAAGTCGAATCTTCACCATTTTCGCGACATGGTAAAATCTTTGACGAAGAGCAACACGCCCTGTTTAGGCGTTTAGCCGAGGCGAATACGAAAAGGCGACAACAGCTCCTCCATTGGAGTGAGCACCCGGATAGCTCAAATACGAAATCGCCTATGAGTAAGGTCGCAGATCTACCTCCGTCAAACAAGCGAGCACTTGACGGTGGAGAGGAATCGCAGAGCCGGGTTTCGACCATTCGACCAGATACGAGCGTTGCTCAAGAATCTCATAGGTCATTACGGAGCTTTTCAACTGTGGCAAAGTCGGCAATGGACGACGAAACTGAATTTGGTCGGCCGAGGACAGTATATGCAGAGTCTGCTGCGCCCGGATCCATATCGCCGGTTCGCGTTCCCAATGTGCCCAGAGCTGCTGAGACTGAGGACAAGTTTGATTGCCCATTTTGCGGCCAGGCCTTGGACTCAGCAAACATGAAAGTGAGGCAACAATGGAAGTAAGTCGCAAGTCCTTCTAATTCGCGTCTCAGTGCCTGACTCCTCCAAGGCGCCATGTTTTTCGAGACCTCCGACCGTACATCTGTACATTTGCTACTTGTCAAACCGCAGAGAAGCTCTACGCTACTCGCCACGAGTGGGTCTATCACGAGATGCATATGCACCGGCGTAAGTGGGTTTGTGAAGCCTCGTGTGGCCTGGAATTTGATAGCAGGTCTACGATGGCAAAGCACATCCCACATTGCCACCAAGAACCCCTAACAGATACCCAGCTTCAGATCATGCTGGACATGAGGGAGCGGCCCGTGGATGATCCAGTGCCTGCCTCTTGTCCATTGTGCCCCGCGGAGCTCATGAGCCTACGTCAGCTACATACGCACATATCTCAGCACTTGGAAGAGCTTTCTCTGTTCGTCGTTCACAGCTCTCAGCAGGATTCCGACGAGGACGACATTTCCTTGGCTTCAAATCTAGCTGCGCAGGCAGGAGAGCCTCTTGAAGCCGCTGCTCAGAGCGGCTCCCAGCATTTGAGCTCTTCCACTCCGTCTCAAGCCTCTCTGGAGGATTCTACTGCAGTCATAAGTGTCCCTGAGAAAACGCGTGATCAATCAATGGATAAGTTCAAAGCGTTGTCGGGTTCCTCTCAGCTTAACAGCTTCACCAGAACAACGCAATGGATTTCGGATGCCTCCCACTTCCCTCCTGCTGTCGTTAAGTCTAGCTCACTCACAAGTAACACCGTTGAGCCTGTCATACCTGTGCGTGACCTCGAAGAAGACGAAGAATATGTTATCCGGGCCTTTGAGCGCCACGTCGATAACTGTTCTCAGTGCATTGACCCACTGAAAATCCTCGAAGAGGGTGACACGCTCACACTTTGTGACAGCGGACACGAATATGCCAACAATATTGCCGCTTACCTGTACTCTAAGAACGGAAAGGACTTTTCGGTCATCGACCGCGACTATAACATTCCAACACTGGTAAAGATACCTCGGCACTACCTAGCAGCCCGCGGCCTCCTTCTAGCAGTGGAAGATGGATTACTCCTTGCCCCAACGGAGGCACCACGGGCAACGAGCGGCCTCGCTTTCCTTCCAGCCAATGAGTCGCAAACCCGCAGCGTGAAACCGCGCCGGGTAGTGGCCTACCCGTCTTCTAGAAACTCGGAGGCTAGAGGATCACTCTACGACATCGACGCTTTTGAGCGGGCTAAGGCGAGAGAACCCTCACGTATTTATAGGCGTAAAGAATGAAAATTGGTCGTCCATACCTCCGCTGCCTGCTGCTGAAGTATCTTCAGCTCACCAGCCAGCAACCATCTATTGTGGAGGTGGTCCAAATTTTCTCTCATCATGGGGGACCTAGCCTGAGTCGGGCGTCATCACATTGACATCTAGCTGAGACATATTCCCACTGAGCATATTGCTTTTAAAGGACAGGGAGGAGAATCGGCAAAACGGCGTTGTTCGCCTCAAGAATCCGACTGTAGAAAGATTCATAATATTATTATGATAATCTCTCGTGGGCACTTGGATATAGGCAAGCTTTTTGTTATAAGACTAGAATTATACTCCCTTGTTTTTTGCTTGGTTTATCTTATGATTTAGCTTATATGTAAATAACAAAAGCTCAAGAATCCCTGTATTATCCTTCTTGTACTGAGGTGATCAGTTTGCAGTTATCACTATCCCAACCAAGTTAGACAAGACACAAGCTGCTGCCTCTTCAATAGTTGGACCATATTATTAAGGAGGGTATACATCTACTACTTACTGCAGGACGGCTGGCACTGAATTTCGTCACTGAGGAGCCTCGCTGGAGGCCATACCAGCTCATACATTCTATTATCTCCATATAAGGAAGCCAGGCTTTTTTTTTTTTTTTTTTTTTTGGTCAATATTCAGGCTTGCCTGGAAGCTTTTAGCTACAGGCTACATAACTAACTGATACTCATAATTATATTCGAAATTACTCCATCTCGCTATCACTCTCACTCTCACTCTCACTCTCATACTCGATCCTCTCATCCATCTCATCAAACCCCTCCGGCTCCACCACCCAAAAAACAGGCAAAGCAGACACCCCCCCAATAGCCGCCAACAGCCACCACGGACAGATGATATACCCGCACCGCACCCCATACGAGAACGCCGCCCCCGTCGCAGCAGGCCCCACCGCCCTCCCAACAGCGCTGACGCTGGTCGCCACGCCGTTCAGCGTGCCCAGCACGCGCAGGCTACTCGCTGAGTTGGTGAGTAGGATTGTTGTGCACGGGAAGCCGAAGATGGATGCGGCGAGCTTGGCGAGCATTAGGAGGAAGACGGTTGCGTGACGTAGGGACGGCGGGACGAGTGCCGTGAAGGGCGTTATGAGGTAGAGGATGGGGAAGATGCAGGAGGCGATGCGCAGGCAGGCGAGCGCGCCGTGCCGTTTTGCGGTTGGCGGGAAGATGAGGAATTGGATGAACATGCCGATTGTGCCGATTAGGGTGTAGTAGATGCCGATTGTTTGGGCGTCTGGAATACTTGTAAGTTTTATGTCATATGATGTTGGGAGGTCAAGAGGTAGTATAAAGTGTGTAGGGAGAGAGAGAGAGAGAGAGAGAGGGGGAACGTACCAACTCCAAACCCACCCAGAAACTTCCACGGTAACCGCACGTCTGGATTCCCCTCGCGCGGCTGCTCCTCTCTGTGCAAGAACACTGGTAGCAGCGAGTCAAACGCCATCGTGTGCATCGACATGCATGCGTACGCCACGAGGATGAGGTTCGACTGGGGGGTGAAGACCTCCCGCCAGCGAGGTCGGGGTGGTGACTGCGTGTCTCTATCTTTACCTCTGCCTAGAAGAGGCGTTCTCTCCTCTTCTTCATCATCCTCCTCACGCTTAAGAGAGGTAGCCTTGCGGCGTGAAGGAAACACACACAGACGAGTCAGCGCTCGACCGAGGAGAAGGCCGTAGTCGCGGTGATTTTTCCTCGTGGATAGGGTTTCCTATACATATTAGCTCATCCATCCACCTACTCAAAGAAAGAAAGAAGAGACATACCTCCAAAAACAAGAATCCCGTCAAAATCCCCACAACAAACAACCCAGCCGCCAGCAAATTCGGCAACAAGAACGGATACCTCCCCAACACCCTCCCCACCCACCCATCCCCGCCAAACACCCCCGGATGCTTCTCGACCGGCCTGGCCAGCGCCCCCCCAAACGCAGGCCCGAAGATACTCCCCACCGTCCACACAAGCGGCATCACGCTAAACGCCACAGGCTGCAGATCCCGCTGCGGCACCATCTCCGCGACCATCGTGCGGATGATTCCTACGTTCCCGTTTAGGAGGCCGAGAAAGGCGCGCGATATGACCAGCGCTGTCAGTGTGCGGGAGAGCCCGAAGAGTACAGACACGACCATCGTGCAGCTTAGACCCAGTAAGATGATGGGCTTGCGCCCGAAGTGGTCGGATGCTGTGCCCCAGGGTACGGCCATGGCGGCTTGGCTGAGGGAGGTGGCGGCGGAGGTGATGCCGACCCATTTGGCGACTTGGTCACGCGGGACGCCGACTTGCTCGATCATTTCGGGGAGGTAGGGGAGGACGGAGGTGAGGACCACGGGCTCGGCGAAGCGGCAGATGGAGAGGATGAGGAGTTGTTTTTTGGGGAGGATCGGTTTGGGTTTCATCTTGCTTATATATGTATATATATATATATATGGGTATGTGTATATATAGATGGAGGTATATAGGTAGGTGGGATTTGTTATATATATAGATTGGTGAAAATCTTTGTAGCTGAGATAGTTACTCCGCAGAGTCAGACGAAGTGGGACGGCGCACGGGCTGCTGCAGCTAGTGGTCCGTGCCTTGTAGATTTACAAGTGGATAGTTATAGATCTAGAAGATAGATACTTATAGATAGATAGATAGACTTATAAATGGATGGATCGATATATACGACCTTTCAATCACTACCTCAATATAATGAATGCCATATCCTGATCCTGTATCCGCTTACTGAATTCACTCCAGCAACTTGGTGGCCTCCCCGATCCGCTCCATGATGATGCCCCTCCATTTCTGTATCTGTTAGCAGAACTCCTAAGAAATGTAAAAGAATGAAAGAAAGGATATCCTACCATCGCATTCTTCAAATCTCCCCCCTCCAAACTTTCCACCAACCCGGGATACGTCGCTCCCGAATACCCCGTCCACAGCCCCGGCGCAAACACCACATGCTTAAACCAACTACGTCCGTCCAGTCCCGCCGCATACAGAAACTGCCTCTCCAGCGCCTTATACTGGTCGTTGACCCGACGGATCAAGAAGAACAGCCGCACCTTCTTCCACCACTGATACCAAGGCAGGTCCTCGTCCAGCTGATCCACCAGGCTAGCCGCGTACCCGTCGAACTGCACAGCCACCTCCTCAAATTGCGCAATCGCCGCGTCCAGCGGCGCAAAGTCGAACTTCTCTGACGGCGGCAGCTTCCCTGCTGCCGGCTTGATCTGCTCCAAGTACGCCGCTAGGCCCCGGCCGTAGTCCGTCGCGCTGAGGGACAGCACGGGAGTCTCGATTAGCTGCGCGGCGGAGAGCGCCCAGATCTGCGCGCACGCGGTGTGGTACGCCCAGTCTGCGTCGCCGTATCGGTCCATCCAGGCGAAACTGTCGTAGTTCGAGTGGTAGTGGTAGACGGCGTCGTTGGCCCCCCGCACGAATGCTACGTCGTAGCTGGGGATGCCGGCGAAGTCTTGGAAGGCTGTGAAGTCGCTGCCGCTGCCCATCGTGCCGATCTGGCCGTCCCATACGTCGCGCACTGTCTGGCCTGCGACGGTCTGGTTGGGAGATGGTACGAGGCCGGTGGCTTCGTTGATCACGTTGTTGAGCAGCGGGCTGGCTGACGGGAAGAACTCTGACCCTGACGCGGCCACGTCCACATTCAGGTAGGCTACTGTCGCGCGCGACAGCCACGGGAGGTGGTCTTCCACCCACTCGGTCGATCCCAGCAGTCCGTACTCCTCGCCGTCCCAGCTGGCGAACACGATCGTGCGCAGCGGCTGCCAGCCGGCTTTCAGCGCTTCGCCGAAGCTGCGGATGACTTCGTTCATTGCGGCGGAGCCGCTGTTCGGGTCGCCCGATCCACCTGCGATCCAAGAGTCGCGGTGGTTGCCCAGGATGACAACCTCGTCGGGGATGGTGCCCTTGACTGTCCCGATGACGTTCCACAGCGGCGTGATCACGTACTCCTGCTCGTTGTAAAGGTTGATCACCACGTCGTCGGGCGACGGTCCGATGTTGTACTCAACCCCCTTGTTGCCCAGCTTACCTCCCTGCCAGTCCTGGTTGAAATCGGACGCCTTAGGCCCGTGCCCGTTCAGCGCTCGCAAGAACGGCAGTGCCTCAGCGTACGAGATGGGCAGCGAGGGGATCGACGGGATCGCGTCCTGTGGATCTTGCCGGTCGCATCCCGGCTTCGACGGATATCCTGGAGTCGTCGGATCACCGGGCGATGTGCCTGCCCCACACTTAGTATATCCCACCGTCGCAAGAACACATAATTCACTTACTCAAAAACTGGGTGCTCCCCCGCTGGACCGCGCTAGGATTCCGCGCCGGCCCATCCGGATAAGCCTCGTAGCCATTCTCCTCGATAATCTCTCCATCCTCCTGCGGATCGCTGTACAGAACCACGCCCACCATACCGAGCTCCTGCGCCCGCTTCACCTTCAACCCCCGGAAGATGCGACCGTACTTACAGATCGCGATCTTCCCCGCCAAACTGACATTAGCATCAACGAGATCCTGGTAATCCGCGAAAGTGCCAAAATTGGCGTACACAAACGGCGCCGTGACATTGCCATTAGCAGAGTACCCATGGAAGGTAGGCACACGGTCGGGCAGCCCGCTCGTGCCATCCTCTTCCAGGACATCCTCCTCCAGCGACGCCTCGAAGGTAACCTCCGTGGCACCATCGGCCTCCCGCAGCAAGGCAAGCCGATGGTCCTTGGGATAGTTGAGGTAGACGTCATAGGCGACGATCTCGGTCTCCGCGACGCCAAACTCCCGCCAGCGGTCCTGCGTCCAGATCGCCTGGCTCAGGTTCTGGCCTGTCAGATGCGGCCCGGACGTGTAGTACTCGCTCCATTCGCGCGACCGGGCGGGCGAGGGCGTGTGCAGGAGAATGGACTGCAGGTCTTGGTAGGCGAGGCCGTTCCCGTGCGGCCAGGCTTCGTGCGGGAGGGGGTGCGCCCAGGGTAGGTACGAGAAGATTGAGCCGTGGTCGCGGGGGAGGATGGCTGATGGAATGAGGAATAAGACTAGGGATCCCAGGAGAAGCAGGCCCAATGAGAAGCTGCAGGCGCGTCGCAGGCGATGATGGGGATAGCGGTGTCGCGGGGGTGCGACGTTGACGTACAACAAGGGGGTGGACTCGGAGGGAGCCATGGTTTTCTCCCTCATGCCAGAATACATTTTCTAAATTACCGGATTGGGGAAGCTGGTATCCATCACAGGGAGAGAGATGGATGGAGGAGCAGAAGACGGTGTAGAGTGACCGATGGAGGGATTAACCGACGGACTCCGGGGATGCTGGCCAGAGGCTACGTAATTCAGGCCCACCGCTCGGTTATCTTATCGGGTGGAGCCGATCGAGTAAACATCCATAGTTCAATGGTCAGTTATGGTGAATCGTCATTCATAAGCACAGGTATCAAGTACTCCGCTATTATATACAGATAAATATCGAAAGGATAAAACCCAGAGTGAAAGTAAATAGATCACTCTACTTCCATCCCCCCCTGCTCCTCCTCCGGAATCGGCACCGTGTCGTTCAGTTCAAAGTTCACCTTCTCGCCAATCTCGATACTCTCGCGGATGATCACTCTGGCGGCGTCATCGTCCACGCCCATATCTTCCATGACCAGTCGCATCGCGAGCTCTGGAACAAGGACGGCCTGCGCGTAGGGCACGACGCCGGCTTTTTTAACAATGTGGTCGTCGGCTGCGAGACGACGGAGTTTGCGAGAGAAGCGGGTGGTCACTGCTTGTAGCCTGATGATGTTATCAGCATTTCATACAATAAAGATAGAGAGAGAGAGAGAGAGAAAACCCACATTTTAGCAGCACCACGCGTCCCATAATACCCACAAGACATATTCTCCAGCCCATTCCCATCCAGCGTCAAACGGAAATTTTTAGCCTGGCCAGACTTGAGCTCACTATCCAATAAATTCCGATAGTAGGACGTGCTATCAGGCGCCAGAAGACGCTCAAGATCAGCGAAATGCCCCTCCAGGCGTTCGTCAAAATTGGCCCAGTCGATAGTCGGATACCGCTTTTCGGTCCACTCCTTCTCGGCGCTGTCGCTCTGGTGCGATTCGCAGAACCGTTTCTGGTCCCGGATGCGCTGGCGCGGCTGCTCGAGAAAGGTGAGTAGGAGGCCTGGGTCGACTGGTTGCTTGCACATGGGACATAAGGATTCCTCCGGTTGTAGGGTCTTTGTCGGAGGTGGCTCCGGGGCTGTCATTTCCGCCTCCATGTCACCCCACTGCGATAACTCGTTTAAGAAATCAGATGACGCCGAGCTCAGCGGCGTGCTCAGCGGAGAGTCGTCGTCATCACCGTCAAAGACAGGAGGTTCACGAGCCGACGACGTAGCGAACGACGAGCTAGACGTCGAATCGACCGGAAAGTTCGGAGGGTTCTTGAACTCGACCCGTTTGGGCGGCGAGCTCGGAATATCTCTGGGGACTTTGAACGCGGGCCCTTTCTTCTCGCTGCCCGCCGTCCTTGTAGCCCCATTGCCCGTAGATTTCGAACCCTCCCCAACCCCACTAGCAGGCGACTCCGACCGCCTCGACGCAAAGCTCGACGCGCGCTGTCCCCAATCCGACCTGCGATTGCGATTCGACCCATACCCCACACTCTTGCGTTTCTTCTGACTATGCTGTGAAAAGATCATTTCCTCATTGTTCTCGTCCGGCGCGTCATACGCCATCTGTTTGGAGCTTCTCTTCCGACTGGACCCCGGAGAATTCGACTTCGACTTCGACTCCGTCGTTCCGCGCCGCGACGACCGCGTCGCCGCGAGCTTCTCCTCCAGTGTCGGCCCCGACGGCTGCCGCCGCTGTCGCTGTCTCTCCCGGCCACTATCAGATTCTACCCCCGCGCTGACATCGCTCGCGATTTCCTCGTCGGTGGAGCTTTGCGGCTCTTCGTCTGTGGCGGGCTCTTCTCGTTTGGCGGATTTGAAGGTCGATAGCAGGTGGGGGCCTGGGTAGTTTCTCGCGGTTAGGTAGGTCCTCGAGTGGCTGCTATCGAGACCTTGTCGGGTTGTTCTGGTCATGTTGGTGGAAGTATAAAAGATAAGAAAGGAGTCGATGGTTTTTGTTCGAAAGGTTAGGTTAGGTTAGGTTGGTTGGTTATCGAAGGAGGCCGCGGGGGGTGGGTATGTCTCGTGTCTCGTGTCTCGTGTGAAACAAAGAACTCAGCGAGCGTGGGAATATCGGAGTCGGAATCGTCCCAGCGTTGGACAAATCATGCGCTTCTAGATCCCCTCAGTAGGTATAACCTGTTAATGCTCACGCGGGGTCGCGTAACCACGGTTGAGAGCTCAAAAAGACCGGAACTGGAAATGCACTGCACGGTAGGGCAGGATAGGACAGGACATGGAATGCAGAAAGAACAGAGTAAGATAAGAGACAACGGCCGTAGAAACCGGTTGTTTACTAGTTCCTATCTGGACACCAATTGAGATGATAATTGAATGGAAAATATAAGTGAATGAACGACCAACTCATCGACAATTCATGGTTGTTGCTTTAAGGCAAGTCAGATGAGGAGAGAGATTGACGCGTGTTGGTGTGACTGACACGCTATGCCGCCTTCCCCACTCAAGCTCATCAAGACCCACTTGTTATAGGCTTATAGCGCTCTATCTGAGTGTTTTGTCGTCCTCAGTACATCGTTCTCATACTTGCATTAAGCTTCATGATCTTTTTGGAAGGGAGCCCCAGTGAAGTATCTCCCATAACCTGACAATATCATATCTATCATCATTACCAGGTATATTATACTCCGTAGACACCTTCTTCCACCAACTATAAACCAATCAAGCCGAGTCCATCTCAACCAAAACTATAATCATACTAAATAAATGCAAATAGAATTCAAAAGAAGAAAGATTATGTATATAATTATAGCAGCAAATCAGGTGTATGTTCATTAAACCATCAAAAGAACTGACCAGGCCAGCTAAGACCCACAAACAAAACAGTCTCCATGGATATAAAAAAAAAGAAGAGATAAGAATATAGAAATGGTTCGTTCTTCCAACGGCTGATCCAAAAGTTTCGTTGTCCGGTTCCAGCATAGCTAGAAAGACCAATCCAAAAAAAGAAAAAGAAAGAGAAAGAAAAGGGTAGAAATAGGAAATGATAAGAAAGAAACAGAGAAGAAAACAGGACATTAATTTATGCAAACTCCAGCAACAGTGCAGGAAATGCAAAGCAGATACCAATATCACGCTGACCTGAGTCTACCAGAGTTCGTGGGTCGCGTCACTCAAAACTCATCTGGATTTCGTCCTCCTCGCCATACTCGGCCCACGCGTTGGGCTCCATAGCCATGGCCCCGACGGCGCTGGCTCCGACGGCCGCACCGCCAAAGGTGCCTGCGCCGACGGGCATCGTGGCGGAAGAGCGGAGCTCGGGCCGAGTGGGCTCGGGATCCGCTTTGCTGGGCTCAAAGGATGTGTGTGAACGCGGCGGCGGGGATGCCTCGTGATATGACGTATCGAAGGTCAACTCGACTTCCTCGTCGTGGGGCTGAGACTGGGGCGGGGCTTGGGCCTGGGATGGAACATCGGGCTTTTGGGTGGAGGGTTCAAGGACGGATGCGGGGGTCGGCGTGGCCTCGGCCTTTTTGGGGCTCTTGTCGTCCGCTGGGGACGATATAGTAGCAGGTGAGCTGATCGGGTTCAAGTCTAGTTTCATTGGAGGAAGCGTCGACTCCAGCTGTTTGATTTCGATAGCCTCAGATGCCAGCTCGGCTCGGATCGCATCGATATCGAACAGCACCGACCCGGCCGGGGTCTCACTCGACGTACGAGAGGGGAGGGAGTTGTTGCGTTCCACATCGTACGTCTCCCACCCCTTCTTCTGGGCCAATTTGCCCCGTTTGAATAGTCCGAATCGCTTCTTCTCCGGTTTGGCCTCCGCTTCCTTGCGCGCCTCGTCAATCTCCCGGATCAGCTCCCTCTGCCGCTCGGCATGGCTTTCCGGGTCGGGATCCTCGATTTCGGCGAACTCCTCACTCAGCACTTCCCATCCGACCTCCTTCATTAGGCGTGGCATGGCCGTTCGATAATCCATGTGTCCATTGACCAGCTTGGTGACGTCGAAATTCTCTATCCCGGGAATCCCCTCCACTGCAGCGAGACCGGCAACACGCATGATCCCACCACTGGTGGCACGGAAGAGGTATCCCAGGATCCAATCATTCGAGGCAAACCCATTGACGAACCGACCGGAGACCACCCCGCGGGCTTTGATATACTCGTCTCGGCTGGCAACGATCGGCGACCCAAAGAGGTAGACGTTCTGCACCAGGCCGTTGGCCCCTTTGTCGGCGAGCTCCTTGAGGCAGGAGAAGATGACCCGTGAACCGATGGAATAACCGACCAAGGTGACGGGCCGCTTGCCGAGGTTATGGTCCATCAACGAGTCGGCGAGAACAAGGCCAGCTGCGTTGGCTCGCGCGAGCGACACGGTCCACGGGTTGTCGATGAGATACGCGAGCTTGGTGAGAACGAGCGGCAACTGCAGCGACGACATGAGTGCCACTAGGACCGTGTTGCCGAGAACTTGCTGCACGCTATTGATGAGAGCCTGGTAGTAAGACAGTTAGTCTCGCAGACACCACATGTATCATGTTAATGAGCATACCTCCGTAGCGAGGATGTTGATCGTCGCACCCATGCTTTGAAGCATCTCGGGCTCCCACAAAACTGAGTAGATATCGCCCATGATGGGATCCACGGTACTGAACGGTAGTCGAACGTCATCAACCTTGCCCGTCATCCATCCCGCCACGGTGACGATCAGATTCACCCGTTTGTTGTTGTGGAGAGGCCGATATTCAAAGGTCTGCACCGCGCCGGTCCGTCGGTTGGACGCCCTGAGCCCGATGCTACTGCCCGCAAAGGTGGCACTAGACGCGATCAGGGCGGTGCCACCAACCCCTCCCAGGAAGGTACTGGTCCCTGTGATCCCGACGGTGGTCAACCCGGCGGCGAGGCCAGCGCCAATGACCGGGGCTAGCAATCCAGCGGAAAGGCCAATGACCAGCCCACCGCCGACGGTGGCCAAACCCATGGCCACATACTTCCGCGTCTTGCCCTTCTTCTTCCGCTGTTCCATGTGCTCTGTCTCATCCCAGGTCTCCTTTTCCGCCGACTCCTGCATCTCCAGGGCATCGACGACGCGTTTTTCGAACCGGGAAATCTGCAACCACGACACCTCCATGGAGTTGCCTACCCGCTCCAGCAAGGTCCGCGACCGGGCATCGTACTCTGCGTCGGCGATGAGGACGAGGAAGAGGTCACACAGCACGGTCCACCGCAGGTCGATGTCGATCCGGGAGGACGTCGGCATTTGCGACGGGGTTCGCACTTCTGGAAGATCCTCCCCTTCATGGGTCTCGTATGGCGGAGGGGAGTCCGAGTGGGAGGATCGGGGAATGTCGGTCGAAAGGCTGCTTCGCTGGTTGATTGACGAGGTGGATTTCTTGGGGCTGTCGGCGCCGTCGGCGCCCTCCGCTAGGGGATTCTTGACCCGGGCATTCTGCATAAGCGGGGGCACCAAATCCGCGGGCTGCACGCCATGCTCAGCCAATTGTTCGATCATGATCTGCTCGGCGGAATCGATTTCCATGTGGGAATAGACCCGGGCCATCATTGCCTGGCCCCATTTCCGCATCGCGTCGATGGCTTTCTGTCTTGTCTTCCGGGTGCCCCGCGTCGTCGGGATCTTTTCCATGTCTGACACCATCTGGTAGATCGACAATCTCGTCACGCCGACATAGGCAATCCTCTGGCCTTCGGTCAGGAGATCCTTCGTAGCCTGCAATTGACTGACGGTATCGCGTAGCTCTTCATCCTCCACGCCGGCGCCGGTCGCGTCAGCTGCCTTGAAGAGGTAGCTTGTGTCCTCGTCCATGCTCGTCGCCGACTGGGCATCCTCGTCCAGCTGCACCCGAGTATACCCTTTGCTGGCACCCCCAAGACCGGCGTAGACGGCTTCCTGTTCCACATCATCGTTGCCGCCACGGACAACCAGCCGCCCATAGTCATCATAGACGTCGAACTCGTCCACAGCCTTCATGTCCTTCCAACCACCGTCGTCGAGTTCCACTTCTTCGTCGTCACTTTCCAAGTTGGGGGCATTATAGAGCCGTTGATGCGACCATTCAGACGCTTGGGGGGGCTTCGCTTTCTTCTCCGCGGCATGGGACTGCGTCGGGACATCGGATCCCTGTAGGCTTGGCCTCTCCGTGTATGGTGGTGGCGGTTCATCCTTGCAATCTGGACATGGACTCCTGGATACGCCATTCTGATGGGGGTCTTTAGGCGTTTCTGTAGCTTTTTCCTGCGGAGCCTCCGCTTCATGTGCTGGAGAGTCAGCAGCGGGGACTTGCGGGTCCTCGGCGGTCGGTGCAGCCTTTGCAGCCTCCTCACCCTTGGTCTCTCGCGGAGCTTCCGGCGTCACATCCTCGACCGGTGCTTGACTCCTTCTCTTGGCCCGCTCCTCCACAGTCTCCTGGACATCATGGAATTCCTGCTGACTCCCTGAGGACTCGGTCGGGGAGCGAGCGGGTCTCGAGCGGGGCCGCAAAGGTAGCCCAAAGTCATCCAACAGCTCCTCCTGAGCCGACGATTGTGTATCCTGTCCACCCTGGCCCGCAGGCGACTTTACTCCCGACGCCCCCTCCGCGACCGGCCTGACGTTCTCTTTTTGTTGGGTATCGCCACCCTGGGCTGTGCTGTCGTCCGCAGACGCATCCGCCGCGGAGGCACGGGGGGTATCCGGGGTATGGGGTGTCGAATGATCGGCAGGGGCGTCGACAGAGTGGTCAACGGGGGCACCCGGGACGGAAGTCATTATTCATGGGGGGGTTGGTGGGGGAAGGAAGGCGTTTTTGTTCTCGGAATTTCGAATTCGAACAGGTTGCGCTCGCGCTCGACAGAGGTCCGTTTTTGCTGCTGCTGCTGCTGCTGCTTTGCTTAGTGTGCACAGGATGCCCCCATCCGCGCGCAGAGACGACCGATCGCCTTAACCCGATTGATCCTTGTCCGACTGTTAGAGGAATCTTGAACATTGATCACCGTATTCTCCTTACCACGGATAGTAACCCGAAACGCACGGCCCTCGGGAGTTTTATCTTTCAAATGACACCACCGAATTTTGTCTCAGGATCGGGAAGGGAGGGGGAACCGATCAAGTAGTGGCTTGCGGGAGTGGAGATTTTCCCGGGGGATGCAGCCACCGTAGCACGACAGTCGGGTGGATGAGGTTGAACCGTTGAGAAAGCGCAAGAGGCGAATAGAGAGAAGAGAGAAGACGATAACGATGTTTATTTGTCGACAGGTAGGAGTTCGGGGGGACGGTGGGAAAGCAGTCTCCTGCAACCGGGGGGAGAGTTGGCTGAGAAGTCTGGGGTACCGAATGCGGCAACAGGTGGACTAGTTGGTGGGTGTAAAGTGATCATCGTGACCGACTAACCATTACCCAGTGATCAAACGATGGGCAATAATAGTAACTCTTGACAGCAAACTCTTGACCAAGAGTGGTTGGAGCTGATGGGGTAGAATAATTCGTCGCCAGTTGATGCTCCAGGCAGATGGTGATCATACCGACTGATACCACCTTGGATGGATCTCGATACTGATGACGCCTCTTGCGCTCCCGGACGGGTTCGTCGATACAGAGTTTGTAACGAACCACATCCACTTTCTACTAGTCAACCTCCAAGGATAGACAATCGGCGAATTAAGAATTCCAGGGGCCCCCGGAATATAAGCGCATTCCCCATGCAGCGAGATCGACGTGGGTGAGACGAAGCCAAGACTACATTCCTGGTCTACAACGGGTAACAGGGAGGAGGTGGACGTAGACATACAAATAAGTAAGACCCATGAACATTCCTCGCAGAGTCATTATAGATAGGTACGATGATTTACAAAAATTTAGAAAGAATATAATACTTTCATATATTGTGTTTGTTATAGGAGATATATCATACTTCCATACTGTATGCCACAATGATTGAGTATATATTCGACAACATTTTTATTATAGATCTATATCTATATCTATATCCATAATGCTTTTTTTTATTCTTATCATTTACTCTCAATCCTCACCTTCTTTCTTTGTTTCATCTTAAACTAGATATCCTACTTTCAACTTGTGAATTTACCTGAGGAAGTACTTCCCGTCTACCCATCAGGATACTATATACAGACACAAATATCAAAGTCGACCAAGTCAATAAAAAACATACACTATCCACTCAAAAGAGTACATGCACACTATACTCTCCTCCATAGTAACAATAAGTAGGCAAGTAGGTAAGTAAGTAAGTATATATGTAATAAGTAAGTAGTATAGAGAAGATCGGACTTTACAAACCCCCCGACCTCCGACCTCACATTCTAACGAACACCCACCACACACCACACAACCATACAATATTGTGCATGAATTGGCGAAAATCCGACCCAATCTTACTGAGTCCTTTTCCTTCTTCACTCAATAAATTCAAGGTGCTAACGGCCGGGTCGGTCGGTGCGCTTCCACTTTACCCGGGCCGGGTTTGTCGAACACACTATCCGTATTCAGTTATTAGGGCTAGTGTTTTGTTTTCTGGCTGTAGTGCTGGCTTTTCGATCTTTCTGTCTGTCTGTTCATTGTGATTCTTGGTTTTGGATTATTCTATTTCTATCTTTCAATTTGAGCTTCGATCGCCTTTTTGTGGGTGGTTGAGGGAGGCTATTATTGGACCAGTTGGTGATCGGTCTACGCATCTAACAAATGCTCCTTCCATTGTATGGTCATGTCAAATCGTGGTCATTAATCTGCTCGAGCAGATACTATATGTGATGTTTATATACAGGATTGGTACAAGGGCCCTGCCAGGCCTTCACCCCTTCTTCAGAGACGGATCCCCAATTATATGACAGGCAAGCAGGGCACCCCATACACACGATCATGCGGCATCCAGGCATCGAACCCCATGCCTGCTCGAGGCGGCCCAGACGGCCCGTTGGGGGGCTCTTCCAGGGGAGACCGCGGCGCGTGCTCGTACACAAATCGAGGAGGAGGAGGAACCATCTGGTGCGGGTAGTCCGTAAACTGCTCCGGGTACACAAAGGGCGGGGAGTTGCTCTGCTCAGGTGACCATAGCGGGCTCATGACGGGGGGAGGAGCCCCGTAGGGCCCGCCGACGGCTGGGAAGGTGGGGGGTTCGGTGTTCAGGACCAGGGATTCGCTGGAGTGGGATGCGTGGGAGGTGGTGAATCCTACTGAGGTTTGGATGTGTAGGGTTGGTGGGGGTGTCGATGCGCTGACGCTGACTTGGGGAACGGTGTTCGGCTCGCTCTGTGAGTGTCGCCGTTCGAACTCCTCGTACCAGTCGCAGGCTCTGACAACGACGGCGCCTTGCCACCGGCTTGGGACACGATACTGGCCGCCACAGCTTGCGTCGGTGAGCTTCCGCATCATTGCGTCGAGGTAGGCTTCGATGTTCACCGACTGCGGCGTGACGAACTCTCCCAGTGCGCCCGTGCGCACCTGGAAGTATACTTTCAGGAGGGACGTCAGGGCAAGCCCAACTTGGGTGTATACTAGGTTGGGCAACTTTTGCAAAACAGCCGTGTCGCAGGCGAGGAAATAGTCGAGCATCTCCTGGGCTGCACTCATCCACTTGAAGGTGAAGTCTACCCGAAGTGCACTCAGGGGAAGGACCGACGCCTGCCCACTGGCCTCTAATGGTGGAAGCGTATCATACGGCCCATCCACTGCGTTGAGATCTCGGTAGCCCTCCCCCGCGGCGATCTCATATACGGCGAGTTTGGTATAGTGGTATTCGAAGGTCACGGGGACTATGATGGGACGGCGTCAGTCATCGCTGCCTGAGGTGTCTCTAAGCCGGGCGGGGGGGGTCTTACTTGAGATCAACTCCGCCGGGGCGTCGTCCTTCCAAGCTTGCATCCGATGGTCGAACCATCGCAGCACAGCCTGAATGCGCGTCTCCGCCAGCGGCGTCGTGGCGCTGGCGTTGTCGAGGCCAAAAGAGGCCATGGATTCGTCCACGATCTTCTGGAGTTCGAACCACCGGGCCGTCTGTCGGTCTGCCACGTTGGGCGAACATTCGAGATAGTTGACATACTCCCCCATCCAGTCGTCAAAAGGAAGGATACTGGGACAGCGCATTTTCATAGCGACTCTGCTTGGAGTTAGCAGTGTTGTCATCATCTTCGAGAGTTGGGTTCGTACCTTGATGCCAGGTGGTAACACCCCACCATCGCCCGTGCTTGCTCGGCCACATGCTCATTGTATCCGCGTTTGTTCGACTTGCCATCCTGTTTACAGTCAGACCTGATCCGGTGTCGCGAGGTCAACCCAATCTCCAGGGCCATGGTGGATGCGACGTGGGTATATTGGCAGTGCTGCAGTTTGAGCGGGGAGTCGGGTGGGTAGTAGAAGATAGTCATCACCAGCAAGGCCTGGATCAGCTCCAGCGACTTCTCCCCATTGATGAAGAATCGTTCAGCATAAAGGTGGACCATCTCACGGTTGAGAGTGGCAGCCAGCCCGGCGTCTACCGCAAGAGCGGCGGCCGCGATCACGGACAGAAATAGAATGGGCTTGCTGTGGCGCAGGTGGGCGGCTGTAGTGCCGGTAGGACACAAGATCATCCCAGCGCAAGCCGAGAGCTCCATGTTGAAAAGCGCCACTAGTTGGTTGGCATCTTCCAGTGATATTATGCCCCGGTCAATCACATCTTCTCTCATGGCAATCTCCGCGGAGTGTTCTGTCAATGCGTAATCGAAGCTCGCGGGGGAGATGGATCGGCTGTCCAGAGTGCTCCGACGCAGGGGGGATAGCACCTTAGGGGAGGGGTTCATTGGTCGTAACGAGTCCGACATGTTGCTGGGGTCATTAGGGTTCAGTTCTCTTCCGTTGGCGCCAAAATCACCCTCGATCGATTCCGCCTCTTCACTGTCGTCGCTGGCCGTGCTAGTTTCGTCCGTGTGTAGGCGGCCCTTTAGAAGGGAGCGCATCTGTCGCATTTCCCTCTCCAACTGAGCCACCCGCGAGTCGGTCCTCTTCCGCGGCCGCCGCCTCTGCGGCGCCACGAAGATACACGTCCTCTTGGCCTTTGCACACCGCTGGCACTGGTCGGGAGCCTTGGGATCAGGGAAGCAGCGGACCTTCAAGCTTCGGCAGGATTCGCATGATCTGTTCAATTGTGGCGGGCCGGAGAGGGGTCGGACGATTTTGGCGTCTTCCGGACCCATGATGGTTGTGGGTGTCATTGTGTTCAGTCGTGTTCACTCTGGTACCTCCTAGCCGTTGTGTCACGGATGTACCGGAATGTAATTGGGAATGTTTTCTTCCCCGTCAGAAAAGATAAAAGTTCAGCCGAGGGGAACAGAGAGGCGGAAGAAAAGATGGGTCTGGACTTGTATCCACTCCACATTCAAGCAGAACGGATTCTAGGTTTCCGGGAAAGGAAGAGAAAGTTTTGGGTTAAGTGGAGGGAGGAGGATGAAGGATAGAAGTATCAGGACCACGACGGGCAAAGACAAGAGAATGCTTGACAGATCTTCTCGTGGAAGGCAAATACGATGGATCAGGAGCAATATTATAGTAACGATGGGAGGATTCCCAAAAAAATGGAGAACACGGCTCGACGGTGATGGGCAGATAGTTGGTGGGCAGATCTTCGCCGTCGGGTAAGGTAAGGTTGAGAGGATTGGGGGCCAATTGTGTAGAGGAAAAAACGGTTCCATGACCGGAACACAACTCCGTACGAGGATGTCAACTAGTATCCAGACCGGGCAAAGGCGTCTCTCCAACTCCCCGTCCAAATAACATTACATAACCCAACGCGCTGGGGCCAGGGAAGCTCGATACCAGGATACCCAGTCACTAGACTAGTCGTCTGCATCGTCGAGACTGGCGTGGGGTCGGCCCCATCAGTGAAGGATTGAGCGACAAGAAGCAATGGAATTAAAGAGGTATATTGCTGCTATGGATCAACCAATGTTCGGGATAGTGATCCTCGATCATCATGATCCTTCTCCTCATTTGGGGGATTTTTCTGATTTGTTTTTGACATTCAGTCGAGAGGGCCGCTCAGCTGCCCACCATTATCCTAGTTGAAGATGTCAAGACTCCAGGGAGCTGACCGGTGGAGCATGGTGTCCGACTAGTTCTAGAGCAGCCCACCCCTTCAGCTTAACCAAACTTGGTAATTGGTACAAGTCGGAGAGGAAGTCAGTGAAGAACGGCTAAACTTGATTGAGTGATCCCGGCTATCATGTGGACGGCATGACCCCCTTGGGACGGTTTTCATGATCGGCCCGGAGATCCTGACCGCCAGGGGGTGGTTCAAGGAGACCGATGAGATATGCCATAGAGAAGAAAGAGAGGGGAAGGGGGATGAGGTGGATCGAGGCGCAGATAGACGGAGAAACACGCCGTGATAGCTAGGAGACAGAGGGGGAGAACTTAGGCATTGAAACACACGCCCGGTGCTGCGCTTTGACGCCCAGGGCGCCTGCGGCTTCAACGCGCGGCTTTTGGGGGCGGGTCTCAAGAAGAGCCTGGAGAGGGCATGGTTGACGTACCCCATAGTAGGAAGAAGACAAACAGCACGAGGGAATGAGGGAGAGAAAGGTGAAGCAAAAAAGAGACCTAAAGGAACCAGGGAACCCCCCAAACCTGGCGAATCACCGAGATCCATTGAACGGTTCCCCGCAACACTAATCTGGATCAGTGACATGGTCCATCATCTTAGGTCAACAAGCTTGCTAAGGCGAGCTGAAGTTGTGCCCTAGAATGTCGGAATCCGCTCTAGATTGCCTCATCTGGTAGTTTTTCAATCTCTCCACTCAGGTTGTCCACTATCATGCTGATGATCTTGCCATATCTTGGGCTTGTGCCGGACTGGACCCCCTGTTCCGCACATCGTCTCAGTCGATACCTTCCCCCTTAGGATCAGCTTCACGCCTGATAGCATCTGCTCCAATGCTTTGACCATGTCGGCACTGGAAATCGGCTTCCCAGGATATTGCACCTTCAGTGTCTCCCACTAGACTTGTCTTGAAACAATTGGTGAGGGTGGAGTAGGACACGTTGATCCAAAGGGGCTAACTCCAAGGCCCCCAAACTGGAGTTCTCGGACAGTGTCACTAAAATGATAAGGACAGGGATTGAGATGATAATAATAATAATGATAATAATAATAAAAAGTAATTCAAAAAAAAAAAAAAAAAAAAAGACTGTGGCTATGTCAATACCTAGTTCTCGTTCTGCATTGAAACGGTTCCTCTCAGCAGAATGAATTTTCGTGGGGGGCGGACGGAAGAGGGAGGAAGGGAGAGAAGATAAAGAGACAAAACATACACACCTAAATATTGACAAGATGCCAAGTCAGGAGAGGTTCTGTTGTTCCTGCATGTTGTTCCCCACAAAATCAAAGGTCAATAGTTCATAGTCGCGCCTCAATTGAAGCCGAATCAAGTATACAACCAAAAGAAGGATGGTATAACTCAGCATTCTACCTAGTGTCTACTGTCGACTGGTCAGTATAGAGATGGGCTGGATAACCATATTGCGGCCCATAGCGCTAGTCGATGTTAAAGCACTTGATAATACCTTTCAAAGATTACCCACTGCTCGAACCATGGGACTTGATCGAGCCAGGATCATGGTTGTGATCTCCGCACTTCGCTTACAACATTTGATAGGGGAGTGGTGGACAACAGCAACATCATTCCCATCGAGCACTGCCACGAGACAATTGACAAGTTGACGGCTGGCCACCAGTTCGCCCCAGTCGGACATGTCAATCACTCTGAAATGAGATGGCGAGCACGCAGGAACGCACATGACACGCTTTTTTGGCCTCCACGCTTCTGATATTGAAACAGCGGGCTGTGCATGGTTTCAGCTGGTATCGCAGTGAAACGCGAAGGATACTGGAAAGAACAGACGGCGTCCTTACCTGATTGAGATAAGAAGCGCATTATGGAATTAAGTCGAGTCGATGGAAGACATGGATGGCCGATGGATTGTCACTGTTGCCCCTCCCCCCGAGATTCAACGGCGCAGGGCAGTGCACAAGGCGGCTGGGGCACCGTAATTTTCCTTTGCAGGAATCGCTTTCATGAGCCAATCCATCCACCAGAGATGGCCCCTGTGGCGGAGTTCTCCCCCTCCGAATTGCGAACTGGTTCAGCAGAGTGATAATTCGTCTGCACTGTATCCGTACCTCCCACGACATAGTCACTCCCCGGAGGGTTGGTAACTACTCTGCCTTGCCGAGGAAGAGGAGCACCATCTAGTGGGATGGATGTATGTAAGTAGCCTAGTGCCAAGTCCACTGGGCAGCTCGATCCATCCGTTAGGTTAGTTCCCAGGGCCGATCCGGTACAGTCATCACCTTATCAAAATCGCCAAGAACGTGGTCAATTCAATCCAAGAGCTGGCCCCCTTTCTTGCTACTAGTAACAGATACAGTCTAGCACTCCGGAGTACGGAATGCCTCTGGCGCCTTTCGTGCTAATTTTGAGAGTCTCTATTGCGTGATGTACAGAGTAGGCCCTGGGCACATGCTCGAGTCGAGTAGAATTGCCATCTAGGCTGCCGTATTAGTGCGAAGCACCTCGAGGAGATAAGCTCCCTCACACCGCTGGATAGAGTCAGGGCGTGCAGACCGTACACGTGAGCTGCCTTAGGCTGCCAATCCCCGCTCTGGAGGAGTCGAGAAAGTCTAGCGTACAGACGGTCGACTCCGTATATCGTAATTACGGGTTCGGCACAGTCCCGAGTCAAGGTTTACGGACTCCTGGAGATTATAGAGTAAGAAAGACATGTGCCAGTGCCAGTGACTCATACCTGAGTCACCACGACCTCAGCCACTGCTGCAACTCAGGCCAATGCAGCACAGCTAGCAGGGAAGATAGGACAAGGCCCAATTTCAGTCTCAGTTTCTGATGGTCGTGCGCGTGCAAAGGCGTTTTGTTTTGATTATGGGGTCGACAATGACATCATGCTGGATGAGACTTCATACTGCGGGAAGGAGTTCAACACCTGGTAGGCTTGCCTCTTATTCTTGATTTCAAAGGCACCAAAAGAAGAATGGGGAGTCTAGATGCAAAGACCATGTGTATTTGATGGATCTTCCTGCTTCAACCACTGGGAGGTTTGAAGAGGTTGAAGTGAACCTTGGAAATTCAAAGTCAAGATCGATGGATCGATCGATGTTTAGTCACTTGTCACTGACACAATAGTTAGTCATCAGCACTAGATACATACACCCAATGAGACTCCTTTAATGCGTCTCCACTCAGTATGAGTCGAACTGTAAGAACAATGAAGTGGCCTACCTGGTAAGCTCAGGTGTCTGACACCGTCCATCATCGCTGCAGGAAAACTCTCTCGCTGATATTTATTTGCTGACGGTTCCCTGACCTGCTGGACCGTGTAAGTAGGGCATGGGATACTACACTTTGTCATGTCATTTCTATCTCCCGAGTTCGCTCATGTCCCCACCGAGCCTCCGACCCAGTCGGGGTTGCCCCCGACAAACACTGGAGATGCAGCCAAGTCATCCCAGGAACCGCTAGGTTTACGCAGCTGCGTCACTTGCCGGCGTCGCAAGGTCCGTTGCAATAAGCGATGTCCGTGCTCGAATTGCACCAAGGCGGGGATTGAGTGCGTCTTCCCGCCTCCTGGGAGAGCCCCCCGCAAGTCGAAGCGCCCCGTCGATGCGGAGCTACTGTCCCGATTGAGGCGCCTGGAAGGGGTCATTGAACACTTGAACGATAAGAATATTGCTTCCCAGGAGCGGTCGAAACCTCCCTCACCGCAGCAATCACACGATGCCAGCGTATCATCCAGCGAATGTCCCGGGGATACGGAGGCGCCTGGAGGCCCTGAAGTTTGTCCGTTCCTCGATCCAAATAAGCCGGCGCAACCACAGAACTTGGACCATGAATTTGGAAGGCTGGTGATTGATGAAGGTCGAAGTCGCTACGTGAGCAATCGGTTTTGGACCAGTCTCGGTGACGAGGTCAGCTTGTTTTCTCCCCCTTTTCTCTCTCAATAACAGCGGCTTTCATTTCGTTGCTCCTTCTGATACTCAACTTTATTCCAGATCGAGGAATTACAGGACATCTTGGACCCGCCATCATCGGATGAAGAAGATACATCATCCCCTGAATCTGCCTCGGGACCGTTTGCTAATCACGACGGCTTCTTGTTTGGTTACTACTCACTTGCACATTCTCTTCGCAGCTTTTATCCCCCGCTACCAAGCTTCCCGGCGTTGTGGGACATCTACATGGAGAATGTTGCGCCCCTCATACAAGTTGTGCATAAGCCCACCGCCAGGAAAATCTTCATGAGCGCCTCCCAGCAACCCGAGAGTCTAGACAGGAATCACGAGGCCTTGTTCCTGGCGCTAGTTTTGGTGAGCATCGTCAGTATGTCACCGGAGCAATGCATGTCGATCCTGGGCAAAGAGCGCGATCTTCTTGTCAGCCGCTATCGGTTCGCCGTGGAACAGGCTCTGTCGAGAGCAGACTTTTTGAACACCCAGAGCTTGGTCTTGTTGCAAGCAGCGGTGATTTTCTTGGTCGGCGTGCGCCGAGAGGACGACACCCGGTTTGTTTGGTCCATGACCGCACTGGTTCTCCGCGTTGCTCAGGGCCTGGGAATCCATCGCGACGGGTCAAACTTCGGGTTGAAGCCCTTTGAAACGGAAATGCGGCGGCGGCTGTGGTGGCACATTTGCATGCTAGATATTCGATCATCTGAAGATCATGGAACCAATGCCCAGATTCACGACAGAATGTACGACACTCGGCTCCCTTTGAATATCAATGACGATGACATTACTCCTGAGATGGAGGAGCCGCCCAAAGAGCGCGAGGGCTTTACGGACATGACTTTTTGTCTCATCCGCGGTGATATCACCGTCGCCCTGCGGCGGGTGAGCAACACAGGCCCGAACACAACCTTTTCGTCCACCAATATGCAGTTGTCCCCAAGCATGTGCAGCAAACTCATCCACGCGACAAACCAGCGCATCGAGGCCAAATATCTTAGGCACTGTGATACCAGCGTCCCGATCCAGTGGGTCTGTGCGACGGTCGCCCGGCTGATTTTAACCAAGCTGTGGCTGGTCATCCACCACCCCATGACGCGGCCAGATCAGGGAGTCAGCCTAAACACCGCGTCTCGGGAAAGTTTATTCAAGACGTCAGTGGAAGTGGCCGAGTTTGCTTGCCTGCTGACCACCGACAAGAACACGCAGAAATGGGGCTGGATGTTCACGACGAACATGCAATGGCACGCGATAGCTTTCATCCTGTCGGAGCTCTGTGTACGGCCTGGGGGGGCTCTGACCGACCGCGCGTGGTACGCAGTCGAGACGCTTTATGAAAACTGGGAGCGCACGGCAAAGTCGAAGAAAGGTATGCTCTGGCGGCCTCTCTCGCGGCTGATGAAGCGAGCATCCGCGGCGCGAGCCAAGCAACAGGCCCAAATGCAGAGTCAGTTTGATTCGAACCTTATTGCGTCGAACGCTAGACTTTTCCCTCTCGGCGCCACACTACCCACAATAGCGCCTCCAATCTTGCCGCGAGTCCCGGAAACTCAATGTCGACCGTCGACTATGCCAGGAGGATCGCAAGGGAGCTCGTCTACCGGGGGTTCAGACGTTCCAGATCTCCGAGATGGGGTATCAGATGCGATGGACCAACTGTTCCCAGATGTTGACCTCCTGGGCCCTCTTGATCCCCAAGAAGCTCCTCTCGGCCAACCGCCGTCGACTAGTGCGGACGGACTGCCTCCTGTACCCGATATCTCTCTGGACCCGATGGAATTCACACAGAACGGCCCTCCTGCGCAACTGAACTGGGATGAGTGGGATCAAGTGATGCGCGAATTCCAGATGGACATGCAAGAGGCGCAGACCGAAAATCCCATCGGCAACCTGACGAGCAATGTCTCGGACTGGTATGCTTTGTAACCGGGCCAGGCTACCCACTGATATCTCTTATGAATTTCCAGGCCTTTTGTCTTTCATGACTTGACTGGGATGTCCTCAACAAAAGTCCTTTATTGATTATGATTATGACTCCCACATGTGTTACGACCTCTTCTCCTCTCTGCCCTCTACCTTTGGGCCACCGCACAGAAAGTCTCCTCTCCGCGAGGGTCGACCAGTTAACCCATCATGAGATATGATGTACGATATGGTGATGTTGTAATGGCTGGCGACAGATCAGCTAGCTGGTTGACACCCCGTCTGATCTCCGTGATCACTGTACTATAGTTTATATATACCTTCAAAATAACAAAACAGTAAAATTTGCAACTAACATTACATTCCAACCAAACAATTTTAACAGTATACAGAACATTGCGCTGACGCCCTTCACGCCATTGTCCGGAGTAGATACGCGCAGGTCACGTGCACCCGCACTACGTAACCAGCCAAGCATCCCCGAATGTACACAGTAGCTTCATCGCCCATCTACTTCCCCAGCAGTCCTCCCCGGCCAAAAATCCACCCCACCCACCGGGACACCTTCAAACCGACCCAATTTGCCAACCTCACAGCAATTGACTCATCTGCCAAATAGAACCGAAAGAAAAACACACCAACAATGCCATCAAAGCGCTCCACCGCGGCGGCCTCCCCAGCCGCATCATCATCCCCATCAACAACAACAGCGACAACAACAACAGCAGCAGCATCCACGCCCAAACTCTCCTCCGGCCCCAAGACCCTCTCCACCAATTCCTCTGCTTTTGAGATCGCGCAGCATGTCTGGCAGCAGTACCTGACGTCCACGCCGCAGCGCACGAAAATGCTGGATGCGTTTATGGGCTTCCTGGCGCTGATTGGGGCCGTGCAGTTCTTGTACTGTGTTCTTGCGGGGAACTATGTATGTTTTATTTTCATCCTATTTGGTCGTATTCTATATGGGTGTCGTTTTGGAGGATTTGGAGAATCTGGAGAAGATTCAAAACAGGAACGAAGGAAGAAAAGAAGAAAGAAAGAACACATGCTAACATAATATCTAACGATAGCCCTTCAACGCCTTCCTGAGCGGCTTCTCCGCCTCCGTCGGCCAATTCGTCCTCACTGCCAGCTTGCGCATGCAGACCACCAACGGGGGTTCCGGCTCCGGCTCCGGCTCCGCATCGAGTGGAAAAGCAGCAGGGAAGGGGAAGAGCGGCGGCAAGTTCATGAATGAGAGTGGGGAGGAGGGCATTTCGCATGAAAGGTGGGTTTTCTTTTCCTATCTCTATCTCCAACTGGGAACTACAATTCCGGAATAGAGGACATTTGGGAATTGACTGACTGACTGACTTGATTAGGGCCTTTGCTGATTTCGTCTTCGGGAGCTTAATTCTGCACTTCTTCTGCATTAACTTTATTAACTAGTGGGATTACTTCTGTTCATCCCTGGTGGATGTGGGTGTGTCTTACTCTCTGCTCTGGGGGTTAGGGATGGATGGACGGCCTGGTTTGGTTTGACTCTATCGTTATACCTCCTAGCCGGATTGTCGGACTATGAATTGTCTCGTCTTGTGCGGAATTGAATGCTTGCCGTTTGACTTACATGCTATTTGTATACCTAGTTTTGAAGCGAACATCTGTTTGTCTGTCTACCTATCTGTGTATCTACATATGTATTCATCAGTAGGCCTCGTTGGATTCGCATTCGTGGCTGGATTCTGTATGCTACGTATATTCTATGTCTAGACAACTACGCGGGCTATACAAGAGCATACAAACATCCAAGAGAAAGATAGAAAGATAGAAGATATTGTCTAATCTATCCGGGTATATTACAATCAACTCTAACACCATCCATCCTATTATATACACGATAAATACCACACAGCCTAGAACGCCCGTCCAGGCTTCCTCTTAACCTGCGGCTTCCTCACCACACTCCCACCACCACCACCACCACCACCACCACCACCACTACTACTCCCAACCCCATTGCGCGGACTACCAACAGGTGACGCCGACGCCGACGACGCCGACGAACCAGCCGTCAAACCGCCCACCCGACGCGCAGCCACAACAGGCCTCCGCACAGCAGACCCCGGCCGAGCCGAGCCAGGCCTCGACGCAGGCCGACTACCGCCGCCAACTTCGATCTCCTGTCTCCGTCGGGCTGGGTCGTTGCGTTCCTCCTCGCGCTGCTTTGCCAGTGCGGCGCGCTCGCGGTCCGCTGCGATTTGGCTTTCGATTTCCATGCGCCGGTTGAATTCTAGTTCTGTGACGCGCCGTTCGCGCTGGGAGTAGCCTTTTTCTTTGACGGAGTAGAAGACGCCGCCTAGTTCGGCGAGCCACTGGGGGTTTGTTAGTGAGATGTTTGTTTGGTGAGGTGGGGGTTTTGGGAGGGGCGGGAAGAAGGATGAAGATAAGGTGGGAAATGAGGGAAGGAACGAGGGGAGGAAAGAGGGATTGAAGGAAGGAACTAAGGAAGGAAAGAAGAAAGAAGGAAAGAAGGAAAGAGACATACGTGTGGATCTACTGCTGTCACCGTGGACATGTACTCCTTGCTGGTCAGGATCAACTCGTGGTAAACCACGTACTCCGGGACATAGCCCAAGCCGTAAAGAGCACTGGTCGGATGCAGTGCCATAGTGACGCTAGTGCGCAGGTTGATGAACTCGCCAATACCCTTGACGCGCGCAGCCTGGTGGTAGAAACCCGAGCAGATGCACTTGCGGATGACGTCCCAGTCGGTGCCGCAGCTGGTGAGGGGCATCTTCTGCGCGACCATGATGTCGTGCAGCTGCTCGCGCACTTCCTTGCCGCGCCGCAGGGCCTTGGAGTGCAGGAAGTGCTTGTTGCACCAGCTGTCGGAGTAGCCGTTGGATCGCCACTGTGTGTATACGTGGAGCAGCGTGAGGTGGTCCGACTCTGGGACGAAGAATTTCTCCCGCGCCGCGTCGGATTCCTCTTGTCGTTCCTTGGGGCGATAGAAGACGCTGGGGACCGATAGCATCGAGACGATGGTGAGCATCTCTTCGCTGCAGTCGTAGTCTTCGCAGGCTGTGATGAGGAGCTTGGCTAGAGGAGGGTCCATAGGGAATGGGGTCATGTGACGTCCGAGGGAGGTGAGATCGCCAAGGTTGTCCAGCGCGCCCAGCGACCACAGCTCGAAGAGGGACGTCGTAATGGTTTCCTGCGGCGGCGGGTCCATAAAATCGAAGTCCAGGAGGTCTTTGACCCCGAGTGATTTTAGGAGAAGGACGGTGTTGGAGAGACTGGTGCGCTGGATTTCGGGGATGGTCTGTATGTACATCTCATTCTTATATGCGATCTCCGTGTAAAGACGATATGCCTTTCCGGGCCCCGTGCGCCCTGCTCGTCCCGAACGCTGGTTGGCATTGGCTTGAGAGATTGGTGTGATCTGGAGCGTGTCCATGCCCATGCGCGGATTGTACACCTTGAGCTTGGAATAGCCCGAATCGACCACGAACATGATACCATCGACGGTCAAGCTGGTTTCGGCGATGTTCGTGGCCACAATGACCTTCCGCACGCCTGGGGCGGCTCTCTCAAAGATTCTGGCCTGCTGTTCTGCAGGCATCTGACTGTAGATGGGCAGGATGCTGAGCTTTGGCGGATCGTTCAGCAACTTCAGCCTCTCGTCCACTAGCTCGCACGTGGCTTCAATATCTTCCTGTCCCGTCATGAAAACTAAAATGTCACCCTGGCCTTGGGAAACGTGAATGGCCAAGACCTGCTTGACTGCGCTATCAACGTAATCCTCGCAAGGCGTGCGTGAAAAGTGAAGATCCACGGGGAACGTTCGACCGGGAATGACGAATTCGGGGGCACCGCCGTAGAACCTGGAGAAGCGCTCTGCGTTCATGGTGGCTGAAGTGACAATCAACTTCAAGTCCCTTCGCCGGGCGAGTACTTTCTTCAGCAGCCCCATCAAGACATCGGTGTTCAAAGCCCGCTCGTGTGCTTCGTCCATGATAATACACGAGTATTTGTCGAGATCTTGGTGCACGAGCGATTCTCGCAACAGGACACCGTCCGTCATGTACTTGATCACCGTTTTGTCACTTGTGCAATCCTCAAAACGGATCGCATATCCGACCTCCTCGCCCAATCCAACCTCCATTTCTTCACTGACACGCTTCGCAACGCTCATGGCCGCCACGCGACGAGGCTGCGTGCACCCGATCAAGCCGGACTTCGAGTACCCGTCTTCGTGTAGGAATTGGGTCAACTGGGTTGTCTTTCCTGAGCCGGTCTCACCGATGACAACCACCACCTGATTATCTCGAATGACACGTAGTAAGTCCTCCCGCACAGCGAACGCCGGCAAGAACTCTCTTTGCTCGCGGAGCGTCTTGCTCTTGCTAAAAGAGCTCTGCCCACCCTCGTCCTTCTTCATGTGCTGCGCAAACTTATTCCCACCCTTGTATGTATCCTCCACGGGCAGCGCCACCGCACTGTCCCCCTCATCTTCCTTGACGCCCATTAGATTGCCGAGCGCTGTGCCCGCCATCGTCGTCGCCTCCTGAGCCTGCTTCTGTCGTTCGCGGTTTTGCCGTCGCTCCCGAACCACCTTGCTCCCTTTGCGACTGAAGACGGCCAGATCGCTCTGCGGGTCGCGGACCGCGGAAACGGGCTCCAGTTGCTTGGTGAAGATCGTGCGACCATCGAGGAAGGGCGGGCGCAGGTCGTGCACCAGCAGATGGACACGCGTGCCTTCGTCATCTTCGGGGGCGAAATCAGCGTCGAAGTCTCGTCGTTGTGCCACGCCCGACGTCAGCATGCGGTTCGTCTCCCAGTTGTCTATGTCTTTGCGCTTCGCATCGCGTAGTGTGGGGGGGAGGTTGGAGCTCTTCAGCCTTTTGGCTGGCGGCTGGTCTTCCGGCATTATGAAGGGTCTCTATGATCAGGGAAATTATATAAGTGAAAGGTACTAAAGAAAATATCAGGAAGGTATTCAAACGGTTCACCAGGGGTAGATGCGCCTGGTGGTTGTTGAGGCAAATGGAAGAATTATTGATAGAGAGAGAAACGACGTTATCGCCGATGCGAGGCAAACAGTGCAAACACATTTTATCACGTGATATGATATAGATCCATCCGCTCTTGGACAGTAACATACGGAATGATCCTATCTATAGGTCTTGAAGCCATTGGTTAAGTTTAGAGTGGTTTATTATTACTTGCGTCTACAGCTTTTGTCATGAGCTACCTCATCCTGGGCCAGGTGCCAGCCCTAGGCTATGTCCTGGATTTGCAGCCGGAGTATTCTATTTTTGCGCCAACGGGGTTCGTCCGTCATCTAGATGTACATTTCCACCGTCCGACTGTATGAAATTTGATTTGTATAGTATTTTTTTTCAGTGGGTAATACCTGGTGCTTTTGTATAAGTAGTACCGAACGCAGTATCTCCATCTGGAGTCGTTCACTTGTCAAACTGTGGAATACTCCGAGAATTGACCTTTAACTCCAAAGAGTACGCCGAAGGCTCTGTACATATCAATATAAGCATGTCTATATATTGATTATTCTTGTGCAAAAGAAGAAACAAGAAGATGATGGTGTTAAGAAAGACTCCTGATCTATAGATCACATGACCATTATTCTTGTGTTTGCCTGAGGCAACAGACGGACGCTTAACCACATCCAACACCCCGCACCAGCTCCGACCAGACCAGACTACCGTTTGTTATCAATAAAACACAGGCAAAATGGCGAGCCAGCAGCCCCAAGTCAGTCAAAAGAAGCAGCAGGGTATGTGCATTTGCCCCCTGTCGCACAAAATGTTCCGTCATTCCAGAACCGAGCAACTAACACCGACGCCCCGCAGAGCTCCAGCTCCAGTATTCCAACTTCAAGAATACGCTACAGCAGATGGCGCAGAAGATCGGGGACATTGAGCAGGAAGCCGAAGAACACAAGTGAGTTTGGGGGTCATTTTTTTGTGGTTATACCATGCGCGACTGGGAACCCCGCGCAGACATGCGTCGTTTGCTTTCAGGGACGCTCATGCTGATCCGTCCTTTCTTCTAGGCTTGTTATTGAGACTCTTGATCCTTTGCCCCGCGAACGGAAATGTTTTCGCATGATGAACGGCGTCCTGGTTGAGCGCTCGATAGAAGACGTTTTGCCCACCTTGAAGACCAACTCGGATGGACTGAAGCAGGTGCTGGCGGAGCTTCTGAAGCAGTACAAGGCCAAGCAGGCCGATTTGGATAACTGGAAGGTGCGTTCCCGCCATACTCACAGTTTTACCTTCCAGGAAACAACATATCTGACTCATTTGTACCTGCAGAAAAAGAACCACATCCAAGTCGTGCAACCATAGTCGATTCCACGACACATCGAGCGCTGTTTTCCCGTCTTGTTTCTTTTTTGCCTACCATGGGGAGGGACATACTAGCAATTGGGAGATCGGAGGCCGTGAAAAGTCGGCGTTACCGGGAGTTTGAACATGTTCAGAGACTACATTCGCTGCCTTTTTCTGATTCCCGCCATCAGCATTGCGGGCTTGGACGGGTCTGGTTCGTTTGCGGTTGGGGTCGAACGGAGTAATGTCGGAATGCCTTCCGTAGCACGCTCTATCCATACGTCAGCAAATCCACAACAGGAATGGGACGATGGGGCGGGAAAAGGGTGTGCAGCAAGGACAGTCCGGTGATAGCGCGCTGGGGCGTCGGACGCACTCATGCCTGACCGATTCAGGCTCAAAAAGATATCAAAATAGACCATTAATGACAACATACGATCTGTGACTTATTATTTTTCTTTTATATTTGTTTATTGTCTCATTTAACATCTTTGGTTTCACCCATCAATTGCCAGTGGATGGACGCATAAGCACAATCCTTCATTTGGACGGTCTCAACTTGACATACCGTTACCCTTGGGCCTCTGCAATTTGCTCACAGAGCCTAATTCAGACCAATACGTGAGGGGACAGAGGAATACTCGTGCATTAGTCAATCAGGCAATGTCACGCTCTGTGGTCCGAGTGAGTTGGCCATTAAGACCGGGACCCAATCAACAGGGATGGAAGGCGCGTGCAGAAGACGGTTTGATTTACTTCTTGGCTGCAGCTGGCCTGACCAAGGCTGCGACCAGATAGACGTTTCAGCTGGCCTCGTCGACGGAATGCAGATGTATCAAACCGGGATTCGAGTCCGCCGCCAACCCCTCTGACTGGCCGCTTCACATTAGCCTCAACCAATCCTGTTGATGGGGGGCCGTATATCTTTTGCTCTATCGGGTGGTGTTGTTCATTGTGTTGAGTACTTTGTTTGTTGCAACTCGGGTGTTGTTTGACTGTTTGACCTGGTTCTAATAGATAACCAGCCCTGCTATGATCCAGATGGGGGTACTATCTTGAGTCACCAGACTAACCAGGCTGATGTTGATATTGGGCTGCATCGGGGTCCCCACCGCGATTTGCCCGATCAGAGAGGATGCATCACATCCATGGCCCTCGTTATTCATTGACTACGGTTGGATACGGAGTACTTTGTGAGCATTATTGTTTGGAAAATGACGGCCTTTTGCCGTTATGCGCTCAAACTATCTGGTTGACCTTGATGCCTGACAGCGCATGCGTCGCTGCAGCGCCTGGTTGACTGACAGGTTGGGTGGTCCCATTCTGTAAGGAATGCAGATCTCATCATTGACAGTTCCAGTTGTTGACTCGATATTGCTGGAGAGTTACCATCCAGCGTTTCAATCCAGCCTTGTTCGCAACCGTGACCGGAATGATAATGGCCTGTTTTATGATGTTCAATCTATCTCCTGGTCAGAGAAGAGCATATACATAGGTAGATTGAAGGGTAGATCTGAAACGTAGTAGCCCAAGTAGGCGAACACCCATGTCAGGAGTAAAGACTCGAGAGTATCTTGGTTGTTGTTGATTGATTGCCTCTCGACCGATGATGACTGGATGGAATCACGTGCAATACGGTATTGATACAGACCCCTCCCCGGATGGTCGAGTCCCTGGCGTGAGAACCTATCCTCAATAGGAATAGCGTAGTACAGAGTTGTGTAATACAGCTGTAAATGAGGACCTGAGGCCGTCCAGATTTGGGTTGGATTTCCTCTCCCTCTTTCAAGTCACGATTCTCTCCTCTTCTTCATTTCTATCATTCGATCATCGAACTTCTGACATCCCATTCATCTGAATCATCGCTTTTGAATCCCGTGTTTTGTTGGAAGAAGAAACCCCCGGTTCGTCTCTCGACCTCATTGGGTACAGTTACGTCGTCACCAACAACCAGTGATCGTGGCTCTTTGCCCAGGACTTCTGGTTCGCCAATTGACGGTCTGCGGGCATTGCGGCCGTCTCCAGTAAGAATAGAGAGAGGTACCTCCATCTATCTATCTACTTGCATCGAATCTCCTTCACGTTCGTCCAATCCTAGTTCCTCCCCCGCCTCATCCCCCGAAAATCATCTTGTTCGATCGCTTACTGACCTCGGGGTCTTTAGTTTAGTGCCTGAGTCTTCGTCACTTTACTGGTGTTGTTGTTGTTCTTCCTTTCCCCTCTGCGCAACGTGCCACACTGCCTAGTGACCCACTGGTTACTTCCGTGTCGCATTACCCGCGTCTCACATCCCGCGCCAGCTTCCCAGATCTCTCTCCGTGTTTGGAGAGCGCGCATACTAGCTGATCTTGCTGCATATTGTTGTAAGTTTAATCCTTTCCCTGGCAGGGTTATCTCCAATACCTTCCATGTTATGAGAGAAATGAATTAGCTGGGTATAAAGGATTTAAATCAATAATTGGAAAAAAGAAAATAAGAAACCAAAACAAAACAAAACAAAAGGAAAGGAAAGGAAGAAAGAAAGAAAGAAAAAGAGAAAAGAAAGAAATCCAAGCGCATCTCTAATCATCACTGGATACTTCCCCGATCTTCCCGGACTCGGCTTCCATCCGCAGGGCAAAGCTATCGCGGAAGCATTGCCAATCCCCCACACGTGCTGACATCGCCCGTCCTCCACATTTAGGCTGCAGGCTACTGTGAAGCGAATCGCTGCCCAGCCAGTCCAACCCACCCCTGGCTTTTCGTGGCGCTAGTTCCCAGTCGCGTTCGAGATCGCAAACCCCATCGCGCGCGCACTGCCTCCCTCTCTGACGTGGTTGCCAACAGAGCAATTAGACCCCGTCGCTCTTTCCTAAACCTAGTAATTACGACGCGATCCAGAAACAGCTAAAAATCATGTCGTCGGCCTCTCCTTCGAAGGAACCTGAAGTGGATCCTGAAATTCAATCGGGTGAAGAGCAAGACATGGACAAGGACCAGCTAGAACATGGACAGGGTCAGGGTGAATTCGAGGTGAAGGAGCAGGACAGATGGCTCCCAATTGCCAATGGTTAGTCGCGTCTTTTTGCAGCTTTCTCTGCCCCCCTGATTTGCGCGTGCCTTACATTTTAGCTGCTGGTCAACCGCCGGCTCTGCCCTACTACACCTGACAGCTCCCTGCGCCTACCCTCTCCTGTTGTCATTCTCCCAATCTCCCTATTCGTCAATGCTCTCATAATCTTTGCGCGTGTTGGGGATCGTTCATGCGGGCGGCGGATGTGCTACCCTTGGTCCAATGGCCTTGAGACGGCCCCGAGACTAGATCGCGCGTAAATCTATTACACGGCGACGGGAGATTCCCAGAGTTCCACCACACATGCTAACCGTCCATCTAAAGTGGCCCGCATCATGAAGCTGGCGTTGCCAGACAATGCAAAGATCGCCAAGGAAGCCAAGGAATGCATGCAGGAATGCGTGAGTGAGTTTATCTCGTTCATCACGAGCGAAGGTCAGTGCTTCTTCCAACCAAGACAGTACAAGCGTGCTGACATGCCATCCATAAAGCTTCCGAAAAGTGCCAGCAGGAGAAGCGCAAGACCGTCAACGGTGAAGATATCCTGTTCGCCATGACGTCCCTGGGTTTTGAGAACTACGCCGAGGCGCTCAAGATCTATTTGTCAAAATATCGCGAGGTAAGACTTGTGCAACATTTCCCAGCTCGCCCCCTTTCTTTCCCTTTACTTTGGCCCGTTCCGCGCTAATGGGTTTTACAGACCCAGTCCGCCAGAGGCGAACACCAAGGCCGGCCAACTAGCAGTGGGTATGCTTCTGGAGATCCTGCCACAGGCGCACGTCCGGGTACCGCTGGTGCTCTGGGGGGATTTCCCGGCGCTGATAATGCCAACAGTGTCATGAACCCGAACCTCGATCCGTCTGAGCAGGAGACTGCCGCCTATGGCTACCCGCCCATGGTCGGACAGCCGCACAACGGAACCGGTGGCGAATCCTACTAATGCAACTTGTCTGGGGAGTCACCAGGGAGATCGTCTGGAACAAGTCGCAGTCTGATGTTTCGACCAGGCTAGGAAGGCAGGCCGGAATGTCCTGTCGCCGGCTCCCAATCTCCGAATGGAGATCTCTTGGACGGCCTGCATTTCCAGCTGCTCCCATCCCGGTTACTCTTCCCTGCACAGCATGTCGGTGACGCGGTACGATACAATGGTTTTTATGGGATATCTTATAACGGATCGGATGAGCCCACCATCGGTGTGGGCTCTTGGGGCGGCGCTACTCCTTTCTTTTTGTTTTCCTTTTCTTTCTTTTGTTGTTTTGCGTGTTTGTTCTATTCTTTGTTCTTACATGGAATATGACGTTTCAAAGCCCTCGGTCTGGTCCCTGCGCCTTACAAGGCACGGATGGAGAGCAAGCTTGGAACTTGATGAAACGATCAGCCGGTTCGCTTGACAACCGCAACGGCGACAGGACAGCCTTTATCTGAAGGCTGGGAACGTCGAGATTTCCATTGTATCTATTACCTATCCTTGGTTATTATTATGTTGTCAACAGTCTACCAATAGCTCGTCTGATGAAGGATTGGACTAGAACAATAGAGTGGGGTCTCGCGGCCCATTGCTTGTCTCAGTTGATCTATACGTCGCAGTAGAAGCGTGGGGCGGTGGTTTGTGTCAGGATGTGGATTCTGCAGGGGCGCCGTTGGTCGTACAACCTGAGTTAGGCCATCTATCTAGGTATTATTGTACAACATATCCACCTGTCCATAGGACCCCATGGTACAACATATCTATCTATACAGCGTACAGCAGTTACATCGCCCCCCTTCCCTTTCACACCTCGCACACACACAACTCAACAACCTACCCAAACACAAACCGCCTCCAATTTCCCGCCAACCGCCGAACGCCCTCTTCCAACGGCCACTCCCGCAACTCGCAGACCTGCCTCGTGACCTTCTCCAACAGCTCGTCCATCGCCGGCCCCGCCGTGTGCAGATCACTCTCGACGAGGATTCGATCGTCGGGTAGGGCCTTGATTACTGCCATGACTTTGGCTGAGGAAGGTCCGCTGAAGTTTATGACTGCTGAGAAGGAGAAATAGACGTCTGATGGGTTGGTCGGGTCGAGGAATTGTTTGAGCGGCTCTGTGGGGCCGGAGTAGGAATGCATGCAGATTCGGGGTGGGAAGGGGAGGGGCTGTGGTTGAGACCCGTGTCCGTCCTGCTTCCCTTGCGCTTCTTCCTCAGCATCGCTGTCGCTATCAGCATGCGCCTCAGCAGCACTATACCGCCGCCGTCTCTGCCGTCTAGACGGCCTCTTCCGCTCATGTCCGGCCCACAACCCGCGCAACAAAGTAACGACCAGTCCATGAGCCTGCACGCTGTGTACAGAGACGGGCCGACCCATCTCCCCCGCCAGCCGCAGCTGCGCCTCCAGCACGACCTTCTGGTGATCCATTTGTACCCTGTGCTGGGAGAGAGTGCGCCCTTCGCGTGAGCCCGGCGTTGTGTTCGGATCGCGCGCGGCTTCTTCCTCGTCTGTCCAGGGGTTGGGGAGGCGGAAGGAGCGATCGAGGCCGATTTCGCCGATTAGGGAGGTGGGGTGGGAGGTTAGACGGGTGCGGGTTTCGGAGAGGAGTTGTGAGAGGGGGGTTGGGGTAGGGAGGCTGGAGATGAAGGTTGATGTTGGTGGGGGGGTGAGGACTTGGGTGTAGTGGGTTGTTTTTATGTCGTTGTCGTTGGTGGTGTTGGTATTGGGGGTGGTGTCGTTGGTGTCGTCGTAGATTTGGTGCGCGAACCATGGGTGCCAGCCGAAACAGGGGAGGACTTTCGGTGGGTTTTCTGGCGTGTTTGTGTCTGTGTCTGGGTTATGAGGGGAGATGGATTGGGCGATTTGAAAGACGAGGTCTTGGTCTTGACCGCGTGTGGACATGACTGTTAAAGAGGCGGCTTTCATGTCTGGGATGGAGGCGATGGAGGCCATTGTGTCGGTGGGGTGGCAGTGGGCGTCGTGGACGCCGATGTGCCAGGGGAAGTTGTCTTCATGGTTGCTATTGTCAAGGTTGGTGTTTGGTGTAGTCATTATGGATGTATATAGTATTCTATATGAGTTGTAGGAGGAGAGGAGGAGAGAAGGAGAAGAAAGATGGTGGGGAGAGTTGATGCTTATCAACTTATCGGTTGGATCGGGTGATGTAATCGTGGGTCTCCAACTATACAGTTGGTAGAAATGTATGGAGACTATGATTCTCCTTGATTAGAGTTAAATTAATTGTTTATTTTCTATTGAGATGACAATCTACTTCTTCCAATCCACGTGGTGGAAATGATATCCAGAGTATAATCCCTTGGTTGGAGAGTCTATCGTGAGTATGGGATTGACTATAGGGCTACTGATATACAGTAGTCTCTCTTGTTTTTCTTCTCTTCCTCCATCCAACTACTCATACTCCATGTCAAATCGGACAGCATCTTGACTTCCCAAGGCGTACTCTCAACATGGTTAACTGCCATGAAGGATGCTTGCATGGTCCAGGCCAGGCACTGAGGTTCTTGTTTACTTCCATCTATCGAAATGAATCCTGCTATACTGTTTAATAATCTAGTGTTATGCGACAGACATGAGTCTCTACTACTCAGTTGATATACATGGACCAGAATGCATGCTTGCATCTTCATACCAGGTCCACATCAAACGCATATTCCCGATGATTCGTACCAAGAAGGCCATGGTCCGACGTCTGTTGTTGATGCTTGCTCCATTCGACAGCGCTCTTGCCTTCTGAGCGTGCTTGAGGACCTGCTGCTTTGGAATGACACTGGACCCGTTCAGAAGATACCATCAACTAATACTTCTACACCTCTTTCACCTGTCTTCGCAGATATCCAACTCAAAAGCAAAGCATTCGTTCAAAATACTCTGGTACTCTATCATTTCATCACTCTTTAGTCTTTCGTTCATCTTCAATCAATCAACTCAACACCCTTGCCCTTTAAATCTACCAAAACAACCAAGAAACCAATACCCCGTCCCCTTATCAACGCCATGCATCCCTTAATGCATTACTTCATAGGCCGCTTTTAGTACGTTTCCTGAACCGCTCCTCAATCGATCACACAGGGGCGCCTTTTCTAACGTGTGCAGTCACTGGATCGCTATACTGGTCTGCCGGGTGCTAGACGCCATTTGCCTTTGCCTCTGGTGGTGGTGGTATTTCTTTGCGCTCGAACGTGGATGGATCTGGCGCTTCTTCCATGACCCAAGAAGCGTCGAGTTCTCCATCATTAGGCGTCGTTGGGACTTGTGGGCGTGGGCCCCTGTCGGCAGAGACCTCAGCCCTAGTGATCGATATCGCAGGATCTACTTAATAGAGCACCCTTATGCACCGGATCCTCCTCAACCCCCTCCCAGGCCTCCCAAGTCCTCGAGGAACTGCTTCCGTCCGCATGCTACCGACTCTGCAAATGATAACGATGAGGATCCTTCGGATGATGACAGTGGGAGTTCTTCGGATGATGACAATGGGGGTCCTCCAGAGGCTGGTACTCCTCCAGGCGGTGGGAATCCTCCAGAGGGTGGTGCTCCTCCAGGTCCTTGGAATCCTCCAGGCCGTGGGAGTCTTCCAGGTCGCGAGAATCCTTCAGGGCGTGGGGATCCTCCTGATGGTGGTACTTCTCCAGGCCTTTGGAGTCCTCCAGGCCGTGATGCTCCTTCAGGCCGTCATACTCGCCCCAGCCATGGTGCTCCTCCAGGCAGTGGAAATCTTCTGGTTGGCAGCAGTCTTTCCGGAGGGGACCATAAACGTACGACGAATACCCCCCCATGTCCTTTTTTACGCCGTGGTGCTTTAGACGCTGACTCTGTTCCGAAAGGGGTTTATTCGAGCAGCAAGGCCGTTTGGGACAGTCGTGCCCGCGGTCCGCTTGGTTTCACCCCCATCGACCCTAGTCAAGGCATTAGCTCCAAGCGTCTAGTGCACTCTGAACAGGCCCCTGCAAAGGACGACGTCCAACAACAAAGCTCCAACGATAAAGATAAGAAGTTGCGAACTCGAATGGTCGAATTGCTTCTCAGGATTATGGAAGACGTAATATCCACCCAGAGAGATAGCGCCGTGAAATCCAAGCCAGGAGCTAAAGCTCCTAGCGAAAAGGCAAAGTCTGAGACGCCTGATAAGAATGACTCGGAAGCCAAGGCATCAATCAGCAATGTTTCGGCTGGGGTCGACGCAAATCCTCCACGGGATGGTCTTTATGACAGCTCCATCAGAGATTCCACTCTTCAAGGAAATGACGCGCAGCACAAAGAAACCAATTCTGAGCCTTCAAGCAGCCCGGAACCCATGTTCACTCTCGAGTTGAAGCAGCGCAGAAACAGTGAGAATGCCCCTGCATGTCTGCTTGAAGATCTGAACTTGGAATACGGACCGCAGAGATTCGATGGCAGCAACGAACCCAGCCCTCGACCTAGCCGTGAAGACGCCTCTATCGAGAATCTCGCTTTTCAGGGAGATGACGAGCAGCCTGCTGCGCCGAGAGGACCCTGGGCGCTGACGCAACAACAACAACCTCAGCACCAAGAATCTTCCTCTGAACCTTCAAGGGGCTCAGAACGCCGGTCCACTCTCGAGTCAAGGCAGCGCAGCAACAGTGAGAGTACCCCGGCACTCCTACATGAAGACCCGAACTTAACACTCGGACCGCAGAGATTCAGGGGCAGCAAGGAACCCAGCGATCCTGGCGAAAGTAACGAAAATTCAAGTTCCGAAGTGCTCTTCCTTCGCCGCCCTAGTGCACTTCGACGAGTGAGCGCCGACCAAAAGCCCCTCACAACCCAGGTGAGCAAGGGGGAGGCCTATGGAAATTCGAGTATTCGAGCATTTCCTCCAACGAGGCCGTCTGTATCACCGGCTTGTGACCATTTCACGAGGAATCCAGGAGTCGACTCTCAGTGTACGCCCTCCTAATCGAGCTGTTCAGAGTCGTTGTCTATTGGTATGGTTACCGTGGCACTGTCTTTTTCATTCTTTCATTCATGGATGTAGGGTTATGTCTGTTGTACTATCATTATCAAATGGTTTTGCTATTATCCTGACTTGCTAGGCAATGTATCGATCATTCAATCGTCTATTATATCTGTATGCATTACTTGGGTGCTACGTAAGACCTGTAGTACCAAAGAGACTACCACGTAGAATCCACTTCAGCCCTACATAGAACTAGAAAAAAAATGTATATACCGTCGTTCATTTCACGTCTATCTATCCGATCGAAATGATCTTATATGATATGATATATGTACATCATGCATGGCTTTGAAAAGGGAGAAAATAAGGAAGGAAAAGGGGAAAATGAAACGAAAAAGACTGTGGGCTAAATCACTCTGGGGGAAGAGTGCGCTGGGAGAACCAAACATATCACAACATCAACAACATCAGTACCGCCACCACAACAATAATGTCAGCACCAACAACACCACGACAACAGCAACATCAACAGCGTCAATACCACGATATCGACAACAACACCAGCAACAAACTAGGGACCGACCCCTGGGAGAGGCAAGTAAGTGTGAATCTACCGTCACGTTCTCACTGCGCACCTAAACACCAGACGAAGCAGGTGAAGGTAGAATAGTGAATAGAATGGTAGAGATCCCAAACTAATCAATCGACCGCCTCGCCCTCTCCGACGCACCCACCTCCTCCATCTCCTTCAACACAACCCGGTTGAACTCTTCCCACCCATCAAGATAAACATGATGTCCGGAGTTCTGGATAACGACGACCTTGGCGGTGCCGCGGTCAGCGCTCCGCTGTGCAGGCGTCGCGTCTTGCAACGCCCGACGCCGTTCTTCCTCCATCTTGGCTTTGGCTGCTATTCCGCCCCGCACGTCCATCCAGTCGTGGTCGCCGTACATGAAGACTACCGGGAGGCCGTTCTCGCGCTCGACGGGCTGCGCGGAGGATGCGTCGCGTGGCTGGGAGATGGGGTTTGAGGCGATGGAGGAGGCGGACGCGCGGCCTGGGGAGAGGTCGGTTACTTCTGCGGGGACGGGGGTCGTTGATGATGAGGATGAGGGTGAGGAGGATGCGTTCTGTTGTTTCTGTTGCTGCTGTAGCTGTCGGCCAAGGCCGTGGATGCGTCGGATTAGGGGACTGCGGGCGAAGGCGCCCGGGGCGAGGATGTATGCTAGTGCGTACTCGCCGCTACCGCGTAGGTTGAAGATCGAGTACGAGTAATCGTGCAGTGCTTTGGCTTCGTCCGCGGGGAGGTGCGAGAACCGTCGAGAGGTCCACCCCGACACCAGGCGCGGGCCGAGTGGGCCGGCCCATCGCACCAGGGTGAAGGGCGAGATGTTGGCGTCCCACAGGTAGGCGAACCACTTGGGCACCATCCGGCGCGGGCGGGGGTCGTTGGGCGAGGTGGTGGGCGCGCCCTTGAGGAGGATGTTGTTGTCGCCCTTTTGTTGCTCCGTCGGGACGGCTGAGGCCGACTGCGCGATGCGCGGGGGATCTTGGGCCGGATCGCTGACGGAGCTGGACTCGGTGGGCTCGGGCAGATCCGCCCGCATGGCGTTCGGGTCTTCGGGAATGCCCACGGGAGAGGCGAGGATGAGCTTGTTCAGCCGGCCGGGGTACTTCAGCGCATAGGCCACCGCCATGTAGCCACCCAGGCTGTGGCCCAGTAGGGTGAACCGGTCGATCTTGCGCTTGATGCGCCACTCTTCTAACGCGTCGATGAACCAGTCCTCCGCCTCTTTGATGGCGTCTTCGCGGGACTTGGCATCGATGCGGAAGGCGGGCCGTGTGCTGCGGCCCATGCCGAGTAAGTCTAGCGCATGCAGTTGCCACCCTCTCAGCCGACTCAGCGGCTCAAAGTTCTTGTAGAAAAACCCCAGCCCGGCGCCGTACCCGTGCAGCATGACCAGGTGTTGGTCGGCTTCTTCCCCGACTCGCTCGACGGAGAACTCGTTCAGGGCGCGATTCTTGCCCGCCAGCTCGACCATGCTGGATCGCCACAGACGGGGGCCGTACGGGTCGTCGAAGGAGCTGGCCGACACCTCACCCTGCTGGCTTTGGTCGACCGACTGCAGGCTGCCGGGGCCGCCACTGGGGGTACTGGCCGTCTTGCCCGTCTGCAGGTGGGTCGGGGGCTGTTGCTGGAGATAGGGAAGGTGGGAGAGCACTTTATGCTCGGCTGCGGCGGCCGGGAGACACGCCCACTGAATGTTGAAAGATACCACCTCAGTGACTCTGACACGTGTTTGGCAAATCAGGGACATACCCATTGACTAAAGCCTTCTCGGTAGCCGAGGGGAAACCACGCTGAAGGCCCCGGCGTCGCGGCCGTGCCGCGCGCGGCATGCGGGACGTCCTCTTGGTGCGACGACATGGGGGGCTCTTGACCTGACAGATCGTCTCCGGAATTCAACGATTCAGAGGTCATCGAAGAGGAAGAGGTAAAGCGGCGAGGGATCGTGAAGGAGCGTGTGGACCAGGGTCGGGAGACCTGGGAGCTCAAGGAGGGGAGTCGCGCGGTCGACACTTTGCCACGGTTGAACCAGAGTGACAGAGGGGATAATCTGTCACTCAAGCACAACAAGACAGGAGACACGTTATATACCGAAAAATCCGAGGAGAATAAGCAGCGGTGGAAAGGGACAGATCGGACGGAGGAAAAGTAATAAACACCGTTTAACCCCGGTCCAATGGAAAACCGCCGTGGCGAAGGGCGTAAAACAATGGGAAATAGTCAGGGAAGAGGTGTAAATAGCAAGAATCAAGAGGTCATCCAAGGAGGAGAGATATCAAGGGGAAGAGAGACAATTGCATGGAGGAAGAGGGATAATAACAAAGAAGAGAAGAAGAAGAAGTAGAGAAAGAGAGAGAAAGAGAAGAAACGATGACGGTGATCGGGTATTATACCGCGGTATCCGTATTACCAGTTGCTGTCCACTGTTTGATGCATTATATCCGGTAATAATACACCTCCCATACCCAGCCCAATCTCTCTCTCTTCTTCCTCTCCAACTTCGTCTCTCCAACTTCATTTCATCATCGCGCTCTCTGCTCCCTCTCCCTCTCAATCCTCCCTCCTGACGACCAATTCACTCCTGTCGATTCTACGTCCATGCATTGACATGGTATTGGGCCGCAAGGGCCATTGACTCCTCTTCCTGATTCTTCCGAGACGATAATCCCCCTACGATCGCCCGAACTTCATCCCGATCTCCCTCTCGTCTCCCTTGAACAAGTCCTCGGTGATGGCATCTCCCAGTTTGGACCAGTTGGTCAAAGGGTCTCCAACTCCCAGTAACCGATTAAATCCCTCCTCAACTCCCTCTGAGCTCTTGCCGACGCCTTCGTCGTCCGGTGCTGAAGACCATGCGCCTGAACATCCGACTTCCCTCCCACATGCGTCGACCCCGGACCCGCTGTCCACGTTGCCTTCCTCCCCACCCCAAATATACCTCAACCTGTTAGTCCTAGAGACGTCTCTTCGCGCTCAATATCTCTCCCTGCGAGAACGCCGCCGTCAGAACACATTCTTCCTACTCTTGCTGGCTTCCTGGATTGCCTATTTTGCCTATGCGCTGTTTCTCCGTCCGCGCGAAGATGGCCGCGGGGTAGGGGGCTCCGTCTACTGGGTCGTGGAAACGGGCGAGAAGGTCGCCCTGCTCGGGGGCGTTGTCACGGCCCTGCTGGTCTGGGGAACCGGACAGTGGGAGCGTGGGATCCGGTGGCCTCGACGCTGGCTCTCCATCGCCAACCGCGGCCTGCGCGGGATGAACACCAAGATCGTGGTCATTCGAGGCCCTTGGTGGCAGGAGCTGTTCTCCTACGTGTCTTTCCTGTTTCCCCTGTCGTCTCCCTTCTTCCCATCGTCCGTCGGGGATTACCATCACATCGACCGCCCGGCATCCGAAAAACGGAGTAGTCGGCAGTTCTTCCAACCGTCCTACAACATGGAGCCGGACTCGGGCCTAGTGGAAGAGGACCTCAGTCCAGGAGGTGACTACATCCGGCTACTTCTCCTGCCCAAGTCCTTCTCCCCCGAGTTCCGGGGCAACTGGGACGATTACCGCACCGACTTCTGGGAGAAGGAAAACGAGCGTCGTGCGCATCTCCGCGAGAGACTCCGTGAGAAGGAGCGCCAGCTGGCCCGGCAAGATCATGGCTGGTTCTGGTGGATTGGCAGAAAGGCGTCGGAACGACGACGACTCGCTGCCGCCACGCTCAACAAACCGCTCCACCATCCGCACCTTCAGCACCACTCCCACGCCTCCAAACACGCCCACCATGATTCCAAAGGCTCCCCCGTCCGACGCAGCACGCGCTCGGAATCGCACTCGCGCACGCCCTCGCGGAGCACCACCCCTGTCGATCCCGACGACCGGCCCCCGTCCCGGTCCTCCGCCAGCGGCCGTCCACGTCGCGGAAGTAACGTGTCCACGCCGGAGCAACAACACACCCCGCCACACCGGAAGAAGCGAAACTCCAAATCCATCTCCCGGGGCTTGTCTCCACTCACCCAGGCGCAGATCCGGGAGGGCGTGCACACACCTTCCCTGTCATCAGACGATTCCTCCCTCGTCGGAACCCCGGGCGAGAAGCCCAAGGACGCTAGTTTTTCAATTTGATTGTTTCTCTAATTCTTCCGTCTCTACCTCCCATTCTACTACCTACCAACCTACTATATTCCCTGAACTTATACCCCGTCTACATATTTGGGCGTGACTGTCTTTTTGCGATATCTCGTTGCTATCTTGTTCCTATTGGGCTCCTGTGCATTTTAATCTCTCTTCTCTTCTTCTTCTTCTTCTCTTCTTCTCCTCTCCTTTTTACCTGCATATTTGCATCATCTCTGCTACATTTCGATCCCACATTTTGCTATTCGCTATTTGCATTAGACACAGACCAGACACTACTTCAACAAGGATCCAGATAGAGGCGTCTCTATCGTATTTTGCATGGCACGCTACAAACCATCACCATCATCCCCTTAATCAAATCAGCTAGTATCTCGTCTGTCAGGGCATACAGTAGCGTAGCAGAAAGATGAGCTGTACAATGTATGTATGTATGTATGTTTATGTGTATGTCCATGTATGTAATATGCAACGGAGGAAATGTCCGCTGCAAGGGTTATCCAGCACATCATATGATTTAAATACTAGAAGAGAGGATTCAACTTGTTTGTTCGTCTCTCGCCGTCTGTAAACGAGTGTATTTGTATATGCAAAAAGCGATTGCATAAGTATTGTTGTACCTATGTGACTAGATATACCATTCATTTGAATTGCATTGCATTGCATTGCATCCAGACCTGGAATTCCTCAAATAGATGTGGATAATCTATCAATCAAACAATGAAACTCCAAGCGCCAGTCCCAGTCCCAGTCCCCGTCTTCTGTGATGGACATGTATGTGTAGACAGATTCATAATGCAGGAATAATAGAAGAAAAAGAGAAGTAATTGAAATGGTCGTCCGTCATTCGTCCACCGGTCTGTCTTTATAGTTGTATCATGGCCTTTTTTTTTCTTTATTTGATGTTTGATTAAATTAGATTCGGTAGACAGTGTCGTCGTCTTCGAGGAACCTGTTGTGTGGAACAATCGTTAGTTATATGTTTGAAGTTTGAGGAAAGATAGGTAGGTGGTGGGTAATAGGGAGGTAGAGAGTTAGGTGGGGGTAAAATCTTACATCAACTCGTTTCTATCATGCATAGCCTTCAAAGCCGCGACGGCTTCCGCGTGCTGGAACGCAGGCTGTGCTGACGCGCGGACTGCCGCGTTGACGGCGCCAACGAGCTGCTCCACGTTGGCGGTGTCGGATCCGCTGAACAGCGTGCCCATCAGAGGGCCCAGAGCCTGTCGGAAGACGGCCAGCCGGTTCGCCTGGATCGGCTGGGAGGGTGTTTGGCTGGGGCCGCCGGAGACCGTCTGGGACGGTTGTGATGAGGAGTCCAGGAGTTGCGAGGCGGGGTGCGACGAGGCCACGGACATTCGGGATTGGCTCTGTGTCTGCGTCTGTGTTTGGCTGGAGCCGTATAGGTCTTCGTCGTCGGGTACGTCGTCTGGGTCGTTGGCGCTGGAGCGGGTGGCTGTCGGTGCGTGGGAGCGGAGGCCGGTGCGGCCGCTTGATCGTGGGGTGGTGCCTGAGAGCTGGGCTGGGGTCTCGTCGTCAGAGTCGTCGGAGTCGGCGGCGCTTGATTCGGAGTCCTCGTCGAAGGTGTTGACCTTTCTGCGCTTGCGGCGCTCGTCTTCGACGACTTCTTTGAACATGGCGAAGCGGAGGATTGACTCGGCCATCTTCGCGTCTTTCTCGTCGACGCGGCTGGATAGGCGGGACTTGGCGTGGGCGGTGGATAGACGGATCAGCGTTTCCAGGGTACGGGCTGTGATGGGCGACGTTCTGCGCTGATTGCCGGAGAGCTCGTCGTTTCGCAGGGCCGAGTACGTGGTGACGATGTGGTCGGCGGCGCCCTTGGTCAGAATGGGCTTGACTCGCGATTTGGCGTACTGGATGTATTTCTTGATGAAGGGGATGCTGATGACTTCGATGTTCTTGTTCTTGTTTCGGTTCGAGTTGGCGATACCGGCGTGGAGCATCGCGTTGAACTTCTCGTGCACCTCCGTGGGCTGGTTCTGGCTGTTGCCGTCGTCGAGGCCAACGCCCAGGTTTTGATGTTGCTGTTCGCGGACAGGGGCGCCCTCTTCCAGGCCAGGCTGGCGGTAGCGATGCATACGCAGCACGTGTTCGGAGACCATCCTGTCCTTGGCGTCCTCGATGTCGTCGGTCATAACGAAGAGCAGATCGAAACGCGAAAGAAGAGAGTCTGGCAGAGCGATGTTCTTGTGAGGGTCCTTGTGGGGATCATATTGGCCGTAGATCGGGTTCGCAGCAGCGAGAACGCTGCAACGGGCGTTCAGGCTGGTGTGAATACCGGCCTTGGCAATCGTCACCGTTTGCTGTTCCATGACTTCGTGGATGGCCACACGGTCGACGTCACTCATCTTGTCGAACTCATCAATGCAGACGACACCGCGATCACCCAAAACCATGGCACCGGCCTCCAGCCTCCGCTCTCCCGTCTCCTTGTCAGAGGTAACGGCGGCTGTCAGACCGACACCGGAAGAGCCTCGACCAGTGGTAGCAATGGCAAGGGGAGAGGTGTTCAGGACGAAACGGAGGAGCTGAGACTTGGCGGTCGAGGGATCACCAACCATGAGGATGTTGATATCACCACGCAAGTGCGTACCGTTGTCCAGGTTCTTCTCCATACCACCAAGCAGCATGAGCAAGATCGCCCTCTTGACGTAGTCATTTCCGTAGATACTGGGCGCAAGAGACTGCGACAGCAGCTCGAAGACATTCTTCTTCTTCGCAATCTTGTTGATGTTTCGGATGTCGGTATCGGTGATGGGGGCCTGGGCGATACCTCCGCCGTTCTTCGAGGACAGCTGGATGATGTTGTTCGCCATGACAAGGGTACGGAAGGTCGAAGACCCAGATCCAGCTCCCCTGTTTCCAAGAGAACGGTAAATTCCAACCAACTGGATACGGTCGCCAGGTTTGGCCCGGTCCACCAAGTCATCGTCCAAGATCACGTCCACGCTTCGAGGCAGCTGACCGGCTGGTGCTCTCTCAGGCATTTCTTGGATCGAGATGTTTTGGTGGTCCATGTACGAAGAATACCCATATTCAGTAATAAGCTGGACACGAGTTCAGTATGAGTTATTGTCAATAGCCCTAGAAAAACCATCACTCACCGGGTTCTTCTCGTCATCCTCCTGAGGATAAACATTCAAGTTCGTGACTCCACTGGCCGTCATCGTCTGATCACGGTACTTCCTCGCAAGGAACCTCTGCTTCTGCTCCACATAGTGCACACTCTGAATCACCTTGGGCCGAACCAAGGAGCACTTGGTTACGATTCCCTCGAGGGAGATCATGCGGTTCAGGTGGGACGACGTCAACGTGCGGGGATTGCAAGAGAACTCTCCAAACGCTCCCACATATGCACAGTAGTAATTCTATCCTCGTTAGTCTCTGCAAAAGCACTCCCGTTTCTTTCCCAATCGAGCGCACATACCACATCATCAGCCTTCTCCCGCGCCGGCCGATCCAGCATCTCAATGACTTTCTTCAGGGCCTTGTCGAAGGCGAGGGACATCTCAAACGGGGTTTTTAGGAGGCTATATCCCAATCGTCAGCCGGCAGCACCCCTATCACCACTTCCATAAAAGCCTACCTATCCGCCATCTCCCGATTATGCGCGCGGATCTCATCGACGCTGACCTAAACAGCAAATATCAATCAGCGACCCATCCCTTCTCGCAACGCCCGAAAACACAGAAACCACATACCACTAAACGGCGTAACCCTCGATTCAGCATCAACACGATATCGGCTCGGTAACTTTATCGCTAGTCAGACACATCGTTTCTCTCGATCGTTTTTGTCTCCGGGGAGAAAGGGATGGAATAAATAAAAGTTGGATCTCGACGAACCTTCGCGCTCTAGCATCGGCTAGTAAAAAGTAATTGCGTTAGCTACTTTCTCTCTCACTCCTTCTCTATCTCATCTCCTCTATCCTCCCCCCACACGGTAGAATAGACATACCAGGATCGAGAAACTCGATAGCCGCGCGCACCTGGTCCTGATTGACCTCTTCACGCTCGCTCATGGTGTCGGTTTTTCGCAGTGCGACGTTGTAATATGATTAGAAGATAATAATAAAAAACCACCTGGTCTTAACAGCAGTCGTAATAATCTGGCTTATATTCCTCAATTGGAGTCGACCATGCGGGGGCGGTGATGCTTTTGACCAAGACACTGAGTGGGATGCGGAAGCGGTGTTGGTCGAATCAATCTTCAAAGTGAAAGAAACGCGCTGTCCCAATCGGGTAGAATTGAAACGCGTGGGTCTTGATGGGGACGCGACGCGAGCGGGATGAGTCAGCGGGTTCCTGGGCACGTGTTTTACAGCTTGCCTGAGGCAGCCTCAGATTAACGTACAGGCTACGGCTTCAATAACTCCAAGTTAGACTCCTGGCTTGTTGTTAATTTTGGAGAATAGGTGATTCTATCTATACATATGCAGTTTATGGTACAGTCAATATCTATATACAGGGTTACATGTTACATGATGATCCGCTCATCCTTCTTTACCCCGGCTCCCTCTGTGTAGAGCTCCCGCCACGTCCTCCTGGTGCTCACTTCCATCATTTCGCTCTTGCTCATCGTGCGACCATGGGTCACCGTCTTCGTCAACTGACACCCGCTGCGATGCGCAGCCCGAGAATCTCATCCGAATAATCCTTCAGGCCTTGAGAGCTGAGCGAGACTTTTCATGTGCTTCGTCGTCCACGGGCTTGTGCTCGTCCATGGACTTATAGTCATCCACAACATCTTGGTCCGTAGACGTAGCACCCGATTCCTGAAGTCGCTCATCACCGACCAATCCATCATACAATGAACGGCCCTCCCCTGCAGCCATGGCATGAGACTTCTGCTCTCCCTCGGTGGGATATTCATCATACGACAAATCACCCTCATCAGCAGACATAGCGTCTTCCTTGTCGAAGGAACTGCCCTCGAAATCATCCTCCTCAGTAGGCAAAGCATCAGACTCATCATTTTCGTCGCCGAGGAAGTGGTCGTCCAGAAATTCGTCGTCGTCAGCAGGTGCAGCGAGAGACTTCTGCACTTCCTCATCGTCATAGTACTCGTCATTATCACCGTACGTCAGGCGGGTTTCGATGTCGAGATCGTGTTCCTGCCGCGGGTCGAGGACCCTTTCTGTTGGCGGAGGAACGAAGTCGATGTCTTCGAGCGCGGTATCGTGTTCGTCTGTAAGAGGTGGTGTCTCGGGCGATGCGTCATCTACAGCAGCAGGTTGAGGCTGGTTCAGTTCAGGCATAGCCCGCTTCACGAGTTTCTCGGAGCTCGAGTCAAGCCGGGCTTCGCCGCCGGTTCCGAGAACGCCACCGGTCCACACGAAAGGTTTGCGGTCCGCGTTACCCTTTACGTCGTGTCGTCCCTGGCGACGCCGGAGCAACACGCCTTGGAACTTTTCACGTATGTAGGGCATGTCGCTGGCGGCGCGGACGGTCTGTGGTGCCACTTCGTAGAGCTTTTCCAGGTCGTTCCCTCCGTGGACGACGCTCCTTTCCCGGAATCGGAACAGAGATGCGGCCAGGTAGACCATAGACACGTAGGTGGGTTGCAGGAAGTCGGGCTGTATCTTGCTCCAGTACCGTCTGCCGCGTTTGCCCAGGAGATGAATTGGGAGTATATTATTCGGATTTTCAAGGGCGACAGTGGATGAAGGCGCGGTCTTCGGTTTCAGACCATATCCCCGGTGCAGATACCTCCATCCGGGGAAATTGGGCATGAACTTGCTTTCAAACATGGCGAACGCATGGAGCTGGTCGGAAATCTTTTCGGAAGCGGCAAGGACCTGGACGTACGTGGACCAGTCGTAGGTTGTCAGAGTGAACCCCGCCGCCTGCACCTCGGCCACGACCTGGTATATCCGATGGGTCTGGTTTCTATAAGCCAGGGACCGCATGTATAGATCCAAGGGCCGAGAGATCATGAACCGGCACGCGGGCAGAATTCGGGGTTTCGGTGACCCGTCCTCCTGTGGAGTAATGGAGCCGGGCGAGGTGTCCTGCTCCATCCCGCTAGCCGTGGGAACAGATGGACTGGAAGGATCGGTGGCACCGGCAGTCGGCAGCTGATCAGAAAGCCATTGCTCAATGTTTGGACGACTGGCTAGCTTGATAGCCCGCGGGAAAGCCATTTTCCAGCAACGTTCGACTTCGTTGAATTGCCCCGCCTTCAAATGCGTGACCATAAGAATTGACAAAAAGCGAAAGGGGGCTACGTCCTCCACGTTCTTCAGGGGCCCCGGAGGCGGCAGGTAGCGGGTATACTCGTCAAACAGACTCTTCACGCGTTCATGGGCACCTCTCGTGCCATACGCATTGATGATATACTCATAGTATATGCCGGGGAAAGCCATACTGACTGCCTGTTTGGCCCCGCCTGGCTGGGGCTCTGTGGTCGCCAACTCGCTCGAATCGAATTCGGCGATCGTTTCCCTGAAGAATTTCTCGGCATGTTGGAGCCGCATGCGAGACGCTTCGCCAGTTTCGCCCTCTTCCGCTCGGGAGTCCAGATCCCGCTGGAGCTGGCTTTTGAGAACGAGCAGTCTCGAGCTCAACCCAGCCCGACCGAAGCGTTCTTCGATCTCATGGAAGATGACGTTCACCATGTCGCGGTTGCGTTCTTTCACGTAGCCATGTAAGATGATTGCGTAATGGAACTCCGTGACGTGGATGTAACGGCTTCGATGAAGGGTCCTCAAGATGCGACGCGCCGCATCTGGTCGTCCAATGAGAGACAGACTGAGGATGAGAGCGGCATAGGTCATTTCATCGGGGTCTATGCCTACCTCATCCATACGCGAGCGAATCCTGGACATGGCTCCCAGGTCCAGTCGGTAGGCATGGTTCCACAGAAGCACATTCCACATCCTGGTCCGCGAACCTCGAATGGTCAAACTCAGAGTCGACTCCGCAATGCCCTCAGCCAGATCCAGTTTTCCCTCGGCGCAATAGGCCTCCACAATCGTGTCGATCATAGGAGCGGTGACCCTTACCCGGTGTTTTCTGGCCAGGACGAGCAGGTGCTGAATGCTATCGATATCGCCTTTCTTGGCGCAATGCCCCATTAGAGTGCCTACGGTATGGGGTTCAAGCTCCAATCCTTGGTCGATCATCTTCTTCAAGATGGCAAAGGCTCCGCGGAGATCACCAGATCTGGCATGCGCGGCCAGCAGCGTGTTCCAGCACACCGTGTTTGGTACGAGACCGAATTCGTGTGTGATCCTGTCGAACTGGCGCTGCGTTTCCTGCACGTTGCCAACCCTTGCATGGACATGAAGGAGTGGAGTGACGAGCCTTCGGCTCTGCGGGTTCCCATGATCCGAAAGGAATCTCTCAAAAAGTTGGTGAACGGTGGCCACGTCTCCCGCTCGCGAAAACGCAAGCAGCGCTTGTCGGTATGCGTCCTCGGTTGGCTTTCCATGGAAATGAATAATTTCTCCTAATAAGTATTCTACGCCGGATGTCGTCCCGAGACGGCGGCGGCGTTGTATCAGCCGGAGTAGAAGACTTCGGGGGGGCTTTTTGCTGGGCATTAGCCAGCGAAAGTTGCGATAGACAACGAGGGCTCTTTCAATCGTTAGTCGAGCACTCGACATGTCCAGCTTTCTAATAAGGTCAAAGTAATGTGTCGGGGTCAGCAGCCCTAACTCCCTGTAGCTTCGCAAGACAAGCAGAGTGGGTTCTGTCGCAGTGTTCTCGACAAAGCCACGGGTATTGACGAGCTGGTCGAGACAAAAGTGAGCAAAGCCGCGCGCTGGGGCTTTAGGGCCCTGCCCCCGCAGATATTCGGAGAGGTGGAGCATGACCGTTGCCAGCTCTGAATAACGTATATTGCGGAGGATATACCTCCACAATGTACCGGTAAAGGACGGCGGCCGTAAAGGCCACAGCTCTTGTAGTAGATCCCAGTGGCCATGCTTCGAAAAAGTCGTTACCGCAAAGTTAAAACAGAGGGCGTCCGACCCTTGATCCACGGCTTGCTTGCATATTCGTGTCACTTCCAGGGGACTCCCAACCGACCAGTAGGATTCGGCCATCCACAAGTAGATTCTGGGGGACCGCGATTTCTCATCGATGCTTTCGAACAAACGACCAATCCGTTCATTGTCAAGTTCTCTTCCGGACGAACATAGATATTTCATGAGAGCCACCTTTGCCGCAACGGGTTGGCCAGCAGTCAGGTAGAGTGACCAGGCGCGGTCGTAGTCCTTTGTCTTGTGATCGGATAGTAGCTCGGTAAGGTGGTTGTCAGCGGGTGTTCGAGCTGATCCATCCTCCGCCTGGGTGTCGACACCATGGCCCCACGTGCCTTCTCCATCGACACGATCAAGGCTCGTCGCCGCGGTAGTATAACTTTTGGGAAGCCCTGGGATACTCCGTCTTCTCCGTCGGGGGCCCGATCGCTTCGGAGATCGTAGCAGGCAGGTCACAGCGAATTCCTGGGTATGTGGTGGGTAGAGGAACTCGAGAAACGGAGACCGCGTATCCGTCGGGGGTCTGTTTCCACGGGAAGTGGCGTTTGAAGGACTCGAGATTCGGTGGGAGTTCGTCGACAAGGCGGCCAGGGGACTGTGGGAGCCCTCGACACCCGTCCCGCTGCAATTCCCCAAACTGAATGACAACGACCTTGAGCCTCGAATGGCGCCATTCGAATCCCGAAAGAAACGCCGGCCCGCGCTCTCAAGGCATCCCGCAGCTCGTTCCAGCATTACCATCAAACGATGCGGCGCCAAACCCTGATATCACCGAAAATCGACGAAGCCCGATAGCATATCGTTTCCTATAGCTTCAATTGGGTCAAGTGAAACCCCATGTCAGCTCCAGGCTCCAACCGCAGACGATCCAAGTCGGGGGGGGAAGCGGAAAGAAAAACGTACGGATGCGGAGTGAACCGTGGGAGGGGAATAGGAAGCTCGCAAGATCGTCAGACGGGAGGGGAGGCGGAAAAAATTGGCTGGACAGTCGAAGCTCTATCTGACGAATCCAACCGTGTCAACAACAAGAAACAGACAGTTAGAGAGAGTGGGCGACAGAGCGCGTTGTTTTCTACCAAAGGAGCAAAAATTTGGCAGGACAGGCAGTTTAGCTCGGGATGATAGAAAAGTAAAGAAGGAGCCGGGCATTCGTTTGCCCGAGGCCACCACGCCATTTCCGCCCGCAACTGACTGACCCGCATAACAGGTGGCCATCATCGTACCATCATTTACCTCGGACTCAACCAGATATTCTCCATCTCGGGCATAATGGATATTACGGACTTTATTTTCGGTCAAAGAGAGGATAGCCTGGTGGTTGGCAACTATGATGCCTATCGGGCACATGCCACCCGCAAACTGCACAAGTTGCGCAAGAAGCTGGGGTTGACCACCCCTAAAGGTCGCAAATATACGGCCAAGTCTCCCATTACCGCGGAGAACGTGGGTAGCAATGTGGCGTATGCTCTCTCCCCCGGGTCTGTCTAGTATCAATTGGGTTGGAACTGACTGTGTGACTGTCATACCAGCTACGTCCAGATCCTACTGCTGAGCTCCGAACGGGCGTGGGCAGAGGCCATGCACATGAAGAATACCCACTCCGCCGACCCCTCCGCCAAAGGCATCGTCGGATCCGCCCGTCGCCATATCATCTCGCGGTTGAACAAGGCCACTGGCTACGCAAAGGAACTGGTGCAGGTGCTGCAGGATCAGCCGACTTCGGGAGCGACCGATTTTGACCTCCTCGAAGCCCGCGCATATCTGGCCTCTCTCGCGGGAGCACTCGCCTTGGAACAGCGCAAATGGGAGCAATGTCTGCAGAGTTACTCCGTCGCCAGGGTGGTGTATGCGGCGCTGGGTCAACAGGCGAAGAAGGATGCCTTCCGAGATCTCCTCGCGGGCACGGTCGATCCCAGCCTTCGATATGCGGCGTACCAGCTCAAACTGCCCCGCTCCAAGCCCATCCCTTCCCTCGCGATCAGCTACTTCCCGTCGGACGCCCAGACACGGGCGGAAGTGGAGAAGGTGGATGCCAGCTGCCTGACGGAAGATGCCGCGGGGACCAGAAGAACTGCGGACGGAGAAGTGCAGCAGCTGCCTCAGACCATCACATGGCGATCCCGGACTGTTGGCCTGGAGGATGCTACGATCTCGCAGGCTCTGGCCAGCGCCGCCGCGGCAGAATCGCGGCTTGCGTCGTGGCTGGCCGACGCTTCCGGCAGTGCGGCTTCTTCGAAGGACAAGGCGGCTGCGTACGATAACGTCATGATCGCGAGTCAGGACGCAGTCGATGCCACCAAGACCGCCATCGACGATCTTGCCAGCGAAGGTGTCGACCCGAGCGACAAGAGGATGCAAAGTCTGCAGATCACGCGCACCGCTGTGAACTACGGTCTGGTCGGGTGGCGCATTGGGCGCAACCGCGTCTTGTGCGGCGACCAGGACGGAGTGTCTTTCGAGATGGATCAATCCAAGGCCCCCAAGAGCAAGAAGCCGTCCGCCAAAAGTGAAGAGTCCAAGGGTCGGACCTTTGCGCGACTGCGTGAAAAGGTCGTGCTGTACGATTCTACGCTGCAGAGCATCGATTTCATCCTTGAATTGCCCGGTGTGGCTGCCGATTCTGCATTTGTCCAGGAATTGGGGGCTAAGCGCTCCTACTTCCGCGCCTTAAGGTACGGGGATCCAGTTCCACGTTTCTAAACGCAGATCGGTGCTAATGCTGATGTCTTCTTCCTGCAGATGTCTTGCTGTGGGCCGAACACACGCCATCCTTGGCAAGTCCAAGAATGCGCTGGCGCTGTTCTCGCAGGCGTTGACGCTCACTACTGAATCCGCGGGGCCCCTGTCGTCCTCGATGGACGTGGAGGGGCCGCCGCGATTGGACATCTCCCCCCAGCAGATCCACACCCTCGAGACCACCTTGCGGGCCCTTGTCGCACAATTCCGCGGAGTTGTGACCCTGGAGAATCTGTCCACGGAGGAACAGTCGAAGGCGGCTGTTCAGCGACCCATGGTGGAGCGGATGCACGAATACCCCGGGGATGAGCTCGATCTCCACAACCTGGTGCCTTACCCGCCGCAGTTGCAGCCGATGCCGGTGAAGCCGTTATTCCTGGACGTCGCGTGGAACTACCTCGACTACCCCCGGGAGGGATCGACGGCTGCGCAGCCAGCTACCACGGAGGAGACCGGTGCGGAAGAGCAGAAGGGCGGACGACGGGGATGGTTTGGATTTGGTCGTTGAGGGATCAGGATGCATTTGTATAGCTACCTCCCTACCTCTCCATACGTATGCCGTCCATCGGCATCTCCAATCAGGACACGACTCACAGTGGAGCAACAGCCAAGGGAAGAATCAGCGAATGAGAGCGATTAATAAAATACAACACAGCGTCTAAACGGGATACAGTTGGGGGTAGTCTGAATCGGTAATTGAACGGGAAGGATGATTGATGGATGGATTGCATAGGTTGGTGCACCTGCATGGATTAGTAATGGACGCACGACCCCCGTAATAACAAACCCACCAACATCCGGTCGGAACTTTGAGCAACCGAGTCACCTTTTATTTTTTATTTTATTTTTTATTTTTTTCATTACTGTTATTACGGTTAAATCTCCCCTCTTGTGCCTGGATTGACAGACGGCAGAGAACTATCCGTCCTCCGAGCAGTATCCGATCTCTCTAATATGATCCCCTCTTCCTCAGGCCACGTACATCTCCATCAATCAATCTGACGATAGTTGATGCTGGTCCAGACCAGACAGACCCATTGTGCTACCGTGTGGTATGTAGCAACATAGTTTCCCCTCATATCCCAGTCATTTGACAGACAGACCAGTACTACCTTACAGATACTAAATCAACTGGGGGTAGTCAGGTCCATGACGGAAAGAAATGAAAAAGAAAAAAAAAAAAAAAAAAAAAGTCCAACATAAGAGCCTAAGGAAGCAACTATGCAGGATTATACCGTCCGTGCATGATCCTTTGCGTGCTGATTGGCTGCAAGGCTGAAATTAATGAATTCATGTATTAGGTAAGCTGTCATCACCACGGGTCAACCGTGGTATTGAAATTACAGGTGTATTATTACCCTGGTGGTTGGTCCGTTGTCCCGTTTAAACCATGAACCATGGCCTATGGTCTATTGATCTGGATGACTAGTAGTATCTTGTTGATTGATTGATCTTTTTGGTTGGATAGGTTGGATTAGGTTGGATTGGGATGAAGGTAATTAATACTAGGTACCCAGTAGGAGTATTTGTGATGGATACATACTCCGCCAATGAGTAAGTTGGCGGAACTAATAGTCAACCATCATGATTCAGCCACTATCTCCGCGGACGTAAATAATCAACAGGAAATAAATCCTATAAATCAAAGAAATAGAAGAGAAAGAAGAACAACGGGAGAAAAAGAAGAAGAAAGAGGAGACGGTGGAGAGACGGACAATCTTTTCCAGAACGAACCAATCTTTCCACTTTGTTCGACTCCATCGAGATTGTTTGGCTCCGCCCTCGTATTCGCAATACGGGCCTTTCCTTCTAATTACCATCCCCTGATCTTCCTTTTTTTTTTCTTCTTTCTTTTCTTTCCTACTTGAAAATACATAATAATAATAATAATAATCATAATAATAATAATTTGTCTCGCCAATTCCTTTCCAAGCATACTAGCGTCCTTTTTTTTGGCTTCCCCTGGAACTCTTGACTCTCTGCTTTACTTGAGTCCTCCTCCTCCTCCTCTTCTTCTCCTCCCTCGCCTGTTATCTCCTTCCCCCCCTCCTGCTCCTCCTCTCCCTCCTCCTCCCTCTCCCCTTGACAACCCCTCGTCGGACTGACTCTTCATTCCGTTGAGTTTCTGAAATGTCCGCTGTCAACGGGAGCTTTGTCTCCCCTTCGGCTGATGCCGTTGTCTCCCCTCAACTCTTTGAGCCCTCCGGTCTGGTCGCGTCCCTGGTCGGCGGCCTCAATGTCTGGAAGGCCATCGTGACTTTGTTCCTGGGTGCCATCATCTATGACCAGCGTAAGTCACAAGTCACGGTGATTGGATCATGCGCCTCTATCCTCTCGCGGAAATGACAAAACCCTTTCCCCAATCGCGTGTCGCGTGGTAGAAGGGTAGACGGCTAAGATCTCCAATTCTCCAATCGCAGTGCGTTATTTTTGGCTCAAAGGATCAATCATTGGTCCGACATGGAAGTTGCCCTTCATGGGACCGTTCCTGGAATCGGTCAACCCGAAATTCCACGAGTATAAGGCGAAATGGGACAGTGCAGAGTTGAGCTGTGTTTCCGTCTTCCACAAGTATGTTGGTCCTCGTGGGCGGGCTGGCGGCGGAATTGACTCCCGCCGCCGCTTCTTCCACGCTATCGTGACGCGCAATCGCTAATCAATATCGTGCAGGTTCGTCGTCATTGCCTCTTCCCGTGACATGTCTCGCAAGATCTTCAACTCCCCCGCCTACGTCAAGCCGTGTGTTGTCGATGTTGCGCACAAGCTCCTCGGCAAGACCAACTGGGTCTTCTTGGACGGCAAGGAACACGTCGAATACCGCAAGGGTCTGAATGGCCTGTTTACGCGTCAGGCGCTGTCCTGCTACTTGCCCCGCATGGACGAGGTCTACAACGACTACTTCAAGCGCTTCCTCGATGTCTCCAAGGCCCACCAGCACAAGCCCGTCCCGTTCATGCCCGAGTTCCGCGAACTCATGTGTGCCGTCTCCTGCCGCACCTTCGTCGGTCACTACATCAGCGAGGAGGCCGTCCAGAAGATCGCCGATGACTACTACATGATCACCGCCGCCCTGGAACTGGTCAACTTCCCCTTCATCCTGCCCTTCACCAAGGCCTGGTACGGCAAGAAGGCCTCCGACATGGTCCTGGAGGAGTTCTCCAACTGTGCCGCCAAGAGCAAGGCCCGCATGGCGGCCGGCGGCGAGGTCTCGTGCATCATGGACGCCTGGGTCAAGTCCCAGCAGGATTCGGCCCGCTACCGCGAGAAGCTCGCCAAGGGGATCCCCGCCGAGGAGAACGAGAAGCCCGCGCAGCTCCTGCGCGACTTCAGCGACTTTGAGATTGCCCAGACCATCTTCACCTTCCTGTTCGCGTCCCAGGACGCCACCAGCGCCGCGTCCACCTGGCTGTTCCAGCTCATGGCCGACCGCCCCGACGTTCTGGACAAGGTCCGCGAGGAGAACATGCGCGCGCGCAACGGCGACCTCCAGGCGCCGCTGACCATGGAGCTGCTCGACAGCCTGCAGTACACCAAGGCCGTGGTCAAGGAGACCCTCCGGTACCGCCCGCCCGTGATCATGGTCCCCTACCTGGTCAAGAAGGATTTCCCCATCACCGAGAAGATCACCGTCTCCAAGGGCTCGATGATCATCCCGTCGGTGTGGCCCGCCACGCACGACGAGGACGCCTACCCCAACGCCGACTCGTTCGACCCGGACCGCTGGATCACTGGTACGGCCGAGCAGCACCCCAAGAACTGGCTGGTGTTTGGCACGGGGCCGCACTACTGCCTGGGTCAGACCTACGCCACGCTGAACCTGATGGCGATGATCGGCAAGGCCAGTTTGGAGATGGACTGGGAGCACACCCCGACGCCTTTGTCGGAGGAGATCAAGGTGTTTGCCACGATTTTCCCTCAGGTATTCCTCTCTCCCTTCTTCAATCGCTCCCTCGATACTAACAATGGATAGGATGACTGCCTGCTGACCTTCCGCCCTCGCGCCTAAACATTTACAATTCTTCGAAACAAGAAAGAAAAAAGAAAAAGAGTCCCCACGAGGTTCTAGTCCTCCAGAGTTGTTCTATCCTGGAGATAGACTGACCGCAAGATTTTTTTTTTTTTCTTTTTCTTCATTTTTATCTTTATTTCCCTCTTCTTTCCCCTCTTCTTTTATTTTTCTCTTCTCTTCTCTTTTCACTTTCTTCACTTTTATCTTTATCTTGATTTCCCTTCTCGTGTCTATACCTACTTGTATCATGCCCCGTGAGAAAAAAAACCACGGGCTTTTGTGATGGATGGATGGGGTCAGCCTGGAGTATATGAATTGTACGATCGGATCCATGGAGAGGTCGGCTTACGGGAGCGACCTTTCGTCTAGCATTATGTCTTAGAACTAATAGTAATTGTTATTGACAGTTCTTCAGTGTAATATAATAGTAGTAATAGTTGTGAGGTAGTAGTAAACATAGGCTACTGGAAATATATAGGTACATATATACCAGTCATGACACTACATGAACCCATTCAAATCGACCATGTCTATTGTATATAGTGATACCCTCGACGATCACAATATCTACAGTATCACCAATCCTGTCGGCATAAATAAACCAGAATTATATGCAATACAATGATATAAAAAACCACAAGTCCATGAAATGATACACCAACAGTATACCCAATCCAGAAAGCGGTCAGTCCTCCACAGCATGAGCCTAAGCCTAACGTACCATATCTGACATCACCTCCTCCTCCCTCCAAACCAACCCAGTTCAAACCGTCCACATCCGCCTCGGCATCTTTCACTCCGACCTACTCTATTCTACTAAGGTAGCTAGCTAGCTCCTCAACCTCCCGAACAACACCCCTACAAAAGCTCAATTGACATATACAAGAAAGAGAAAAGAAAGGAAAACGACCGGAACAATGATCCAACCCACCCGTCCCGTAACGGCCCTCGCCTCCCGCATTATCGCAAAGCAGGCCCTCCCCCTCCCGCTCGCCCGTCCCGCTGCGTCTGCGTCTGTGGGGAGCTCAGGCTCGAGGGGCTTTGCCTCTCTCTCTCGTGGTGGATATGGCTCTCTGAATAGAGGTGGATATGCCTCTCTTTCTCGCGGTGGATATACCTCTCTTCCTAGAGGTGGATACGGCCGTCCTGTGCTAGGTGCGCAACGCGGTGGATATGGTGTTATTGTCCCCCAGCAGCAGCAGGTGTCTATCCGGTGGAAGAGCGACAGCAGTCCTTCTCTGCGAAAGTGGGGATTCGAAGAGGTATGCATTACCCTCCCTTATACCCGTATATTGGCATCTATATACCAATCCCCTCGAATGAACAACACAGCTAACGAAAATGATGAAACGAAATAGATCACATCCTCCCTCCCCACAGACTCAGCCTCCCCAACCCACCACCCAATCCTAATCGACGTGCGCGAACCCGCCGAACTCACCGCAACAGGCATCATCCCGTCCGCCGTCTCCGTCCCGCTCGGCTCCCAGCCCGACGCGCTCTTCCTGACGCCGGAGGAGTTCGAGACGCGCTTTGGGTTTCCCAAGCCTGGCATGGCGGAGGGCGAGAGCAAGGATCCGGTTGTGTTCTACTGCAAGGCGGGCGTGAGGGCGCGGACTGCGGCGCAGTTGGCTGTGCAGGCTGGGTATGATGCTGATAGGGTGGGGGTTTATGAGGGGAGTTGGTTGGAGTGGGCGAAGAAGGGGGGGAGGGTTGAGAAGTGGGAGGGTGGGAATTAACTTTCCTTTTTTTTCCCTGGAGGATTTGGATTTGATTTGATTTGATTTGGAATCTAGTTTCTTTCTTATGTTATTCAGGGTGGTTGATGGTGGTGTATTGTTTTAGTGGATTGGTAGGGTGGCATGACTGACTGGCTGGATTGTATGATTAGTATTCTGTGGTTGATAGTAAGTAGTATATTATGGTGGAATCCAGGATATCCCAACATTGATATACACACAAGGTACACGGTGTATACTACACTACAAAGGAAACACGTATATGAAGAAATAAATAACTAAATCACAAGCTAAGAGGTATCGACCACAACCATCTCACCTCCGTTCAATTCATGTACAGCCAAGTCAACTTTTCTTTTCACCCATAGCATAGGTCAGTCAATACAGTCGTTGTCGGTCATGCACCAGATCTTTTCCTTTCTTCCTGGCTTGCTTGGCCTGTGCTTCGCGAAGCCTTTCCCCTTTTTTGATCCCCTTCCTCGTCTATCGTTCATGTCATACATCGGTATATTCCGCTATGGTTTTGAAAACCGGGAACATAACAGGCCCATGCGTGCACTCGGGCCTCTCGTCTCCTCCAGAGGACACAGACAGATTACGTCTGTCTGTCTGCTCGCTCGCTCAATCAACCCCACAGATACTCAGACCAATCAAGGAATGTCAAACACGGGCTTGAGCTTCTTGACAAGAGCCCACTCTTCCATCGAGACCTCCGCGCGGTAGAACTCCTTCAGCGTGTCGATGCTGGCACGCGAGATGTGAGAGTACAGCTGGTCCTTCTCTTCCAGGTGACGGCCGTACAGAGGCTGGTTGGAGCCTTCGATCTTGACGGCCACCGAGGGCTGACCTCTCTTGACTACGGCGACAGCCTTGTGGTCACGTTCGATGGAGACACTGGAATATGTTAGTCTCAAAACCATGCAAGAAAAGGTGAGAGAATGAGGGGGGAACTTACATTCGTCCAAGCTCGATGATCTCCCGGACTCCCGCACCGTTGGTCTTGATGGCTGAAAGAGGAGTGTGCATCCGCAGGCTGCCTTCCAGCACATCGACACCAATGACAATCGGCTCAGTCTTGTTGAAGACGGCCACGGGCTGGAGCACGCAGGGGAAGACGGCAAGGAGCTTGCTCTCCTCCTTGCGCTGCTCCTTCAGCTGCTCCATGTGCTTGGTGAAATCGTCGAACAGGTGGTAGATGATGTCGGCAGTGAAGATCTTGACGCCGATTTCGTTGGCGTAGGCGACGGCCTCCTTGTCGACCTTGACGTCGAAACAGAGCATGACGGCGTACTCCTTGGCCTTCTCCAGCATCGTACCGCACACCAGCACGTCACGCTTGTAGACAGGTCCGATGGAGATGTTGGCCACGGGGATCTTGGACACACGCAGGAATTCCAGCAGAGCTTCCAGGGAACCCAGAGTGGAGGCCTGGACGCTGACACCGCGCTGATCCTTCGACACCTTGCTGAGCAGGTTCTCCAGATCGGACATGACCTCCTCCTCGATGTCCTCCTCGTCATCATCCGGTCCGACGACCATCAGTCGCGAACCAGCAATAGCGTGCTCCAGGTCGTTGGCGGCGATCTTGACACCCAACGAGGCCTTGACTTCCTTGTTATGCACGTATTGCGACTTGAGACGGAGCTCCTTGAGAGGCGCCGGGGTCAGCAACGCTCGGATGTTGGTTGCGATAGGCCCGTTGAGACCGCACAGCACAACTCGATCACCCTCGCGCAAGATACCGTTCGAAAGAACCACGTCGATGGTGGTACCAAGACCCTCGATGACCTTGACCTCCAGCACCGTACACTCGACCTCCGACAGGTACATCAGAGCGTTGGTCATACGCTCCTGGGTCAGGGACGTCAGCAGCTTCAGCATGTCCGGAATACCCTCACCGGTGTGAGCGGAGGTGGGGACGAGGGAGACGTTGCGAGCCATGGACTTGTTCTCGTAGTACAGCTCCGAGTTGAATCCCTGCTCGGCGAACAGGACCTTGGTGCGCTCCAGACGGGTGCGGAATTCGTTCTGCACACCCTTGTTCTGCATGGCCAAACTCTCCTGGAAACCGTTGTTGTCGATCTTCTTCCAGCCGTACAGACGATCAATCTTGTTCAGAGCGACGATGAAAGGAGTACGACGATCACGGAGCAACCTCATCGACTCGAGCGTCTGGGGCTCGAGACCGTGCATGATATCGACGACCAGAATGGCAATGTTACAGAGAGACGAACCACGAGACCGCAGATTGGCGAAAGACTCGTGACCGGGCGTGTCGATAATCAAGAGACCGGGGATCTTGAACTCGAAGTTGCCATCCTTGTTGACAACCTGGGTCTTCTGCTGCAGAGCGTCGACGGGGAAGTAGGTGGCACCGATCTGCTGCGTAATACCACCAGCTTCGCCCTCCTGGACGTTGGTCTGACGGATCTTGTCCAGCAGCTTGGTCTTACCAGTATCGACGTGACCAAGAATACAGCAGATGGGGGAGCGCAGGTTGTCCTTTGAGCGAGCAGCCAGAGCTTCCTCGTGCTGCTTCTTCCTCCGCTCGGCAGCCTCTGCCTTGCGTTGAGCAATGGCCTTCTGCGCGGCGGACTGCTCCTCGTCGTCGGAGTCTTCCTCGTCAGAGGAGTCTTCCTCCGAGGACCCCTCTTCCTCATCCTCCTTCGAAGCAGCGTCGCCGTTAGCGGCAGCCTTCTCTCCTTCCTCGTCAGACTCGGCATCCCAGCTATCCTTGACCTCTTCGGCGTCGGCGGCCTTCTCCCAGTCTTCGACGTCGCTCTCCTCACCACCGGCGGCGGCGGCGGCAGCAGCTTCGGCAGCCTCCTTGGCCTTCCGCTCCTCTTCCTCCTTCTTCCGTCGCTCATCTTCGGCGGCACGCTGGGCCTGGGCGCGGGCGGCAGCGGCTTCCAGATCATCCTCCTGCTTCTTGGGGCCTCTCTTCTTCTTGTTATCGTAGACGGGGCGCTTCTTGTCGGCGTGGTCTTTCTCAAGACCGGCGACCTTGCCGACACCGGATTCCAGCAACTGCTTCATACGCAGCTCGTTGCGGGCTTGTGCTTCTTTCTGGGCCTTGGTGAGCAGCTTTCCTTCCTTGCGGAGCTGTTCCTTCTTCTCCCTCTCCTTCTCCTTCTTCTTCTGGCGGATCGCTTCCTTCTCGCGTTCTTCTTCCTCGGTCAGCTTCCGCTGGGCCTCCTCGGCGGCCCGCTCTTCAGCAGCAATTCGCTCTTCCTCCTCGCGCTGCTTCCTCATAGCCTCCTGCTGCTTCTGGAGCAGGGCCAGGTGAGCAGGGATCTTCTTCTTCTTACCGCCGGTCTCGGCGGCGGCCGGAGCAGCCTCGGGGGCGCGGGAGGGGGATTCATCCTTCTTCTCAGCCTTGGCAGGCTGAGGCTTTTCGGCAGGGGCAGTCTTCTTCTTCAGAGCAGCCTAGACAGTAGTAAAAGATGCGTTAGCAATCTGATGCGGGGGTGGAAGATGAAAAGGATCAAAGAACAAACCTGTTCCTTCTTCCGCTGCTTCTCTCTCTCCTTCTTCTCCTTCTCCTTCTCCTTCTTCGACTTCACCCGGAACCCGGAATCCTCTTCCTCAGCCGCAGCAGTCGGAGCCACCTTGCCAGCCTTGGCACTCTTCTTGCCAGCAAAGACATCCTCGTCATCGAAGGTGCCTTCCTCAGGCTGCTTGTTCGAAAAGTCCGCAGCCTCACTGGGATCCTCTCCCTCGACGAAATCATTCGCCTGCTTCCCCTTCTTGGCCTTCTTGGTCTTGTTCTTGCGCAGCGCTGCGAGCAGTCCGCCACCGCCGCTGGTTTCTTCTTCCTCGCCAGCGGGGTTCTCCTCGGCAGCCGGCGACTCATCACCACCATTGGGGGCGGCGGGGGCGGCCTCGCCCATCTCGGCCTCCCAGTCCTCTTCTTGCCGCTTGTTTCCCTTCTTCTTGGGCGCCATTTTGGGTGATTATTGGCGGTGTTGTCTTTTTTGAAATGGGTTGTGCGGATCGATGTCGATCACGAGCCTCTCTTTCGACTGAAAGATTTGAGGCTTATAAATATGGGATAAAAGGAACAAAAACGGATCCCTAAAGATAAGAAACTCTACGTTAGCATGGAATCTAAATAAAGTGCGCTGAGAAGAGTCTAGACGGATTATGCAAAAATTGTGTGGGCGGTGCACAAACAGTCCGACGAAATTAGCTTCTTCCGCTCTTCGCAGTTATAGATGACGCTCTAACCGTAGCAGTGAAGCCGGATTAGGCTGGACGAAAAAATGATCACAAGCAAGGGGAAAAGGAGGGGCAAACACCTTTTCTATCCCGCAAATTTGGGTTGATCTGTGTGGGGGGAGGAGGGGGATGGAAGAGATGGAGGAAGAGGAGGAGAAGAGAGGAAGAGATAAAGAGCGATCGGAGGTTTGAATGGTTTGGTTGGCGTATGTAATCTTGGTCGTAAAATAAAAAGAATTTTGACTTTGGTGGGGGAGGATTACCGCACCCGTTTATGCGAGGGCCAATTAATGCGTGTCTCTCCGGGTTTCTACCAGCGGGTTATGATGATCTTGAATTGGTTTTATATGAAGGGTTTATATAAAGGAATGGTAAATAATAACAGCGAAAGGTAGAGGATATAAAGTGACATGAGATGGTCGGAGCTGGATGGGGAAATGTCTCTATATTCAAAACTCCACATGCAGTATCTTCTTTAACCACCCCATTACCGCATCGACAGGGCTCATCTCTTCCCCGAGGACTGCCATGGATAACTCGTTGAATCGGGTCCAGGTCTCTCCATGGCTGGTCGTGTCAAGGGAAGAGGACTCGCCCATCAGCATATGCGTGAGACGACTCGACCCGTGGGGCACGAGACGAGCGAGAATGTCTCCGTCGATGTGCATCTGCGACGGCCGGAAGTCGAGAGGCTCGTGGCCCACCGGGTGCCTCTGTTGCTTCCGCTTGGGGCTGAACGGACAGACGACGGGGTCCCGGACGCAGAGGTCCTGTAGTAGATGGAGTAACCGCCATTCTGTCTCGCCCAGTGTTGAGAAACTATAGACAGTACCGTTCATAGCTGTGCCGTAGTATACTCGGGATTCGGGGGATAAGGCCGAGCGGCTGGAACCCGCGGCGAGTTTCATCACAGACGACGGGAGGTGTGCCTCGCAGAGCGCCATGGGCATCACCTTGTCATTATCAGCGACCCCTTCCTCGGTCAAGATACTGACTCGTCCCCCTCTGCTCGAGGCCAGGGTCAGTTTCATCTCGCCATCAAGGTGAATATGGGAGAGCCCGTCGTGCTTTTGGCGGTCGAATGCATGAAGGACCAGTCGGTCATCCGCGGCCTTGAGCACCATCAGCGACTCGCGCGACGCTGACACGTATACATAGGGCTCGCGGGTGGTGATCGACATCGCCGGTGACAGCACCGGAAACCTGGCGGCGCGGACCCATCGTGTTTGGGAGGACTTGGGTTCCAGAGGCACGATCTCATGGCCGGTACTAACGATGAGAGTGAAATCGCCGTAAGGGGCGATGGAATACACCGGGCCTTCGAACTTGTGAATGTACTTGACGGTGCACTCAATCTGGGTAGGATTGGACGGGCTCCGAGATGCTTGGAGAAAGATGACCCGCCCTCGATCAGGTTGGTTTTTACGAGCAGTTCCAATGACGATCATGTGGTACTCCTCATCGCCCTTCTTCGGTGTCCAGTCGAGAATACAACTGATCTTCTCCCCTGCAGTGCCCTGTGGTCTCCATGGTCGAGGCTCGCTCTGCGGGGCCTCGAGGATATCGACAACGGACTGCTGTGAATCGGGATCCACGAACTCGATGCATGGCCGAGTGTAGCGTCGGATGGGATCCGATTCGGTGTCGTACTCGGTCCGGGTGTATGCTACTATTAAACTTCGGAGATGCGGCGAGTACGCCAGTCTGTTGGCGCTGCCAGGCAAATCGATCCTCCTTGGCACAGTCTTTGCCTCGTGATCCAGGGTGCAGATCATGACTTGCCCGTCTGCTATACAGAACAAGCTGTCGGACAAGCTACCCGTTTCGGGGTCTGTGATGCTTGTGAGTGCAAAACTATGCACACTCTTTGGGTGGTAAGCGGGCTACAATACCGTTAGACATTTATCTTCAAGAATGGTGGATTTGGGCAACGCACATTGTTTTGGTCCGTGATCCAGATCTTTTGAAGAATACAATCCGATCTACCCGAACTTTGGATACAAGACATTTGCCAAAAACCGTGCCCACAGGTCAATAGGGCGAAATTTCCCCTGCTCTGAACTTTGACCGATGTATGCCCCAGTCGCTGTGGCAAGGCTTGTTCCAGCACTACTCGGAAATCATCAGCGGAAGAAGCTAGCCAGAGAGTTCGGTGACCTACCAATCGGAGCAGTGGCACTATCAGGATCCAAGCCCAATTCAAGTGGGACCAGGATACCGCTTCGTAGACCGCACAAGACCATGTACCTCTGAGCAGGTCCATCAGTGGCAACAGTGACTACTGCAAGGCTGTCAATTGCCTTCGAAATGTCTTCACCCAGCTCTAGGTCTATGGGTATCTCGAGAAGGAATGACACAGTCTCCTGCACGCGGTAGACCGAAATCTTCCCATTGCCTGACCCAATAAAAACAAAAGATCCACTACCAAAAGTTTCAATGGACATGCAGACAGGCTCGTCCACGACTCTCAAGGGTTGACCGACATCAACAAGTCCGAGTTGAGCATCATTGGTTACGGTCAACCGCTTCGAATAGAGATGCACTTCATTTCGAGTACGAACGGCCGTAGCGATGAGGGAGGCATGAGTGCTGACCGCGGCAACAGCAATAGCCTGGTCTGGCCCATACTCGAAACGGGAATTGGCTGCGGGTTCAGCAATCGCCCCGAGATGTATCGCTTTATCGGTAATTTGGATGACAACACCAGAATTGGTGCACGCCGCAGCTAAAGTTTGGGCTCCAAAGTCCAGCCCAGAGTCTGCTTCATCAATCGCAGAGATCTCGTCTCCAAAATCAGCAGGGAGGTGCAAGAGGGTGGAAGAGATCGGGTCGGATGTAAGAACGAAGATTCCCCCGTCCATACCGTCCGACATTGTCCATATATCTCCCATACTGAACATATCCTCCAGGGAAATGACCAGCCCGATTTGCGCTTCGATGCCATGGCGGAGTTCCACGACGGCACCGCGCCCAAACGATGACGCCGAGCATACAAACATTCGGTCCTCGGGGATGTTGGTGCTGGACTGATCCTGCCCGGAAGGCCTCACAATGACAGAATCTGTGACCGGCGTCCAATTCATAAACTTCTGGACGCATCTAGGGTGATCGCGAGCTTTTTGGATGAACAGACCTCCGTCCCCCGTGTTGCCCGCAGCCAGAAGCAGGTCCCCACCCTCATGGCCAATGTCGAGAATATCGAATGCTGCATCAACATCACAGCAAAGCTGCCCGAGGTGTGTTTGATTCTCTACTTCGCCTTCACTGCCGATTCCTAGATACGAGATCTTCCCGTCCTCCCGGCAGAGATAAATGTCGTCGTGTTTTTGGTTGTACAGCCAGTTACGGAGGGGCCTTGCCCACCGAGTCCACAGAGGTGCCCTTTGCGATTCACTGTCCAACGTCGGAAGTGGGTACCTACTAGGTTGTCGCCGCGGATCTAATCTGTTTTTGTATATCGCCATTGACGTCGTTGTGATGAGCATGAAGGAAGATGTCTTTGTTAACGGGATTAGCATGGTGGGCAGTCTATCCTCGAAAGCCAGCAGGCGTTTGGTCACTTTAGGCGTCGCATGCCGGAAGGTTTCGTTGGCATCCCATTCGTAACATATCGCGTGCGTGAGCTGATCTTGGGCGACCAAAAGTAGCAAGATGATTTTCCCGGCATCTTCAGACTTGGGGTATAAGAATTCCATGAAGAGGATGTCCCCGTCAACACGAAAGAAGCGTTCCTGCAGAAATACACTCGTCGATTAGTACATCGCAACCAACCTGCGAACTCTATAACGTACCTCTGCTACCGGATCTAGCTCGTCAGTGGACATCTGCGCCTGGAGTTCAGGGGTCTTTTGCAGGACGAAGACTCCAAAATAATCACATGAGGCGCTGACCGCGACAGCACGGGACCTGCGAGGCTTCTCAGAATAAGGACCCTTGGTTGATTCAGTGCGACTTACCGAGGTTCGACAGCAATATTCCTCCCAAATCGCTCGAAGGTGCTGACATCGTTCGGTAAAGGGCGATGAAAGTGGATAAATCGCCCATCCAGATTAGAATAATACAGAAACACCAGCTCCTTGGACGCGAGGCTGAGAACTAAGATTTGGGGAGGCAGGTCTTTTGGAAGGTCTGTGCCGGATTCAAGCTTCATCTGAGCCTCCCACGGTAGTTCGGCGCTCACGTTGATGGCCTTGGCTGCCATAATATTGGCATCGAAATCTGCCTTCGACGTGACAGTCTCCAAGTGAACACCAGACACTGCTTCTTTAATTTGGAGGCTTCGCTCCCCAACGAACACGACGTCATTCTGGAGTTTGCTTCGCAGGCGTGCCGGGAGAATCCACTGGATGATGGGGCTTGGGATAAGCGTACGGGTGAGCAACCCAACCTTGGCTCTACTATTCAACGGCGAGTTGGCCTCCGCTGCTCCTGCGTTACGTCGGTTCGCCAGAAGGTTGGCGAAAAACGTACCGGAATCCCGGCTAGTTCTTGGTTGAGCCATGACTCTGTGGTCCAGAAATTTCCCGAAAAGACGGCGCAGAAGTGGGGAAAACCTGGGGCTTCAATGAAGCAATTTAAGAGGACAAAGAAGGCAGGGATTTCAGCGATGATTTCCCCACGCTGTAGTCTGCCGCGCCAGTGACGGCAGTATAGGCAAAACGCAAAGAATCAATTGATTAGAAATCGAGCCCGGAAAGAAGTCCTCTCATGATCATGCTTAAAGTAATCTTGGGATACTGTCTCATCTTGGTACGGTTGAGGGAAAATAGATCGGGAGATGTTGACAATGACGGAATGGTGCTTCTCACTGCAATCGAAAGATAGCAATGGTGATCCGCCAATTAGACCGATCCGATCGTTCAAGGAAGATCCCTCTTTTGGTCTCGCTCTCTCTGGCTCTCACACTCTCTGGCTTGTCGACTCAACCCAAAAAAGATAGATGGAATGAACCCAGCCAGGAGCGAACTACCTACACTATGTAGGCGAGCTAGAGCCACCTGCAAGTAATCCGTACTTCAGTGGTTCCGACAGTACGGATTGGCTAGCACAGCCTGACGCCTTTTCCACTCTTGGGAGTAGTGCCTATAGATAAACCGATAGACTGAAAAGAAATCTCATAAACTGATCCCAGAAAGAAACATGCAGGCTAGTGGAAGAATAATTCCGGGGTTAGCATGACTCGACGAAGAAATCAATGGGAATGATGGACGAATCGAAGGGCGGTGCTAGACGATTTGAGTGCCCACCATCCACCGCCACAGTTTTGGGCACTCGAGAACCTGCAGCCTATCTTCAACTTTTTTTTTTTTTCTTTTTCTGACTTTTTTTGTCTTTCTGTTGAGGGGGATCGTGGGGGGAGTTGATAAGGAGGGAACCAACACCTAAACAAAACACTCTTGAATCATACCTCGTCATAAGACTGATTTAGGATAAGAAGAAACTGAGAAGACAAGAGATCGTCTGACAGAGGAAGTTGTAGGAAACCATCAATCACAACCTCCGATCATCCTTGAATATAATCGCCCAAGCATGGAGGGGCTGGTGGACTGGTTTAAGTAAGTCGTCTGTCGCTCTGCAGGCGGTCGGCAAGTCGTCCAAAGAAGAAACGACAAGATGGAACAAATCACGGGACTCGACCGCATCTTTCCATCGTCAAACCACCGTCGGGTTCTTGATTACTTCGTTATACTTCAGAGTCTGGGCTTCTGTCTCTTTTTTAAACTTTAACGAGGGGGTCATATCTCGTTTAAATTGTCCTACTGCTTCATCAGGCCTTCATCCCGCTACGAGAACTGGTTCTCTGCCCGATCGGTTCCTCCACATGCTGCCCAGCCGCAAATGCATGTCATTTGTGCTAAATCGTCCATGCGTTTCTCCTAAGCCCATTTCATGATCGGAAGACAAACATACCCTGGTTGATCGGTACTCTCTACGATCTCTCTGCGTCGTGTGTGAACTGACCCGGACCCACCGGCTACTGCATTCCTGCCTATGGTGCCGTCCTACTGTATACTTACAAGCCTGTCGTGCATCTGCATAATAAACGAGATTGAGGGACTGAGTTGGCTGTCTTGAAATACAGCGTGTTACTTATTCTGGACTATTTGTTGCTTCCCTTTGGTGCTGCCTGAAATTGCCAACCCAGGGATAGAACTATCGTCCCCGTCTACCTGGATTCCCGACATCTACGATTCCATCTCACTCATGGCTGAATGGCCCGACATCCAACGGTGGCCCGAAAGCAACGCCGAGATCGACACCGAAACCGACGCATTAACTGATGTCGGCACGGATCTAGAGATGGCATCGGAACAGATGTCAAAAGAATCAACCCCTCCGATGGACCCCCCGCACGACCCGGCTGCAGCCCGTGTAGCCGAAAAAGAGGTCGCCATCCGTCGCGCATGCGATCTGCGCGATTACGAAGCACTGGTTTCGTACGCAACCTCCGAAGGGGGATTTCTCTGTGATGAAATCCGCCAATCCGTCTGTAAGGGAGCTCAGTATGCTGTTAGTATGGGGACGACAATTGACAAATCAAAGGGCCTCTTCTCCTCCACTGTGATCGAACGATCCCTGAACATGACTTTACGGACTGGAATGACCTGCCACCCCATGCTGATGAGGACCAAGTTCAGCTAGACGTGAACCGATCATTTGTTTATTACCCTGACTGTAGGCACCCCGTCTATCGACCCAATGGCTTTATCGGCTAACTGAGTCGCGCAGGTGCCGAAGATGAGCGGGCCCGCAAGAAGGATGAGTTGTCAATTGTCATCAGACAGGTCCTACGCAAGTATCCAATGCTTTGCTACTTCCAAGGCTATCATGATATCGCTCAAGTCCTTCTCTTGGTGCTCGGGGGAAGGGCAGCCGCACCGGCGGTGGCCCAGATGTCTCTTTTCCGGATCCGGGACTACATGCTACCGTCCCTAAAACCCTCTATCAAGCATCTCCATCTCATCCCTGCGATCATCGAAAAGGCCGATCCAGCTCTCCGACGACATATTGCCGGGATTCAGCCATTCTTCGCTCTGGCAGCCGCCCTCACTCTGTATGCGCACGATATTCAAGAGTACAGTGACATCGCCCGACTCTTCGATTTCCTTTTGGCTCGTGAACCGGTAGAGTCGATTTACCTGTTTGCCGCTATTATCATCTCCCGCAGGAAGGAACTTTTGGAAATATCCGTCGACGAGCCGGAAATGCTTCATTTTACCATGTCTAAGCTCCCCTGTCCGCTGGACCTCGAGGGCCTGATCACAAAAGCCGTGCAGCTCTTTCAAACATGCCCCCCGGAATCGTTACCCTGCAACGCGTGGAAAACCATTCCTCGGTGCAGCGTACTCAAAACCTCTCGGGAGCTGTCCGACCGCCAAACGGTCACCGAGGCACTAGGGCTCTTCGACCAACAAGCACGACAACTACGCAATCAAGAGCGGAAAGAAAAGACCCTGGAGTTCCTATGGTACAACCGACGGACCATTGGGTCCGTGGCGGTCACCATCTTCATCGGGGCCATGTCGTTCTGGATCCGCCGGAAGGGACTGGATGGACCCATCTGGTCGTACCTTTCTCGGTTCAAGGCGGCGTTTCAGGCACACGGCTACTTCTAGGGACTTTGGAAGTTTGCCGAACGCGATATATGAATGGATGCAGGAGAAAAAGGATTCCAGCGATTTGGCTTCATATCTAATACAATCTGTAATATAATAGAAATAAACAACAAAATACTTTCTTTTCCGATCTTATCCTATTCGATTGTACTATCTATGTTCACGTGGAGGAGAAATGAACGGCAGTATCATGATACAACGCGGGCGGTGTGGATGGGGCCGCTGAGGTGTACTCTTTGCTGCTCCGACGGCTGCAAGTCAACTCCACCACTCTCTCCCTCCACCATTTCCCCATCAAACCTTCTCCAACTGAGATCCCCTCACGATCGCCCAAAATGGCAAACCGGGGCTACGACGTGGTCGTCGACGTCGACGCAGAGGTACGAATACCGTTCCCTGTTGGATCCCTGTTTGACCGTCGTCATCTAACACTAAAGGACACAGGGCGACCTCGGACACACCGATCTCCAGGAGGACCTCGAATTCCACCCTTCCAGTAAGCCGGATCGCTTCCTCTTTGTCGAAAGCATATCCCCAGTTGACCGGAGATTGTGTTACTGATTACACGTTCAACAGACTTCGAGAATGACCAACGATCCGCCAAAGCGCACCAGGACTCGGCACCGTTCCTAGGCGGAGGGGGCCCCTCGCGCGGTAACCGCAACAGGTCGCCGGGCGGCACACCCACCAAGGTCAGCTGGTGGTCGCTGCACTATTATTCGCAGTTCTTCGACGTGGACACGAACGAGGTGCTGCGACGATGCGTTGCGACGCTGTACCCGCGCAGCAACTTCCTCGACGTGCTCGAGGGCAACGCGGACCTGTACGGGCCGTTCTGGATCGCCACCACCGTCGTCGTCATCCTGTTCCTGACGGGCACCATCTCGCAGTGGCTGTCCAATAACGACGGCCAGCATTTCGAGTACGACTTCACCCTGCTGTCCGGCGCCGCGGGCCTCGTCTACGGCTACACGGGACTTATCCCCATCGCGCTGTGGGGCGCACTGCGCTGGTTCGGCAGCTCCACGGCTGACTTGATCGAGTGCTGGGCTCTGTACGGATACTCAAATCTCGTGTGGATCGGTGTCGCCCTGGTCAGCTGGAGTCCGTTGACGGCGTTGAACTGGGCGCTTGTTGGCGTGGGCTTCGGGTGGACCGTCTTCTTCCTCCTGCGGAACTTGTACCCCGTCCTGAGCGCCACGGATGCCAAGGCTAGCAAGATCCTGTTGGTGCTGGTCATTGTGCTGCATGCGGGTCTCGCCATTGCTATTAAGATTCTGTTCTTCGCGTATGTTTCCCATCCGATGCACTTATACAAACTACATGCTAACGACATTACTTCACAGCCACGGGAGCCCCGTCTCCAAGAAGAACAAGGATAAGGTCAATGAAGGTGAACCTAAGGACGGCGAGAAGCCGCAGAGGATGATGATGATGTAGAGACGTGGAGGAAGGAAAGGAAAGGAACATTATGCAATCTCTGTCTAGGCTTGCACCGTCCCTTCGTTCAAGGTTGATAGACTGGTTGAGTTTTGCTCCGGTAGCGATTTGGCCAGCTTTCGCCCTCTGTTTTTGCGTTCTCGTTCTCGATCCCTCTGTCCTATTCCCACTTTATACTTTGTGCGGCAGATTTATCCGTTACGGTGTATGTATGTACCTCTACGAACTTGATTTCGATTTCTAGGATGATCGTATTTTCCCTGAACAGCACCAATTTGAAAGGGTCCTTGGGCTTTTCCATTTGATTTAGCTGCTGTAGTTCCCTATCTAGCATCTCCAGGAGCCGTGCCATAGTTTTATACATCTACTGTGGGATGTCTTGTCTCGGGTTTGCAGAAAGGCAAAGTCTAGTCCGTACTTAGCGGATATATATATCATCACTTGATTGCATTGTGGTGCAGTGAAGACAGGCAGTGAATAGTTTAAACCCATGTGATATATATCTCTACTACTCCATCCTCTTCCTCTTCTTGATTTCCATCTTTTACTTACCAACAATCTTTGCACTCTTCATTCCATTTCTGCTTACTTCCCACTCGTTCCTTACATATATGTGTGTCGCACTAACATCCAATTACTTGCAGAGCTCAAAAGCGTCATGGTCTCTTTTATAACCGAACAGCAATTCTCTTCTTCTGTTGCGATAACGTCTGACTTACTCTGAATCCATATACAGATGTCTCTATTAACCCGAGCATCAGGCCGCAATGTCAATCATTGAAAGAAAACCTCAAGCAAGCCACGCCATGGAATCAATCCACAGCTTCCCAAAGAGCCCATTTCACACTTTTTTTGTTGTCTCTGCGGTTGACTCTAGAAAGGGTCCGAACTCTCATCCATAGTCGGGGCACCTATGGCCCAGTTATCTCCTCCAATTCAAACGGAACATTTGGGAGGGAAAATATCCAGTTCACTTATTACTCTGATACTTGGTTAGAGATAAAGGGAACTCCCATCCATGTTGTCGGGGCGCCGATGGCAAGCTATACATATCTCCGTCAATTCAAACGGAACATTTGGGAGGGGAAAATCGCCGTTTCGGATCTTGTCGTGGCAATTTGATAACGCCGAGTTGGCTCATCGGCGGGTTCTACCTCAATAGATTGCGGGACTGCCAGAAAGGGACAGATCTTCTAGTAGTGAGTTGTATTCCCTTTTGTCGACCGCTCAATGGCTTTCCGCTAACGTTGTAACTACGAAGCCCAAGCGGCGTACAGCCGGTTTCTCTGAGGTCGCCGCAAGGAGTTTCCTGTTCCTCCAAGCATGAGCGCTTCTGCTGCTATTTGGCGCGAGCATATATCGTTCCCAGCAATTGCTCAGGCTGCTGCTAGTTAGTCCGTGGCCAAAAGGGCTCTCGTCGAGGCGTAGAGTTCAGTTGTCCATAGCCTCTAGTCAATTAACTATGTGATTTCAGTGCGAATTTCGTTCTTACGGCCCTGACAATAAAGTTGAATTTGGGGATGTTAGTTGCTGGTGTTGTCAGGGGAGGATAGGGCTTGTGAATGAGTCGTGGGGAGTGGTTGCGCATGTCTTCCATGATGACGGGGGGGGGGGGGAGTTGGCGCAAGCGGAGAGGACGGAGATAGCGTGGATAGTGTATTGGTTGATTGGGGAGTATTAGGACACGGATGAGGTACTGTTAGTTGAGATTGACGTTGCTCCAAGTTGCTGATCCTGATCCACTCGAGGGCTTTGTAGCGATCTAGATCCATGGCTATCGGGTTTAGATCAACTTGGTAAGTACCAGCGAATGAGCACCGAAATGGAGAGGAACAGAAGCAGTGAACCTGTCCAGAGTCTCCGTGATATCCGAATTCAAGTATACGATCGGGAAAAAAAGGTGATTGTTTTACAAAAGCTTGATTGCAATTGAGAGGCGCCGTCACCATTTGACTTGGCTATCATGTTTCTTTTATTCAAATATCGTATGAAAACCTCCCAGGCTGCAACCGGACCATCATAAACCCGTCCGAATCTTCTTCCCAGCAACGTAGAAAAACCGTAACATGATGCGAATCGTTTACTTCAACTTCTTCTTGGGGCGGAGCTGGTTGGTGTGACCGCACTTCTTCTTACGGCAGTTGGTGGCACGGGGGGGAAGACGGGCCTGTCCGATGATTAGTATGGTTGGTCGGGTGTCTCGTCTCATGGATCGTTCCGTCCTGGAGGGGTGCAACGTACGTAGCACTTGCGGCAGATGTTCTTCTCGCAGTTGTACTTGGAGGCGAGGGCCTTGAGCGAGGGCTCGATGATACCACCACGCAGGCGGAGCACCAGGTGGAGAGTGGACTCCTATTGGAGTGGTCAGCCAATGGTCTCAAATCCAATGTAAAACATCGTCCGATCTAGACGCCGAAATTCCGTCTCTTTCATGATAACGATGCGGTTTCCCCAGGTATAACACGATAGGTCCGGTTGTTTCAAACCCCATGCGACCGTGGAAACTGCCCATCCAATCATATATCCCATCTGATCCTTCCCAATTCCTAGGGTAATTCCGTACCTTCTGGATGTTGTAGTCGCTCAGGGTACGGCCATCCTCAAGCTGCTTGCCAGCGAAGATCAGACGCTGCTGGTCAGGGGGGATGCCCTCCTTGTCCTGGATCTTGGACTTGACGTTGTCGATGGTGTCGCTCGACTCGACTTCGAGGGTAATGGTCTTACCCGTCAGGGTCTTGACGAAACTGTTATCCAATCCATCAGTTCACCGCTCACTCAATCACAAATTTCCCATGCTGGCTTTCTTAGGTTGTCGGCCGGGTCGGTGGCTGGCCATATCGAATGGCCGGTCGGGGGGGAGTATGGATGTATATAATATTGGAGGAAGACCTACATCTGCACTGTGAGGGCGCGCGAAAAAAATCCATGTTAGCAGGTCATTCAGCGACAACAATATATCGACTTTAGGGGGTATCTGCACGTACTGGTTGCGGTTTTCCGTTTGTTGCTGGCTGACGATCGGCTGGGAGTTCGCGGGCAGAATGAGACGATGTCAATTTGAGGATTTCTCGCTTAGCAAAGGTGCATCGATGACTAAGGCCGTGCGCGGTTACCCTAACCCTACTTTCCCTTTTCGGTCCCGAAGCTTATCCCCCGGATTGACAGCGTCATATCTTCTTTTCTTAGTTTAGTCGTTCTCTCGCTCCTTCTTATCTGGCTATTCGGCCACTTTACAGTGTTCCGCCGTACGGGCTGGACCCGTCATCCATCCGAGTTGCCTTATCGAGTCAACTGACCTCTCCGTTTTGGTATCCGCCGAACTAGACATTTCTCCGACGCAGTGGTATCAATCGTGAACACGCAGCGACAAAAGAGTGCAGTATCCGGGTTATATATAGCGCATCGTTTTCTGGGCCATGATAGCTTCCCTGACGGTCAACGTTCAAGGAAATCGTCCTGTATATGCTCAGCCCTTCAGCGTTCGAGACCTGTCGCATCGCCTTCCATGCGACATAGATGCGCCGGGTTGGTTATCGGCGCGACTACTAATCGGCGGTTGTGGTTAACTTGTCGTCAGCATGGTAGAAGTCTTCTTATACAACTCTCTAGCCTTTGAAGGGCTCCGGTACCTGCGACCAGCGCTTGTCGCAAACGCGACTCATGATACGCTAGCGCCACCTAATACTAGCACAGATGACAGATTTTCCGATGCTTTTCGGCGCGCCTGTAGTGGCGATCGCCTTGTCTGGGATGATCTATCGAGCGGGTATGCACTGCGTGCCTGACTGGGCTGTGGTGTATGTAGCATTGGAAAATGAAGCGCGTAGGAAGCTTTATTGGAAATTGGAGGTTTCATCGTCGACTTGTTTACTGACCAACCACGTAGAGTCTTGTATTCAGTGGGGTCGATATGTTTATATCGAGGCACTTACTGCCTGCAAGTAGTTGAACTGGGCCCTTATCAACTCGACTGCCAATCGGCTGGTGTTATCATGATCAGAGACCCGGACTGAAGGTGTAGAGTGACGTTGGCAATGCAAGACAGTAACGCTTCTTTGGAAAATGGTCTCAATTAGTTGCTGTTTCTTTCTTGGTATCAACATAGGTTGATAGAGCTGTAAGGCAATTGGTAGTGGAAGTGTTGCACTGGCAGAGCGCCGTAGGATGTGTACCATCATCCTACCTAATCAACATGTCAAGGAGCCCCATGGCTTTCATGAAAGAATCCCTCGTTGTAAAATTTTCAGGCGATATTAATTTGAAACTTCCAATAAAAGAGTAAACAAGAAGGTAAGTGGTGGGTGGAATGTAAAAGGATGATCGAGGGGTAAAGAAAGAAAAAACAAAAAAGAAGTCGCCCGAAGGGGGTCTCGAACCCCCAGCCTTGCGGTTTGCTTGAGATGTTGTTACACCGTAAAAGCCGCACGCTCTGACCAATTGAGCTACCCGGGCTTCTTGTTGAAATGTCGGTGGCAAATAGCATCCTATGTGGGGTGAAAACATAAATACTTGGAATGCTGCATACCCTTTTCTCAAGACAATACTGATGTGATTCGATCGGTTTGAAGATACTGAAAATCGAATCAACAACTACAGGACATTAAGAGGTTATTTTGTATGAGTACACTAGATAATATTCGGAAGCCGTAGCAAGATTGGTTATTCTCTCTAATGGCTTGGTCCAGGCTTCAAGAGGTTTCTTGGTGGCAGGATGTTGAGCATCATGGGTTGGCTATTGGTGCCTTCGCATTGCTGCTTCTCGTTTATTTCAATACAAAAACAAATATAAAAATAAAATAAAACGATTATTTTCATGATGGGCATGAAAGGTAGTAAAGTAGTGAGTTATATAAGATGAGCTCCGTCAAGAAGCTAGGTCTAATAGGCAAACGACATCATATAAGATCATATACTATAGCCCGGTACGACTCAAGATTCATCATCCAACTCAGGCAAGCTTTGCTCATCAGCCGGATCATCTCCCTCCAGCCACGCATCCGACGACTCCATAAAGTTGCTTTCCCGTCTTTGATCATCTACCCATCGAGAGATTTTCGACTCAGTCTGATGAACGACCCGTACAAGGGTCGACAGGGATATTCCCGTGACTTTAGCAACGGTCTCATAGAACGGTTCGGCCTCGTCGGAGAGATCCGAGTCCAGACGATACCGCTGGTACTCTGCGCCGGGACGGAGTACATCGGTGTCCGGGGCCCTGATGGCTCTGCGTGGTTTTAGCTGGCTGGAGACTGTTTGGACCATCGATTCTATTGCTTCGTCCTCGTCGTCGTGGATTTCAGCAGGCTCGGCCTGACTCGGCGGTCTGGACTTCCCACGCATCCGACCGAGGGGGAAGAGATCTGCTAGGAAATTTGAGTTTCCTAAAGGAGTGAGTCAGTGCTGCTGTCCACGGCAGAGGAACATGATAAGCTTCGGGATATCTCGTACCGCGGCTAACGTCCAGCCAGGAGCTCTCGTACCAATCCATATACTCATCTAACTGGGCCGGTGACATGTTGAACACGTCATTGTCGTTTACGAGGACCTCTTTGCCCTTTCCAATGCGTCCTCCTGACGTCTCTCGGGCATCGAAGTGCCTCTGAACCTGCGCCCACAGTTCCCAGTTGACAACCTGGGAGCTGGGCTCCCGCGTCGACTGGGGATATCGTTTGATGTCGTCGAGGGGGAAGAATAGCTTGGTCGATATGACAATCAGTGTGGCTAGTTGCACTTCTGGTAGATGCAGGGCCGTGACTCTGCCGGTGACTCGCTCGGGAAAGGCAAACGGGAACCTTGTAATGGTATTTAATCTGTGCACTGCCGTATAGATCTCAACTGGAGGATGTCAGCTTAGCTCAGGGAAGATATTGATTAGGTCGTGCCATACTGGGTACCGTAAGCCGCTTTATATAGCGATATAAAAGAGGGGGCAGGTTCAGCCCAGGGAACTCCATCCCGAACTGGTGTCTGTACCACACGGAAAGGTCCAGAGCGGCTTTGTGAAGATGTTCCGCTTTGGGCAACCTCTGCCAACTCATTAGAAAAGGCCAAACCTGTAGATTGAGCGGCGCATCCTTACAGTAGTCTCAAGAAGCGAAAGATACTCTTGGGGCAATCTGTCCCTCATCTCCCGGGGAATCGCCAATATAATCCTCAGATACGGGACCTCCCCCCGCATGAGCATCCTTGATGCAGTCAGACAATGCAAGTGGTATCCGGACCACGGATACAGCAAACTCACCTGTGAAAATCTGCAATGCTAATGGGGATCCTCATCAGCAAAGCCGCCAGATAGCACAGAGTGATGCTATCGATAAGACGCGGCCATTGGAGGTACTTCGACCCAATTTTGGGAGCCTCGGTGTGCTTCTCCGCCTCTGTCGCCGCCGCCGGCTGGGAGCTGCTGAAAAACTCCGGCTCATCTTTCTCCGAGAAAGTATTGATTTTGTCCGAAAGGGTCTCCAAACGGAGCGCCCATAGATCGCGGACGATATTCTGGATATTGCTTTGTCAGCTTCTTGCGAACTTCCGCAGTTCCCGATTGAGCGAGAGAGAACGGATGGAGGTGGAAATATATATAGACTGGACACACCTCCAATTTAGCTGGAAAGCCTCGGCCTTGGACCAAGGCGTGGCATTGCTTCCAGAGAATCAACTGATAGATGTGGAGAAACAGAAGATACGCATGTTTCCCCTTGTATGCTGCCTTGTGTTAGAATCGGAATGCGTAAAATTCGACGACCACTGCGCCCACAGCACCGCAAGACAACGATATATATACATACTCTTAGGAGGCTTCTCCCTCACAGGCTTCTTTAGACGAGTCACTTTGCCCTGTGTGCCAAAATCATCCGCATCCTCTCCAACTTGCATGCCCTGTCATTCAGACCGGTGAGTCGCTGATCCAGCAGGCGATGAGGAGCGGCGAAGACTTACCTCCTGTTGGTGACCTCGCCGACAGTACCAGAGGCCATTCTCGATGAAGTATCGAGTTTCGCGGCACCCTTCCTGCCCGCAAACTCCTCGGGATTTGGCTTCCATCCCGGGCAGCTATAGTTCATTGTCTAATGGGAGTCATGGAGGAGATCGGGAGGCGAAGAGTTTGGGGAATGAATCCTCGCAACGCGCGGGTAGATGGCAGAGAGATCGATGTTGTCGGCTCTTCTACTTTTTTTTATGGTACACTTTATTTTATTTTTACTCACCCTCGACACGTCTTGGCATGCTGGTTTTCCAATGCACGCGACTCTCTTGGATGTATGCATGCACCCTTAAATATGATCTATCGCATGGATCAATCTGCACACTTTCCGATCGTCCAATTATACATAGCAAAACGAGGCCATTCTACGGCTGCAGCTATCATCGTGTCTAGCGGAGATTCTACAAGAAATACAGTAGAAACGCTTTACATCAGGTCATGCGTCAACCAGTGAGGTTTACTAGATTAGGTACTCTCTGTGTGTTTGTTGTTTCTTTTTGGGTTCATTCGTCAAGTTATCGTGAGAGTGAAGAACTTAGATCCACTTCTCGGGCAACAAAGTAAACACGCTTCGTGCCGCTAACTCCTCAACTCTTTCCGCAGGCTCAGCGTACATCCAAGGCAATACGGACGGACAAGATACGACCAGGTGATTCACCCAAAATGTCGCGCACTATCCACTCAAAGCTAACGGGGAGGGAAATAGCAGGTCGGCCATGAAAACACGAAAGGGCTAACGGATAAGGAAATGGCTCATGGTTCTAGCCGTTTAGTTGCCCTTGGGGGCTTCCTTGACATCCATGGCACGCTCCTCACCCATAGCAGTGAGGACGATGACGTCTGTATATGGTGAGCGATGTGAACCGATAGGTACGGAGAAACCCATGAGAACTTACTGCAGTCCTTCTCGTCATCACGGAACATCTTGGAGATTCTGTCTCCAACGTCATCCTCGGGGAGCTTGACGTCGTCCTTGGTGTTGCCGGCCTCATCCATGAGGGACAGGAAGTCGTCATCGGTGATATCCAGCTAAGAGCGATCAGTCAACCGAGACGTTCGAATCTCCGATTCAGGCGGAGGGGAGACGACTCACCAGCTGGTACTCCTTACGGTAGACGTTGGGGACGTCCATGTTGTGGGTGGAGGGAGACAGATCTTCGTACTTCTTGGCGGTGAAGATGTCCAGAGCGACCAAGTGGACCTTGGCGTGACCGTGCTTGCCAGTCTTGGAGGTGGACATGTCGACGATCTTGCAGGGACGTCCCTTGATGACAACGTGACCGTTCTTCCTCAGAGCAGAGCACTGCATGGGGAAGGTGGTGGAAGCACCAGCGTCCGCGGACTCGAAGGTCTCACCCTAAACCGAACAACCAAATTAGCCATCATGACGAAGAATATAACCCCATGCAGCGACACATGAGGGAAGAATAGATGCGTAGATGAACAGAGATCCGATGTGTGAGTAGGTCGGAGGGGATCTCAAGATGCGGGGCCGGAAGCACCCAACAGAGTGCACGCAGAAAATGCGAGAGGGAAGATATAGTGGGATGGAGGATTTATACATACGTGATCAGCCATGACGAAGGATTGTTTTGTAAAAAACGAAAAAAAAAATTAAAAAGAATTCGAAAGGGAAAGAGTGAGGAGAGATGGAACAAGATCCAAGGAGAAGATGGAGGAGAAGGAGGAGGTTTAAGAGAGGGGAGAGAGGAGGGGAGAACGAGAGAAAAATCGACAAGGCTTAGAGAAGAAATAATCGGTTTCTTCCAATGGCCGCCGCCAAAAAAAATTGTACCAAAAAAAAAAAAAAAGAGGGCAATTTTGTTGTGGCGGGGTTACCTCGAGGACACTAGGCTGTTTTGGGACTAGCCTCGGTCGGTTTGCACCCGCACTGGTCAGCTGACTCAGTTCCTTACTAATCAGAAGACGCTAGTCTGAACAGGGTTAGACCCAGATAGGTAACCAGGCTAACCGCTTTGGGACATCTATCATCGTGCCTGAGGCTTACGTAGTAAGTGTTCAGTTCACTCTTATCGACTCCCCCGACTATCTCATGCGTCAATAATCCACGATCATTGTCTTTTCTTCTTAGAGACTATTGATGCTTGCTCTTTATTGACCACCCACTATTCGTCCCCATCCTTCCGCGCTGACCCCTACGCCCACCCTCCTCGTCTATCTCCCCTCCATGAGTTCCCACCATGTGGCTTGACCGCATCTCCGGCCATTCGAGTCCCTCGAGTCCTCAGGTCGACAGCCGCAGCAATTCCCCTCTACCCCTCCCTCGACGGCCGTCTTCGCGTCCCTCCCCGTATGCGCAGAACAATCGCTCCGGATCGAGCCGCCAAGGATCGTCTCTTTCGGTTCTCCTGAACCCCAACGACTCGAACACGTCCCTCCCCGCACTGCCCCGTGCCAACGATGGATCGACGCTGAAACACGGCGCTGCAAAGTCCCGTCCGTCGGACGTGGCCGATCCCCTTCAGGTGCTGGATTCCATTCTGGGGAAGCAGAGGGTGGAAGCTGAGAAAGATGACTTGTCCGATGAGAGGCCGTCGCGGCTGGTCAAGGACATCGACTTTGGGGGCTTGAGCTTGGAGGAATTCGCGGCGCAGGAGGAGACGCCTAGAAAGATTATGAATAGCGACGTCGGGACGCAGACACTCCAGCAGTTCGAGCAGGAACGAGACAAATTCCAGGAACTCCACACGGCCATCACCGGATGCGACGAAGTATCCAAGTCCGTCGAGATGTATCTGTCGGACTTTCAGAGCGAATTGGGAGCCGTGTCGGCGGAAATTGAGTCTCTCCAGGCCCGTTCTATCCAGTTGAATGGCATGCTGGATAACCGACGCCACGTCGAGCAGCTGTTGGGACCCGCCGTGGAGGAGATCAGCATCTCGCCCAAGGCGGTTCGACAGATCGCGGAGGGGCCCATCGACGACAACTGGGTCAAGGCGCTGAACGAGTTCGAAGCACGGACGACGAGCATCGAAGCCAAGGTCTCCAGCTCCAACAGTAGCAAAGCCATTGAAGACGTCCTACCGCTGCTGACGGAGGTCAAGAAGAAGGTTCGTCACTTCAAGGCTACTCTATGTGGCATGGCTGACCAAGACTATAGGCTGTGGAGAGGATCCGGGACTACCTTGTTTCTCAAATCCGAGCATTGAGGTCACCGAACATCAACGCCCAGATCATCCAGCAACAGCGCCTGGTCAGGTTCAAGGATCTGTACAGCTATCTTTCACGAGCCCACCCGACGCTGGCCGGGGAGATTACACAGGCCTACATCAACACAATGCGTTGGTACTATCTGACTCACTTTTCTCGCTACCTACAAGCCCTGGAGAAGGTCAAAGTATACCCGAGCGATCGAAATGATGTTCTCGGCGGAGATCCATCTGCTCACAAATCAGGTTCGTGTGTCACTTTTGTGATGGTTTCCAAAGACTAACAATTCCAGGAAACCTCGCACCTGGTGGCCGCGCAGGCGCTGCGCACGATCCCTTCTCCCTGGGACGGAGAGTCGACATCCTTCACACAGGGAACCACATGGCGATGTCGTCCTATCTGGCCGAAGAGGACGCCTCATTCCACGGCATCGAAGTGCCCTTCCGGAATTTCAACCTCGCACTTCTGGACAACGTGTCGGCAGAATACTCGTTCATGACAGAGATGTTCTCGACGCTGTCATTCCACCAGATCTCCCGCAAGGCTACGGAGGTTTTCAACCCCGTCTTCACCCTGGGCCAGGAACAGTCGAAGCGACTGATCGAGAACACCAACGACTCGCTGGGTGTGCTCATCTGCGTGCGACTCAACCAACAGGCAGCATTCGAGCTGCAGCGGCGAAAAGTCCCCGTAGCCGACTCGTACATCAACGGCGTGAACATGCAGCTGTGGCCGCGCTTCCAGGTGCTCATGGACAACCACTGCGAGTCGCTGAAGCGGGTGGGGACGAACACGGGCCGCAGTGCCGTGGCGGCGCTGTCTCTAGCGGGAGGCGACGACCTGAACCGGTCATCGGCGCCGCACTTCCTAACCCAGCGGTTCGGCCAGCTCCTGCACGGGATCCTGGCGCTGAGCAGCGAAGCCGGCGACGACGAGCCAGTATCGAACAGCCTCAGCCGGCTGACGGCCGAATTCGACAGTCTGCTAGCGAAATTGAGTCGTATTGGCGGCGACGCCAAGCGACGGGAGCGGTTTCTCTCTAATAATTACTCGTTGATTTTGGCCATCATTAGTGTATGTTCCCGACCGTCTGATCCTTGCCCCCAAATGATGCTGACCACCGCAGGATACCCAAGGGAAGTTGGCTACGGAGCAGAAGCAGGTATGTCATGTGTATTCCAGGCAGTTGACGCATACTAACGATGACAGCATTTGGAGGAGATGCTCAAGGGAGTAGGGAAGCGGTAGATTTCGGAAGCTGTCGCCGAGATCTGGTGTACATAGACTGGATGACATTGGGATATATTATAATCTCGTAATAGAGCAACAATTATGTACAGTGGGATGTATACTGCACATATGGACAATCATTATATGGGGTTTCTGTTTGTGTATTCCTATCCTATGTACAAGTAATCACCGAATTGGCTAGGGAAGGCATTCACACTTGATATGAAGATATTCACTCAGTAATTAATCAAGGAGCTAATGACATGGGTCAGGGGTTATCATGCCCTAGTCCATGTAGGACTGTCATGAATATCAACAGTCCTTCCCTGGAATGCCTACAACAGTTGTTTCATTGGCATCTCATAGTGACATGCTTCATAGTGACTGACTCTGTATTGCCATCACTCTATATCTGATCCTGTAGATAACTATTCCAAAGCCTGGGTTCTGCAAAATGATCATACCTGTCATTGTGATATCTCTTAGTCTTACTATCATTCCTCATCCTTTATATTTAGGTATAGTAACCCTATTTTCACCATTAACTGTTCGACGTCCCTGTCTATCATTCAATATGCTTCTTCCACGAACTTCTCGCCTGTCTAATACACTACTTCTACAAAGGCATAACCTACTGATCATGACACTATTTGGTAATAAAAATGACAAAGCTATACCTTTCCTTTCACAGCCGGAACAAGAGAGAAACACCCAAACGTCTCCTGTCATCCTGACTCTATCCATGACATACTGCTAATTCCACCCGAGAAGCAACGTACCCAGGTACGTACATGAGATATTCAGCCGGCGACACCACTGCCACCAGGTAAAGAATCCTGATACCTTGCTAGTACAGACCAACAAAAAGAGATAGAGGCTGTGAGAATCGACGATCATCACGCGGTGTTCCAGAGACAACTGGAAGAAGGAGCTAGATGATGGAAACCTATCCCAGATATAAGGTTACATGGCTCATCGATACTATTGACCGGGAAACTCCCCCCACAGAGCTGGCTCGACATCTCCCCACTGTGTACGCTGCGTTCTGCGTTGTTTCTTTCCACTGCCACTCCACAGATGTCGCAATATAAGATTGGCTATATAAGAGGATCCACAGAGCTCAGGAGTGTCTAGATATCTTTTGTAGCCGAGTGGTATTCTTTGCCACAACAGATATAACCCGTGGAACAAACCGAGGGGAACCGTTGCAGTTGTTACCGTCCCCTGCTAAGACGCATAATATCGTCCCGAAAAGACGAGATTATGTCCTTGTGCTGGTCTCACCGCTAAGAGAGAAGAGGATACCGGCGACATTTTACTAGAGCTAGCAAGCCTCGTGCCCAGCATTACAACGTTGCATTTAGGAAGTCTGAGGCGGGTGAGCTCTCGATAGGTCGCTCCTTTTGAAGAAGGAAATTGATTGATACGAAAACTGGACGCGGTTATAGACCACTACGAGAACCCAGATTGGTTTTACTTGGACGGGGATTGTACGGAAGGGGGCAGTCACCCTATACTGAGATATCAGCCATACCACGCTTGATCAAATACCGATGCGGTATTTTGGTGCAGTGGCCGATATTTGACAAGGCAATGCTTTGCCCTTGCTCTTTCGCTAAAGCCAAAGCTAGAGATTACTCTGCCTCTTTCCTACCCCCCTAATTTCCTTTCTTCCACAAACTCATTCTCCATGTACCCTACCTTGTATTTCCTGCCGTGTCTCTCGACATATCGCTGTCTTCTTCTACTCGTGGATCTCCACAAAGGGGGTGAAATCCGCAGATTGACATGACTTATAGCTGTTCAATGTGATTTGAACAAGCTGGCTACACAGGACAAGAAACCCAAAGAAGCGAAGAGCCGAAGACGGTGGCTACGACTAAATACATTCGCACTAAGATAGGGCTATTTACAAACCACAGTGTCATGGTATCTTTTATGGCCTAGTGATAATGTCCCGCTAGACGTCTGGCCTCAATTTCCGAGCCCGCGAGTATCACAGTTACCGTGAATATCATCATTGAATATATGACCTGGACCTTCATCTTCTATCCTCCGTCTACTCCTGAGTATTGAGGATCCTATCCTGAAAAACTAGATGAGGCTCCTGACTAGATTAAGCTGGTCGAAATCACGGAACTTGTCCATTCGAAGATCCCACTTGTCTGTGCATGTGGAAGTCGTCCAGACCCATCAGGTTGGTATTTGTTTACTACGCTAGGCTTTACAGTTGCAGACTGGTGACCAAGAATCTCACGAAGCTAGTGAGATCTTTAATATCTGTGGAACTAAATAAGGAAATGTGTGATGATGCCTCGGTCAGAACCAAGTTGCACTTAGTTTGCACTGTTCCGATCCGATACTTGATCATGAACAGTGCAAACTAAGATTACTTACGAAGCGCAAAAGTCATATCTTTTGTAGCTGAGTGGTATGCCTTTTCCATAGATAGGATATACTTTCATACTCAAGCTATCCTCAACGATAGTAGCTATATAATTCATCCCCAAGAACCCAATAAACACCTCATTAACCTCTATCCAAACCAACCAACCGCTCAAACCAAGTTTTCAACAATGAGCAACCAAATGATTCCCATATAAATCAATAGATAGAAAGTTAATACCCCCTAACAGCAACCCTCTCCCTCAAAACCTGCATCTCCCTCTCCCCCGCAATAACCGAAACCCCATAAAGCCTCCCATCCTCGGGACCCCTCAGAAAGCTCTCTCCCTGAGGATCCCCCCAAACCACAACCCTCAAACACCCACAATACTCATCCGCAAACCACAGCGCCTCCTCCTCTCCCCCACCCACAGCCTGCATCATCTCCTGTCCCCCACCACTACCCATCATAACCTCCCGCAGATCCTCCCCGGGGTGCTCCTCGCGGTACTTGTCCACGCTGAGCCCGTTGCACCGCGCGCTAGGCATGTGCAGTACGTCGTGGAGGGTGAGCTTGTGCGGGCGTGGATCGTCGGGGGAGCGCTGGACGGTGAGCTCGACGGTGCCGATGCCGAGGACGCGCTTGTGGGCGATTTTGCAGGGCGCGCGCCGGTAGGTGGTGAATGTTGCGCGGTTGCGGGCGTAGTGTGTGTTGCCGCCTGTTAGGAGCCAGTCCCAGCATCTGTTGTAGGTGGATTTGTTGGAGGAGTGGGTGGTTTTGTTGTTGGTTTTGGTGTGCTGGTGTTGGTTGTGGTTGTGGTTGTGGTGGTGAGGGTGTTTGGTGTAGGGGCTGTAGTGGGGTTGTTGTTTGATTGGGTTATGCATTTTTGTTGATTTATTATTGTGGATTGTTTATTTCGTTTGAATTGCTGTTGTTGCTTTTACCTTTTAGTAAGGAATAAGGAGTAAGGAGTACCCATGTATAGGTAGAATGTAGATATAGAGTGAACGAGAATGATATAGAGAAGAAAGGTAGACGTATAGATGTACAACGAGAGTAAACTACCTGTAGGAATAAGACGGGACAAGAACGACAGACATGAACACTCTTCCACTAACTAACACAAAGACAAGGAAGTGTATCAGAAATAAGCATCGATTATAGTAGACGAGGAGAGCTTTTATTCAGTGAGGTCGTGATGTCAGAGGCGAATCGTCTTCTTGGTTACCAATTGTGTGCTTCCACTCTTCTTAGCTCAGCGATCTGGATCTTTCTTTTTCTTTAATCTATTGTATTTGTTTTTCATTGGTGGTTCATTACTCGTAGGCATTTACCTAGGTAGTATCTAGTGCATCTAGTCAATATAGCTAGGCAAAAGATAGGTAAATACAGTAATGTATGATTTATGTACATCGATATACTGAGGCTATCTACTTCCATAAAGTATCCCCTCCACCCGCTCAGCAATCGCCAACGAACTCGTCAACCCCGGACTCTCAATCCCCAACAGATTGACAAACCCCGGAAACCCATCCTCCTCCTGGATGATAAAATCTTGGAACCCCGTCCCGGTGTTCACAGCCCCCCCACGGCCAAGCTTAGGCCGAATCCCGCAGTAGTCCAGCGCGATAGCATCGGTGTCAATGCCCGGCAGGTAGGCGCGGATCTCCCCCAGCGCCTGCTGCAGACGGTCGGGGCTGGGAGTGAGGTCATCCGCACTGTCCACCCACTCCACGTCAGGACCAAACCGGAGACGCCCGCCCATGTCCAGCGTAAGATGCGTGCCGAGGCCGCCGTGGCCCGGTAACGTAGCAGGGTAGACCAGCACGGAAGTCTTGGGCCGCGACGCCGCGTACGAGAAGTACGTGCCCTTGGCGTAGTACGGCGTGCGGTGGCGGTCATCCGGCAGCACCATGTTATTGATAGCGCAGGCGAAGTTGCCCGCACTGTTGATGAGTGTCTCCGCTACAATAGACGTCGTCTCGCCACCCCCGCTGCCCGACTGCGCCGTGATGCGGTACCCGTCGCGACCGCCGTTCAGCGCCTCAATGTCCGTCACCCGCGTCAGGAACGCGCAGTCGCCGCCCCGGTCTTCGAAGTCCCCTTGTAGATATGTCATCAGCGAGTGGCTGTCCACGATGCCTGTCGTAGGGCTCTCCACGATGCCCGCTAGCGCCTGCACGTCGGGCTCGCGGTGTTGCGCCTCTTCGCGGCCGACGAGCCGCGTTGGAACCCCGATGTCTTGTGCGTGCGCGTGGACCCGCTGTGCGGCTGCCCATTGTTCTTCCGTCTGTGCGACGATCCACTTTTTGGTGTTGATGTGCGGGATGTTTTGGCGGGCGCAGAGGTCGTACATCATTTCTTTGCCGCGGATGCAGAGGGTTGTTTTTAGCGAGTCGCGTCCGTAGTATAGGCCGGCGTGGATGACCTAGAGGAGATTAGCATGTATCTTCTTCTTCTTCTTCTTCTTCTTCTTCCCCCTAGTTAAGTACACACCTCCGAATTGCGACTACTCGTCTCCGTCCCCGGGGCATCGTGTCTCTCCAGGAGAATAGTCGACGTGCCCTCCCGTGCAGCCAGCTGTCGCGCCACCGCAAGTCCGACCACACCTGCGCCAACAACCTTCTCTCATTAGCATTTATCTCTTCCATTTCTAAAAGAAGAAGAAGAAGGGGGAAATACCGCATGCGTAACATCCGCCTGAACAGGTCGCGCACACGAGAACCAGCGGGGTCGCGCGGCGACACGCAGACGCCGGGAAAAGGAAAGACACGGACGGGCGGCCATAGTTCATGCAATGTTCTTTATCGGGGAATAAAGACGGTCATTGCCTCGCCGAGAAAAACAAAAGTGCTAGGTAGGTGTAGGTAGAACTAAACTACCCTGGTAGTGAAGGAGGACAACTAAGATAAGCTCGGCTCGTGGGCGACGATCGGCCGGGGTCGGCGCCGATTCCGACTGATAAGGACGGGCATGGTATGTAGGTTCTACAATTAAGCTCAATGATGGGCTTGACGATGCGTTTGATGATCAAACCCAATTGATCTGGCTGGTCCTTTATAGGCTGGGAATATGCGATACTTTTCATCCATTGCGAGTTGCTTCGTCAGGATGACATACAGACACGTCACGTGATATATAGACAGGTGAAGTATAAAGATCAAGAGGGGTTGATTCCCCTTCTTGATGACATTAGTGCTTCCAACCTGTTCTTTTCGTGTAATGGACTGTGATGAGATGAGATATCGCTTTGAAGAATGTACCGCCGAGCTTAGACACTCTGGAAGGAACATCTCTGGCATTCTGAGTCCTTGACGAGAATAGTGATGGTTCTACCAGATCACTAGCAGTGTCTGTATGTGTATTGATCAAGAGTAATGACGTATATGAATATAATGTCCAGTGTCTGATAGCCAGGGTACAGCCTGTGAAAACGAGGGAAACAATTCTAAAAACGCCAATAGGGATCTCTCTCGTCCAAAGACCAGCTTCTGATATCCCAGTATAAATAATTGGCTCTCGTAAAGACCCTTGGGACTACAAATAGACATGATTCTAGTCGATCGCACCCGTATCCCAAGATAATAACTCAGTACCAAACAGATCATCATGGAAAAGACGAAGCCCGCGCAAAAGATTCCCCACGTTCCACTTCGCTGACTTTTCGAAAAGTCTCTCATACATTCTCAAAATGTGTCGTGCCGACAGGCTGCCGCTCGGGAGAGGCACGCCGCCCATGGACACCGTGCCACTGTTGCGGATGAAGTTGATTGCCAGATTGTCCGACGGCTCGGGGTTTACAATGCTAACAAAGCACTCCGTGCCCAGGGTCGGCCACCGAAGATCGTTCAACAGTTCGATAGATGTGCTGCCGGCTGGCGGAGCCCTGGGCTCGGGCACAGTGAGCTTGTAGAGCGCCAATACCAGCGCCGCGATGAAGAAAGAAGATTCCGAGTGAAACAGCAGGTGTTTGGGGCCCACGTCGTTCGCGATAGCTTTGTGGATGGCTTTGTAGATGTGCGCCGCGTGCAAACAGGCCCGTCGGGCTGCCGGTGTTTGCGACCATTCTTTGATCTGTCTGAGGGAGGTCTTACGCACGGGAGTGGGCACGTCTCTTTCAGAAGCCCGAATGAAGAGCTGTAGATCGGCCGTGAGGGACATGCACATGGTGTGCCACATGATCGTGACGTTGGGATTTAACTGCTCCAGGACGTCACTGTACTGGTGAGCAATTTGGATCTGCAGCGATAGCAAACATCGCGCGCGGCCGTCTGTCGCGAATACGTAACATGGAATAAAAGGCTGGCTGGCACGGTTGAGCAGTAAGCGATGGTAGGCCTCCGACTGCCGGAGCTGTATCATGGCCAATACCCCGTACATGCAGATGCCGTCTACTGGGTTGCTTAACAAGGGAACCTTGATGCTCTCCAACGGAGTCAGCACGATTGGCAGCAGAAGGTTGTTTCCGCCATCGATGAGCTCCCACTCCGCAGAGGTGTCGGCCATGAATAGAATTTGATTGTACGGAGGAATGAACTGAACGGACCCAGGCGTGATGATGGGCGTCCGACACAAATGCCACGAGTACCAGGAGTCTAGCAACAAGAGACCGACGATCATGCTGGACAGATCAGAATTAGAAACCTTTGACTGACGAGGTTGCCAACTGACCGCTTTACAGATTCGACTCTGCCCCAGGCCTTCCATCTGGCATCGCGGTCCTGGATTGTTTTCCACAGATTCATATTGAGTATTTGACCATCGATGGAAGCAAAAAGGCCATGATATTGTGCGATCTACGGGTATGTTAGTTGGCTAGGGCGAGGCAGTAGGAGTGGGCCACATACCGAGATCAAATCAACCCAAAGCATTGTGCTTTTCTCGATATATTCCTGTTTATGTCAAGTTTACTTTCTTGCTTGCTACAAAATTGAAACTAAAAAAAAAAAAGGAGAAAGAGAGAGAGAGAGAGGGTTACTTTTGTAAAAACCACCATATTCAAGAGAAGAAAGGCGGTTGCAAAGATTGACAAGGTGCCCGGTGTGCTGTCATTACCAGCAGAGGCAGAGCATTTGTCCAATTCAGCCTTGATTCGGCTCAAGAAGGGCTAAATCGATCAGCTTTCGTTCCATCGAACCAGGACTGACACGTACCAAATAACTCATACGGACGAAGTTGAGGGCCTCTTTGGTCCCCAGCACGACCATGCCAGTGAGACACATTGTGTACAGGAGCAGCGGGGGGGCATCCTTCGCCGAAAATGTCGGAAGATGGATAAAGGGTACTGCAGGGTGAAACTGGCGAATGAACAGATCCAACCCTTGGTTTAGGACGTCCGTCGGAGGGAAGGCGCCGCATGGTTCTCCAAGGGCAGCCTGGAGCTTTCGCCGGCATTCATCATCTACTTTGTATTGTGTGCCCTGTAGTGGAACTTCGTCATAGTCACCCGGCTTTTGTGCCAAAGGAATGCAAAAGATATTGTCAAGTGTGCTGCTGGCCACGTTCTTCCAGAGACGATTCCTGAGCTGTGCCGTGTGATCGGGTTGCCTTTGGCCGCCGGTGAGCACGAGGCCAGAGGAGGGCATTTCGTCTGATTTGAGGCAGGTCTGTTGGTTGATAACTATGGAATGTACTCAATGTGATTGTCCTCAGGTTCGATATGTGCTTCATAGCAGTAGCAGAAGGTGTCAGTGAAGGGTAGGCCGTGTGCACTGGCGACGCCAACAAGTCTCATCCGTTCTTTCCTTTCTCAGGGATCCTTCTACTGACATAGTATAGCAGATGAGAATTTATTTGCTGAGTATATCCAATCTTAGCCACTACATCAAACGGCAGGGGGTAGCTTGAACTGACTGATCTCCCCGGCATCCATGCTATATTGCACTCTTTTGCAAAGACGGTCTCATATGATTGACATCGGTATGAACCGTATAAACCGGGTATAGTCATTCACAAAAGCCGACTCTCTGTGCTGAGTACCCCAGCTTCTACTCCATCATGGACTTCAGATGTAGGAACTGTGGTCGTGTCTTCGGGAAAAAGAATCACCTTCAATGAACGGACCCGTTAGTCTTTTTCCTTCTTCCTCCTGTGTAGCGTCTACTGACCTTTGACACTGGATGTTATAGACAGTGGGGAAACTTTCAACTGCGATGTGTGCCATAAACCGTTCGTTTATGAGTATGCCATCTCTTTGCAATCCATCTCATACATTCCAACAATCTAGCTCCCATAGACCGGTACTGACTTGTCCAGAAGCTCCCTAAAATCCATGTCAAGAAGAAACATCCGGCCCTCGCTAACGCCACCACTACCTGCCACCAGCAAAGGGTTTTCGATACTCCTAGATAACGCTCAACTTTTCCTTCCCAGCGTGGCCCCTGCGAGGCTGCAACGGGCCCCTCGTGCACAACCAGTCCTCAATGCCGGCGACATGGGATAATTGGAAGTATGGGAACTATCTACTGGATATACCAGTTACATTATACTGCACAGTATGTTGCACTGAATAAGGATTACTTGGGAAGGTCAAAAATATCATGATATCTTCTGTAGCCGAATGATAATTCTTTTCAATAACCCTATCTCGATATACAGTCATGGCATACTAGTAAAAGTGGAGAACTAGTCGCCCCACCGTGATCGTTGGGGTTCGATTTGCAGTGCTAGTCTGAACATAGACTACAATATTTTGATCTATACCTCTCGAACATATCAAGGTATAGAATGAATCGACATGATAAAGCGTTCAGTGTAAATTGGCATAACCAATTCCCGAGATCTCATACCCGATATCGGGCCCGTCCTCGGCATCGAAAGGCGGCATTCACGACTCGCAGGGCCCGGATAATCGCTTTGTCGGTGAGATTTAACATGGATAATATAATACATCTTTCTCTCTCCTCTCCTCTTCCCTTCTTTCCTTCTTGCCTCTCTCCAGTCAATGTTCAATTAACAGATTGAACAAAATGGCCAGACCCACCCTCCCCAAAGCGGTCCGTCCGCTCTGGCGACGGACCTTCTCAATAACCGCCTCCCAGCGCGCCATCAACAAAATATGCGCCTCCGCGCCCGAAGCAATCCAAGAGATGAAGGGCTCGTCGACCGTCCTCTGCGGCGGCTTCGGCTTCTCCGGCGTCCCCAACACGCTCATCAACGCCGTGCGCGATCGTCCCGATATCACCGACCTAACCGTCGTGTCCAACAACGCCGGCATGCCGGGTAAGGGACTAGGTCAGCTGCTTGAAACGGGCCGCATCTCGAAGATGATTGCGTCGTTTATCGGCGAGAATAAGGTGTTTGAGAAAATGTATCTGAGTGGTGAGCTCGCGCTCGAGTTGACGCCTCAGGGCTCGATCGCCGAGAAGTGTGCTGCGGGCGCTGCTGGTGTTCCTGCTTTTTATACCCCTGCTGCTTATGGGACGATTGGTATTCACTCTTTTTTTTTTACCCCCCTAAATAATATGTATAATATCATACTAATGAAGTAGTCCAAACCGGTGCCCTCCCCATCAGATACAACAAAGACGGCAGCGTCGCCGAAACATCCCAGCCCAAAGAGACACGCCAATTCAACGGAAAGAACTACCTCCTCGAAGAATCCATCTTCGGCGACTACGCGCTCGTCAAAGTGCACAAAGCCGACAAGCTCGGCAACTGCACCTTCCGCAAAGCAATGAACAACTTCAACGAAGCGATGGCCAAGAACGCAAAGTACACCGTCGTGGAAGCGGACCATATCGTTGACGTCGGCGAGCTTGCCCCTGAGGATATTCATCTGCAGGGGATCTACGTGAACAAGGTTATTCAGAGCGAGGGCGGCGCGCAGATTGAGAAGTTGACGATTGCGCGCGATCCCGAGGAAATGCTCAAGGGCGGGGACTCGGAGGTGACGGCTAGGCGTGAGCGGATCGTGAAGCGCGCTGCTAAGGAGTTCCGCGACGGCATGTATGTGAACCTGGGTATTGGGATGCCGCTGATTGCGCCGTCGTATCTGCCTGAGGGCGTGGAGGTTATCTTGCAGGCTGAGAATGGCATCCTCGGGCTAGGCGGCTACCCTTCCTCTGCTGAGGAGGCCGACCCCGACCTGATCAACCCCGGCAAGGAGACCGTCACGCTCAACAGCGGCGCCTCGGTGTTCGGCTCCCACGAGAGCTTCGGCATGATCCGCGCAGGCCGCATCGACCTGACCATGCTGGGCGCGCTGCAGGTCAGCCAGTACGGCGACCTCGCGAACTTTATGCTGCCTGGAAAGGTCAAGGGCGTCGGCGGCGCGATGGATCTCGTGGCTAACCCCGAGAAGACCCGCGTGGTCGTCACCATGGAACACACTGATAAGAAGGGCAATTCGAAGATTCTGCCCGAGTGTACGTTCCCGCTGACGGGGCCGCGCTGCGTCTGGAAGATTATTACCGATCTGGCGGTGTTTGAGGTTCATCCGACGGATGGGCTGACGCTGGCGGAGCATGCGGAGGGGGTTACCGTTGAGGAGATTCGGAGTAAGACGTTGGCGCCATTTGTGGTTGCTGATGACTTGAAGTTGATGTAGAATGATTGCATGTAACTTGTATATACCATAGATTATGAATGATTATTTACCTTCAGTACTGAAGCGATAAAGACGCAATACTATATCACTAAAAAAAAGGAACCACCACTCAACTACAAACATCATAACAATAGAGCTTCAAGTACGCCAATCTATATTCATTGCAACATACACCACCATCAATTCGAATTCAACATACCCTACAAATCTATCTGTACAGCAGATCCTCCCCTCGGGGCCATCCCCCCATATAATCACGGATGGATGCATGTAGTATAGGGCTAAATCCCCACCAACCACCGGATAATGAAACAGCCGCCCCAACCAACCAACCAATCCATACAATTAATTGCCCACCCATGACTACCATATGTAGACATTCACCTTCAGATTAAGAGCCGCCCACTACTGCTACGGTGGGTAATATCAGTTCATTTGTGGAAGGTGCCTGTTCAATATGATATCCCCCGCTGAAATCAAATCAGGGCTTTCAATAGCCAATTGACACTACGGATTAACTGACTCACTGACTAGCCCAGAGTCAACTCTTCAACCCTGTTTGTTGATGTGGCAAGTCCGCGTCTACACGAGATACTATAGTATATGTCCCACTATAGATAGTGATGATCTACAATATACGAGAATACAGATCAATCCGTGAGGAAGTCATAAGTCTATATTACACTCGTCTCAAGCAAGGTACAGGATACGAGGGTAGAGGAGGAGATAGGATAGGATAGGAGAGGAGAGGATAGGGATGGGGATGGGGATGAGGATAGGCGTAGGATATGAAGATAGAAGGGGGGGAGACTTCATAACTTCCTCCTTCTCGTAACGTGAACATAGCATGAAAAAGGAAGAAAATGGAAAAAAGAAAAACCCGTGACATCCGAACAACTTTTGAATCTCCGATCCCATTTGACTCTGCAATTTCCCCCCTTCTTCCATTCAAGCGATCGATCGATTCGTTCGAGTGGTGTCGCCGTCTGTACTGGCTGGAATCTGCATGGCCCATGCTGTGCACATACACAGTCAGACAGAGCTCGTAAGATCACTCAATACGAACTGGTGATACCACAAACAAAGAACTTTTGGAAACCGAGGGATATCAGGATCAGGAGAGAAGGTAACGGAAAAAAAAAAAAGTAAAAAAAAAAAAGAAAAAAGATAATGAAATGGAGATGGAAGATAAAAAAAGGGAATAAAATAAAGGTAAGAAAATCATCGTTAATTCGAGCAAGGGTAGGTCATCATCAAAAAAGCGATCGGTGAGTCAGAAATATCTCCCGAGGAGGCAGAACGGCAGACGCCGAACTACTTTTCATCACAGGTTGAGATAGAATCTACGACTTGTTCTCCTCCGTGGAAGCTTCCTTGGCAGCCTCCTTGGGCTTGGCCTCGGCCGTCGCTTCACCATCACCCTTGTTCTTCATGTACTCGTCATAAACGCTGAGGGCCTCGTCGACCTTGGCGCGGAGAGCCTCATCATCATCAAGACTATAAAATATTAGCATGATCCAAGCGATAGATTATAAGAAGGAAGTATAAGAACTTACAGGCCAAGCAGCTCAGCGTTATCCATCTCCAAAAGCATACCAGTGATCTTGCCTGCCAACTCAGGCTGCTGAGACTGGATCTTGGGATAGAGGGCCTCACCCAGCATCTGCTTCTGCTGAGGGGCGGGCATAGCAGCGATGTTCTGGCTGCTGGTGGCGGCGGCGGCGGCCTCCTCCGGACGACCCGCGGCGGGCTGACCGGCGTTCTGTCCGCGACCACCCTGGGGACGACCCATCTGGGGGGGCATACCACCGCGACCCTGGCCGAAGTTGGGGCCACCACGCATACCCTGACCCATGGGCATACCGGGAACCTGACCACGGCCACCGGCACCGCGACCGAACTGCACACCCATCTGGGGGTAGCCCATGCCGTTAGGGATGCCACCGGGACCCATGGGCATGCCCTGGGGGAAGTTGGGGGGCAGCTGCTGGCCGGGGCCCATGCCGCGTCCACCCTGCTGGCCAGGGAAAGGACCGGGGTACTGACCGGGACGTCCACCAGGGATACCCATCATCATACCGGGCTGGGGAGGGAAAGCCATGCCACCACGCTGGCCACCAGCGGGGATGAAGCCCTGCTGACCAGGTCCGTAGAAGACGGCGGGCTGCATGTACTGGATAGATGTTAGTCATGTTGACAAACAAGACAATAGGGAAATAGGAAAATAAAAGGGGGAGGACATACCGGCTGGGGCATGCCGGCGGCGGCGGCAGCCTGCTGCTGGCGGATGGTGTTGCGAGCCTGGATGCTGGCCTCGAGCTGGCTGCGGCGGACATCCTTGCGCTGGGCGAGGGCGACGTAGAGGGGCTTGCCGTTGACCATGCGCTGGTTCATCTCGGTGACGGCCTTGGAGGCCTCATCGGGGCTGCTGAAGCAGACGAAGCCAAAGCCCTTGCTCTTGCCCAGACCCTTCTTATCACCCTTCTTGGACTCCTGCTCCTCACCCTCGGCGGGCTTCTCCTCGGCATCTTCAGCCTTCTCGGCGGGCTTCTCCTCGGCGGGCTTCTCGGCCTCGGCGGGCTCCTTCTTCTCGTTCTCCTTGTTGGATTCCTTCTCCTTGTCCGAGGACTCGGCGGACTCCTCGCCCTCGGCGTTGGTGTCGCGCATGACCTTGGCGGAGGTGATGGTGCCGTAGGGAACGAAAAGCTCGCGCAGCTTCTCGTCATCGACGTCGTCGGTGAGGTTCTTCACGTACAGGTTGACACCCTGGTACTTGGAGGCCTTCTCCATGCGGGCGGCCTCGTACTGCTTGCGCAGCTCCTCCTCACGCTCGTGCTTCTTCTGGGCACGGCCGACGTAGAGCTTCTGGTTCCGCAGATCCTTCTCGTTCATCTCGTCGACGGCGGCCTGCGCGCTCTCGTGGGTCGAGTAGTTGACGAAGCCGAAGCCACGGCTCTTGCCATCCTGGTCGCGGCTCAGGGTGGCCGAGGTGATGTCACCGAACTTCTCGAAGGCGACGCGGAACTCGTCGTCGGTCACCTCGGGGTCGACGTTCTTGACGTAGACGTTGGTGAAGTTGGCCTTCATCTCCTCGAACTTGCTCTGGCGGTCCTTCTTGGAGATGTGGTGGCCGACGAAGACCTTCTTGTCGTTGAGCAGCATGCCGTTGACGTGCTTGATGGCGTTGTTGGCGGCCTCGGCGGTCTCGTAGTGGACGAAACCGTAGCCCTTGGAGTTGGCGAACTCGTCCTGGGCGACCTTGCAGCTCAGGATGTTGCCGAAGGCGGCGAAGGTGTCGTGGAGGGCCTTGTTGTCGATGGCGTTGTCCAGGTTCTTGATGAAGACGTTACCCTGGCCGGTCTTGCGCAGGGCGGGGTCACGCTGGGACCACATGATGCGGCAGGGCTTGCCCTTGATGAGGGTGTAGTTCAGATCCTCGAGGGCGCGCTCGCCGTCGGCGGTGTTGTTGTAGTTGACGTAGGCGTAGCCCAGGGAGCGTCTGGTGACGGCGTCACGGCAGACACGGATGGAGGCAACCTGGCCGATGGACGAGAAGAGCTCGTACAGCATGGCCTCGGTCACGGAGGGGTCGAGCTCACCGACGTACAGGGACGCCGAGTGGGGCTGAGAAGGGGTCTCGACGCCGGAGGCCTCGCCGCTGGGGGCGGCCGCAGCAGCAGCGGTGACCTCGGGGGTGCCGTTGACATTGTTGTCAGCGGCGGGGGTGGTCGCAACTTCGGCGGACATTTTGATCAAGATTTTCTTAGTTTTTTTCTTTTCTGTTTATTTGGTTCGTACTGTCGTCAGAGGAAATATTAGCCAGTGATCAACGTGGACCTAGTGGGATGGATCTCGAGTCGACGGGTTTTCACTGCTCGATGGATCTCTTCCATTCCCACGGCGCACCGCATCGAACATCACCGATGGGAACGGGGGAATCGACAACGATCGAGAGACAAATCCAACGAAGCGAACGAGAGGGAGAGAAGAAAGGAGACAAGAGAATGCGAGGGAACACATACAGTGTGCGATACAGCAACCGAGCCGATGATTTCACTGCAAAAAACCCAATCAGCAAAGGACGATCTCCAAACCAGATCAACCAGAACACGTACGACCCAAGTCAACTCTTCCAAGCACAAAGTCCTAGAAAAGAAGAAGACAGGGAAAATTGGTGGGGAGGAAACAAGATGGGGGGTTGGAGGGGAGAGAAGGAAAGGCGGATGAATGAGGAATGGAGAGAAAAAGGCGGCAGAGAGAAAATCTTCCACACAAAAATACACACCGCACAGTCCAAGGGAAGCCGACGTCGATTAGAAAAAAAGTCTCGGGATTCAAGTATAGGCTGGAAAGTCCACACTTGGAGATATTTTTTCAGGGTTTTCCGGGTTTTTTTGTATTTATTTTAGTTTTTTTTTATTTTCCGATATGATTCGAAAAAGAAAAGGAAAGGGGAATATCAAGAGGAGGAAGAGCGTGGAGGGAAAGAAAAGGGAGAAGAAGAAGAAGAAGAAACAGAGAAAAGAACGAGAGAAAGAAAGAATTCTGGATGAGAAGCAGCACTGCCGAATCCGGTTTAGTCTCTTTATTCTTTCTTTCTTTTCACTTTTTTTTTATCGTTTTTTCTTTATTTTACAGGAAGAAAGATTGAAATTTCAGATATGGCTGCCTCAGGCTCTCTATTCTTTCTTTCTTTCTTCCTTTCCAGTACTTTTAATTACTATTATTTTCTATCCTTGGTTACAATTTCGAATTTTTCTTTTTTTTCCAGAACTCGGAAAAAAATCAAACGCTTCCCTTGGATCCCAGGAAGGCACTAAACCAGATAGAGTATTGATCGTGGGTCTCCATCCAGGGCTCTTTCTTCTCTTTGATTTTTTTCTTTCTTATCAATGTGTGATGTCAGGTGACTGCGCTTATCGTCATGCTTTCATATCCATGGAGTACGCTTGAAAGAAACTCATGTCAATGAATGCTATTTTCATCTCACTGGCTTTAAGACCATATTTACATAGCCTCTCCCATGTTATGCCGACAAAGAAGACAATCGTCAATTTCAGGAATGCAACGGGTGGGCCTCTGCGTACATGACACAACAACCGTCAATGAACTGAACCCTCAAAGAACAGGGGTAAGAAAGAGAACAAGAAGAAACAAGTCAATGGGAAATGGAAATAGAAGCAAATCGAATCGTAACGTCAGTGGAATAGCCATCCGCCAAAAAAACGCCTCAGCTATGCAACCCGCCATTCATTCACATCATGCGTGGTCGGCGGTCTATGTGCATCGTTCATCATCCTGACTCATGAATTATCCATGGTATTCTAGCTCAGATCAAACCCGGCGCCCGAGTTGACCGCGTAGAGGAGTTTCTCCCGTAAAGTATCGGCGTTCGTGTAGCGCGGCAGCTTTAGTAGGTTCACGCACGTGCTCGTGCTCGGTAGCCTATCCTGATCCTCGCTCGAGTCGCGGATGCTGAAGAGCGGGTTGAGATGGCTGAACCCGAGCAAGGGCGCGCGCGGGGTCGACGTCACGAACCGCAGGACGTTGCGTCGCTCCTCGTTGCTCATCTTCTCCATCACTTCCCAGAAGAGCTGGACCGTCGGGTGTTCCTGTCCGTCGTCCCCGATGGTGTAGACCCCCCCGTAGAGCGTGTTCCGTCGCAGATCTGAGACGTCGATGTCGCCGGATTCTCCGCTGACGAGAGTCTGGAGCTCTGCCTGGTTGAACATGGACAGCCATGACGGTTGGATAATCTGGCCTAGCCCTTGCAGGAAGGCGTGCGTTTGCAGCGCAGGCTGCACCTGGAGACGGTAGCGCGCAATGTACGAAATGTACACTAGTCGGTTCTGGTTCGTCACTGCGATGTCGGAGCCGTGGGGTTTCAGGTCGCGCGTGGTGGTCCGACTGGTCGAGTCCGGCAGGGGGATTGTATCGGTCACGGTGAAGTTCAGGGCAAAGTCCTCCACATCTCCAGTGTAGTTCTTGAGTTGCAGCTGTAGTTATTTCTGTTAGTCGTTACTGAACACAGGGATGGCGGTGTGCTTGACTTACCAGACCCTGATAAAGTGCCTGGTCAAGATCCTTCAGATCGTTCAGGTTCGCACGATACGCTGTCTCCCGCTGGGCCGAACCCATGCCACCCGTGAGGGCCCACTTGAGCAAGAAGAACGGGGCAAAGTTGACGTCCACCAGAATCCCCTCGTACAGACACTTCCCGATAATCCGTCCCAAGAACTCATACCGCCGGAGCAAATCGCGGACGTGATCGTTCCACTCGGGGCTATTCTCCGGGATCCGCAACTGCCGTAGGGCTTCCCGGCGCTGTTCGACGGCCGCGGGATTCGGATAGAGCAGGTGCTGGTCGTTCTCTTCGAACAGATTAAGCTCGCTGGTCGACTTGAACGCCTCGCTGGTAACACTCGTGAGGAACTCCTTCGTCACACCCCCACCGTCGATCCCAGCCTCGGGCGTGTCGAACTTGTCAATAAAGGTGATCTGAATTGGCTCTTTGAGCCCCTCGCCCAGCTCGTAAAACTGCTCAAAGGCATCTTCAAACACCTTCTCGCGCTGGATATCGGCGTGGTGTCGATTGAGGATGTTCACCGAGGGCGGGTGTCCGTCGATCGTTCGCCCCATGGAAGCCTGGGCCACCGACATGCGCCAGAGGTCCGGGTCGATGACGCCTCGTCGTCGACGCAGCTGGTCCCGGATGATAAATTCGCGAAAGATCTGCACGCGAGTATGGAAGGGGATAAAGAACGGCATGTTCCTCAGGATCTCCAGGCGGGGCGCGACGGCCTGAAGTTGCTTCCGGCGAGCCGCTTGTTGCTGCCGTCGCCGGAGGGCCTCAATTCGGCGAGTCTGTTGGGCACGACCGGTCCCCACCAGTCCCAGTGAAGATTCATATAATGAATCGTCCATCAGGTCGTCCGGGTCTTCCTCCTCGTCCTCATCCTGGAGCTGGTGCCGGTTCTCTTCCTCCGCCACAACGGCAGGAATGAAGCCTTCCATGTCGAAGCGGTTCGTCATCAGCCAGTGACCATCTGGCATAAACTTGCGTCTTGAATCGCGCTCATGTACCATCCTCAGGAGGCCCGTCACTAGACCCTTGAAGTAGTCGAGGGGAATCCCTGTCACACCAGGGAGTCCTTTCTCCTTATTCTTCAGCTCAAGATCCTTCACACTGGTAATCGAATCCGACGGCGCGGCGAAGGAGCCGAAGTAGCTGCGAATGTTGCTTGCGGTTCCCTGAATGGGCTCCTTTTCGTTCAGGTCCGCCGAGTTCCAGTACAGGGTAAATGCCAGATTCTTCAAGAACACCGTCAGGTCCTTGATATCTTTCAAGGGTAACGCACTTTCTTTGGTCCACGAGACACGGGTGTTCGACGAGGCTGTGAAGGAAGATTCATTCGAGAAAAACTCCTCATCGTCCATTACTTTCAGAACGAAGGTGTAAAGTTCCAGGAACAACAGAATGATCATCCATTCCTCATCCCTCTCGGTTTGGGACATCGTCGACCACCGTGCGTCTTTCGTCTCGTCCATTGGTTTCAACAATGCTAAGACCTTGTTCGAGTCCTGGCTAATGGTTGCGAATATTCTACCCGACCGAGATGCATTCCAGAAGTATTTGATCGCCGGTATCCTGGGGCCAGGCTGACCGACCTCGGCATACCCAGAGTTGGCGGATCCTAGGTATAACCACATCCGTATATCATCGCCCCGTCGAGGGAACACACGCAGAAGGGTCAATGCGTACGTGGCAAGAACTTTGGCCTCTCTATATGCATCAGACCCGGTATCTGCGAGATCCCCCTGGAACAGATGAGTAGACTGAAGCTGTGAAAGGAGTCCTGTGATGCGATTTTGGTTCACTAAGCTGAACAGCTGCTCTTTGATGAACGGATGGAGAGGCGGTGTCTCCGTTGTTGACTCGTCGACCTCGCCCGTTTCCTCCAGCTCCAGACGCCGTGATATGTACACAGCTGTGGAGTTCAGTAATTCTGATACAACCTTCACGAACGCCGGCTCCGGTGCCTGGTTCACCGCCTGGTGTCCTAAGGCGTACTGGTGGAAAAAGATGAAATAAGCTAGGAGCCAAAGCCGGGCGTCCAGGTCTTCCACATTCCGACTCTGGCCACGGTTCTGGGAAACTAGAGGTTCCAAGGCGGAAGTGAGCAATTTATAATTGATATTATTTGCCAGCCCATCCAGAGTTCCCAAGTATGATGTAAGGTCCGGGACTGTCAGGTAACTCCTGGCGAACCATTCATAGGCAGTAAGCGTCTCAGAAGTGATCGGCTTCAGCAAAGCCAAAACACTCTGGACGAGGTCGTCCCGAGAGAGACAATATCTGGGGGACACATCCTCTATGTTCTTAGTAAGAAGAACCATGACGGCGTAATACTCCTTAGAAAGCCGTGCCATCTGCTTCGGCATCAACCCGGTCATAAACAACAGCAGTCTCAACAGCTCACCCACGACAAAGGGAGGGACCGTGGGCGACAACGCCGTGTGTAAGACCCGCAGGGTGAATGTCGCCAAACGGTTCAGAGGAGTGGTCCAGTCGCCCTCCGTCGCAATTGTAGGCACCTCGTTCAACGTTTTCTGGAAAGCGCTGGAAAAATACACCAGACGGACCATATCACCGCTGTTCCGCGGCTCCATGAAGTGGACCAACAGTCGCAGCTGCGACAGGCATTCTGCAGCCGTCCCGTACCGAGCAGGAGGCTGCAAGGATGCGTCCGAGCGACGGGCCAGGTCCTCGAAGGGAGGAAGACCCTCCGCCCGTTGCTGTTCCAGGGCATCCCACTCCCTCCGCCATTTCTTGTGCGTTGTCTTTCTGCTCTGGTGGCCCCGCCAGGCCCGTTGTAATGTCCGGGTTGCCCCTAACCGGTCCCTCTCCTGTTGTCTGTGTATCCGTTCTTGTTGGGCAATCGCTAGGGTGTTTTGCGGGCCTGCGCCGTGAGGATTCGATCGTCCGGTTGTTCCTGGGGGGTATGCAGCGAAAGGATTCGTATTCCGGCCACCGAGATTCACCTGCCGTGGCCGGCGGGCGTTACCCGTGAACGATTGAAACATCGCTCTTGCTGGTTCGCTGCGTTTCTTGTGCTCCGACCTTTGCAACAGGGTGACGAAAAGTCTGACAGAGTGAGGTAAGAGGGCATAAACATCCCCATGCCGCAGCGCAAGGAACGAGTGGGTGAAGGTTGCGGGGTGTGTAGAGGTGGATGGGTGGATGGGGTTAGGTGGGCATGTATGACATATCTCCAGGGTTGCGAGATAGGATGGTTTAGCAGCTGAGGCTTCCTCCGGTATGCACACGCACCACTTGCTATCTAACGGGTACACTAAGCCAGGTACCAATCCACATCCACTAGTCTATCGGCAGCTATTGCCACGCTCTCACGGCGCCACCGATTGCGTTTGTTAAGCCACTGAATTTATGATGACTTTTCTTCCAGTTGTTTCTGGAAGTTGTCTGCTTTATTACATTGATTGTGTTTATTATTCTGTATTATATGACGGGGATTGTCAAACTTTGGATTTATTTGATGCGAATGTCATGTTGAGTAATATCTTCAAAGCACGAATATATATATTCAATACTTCTAACCGTTGTGTCTATTACCAACACACCATATAAAAGTATATGTATTGGTCTGTCTATCTGCTACAAAGATTGTGTGCACATAGAAAACTACAGACCACCATGTCGATAAAGCATATTTGCCTGTTACTCTCAAATATAGAGTTGAATTTCAGAAAAAGATCATATAAGTATGCTGAAATGCAAAGACCAATAATGCGCCGCTAACCTGCAAAATACCCAAAATATCCACCAATCCATCAGATGGACGGTGACCACAGAGCGGGACCTCCTGTCGATGCGCTGTAGTCCAGCCCTGACCCAGACACATCTGAGACTCAATAAGATCCCCTCAATACATCAAACACCATACTGTACATATAATACAGGACCTCGAGAACGCGCACAAAGGCTAGCAGACCATATCAAGATATCAGAACCAGGGCGTATGCGCCCATAGTCCACAACAGTCCACGCGTGCCTTGCACCCTCACATCGTGATAAAGCGTCTCGTCCAAACTAATCCCTGACGGATCTCTTTCCCCCAATTCACAGCCTCAACTATTGGCTAGGCTTCGCGCCCTTCTCAGTCGCTCCGCTTTCTAACCGTTCTTGCTCAAGGACTTCCTGTCCGTTATCCGAAGCCCACATATCCAAGTAATCCTTTCCACCAAAGGCGCGCGGAACGGTCATCTGGCGCCCATTGCGCTCGAGATCCTGCGTATACCGGGTCTGCGTGGGCGTCATGAGTTTCGTAACGAAGGGAGTGAGCTAGACGCGCCATATTGTGAGTAAAGATCCATCCATTTGCGGCGCGGGGGTTGGGTTCTATTATCGGGGCCCGCTAGGACAAAAGGCTGCCTACCTTGAACTCTTTCAGGCCCTCCGGAACGGCATAAGTCCGTACTTTCTTCCAGTCGATCACGTAGGTGCCGTTCTTCGCGAAGAAACCCATCGCTCCGGTCCGGTTTCCCTTGTAGTAACCACCGCCGACTTGCTTGGTGGTCAGGCGCAGGCGCGCCATCATCGGTTGCGAGGGCTTGAACATGTTGGTTTTCGAAAGAGTGGATGCTGTAGGTGCGTGTAATGGGTGTTGCGGAGGACAGTTGGCGGTTCAATCAGTCTAGGTGTATCCCATCTATGGTCGGACGGAAGAAGGATCTGAAAGTCGGGCGGCGGCGCTAGTGGGCTCCGCGGACCGCCAAGACTGACTTTTTTTTTTTCTCTGCCGGGCAGAAAAGTAGAATCGGAAAGAGAAAAAGTCGACTGTGACAACACCTCACCCCACATGTTCTTCAGGGCAGTTATTTGCTGAAGAACTTGGGTTATTATTTTTATTCAACCCTTGAATTATTTTACTACTGTTTTTGCAGTGGCTAAACGACAACTGCAATCATGCCTCGCCAACAAACCCAGCAGCGCGGGCCGAAAGACAACTCGTCCAAGAAGAAGCAACAGCCTAGAAAGAGACCCAACAAGGCTTTGAACGCCCTCGCGATCGCCGAACAGCAATTTCCTGTCAAACCTAAGATCCGACGCAACCGGCTCGGCGAAGAGTACGGACAGCACACCCGCAAGCGACACGCGGCGGGCAGCGACGAGGAAGAATCGGACGGGGATGGCCCAGACAACAAGCGCCGTCGGTTTGGAGGCGACGGGTCTGATAGCGATGCGGGCAGCGATGGACAAGGTCGCCGGTGGAGAATAGGGCACGTCGACAGTGATGACGATAGCGAATTGGACAGTGATGAAGCCTTGGGTGAGAGTGATGAGGAGCGGTTTGAAGGTTTTACGTTTCGGGGTAGTGGGAAGCCTAAGTCTAAGGCGAAGCCGAAGCCTGAGTCCAAGAAGAAGAGTCGCCCGATTAGTCTGTCGGAGGATGTCGAGGATGAGGATGAGGAGGATGAAGATGAAGACGAAGATTCGGACGATCTTGGGGAGGATGCTATCGACTTGACCACTGCCTGGGACATGAACGTTGCTGCGGAAGAAGAAGAAGCGCAGGCTGGCTCGAAATCGAAAAAACGCGACGAAGACTTTGGGTCTGAGGAAGATGAAGAGGAAGAGGAGGGGGATGATGAGGATGAGGAAGACAGTGAATCCAACGAAGACAGCGACTTCGACATGTCCGACGATGAGGACGCTGTGGATGAACATGGCCTCGCCAAATTGCAGAGTTTCGTGAACTCTATGGGTACGGGTGCTGTCGACAGGACCAAAAAGAAGGGAGGAAAACACGAGCATACTGCGCCGACAGAATTCGGACTGTCCTCTACACAGAAACTCACTATCGCGGACCTCATGCCCTCAATTACAGATTCGCGCTTAAAGAACTCTCTCAAACATGTCGACACCGCGCCCGCCAACAAAACAACATCCGGTATCCCGGGTAAACTCGACGCACCTCTGGCGAAACGCCAGCAGGATCGGTTGGACCGAACCGCAGCCTATGAAAAGAGCAAAGAAACTATGGATCGCTGGTTGGAGACGGTCAAGCACAATCGCCGAGCGGAACACCTCATGTTTCCCCTTGTCGACCCCGACGCCGAGCAGACGCACCGAATCGACGTTACGAAGCCTCAGACAGACCTTGAACACGCCATCCAAGACATTCTAGTCGAGAGTGGTCTGACGGATAATAAGGGGAAGTCGGCTGAAGAGCAGGTTCAGGAATTCGAGGAACTGCAGGCGCGAAAGCTCCCGATCGAGGAGATCCGAGCTCGCAGGGCGGAACTACGCCAGCGCCGCGATCTACTCTTCCGGGAGGAGGTCCGTGCCAAACGCATCAAGAAGATCAAGAGCAAGTCGTACCGCCGGGTGCACCGCAAGGAACGCGAGAAGTTGGAGCAGCAGGAACGACAGGCTCTCCTTGATGCAGGCGTGGACCCGGATGAAGAGGATCGCGAAAAATTCGAGCGTCAAAGAGCGGAAGCTCGCATGGGTCTGAAGCATAAGGAGAGTAAGTTCGCCAAGAGCTTGAAGCAGACTGGACGAACCGCTTGGGACGAGGAAGCGCGCTTGGGTGCCGCCGATATGGCCCTCAGGGAGGAAGAGCTGCGGAAGAGGATCGAAGGCAAGCGTGCCACCCGCGGTGACGAGGACTATCTCGGATCATCCAGCTCCGAGTCCGAGGAAGAGAACCCATGGGACGAGGAAGCTGATTCCGATGCCGAAAAGCGCAAGCTTCGCCAGAAGCTCAGCAAGCTTGAGGGCGGTGAAGATGGGGAGCTGGAACTCAAGGGCCCCCATTCCAAGCTGCTCTCCATGAAGTTCATGCAGAACGCCGAGGCCTCTCGGAAAGCCCAGAACGACGCTGAAGTCCGGAAGCTCAACCGAGAACTTCACGGAGAGGAATCGCAGTCCGAGGCAGAGTCAGAGGTTGGCCGGCGCAAGTTTGGTCACTCAGATAAAAACAAAGCTGGCCAACAGCAGAAACCCAAAGCACTCCCCCGCAATGAGTTTGAGGAACCACTAGGATCGGATGAGGAAGCTGATGCCGCCGAGCAAGATGCCGAAGTCGTCACTGACCGCAAGGGCAATAACGCAAAGCCGGGTCGCTCTGCTAACAAACCGCGCGGAGGCCTCTCCAAGGCTCCTGAACCCATTGAACCCCTGCCGAGGAGGAGAACCCTTGGTTGGTGCAAATGAGCAGGAATAACCGTCGACCTGTGGTGAGTGACAACCAGCAGACCGTCGACATCAACCTTGACGACGCGGCGCCCAGCGGCCAGTCGTCTCGGAAAGCCTCCAAAAAAGAGAAGGCTCCTTCTACATCCACCCAGAAGCAGCGCTTGGAACCTCAGGATGACAGCGAGGAGGAGAGCGTGCCGGTGCTTCTCAAAAACCATGACCTCGTGAAGCGCGCATTCGCAGGCGACGAGGTCGTCCAAGACTTCGAACTTGAGAAGCGGGACACTATCCGCGACGAAGATGACCAGGTCATCGACAATACTCTGCCCGGATGGGGTAGCTGGGCTGGCGAAGGGGTCAGCAAAAAGCAACAGAAGCGACAGAAGCGCTTCCTCACCAAGGTTGATGGTGTGAAGCCGGACGACCGGAAGGATGCTAAACTCGCCCGCGTCATCATCAACGAGAAACGTGTCAAGAAGGTAAGGGTTCCCATAGTGGTCACACGACGAGAGGCTATCATACTAATTGTCTCTCTCCCAGAACAACAAATACATGGCTACTCAGCTTCCTCACGAGTTCGAAAGCAAGGCCCAGTACGAGAGGTCTCTCCGTCTCCCCATCGGACCGGAGTGGACTACTAAGGAGACCTTCCAGAATGCGACCAAGCCTCGCGTGATGGTCAAGCAGGGAGTCATCAAGCCCATGGAGAAGCCAACAGTATAAGATACCCGACTATCGACATGGGAGGAGGATATCTTCAAGGATTGGCAGGGGGAAAAGAGTCAGCAGGATTAGTCAGATACCACTTTTTGATCATGAAATGTAATTATCCATGACATTAGAAAAGGTTCATATCAACCACCATAAAAAGTCATTTTAATTAAAATGCACAGAACTAGATGTGTCCTTACTAGAGACCCCTGACCCTGGAGGACTGTTAGCATGTACTTGACTTTGTGGATACCCTCCGTGATTTATAGAGAAGGGATTAATGACCTGATCACCTGAACTTATTGACCTATCACTCCATCCCTATCACTTTAAAGTATTTCTTATTCATTAGACAATTACACAGTCATCTGGATGACAATCATCATCCATAACAGAATCATCAATATATGGTAATGATATAGTTCATGGACTATATTCCGTGATCAATAATCCTAGGGATAGCCACATTTCATACTTTTGAGGATTGAGTTGGTGATCCACGCAGGGATTGGAATGCACTGGATTAGAGCTATCTCCACTTGACACGCAAGATAACCCCCTAAATTGGGGATCATCTGGGTCACGAAATATCAAAAATCTCTAACATGGAACACTCAAGATCTAATATACGAAATCCAGGGACATTAAACCATGAACAGACCAGCAAGAGAAGTAAACACTCACGTGGGGTATTTTAGCTGCCTTAAACGGACTATCATTCAGGCTCCACATTTATCAGACTCCATCCCGTCTGGAACATACAACAACTTCAACCCTGATCACTTCCCGGATTACAACACAACTAGTTGGAGTGTTTGTGTAAGTGCTTGATAACTTTATTTCTTTCTGTATTCCCTCTTCCTTCATCGAGTTTTCTCCAGTGCATGTGCTGTTACATGTGGATAGACATGCGTCACTCTACTCTGTAATCATGAGGGAAGGACTCACTAGTAGCATTCCATACTCATCGCACCCCCCCACATTGTTTTCATATTTGGAGACGCTGATGAATGCTGTTTATTATGATCCACGTTACTGTTTTGGCCACTCACGCGATGCTAGGTGATTATCCTTCTGGTTAGAAGTGATTCCTCGGCCGTGACTGGAATCCATTAGTCCGTTGAGATCGACTCCTGGTAAGCCATGCTGTCCTCTCCTATATAAACTGGGATCTTTTCCCTCTTGCCTACTTGTATTGTGCATCTCAACCTTGTCGACTCCTCTCCCACGTGTGGTGGCCCTTTTGTTGAAGCCATACTGTGTTCTTCGGTACACATGACTGGACTCTACACAGAAGGACATACCTCGTGATACCCCTTTTGGATTGTTTTTCTTAGATAGAATATTCTTGTTTTTTTTTGCATCAGTGCTACTGTTCTCTATTGGTTCCATTCTTTTGGTCAGCCGTGGTGCACAGTAGTGTCGGCTACGACTTGTTGTCACGCACCTGAAGACCATAACCTGGGAACTTGGAACCCATTGCTGCGTTATGGCTGCCAATATGGGCCCTAAATTGACCTGGAGATTCTCTCTGGTGCTAACTATACTGCTTGCTGTAGTGGGAGTTCAGTCAAGCCCAGCGCCAACTGAAACTTCGAGCTCGTCAATCTCCTCCAAGACTCAGTACCCTCCTGCTACGAAGGGAGCTAGATTGCTGGAGCCAGAGACACATGGTGTAAGTGATCCTTCATGCCACACCAATCTTGTGCTAACAAGTATCAGTTTTATCCTACCAGTTTGGAGCGTGACGGTCATAGTTGGCAGCACGCAACACCTACACCCTTTTCGCACAACGCTCTTGGATTAAACAATCTGGCCGACAATTTTGAGCATCCCAAAGATTGGATAGATTGGATGCTACCTAATTTGGTTCCTGGAGGATTGCATAGACCGAAACATAACGTCAAACCTTTTGCTACTCCCTCTCCGGCGTATTCCAAACCCAAGCCAGGTTATTGGAGCCCGGAACACAATCTACCGGCCGTCCATACCATAGGGATTCCTAAGCCAACGTTTAGCTCTGCTACGGGTAGACCTAGCGAGACTGTGAGCCACGGCAAACCAGTGGGCACCGCATCAGACATCGTCGGCGCCTCTTCTGCTTCTGCAGTGGAGCCAACTCCCGTTTCCGTTGTCGACGAGAAGCCCAGCGCAACCCACCAAGATCAAACAAAGGCTCCCATCGCCACGGCGTCATCCTCTATTACCGCGATGTCTAACGCCCAAGATGTCTTTCAGCCCATAGCGACGGGTCCCATTCCACGGACGATCTCGGCACGGGACGATCACCCGGTGCCCAAGAAGGGAATTGTAAGTTTGACATGAAACCGCTGAGGGTGTGCGACGCTAACTTTCATAGAAATCCGAGGTACCTATCGAGACCAATAAGTTTTACAGTGGTCTCTTCTTAGGAACACAGACCAACGCGACGTTCACACATCCATATGAGTTAGCCTGGGCAAAGGGCACTGGCAACCTTGCTAGCTGGGGCATGGGCATCACCCATGTGGAGAGCGGACTGGCGAAAGGGCCAAAGAATGAAAAGATTCCGGGCCACCCAGTCTCTTTCTATGTTAACCCCATCGGCATCCAGTCCATCATCCTCGGGGCAACGGAGCTGCGCAATTCAACCGTACTTGATACGGAGAATCCGCTTCCGTTCTCTGCCAACGCTGTCCTGCGGCCAAAGGATGGAGCAAACGAAAGCATCACCTTCCCCATTGTGCAGGGTATGGGTTATGTCTCGGGGGTCTATTCCAACCTGCAGCCGGTGATCCAGAGCAGTGTCCACTACAAGGAAGTGGTGTCCGCCGGATCTCCGAGGCAGGGAATCTTCAAATACATCATAACCCTGGAAGACAATGTCACTTGGCTGCTTTATCTGACCCCAGATGACGGGAAGAACCCTGATCTGAAGTTGGAGTCCTCCACGGACCTTCGCGGGCCGCGCGGTTGGTCTGGTACGATCCAGGTGGCGAAGAATCCGGCCGGACGTTCAGGAGAGAAGCTGTACGACAACTCCGCAGGCGTCTTCGCATTGGAGGGCGCCGTGGCAGGTAACGTCTCTAACAAGACCGGCACGTACAATCTCATGTGGGCGAAGGCCGGCAAAAATGCGCAGGACATACCTTTGATCATGTTCGCTCTTCCTCACCACGTTGAATCCTTCGACCGGAGCACGCAGGGCCGCATGACGAACATCACCCTTCGGACGACGACCAAAGGCAACGCAACCGCGGTGATTGGAGAAATCTGGACGATGACCGAACCAGACCTTCCAACTGACCTGGGGCTCGAAACCCGGTCGCTTAGTGCCGGTAGGATCAGTGCGATTTCTCAGGGTGCACGTCAAGTGATCCTGGACGCGGCCCGGAAGGACCTGAACAACAGCGTCAGCAAAGAAAGTGACCTGAACAGCATGTATTTCAGCGGCAAGGCGCTGAGCAAATATGCCATCCTGGTCCATACTGTCAGCAAGATTGGCGGAGATCCTCATCTTGCATCGTCCACGCTGCAGGACCTGAAGCACGCCTTCTCCCGATTCGTCAACAACACCCAGCAATTTCCCCTGGTCTACGACAACGTCTGGAAGGGCGTGGTGTCTTCGGCCAGCTACGGTGGTGGCGACGTGGGCGCGGACTTTGGCAACACCTTGTACAATGACCACCACTTCCACTACGGCTACTTCATCCACGCTGCAGCGGTCATTGGACAGCTTGATCCGGCCTGGGTCGAACACAACAAGGACTGGGTCAACATGCTGGTCCGTGACGCAGGAAACGCGGCTGGCAACGACCCGTACTTCCCGTTCTCTCGGGGATTCGACTGGTTCCACGGTCATTCGTGGGCCAAGGGCCTCTTCGAGTCCTTCGATGGCAAAGACCAGGAGTCGTCGTCTGAGGATACCATGTTCGCCTACGCCATCAAGATGTGGGGTAAGACCGTGGGCGACGCCAGCATGGAAGCCCGAGGCAATCTGATGCTGGGAATCCTGCGACGCACCCTGCACAACTACTTCCTCCTTGACAACGACAACAAGAACCACCCTGCCGACTTTATCGCCAACAAGGTCACCGGCATAGTAAGTCCATCCCCTTTCACAGTACATACATTAAGCAATGAACTCACCATAGTACAGTTGTTCGAAAACAAGGTCGACCACACCACCTACTTCGGCGGCAACTTAGAATACGTCCATGGGTGAGTACCCCTTTCCTCCCCATCCCCATCAGAGATACTGACAATGATATCTAGCATCCACATGCTCCCACTATTGCCCTCCTCCGTGTACGCGCGCCGGCCCCATTTCGTGAAAGAAGAGTGGAACGCCCTCTTCGCACACAACGCCACCACCCCGGCCGAAAACGTCGAAGGAGGCTGGAAGGGCGTGCTGTATTCGAACCTGGCACTGATCGATCCCAAGGCGTCGTGGGAGTTCTTCGCCCAGCCCAACTTCAACTACACTTGGATTGATGGAGGCACCACGCGGACCTACTCTCTCGCGTTTGCTGCTGGTAAGTGCTGTCTCATCCTCTCTATACTCCCGTCAGTGGATGATACTAACCAAGTCAATACAGGCCTCGGTGGCGGTCCCTCCTCTTAGTAGGATTTGGTAATCTCTTCTTTTTTTGGTGGGCAGTTCTCTGCACCTTTTCAGAACATAGTTGTGAGACTGGTTGTTTATTTCGTGTCCAATTTCTTGCCTTACGGAGTATGTATTTAATTTTGAATATCAGTCCAATTCAGGAGACATTTTTTCCAATATTGGCGGCTCGGCATGTCTCATGCGATCGTAGTGTAGAATGATGGTTCTATATAGCTATTTGTCATCAAAGACTATCGAATCTGGAGGTTATAGAAGGAGAAGAAGCCACGTAGGCGAGGTAAAGGAAACCAGGTAACTTAGATAGTTAATCACCCATGAAACAAGAAGTCAACTACAAGTACTAAACCAATAGGGACAAGACAATGAAAGACCATCCAAGCAATCGGTGTAATAGTCACATCATCCCCGCCGATTCTCAGTTACATAGGTACAGAGACACCATCGTAGTCTCTGATTGTTGTACAGCTGCAATTCGAACAGTTCTTGATAGGTACGGCATGTCACGGCTTACGTTAAAGGACAAAGAGTATATATACATCCATCATAGTTCCGGGCGGTGTTTCCGTTCTTATAACGGCCTAGTAGTTATCTCACAGGCTGCTCTGTAGGTGGATCTGCGTTGTTTGACGAAGGGATGCGCATCTAGCTGAGATATATGGGGGAGATGGTGGCTCAGGTCTAGGTACTGATATCTGGTATTGCAAGGAATTAGACATGCAAGATGGTGAGGGGTACTGGTTGAAGTAATATGGATTATGCAGAGATGTAGTGAGAGTTGCAGAGGAAGAAGAGAAAGAGGAAGATGTAAGGATTGGATAGTCTGTGAGGCTATGTAATGAGACGCAAGGCTCCAACCTGAAACTCGGGCTTTATACTCACTTGCTTAATTGTAGCTGACCAATCAGCCGTATCATCTAGCCCTAAGTCTATGCTATTCGGAGCAGGCTGTATAGGCTATCTTACATATGTAGTAGGTAGTATACTATCTTTCCGCAACAAAGCAAGCACTACTATTCTACAGGATAAATTCACAAGATAAATACTGCCACAAGATGCTAAATGGGTTTACTTTTCAAAAGTGAATAATAAGCATCTATCTATAAGCGTATCTACCTCCAAGTTAGCTTTATACATAGGAAGAAGTCAATGACCTCCTTCGACCGAAGGGTAAGGTCAGTGGGCGTTCTTGACAACACCATTTACAGCAAATAGAGCCCTATATCAACCATTGCTTATAAGAAACTGATACATACGACCATAGGGTGTGGAGAACAGGGCTTCCCGTCCGCTCAGCCGTACTTAAGCCACACGCCGGCCGGTTAGTAGTATGGTGGGTGACCACATGCGAATCCCGGCTGTTGTATGTTTTTGTCCACCCTTTTTCTCGATTTGTTGGGTTTAGCGCCCGGCCCACTCCGCGTTCAGGCCCTTCACCCGCCTTCGCCTGAACGGCCTGAACCCCCCTGGTACGGCTGACGGGTCCTCCCGTAGTGTGGTTCTTTCCCCACCTGATATTTATTTGCGTTATCATTGGCCAGAAAGCTATTCCTGTTTTATTAGCCAGCCCCTGGCAAGCAAATTCCAAATCAAATACAATGCCACTGGCGGGGTTGGCAGTCGAAGGTTGGTCTGAATTCTTAATACTATAAGAAAACATGTAAAAAAATTGCAGTTCTGCACAAAATTCCCTCTTTATATTTAGCTCCCCTTCGGGTGATGACTAATTTCCTATCTTCTGCCTGGCTCCTCCGCCTCTAACCCCCCAGTGAACTTTTTTATATATTCACTTTTCTTTCTAGGTGCTTTAGGGGCTCTACGCGGGTGCTTCTAGGGATCCTACATGCTGCTGCCGAATATGACTACCTCGATACTCTGCAGCACCTGCTTCCGAAGAATCTGGAAATCCCCTGTGAATCAGTTTCCTCTATCTTGGAAGTCATTATTCCTGGAAGGGGTGGGAAAGAAGAGTTCGAAGCAACTCTCAATACGCTATGGAACCTAGGTCTGTTCTTTGATGGATTGCAAGAGACCCGCGAGACAGTTGACCAAAAGATAGTCCGACGGACAACCTCCTCCTCAGGCAACGATAATGACATGACAACCCCTTCTGACAGACCGCTCCACGACGAAGGTGACGAAGGGGGCGGGGGGAATCCTGTTAATAATAAATGACAACAGTTAGCCACCAACTGGACAAGAGGCAAACCAAAGACTTAGCAAGAGTATCCGGAGACGCACGATCTTCCTCACGAGTAGAGAAAGAACGGGGGCCGGCGCCCGCAGCACCACAACCCTGACCGCGAGGGCGGCCCCGACGACCAGCATTTCTAACACCACCATGATCAACAACACCGGCACGCAGGACACCAGGCGAGAACCATGACCGCGCCCAGCACGGCCGCTACGAGGAGACACAGGCTAAACACTGTCAGTTTACTGCCACCACACATGATAATTGCTTAAAATACATATCATGACGAGCAGAACAAAACCAGGCCGATAAACAAGATGAACGAAATTCTTGATTCCTGCAACTTGACAATATTAGGGCACCTTAATGACATGACAGGGATAATCAAGTGAGTATACCAAGACAGCACGGGAAAAAGAGAGCAAAACAGCCAAGGAAGAAGAGGGAGACACACGGGTGAGGAAAAATTATAATATTTATATTCTCACTGGTGATGCTACGGCTAAGCAAGGGCGATGTACTTGACAATTAGTTTTCTAAAACAGCAGACTACCTAGGCAGCTACTACCCTATATTTTGAAATGAGTGTCGAAGTTGGTTCTTATCAGCTAAATACTGCTAGAATATCCAGCTTCTTTTAGCTGCAGTGTGCGTCCTTCTAACCTCGGGCTACCTATCTTCTTAATATAAGAGATTGTCCCTTTCACAAACCACGAGAGTAACAGCGCTAACCAGGTATATAAGAGAATAATAGAGTAGCTTGCAACCATCTGATCCTTCCTTGGTAAACTTAGATAGACTATTAAAGCCACTTCCCCTCGAAGGGGTTCCTTGTAGGTGTCTTACATAGCACTACCCTGTGCCAGCAACAGGATTTGAACTCGTGACCAATCATAACTGATCACCTGGGCTTGCCAGGCGTGTTTTACTACTATGCCACTCTGCCCAGCTGATAGTAGCAAGCAAGAGCCGGTAATATGATACTCTGTTCTGGTTGTGTTGATTTTCTAGGAAATTAACGCGTCATCAGTAGGCAGTCAGACAGAGATCTTGTTATTAGTATGAGTTTTAACCACATATAAATAGCCGTGATCATAACCTGGGAAGCTAATATAACTGATAATAAATAAGTTAGAAAAACTGCTTAACTAACTACTGAATTCATGTTCAAGGAAACTAACAGAGCATGTATATCTCTTATTATCTTCTTGTCTCTCACATGCAGTTATAAAGCTTAACATGTCTATAAAGCTTAGTCTAAAGACTTACTCCATAAATATACTTTACCTGTGTTATATAAAGTATAAATTTTAGATAATCTATGTTATACCACGCTCCGGGGTACGCGTATACCACTAAACCAAAAGGCCACTATGTCCAGCCACCCTTGGCTGGACACCCCCGGACTCCCCTATATAAAGTACTACATGGCCTGCGCCCAGCGGGCCGCAGGACTTCTGATTAGATCACGCCCTGCGGGCCTGTGGTTCTAATACTATTATTCTGACGGAGTTGGGTCGGACTCTAATACAAACCAGCGGCACCCCATCAAAAGTTCGCTCTCCCAACCCATGATGTTTGGCAACGAATTTCATGAAAACCAATAGGCTGATCAGGCTGAAATCTTTATGTGATAAAGATAATTACCCGTAGAGTCACTAGTGTAAATTTGGGCGTGATTCACCGGGGGAATTCTAATTCCAATCGTGAAGGGTCAAACCTTATTTGCCATACTAAAAGATATGACCCTGATTCCAATCCCCACGCATTGGAACAACCCCCATAGGATAGGGTCGGCCTGCCAATTGGCACCGTGAACAGGCAGGTTTCTCTAGACTGCAGCGGATTTTTTAATTGGTGCAGCTATTGCAACTTCTTTCGTGGAGGACGCTGTTTGTTTGCCGGACTGTCTGGCATGCTCATGGTTCAGGAAAATATCATGGGAGTGGATGTGCTTAAAAATTGAAATTCTCCATCCGAGCCGGAAATAGAGGCTATTTCGGCGACAGATCCAAGGGTGAAGCTGTGATTGGCCGAAATGGGGACAGGTTCGGGATTCCGAACAAGCACTCGATAGGGCTTGGGAGGGAAGATGTGATTGGATAAAATATGAGTATAGGCTCGGGACTCCGGGCGGACACTCATCCACGGAATGGGGAATCTGTCCGTTGTCCGAATATATAAAGACAAGTTTAATTGTCAAATGAAGCCGTTCAGTTTATCTTGACTTGTTTACAGCGTGATACACCATCTTTCTCGGATTTGGCAACCTTGAAAAAGATGGATGTTCTACTTCGAGAAAGCTCCTATGGTCGCATACTCAATTATGTGTCGAATAACCAACTCTTTCCTCCCCCCATTCTCAAGGCCCCTAAAAGTGAATGGACCGCAAGCACAAGCTCGTCTGCTACCTCCCCTGGCGCTGCCCGTCAGATCGTGGTGGATTTCACCGGATTTGATGATCCCGACATGCCGAGAAATTGGCCCGCACTGGCGAAGTTTGTTGCCATGATTGATATAATGCTATTAAACTTTAGCTTCTATGCGGCATCAGCAATCTTTACACCAAGCATTCCCAAAATCAAGGAGGAGTTTGGCGCTACCGCTGCCGAGGGAACGCTAGGGCTTTCGCTTTTTGTTATCGCATATGGCATTGGACCTCTTATTGTACGCATACACTACTACGGAATAACCTTCAATATCCTGCTAATCACGAATCTATTCCAGCTTTCTCCCTTGTCGAACCTGCCGTCGATCGGACGTACACCTGTGTATGTCGTTGGCACCCTTGCTTTCTGCTTGTTTAACATAGGCACCGCGGTGGCAAAAAACCTACACACAATTTTGATACTACGCTTTTTAGGCGGATTGGTTGGAAGCGCTCCTATCAGTGTAGGAGGTGCTTCACTGGTGGAGATATTCAAACCGAGTCAAGTTCCGTATGTCATCGCGTTGTATGCGGTCAGTGGAGTTTGCGGACCCATTTTAGGACCGGTATGTCGATTGTTTGAGAGGACCATTCAGCACACCTTGACTAACTTAAATACCATGTTAGATCCTTGGAACTCTGGTAGTGTATGTCTCCCCTATTCTGACACGCCAGGCATGCGCTAACGACCCATACAGAGAGCGCTGGAAAACTTGGGCAGCAACACTATGGCTCCTTGCTGGTATCACGGCTTTCACGACCGTGTTTATCTTCTTCTCACTGCCAGAGACCTTGTATACCAACATTCTTTATCGCCGAGCACGACGACTCCGTACTCAAACTGGCAACCCTGCTTATCAAAGCCAAGCCGACATCGATACACCGGAGGCAAACCTTGTGGTGCGTATCATAAAGCAAATAATTGACGATTTTAAACTGTCTTGCATGGACCCAGTAATTCTATTTGTGAATATGCATACAATGTTAATTTATGGGGTGCTTTACCTGTGGTTCGAATTCTTCACATTTGGTGAGTCATTGAAATCCGTTACATTAATACCTCCTGCTTATAAACTACTTTATTACAGTCTTTGACGGGATTTACCACTTCACTGCTATTCAACAAGGCCGTAAGTACTTCCCTGAGGCCTGACAAATCTGCTCTAATTATCCTTTCTAGTTGCATTCTTCGGCATTCTCATTGGCGCAGCAGTGTCTGTCATCACATATATATCATGGTTATATTTCTCCTACCAGCCACGTGTCGCAAGATCAGGAACTACCATTGAGCCTGAAGCTCGCCTAGTTCCAGGTCAAGTGGGTGCTGTATGCATCCCGATTTGTCTCTTCATTTTTGCATGGTCGTCTCGAGAAAGGTAAGCCCATCACTACCAATTGTTTGTAAGAAAGAGAATGATAACCGCCCAACACAGCGTGCACTGGATAATCCCTATCATCGGCACTGCATTCTTCGCACCAGGATTCTACCTCACCTTCCAATCGATTCTTAATTATCTGGGAGAATCTTATCCAAGACATGTGGCCAGTGTTTTTGCCGGCAACACATTTTTCCGGAGCTCATTCGGAGGAGCACTACCCCTAGCTGCTCCTCAGATGATTCAGTCACTTGGGATCGGATGGGCGTTAAGCACATTGGGTTTTATTTCCGTTGCCATGGTCCCTCTACCTTTCATTCTGGAGCGGGTGAGCCACACGTATTTGTCCTTAAGAATTTGGATCATTGGCTAATTGTGCAATAGTATGGGAAAAGGCTACGTCAACAGAGCAAGTACGCAAATTAGTAATCCTACGGATTTTTTTTTTTGCATGTCAGTCACCGTTGTCTGAGAGGAGCAGCCTATTGTGGCCTAATGTTCTCGAAGATGAGACGATGTGACTCCTCCCGGAAGCTTTTCGTTTCTAAGTTTACGAACCATGATCTGCTATCAGGTCATATCATCAAACGTCGATTACAACTATAGCAGGTTTATCCACACTCTATTCTTGTATTTATTGTTTTGAAGTTTCCGGTGTACTCTACAAGGCGAGGGTTATGAGATAGAGGAGAGAATTCTCAGGACTGAGTAATTCTCGCAAGCGAACATAGAATTTGATTTTGTACAGAATAGCTAGTACTAATGATTCAATTTACATAATGTCTTTTGTCATTGCAATAGTTCAACTAAGTATGTAGCTGGCCCATGGCATTATTCCGCCATGTATAATCACTGGTAGGTGAGGAAACTCATCAAGGAGAGGCACAACGCTCGGGCAATGGCTGTTCTTGGTTTACTAGAGCTCCCATTATCGTTAGGATTCGCTTTATGATGGCGGGTGAGTCCATATGGAGAAGAAAACATCGGGAAGATCCAGGAAGATGATATCCCACGGATCGACTGACACTGCCGAACGACCGGAGTTGACAGATGTGGCCAGTCGGGGCAAACGTGTCTAGTATTCGGGTTAGACAGATTGGAGGCCGCACAGGCCTGAGGGGATCGAGGTTGATTGTGTGTTCGAACTAGCTAATGAATGGATGCCTATCTTAGGCCAAATAGGCAAAGAAGAAGAGTAAATCAGTGAGCACCATGAAACGAGGCCTGCGGAACGTGCAGACGATAGACCATAGACCCAAGATTGCTGCAATATAGGCTGATTTTTACAAAAAGCTTAGTTAGCATTGTTGCGGGGTTGTCTGACGAACAGTCCTGAAATGCTATATACTAACACCACTACCTTATTTGGCAGCCAATCGCAGCACTTTCTGTTCAATTCGGCCTATCAGCATATGATCTAGACTTCGCCAAAACCCATTCTCGACCCATCCGATGGGTTATTTTTCGATTTCATATTAGACAATTTTTATGAATCAATGCAAAGAAATGGATTATAAAATGGGTTATAAAATGGGTTATGGATCGAGAGTCTCAATCCATCGTGGGTTTAGATGGGTTTTGGCGAAGTATAACTGCATATCACAATGTGCAAAAAAAGGGACCGAGAGGCCACCCGTCATCAGATGCCTCTTCTATCCTAGCTATGAGAGCGAGTGCGCCTTTAGCTTTACCGAGCCGTATCCGTTATCCCCTGTTGGCTGGAAGGAGCGATATGCAAGAGGATAGTATGTGTGGATAGAGATTGCTTAAATCGGCGGCTTCTTACCAACATCCCCTGATACCTGCACCGATGACATTTTCCTCTATATGTCGGCATTCTTTCTTTTTGAGCGGCTGCACTAGATAATAATCCGACTCAGCAAGCTCAGCAGGGTAACCAAAGAACTTGTGGAAGAGTATACGTTCCTTTTTCCACAAATTGAATCGATGCGGGGAAAGTAACGCAGAACGGGGGTTCACATATATTCATGTAGCAAACATCTCCACCAGATGGTGTGAGATTGTCACAAGTTGCCATATGTTCACCCGGCCGGGCTATTGCCCTTTCTGCTTAGGTGACCAATCCCGAAAGTCTTCCGAGCGTATGTGGTAGGTCTAAAGTCTCGGTGAATGGCACGTGACATGGCCATGGAATTCCTGTATACTCGGAGTTCCGAAACTGAATACTGCCATGGTACGCTTTCAGTGTTATTGCTATTACTGACGTAAATAACATTCCGCTTGGCCTGTTAACTTCTTATCACTACTAACTTACAATTTCTTTTCACACTGGCACAAAGTGTTGCATTTATTTCACTTATCAATTTTTATCAGACCATCATCTCAATGGCTCCCCGCATCATTCCAGAGCCAGGAAAGGCGCCAAATGTATCTCGCGACGCCCAACAAGCTTACGAGACCCTCAAAACTGGCGGAGTCATTATCGCCCCGACAGATGTTGGCTACGCATTTATGACCTGTACCCAGGTCGGAATTCGGAGGGTCTTCGCGGCCAAAGATCGTCGGCGAGATCATAATATCGGCATCATTGGAACATATCGGCAACATCGAGAACTACACATGTTGCCAGAGTCCAAATTCGAATTGACTCGTGTCTTGACCAAAGATATGGGGATGATAGTGGGGATTATCGCGAAATTCGATTCCAAGAACCTCCACCCGCGCCTGGCAGCGCTAGATACGGCCACACTCTCCCAGATCACTAAGGGAGATACAATCAGCATCGCGGTTCCAGAAGGGCCGTTCTTGCGGGAGCTCGGCCGACTTTGCGATGAGGACCCACAAGGCATGTTAATGTTCGGAACTTCCGCAAATGTTACCGGGCAGGGACAACGTTTCTGCATTGAAGACATTGAGCCTACCGTGCTTGAGAGCGTCGATTTGGTTGTTGATTACGGTCTGCAGAAGTGGCATGTATACGGTCGCGGTGGCGTCAACTTTGACGCCGAAAACATGCAGGTTCTGCGTATGGGAGCTGGATACGAAATCTTTAGGGACAGAATCCTAAGATGGTTCCCTCATCTGATAGAGGAGGCGGGCGTTGGCCTTGACCAGGATCCGGAGCACAGAATTAGGGAGCCGAGTGCTCGCAGCTTGAAAGGCTCCGTCAAAAATGACACTTGAATATAAAATATAGCTCCAGGCCAAGGATAACCTGGGGGAGGCGCCGAGACGAGAGTCTAATAAGCATATTCCAGGTAATTATACCACCCACAAACATGGCTTCATATTTTATAATTTATACTATTAGATAGCGCTGGCTCTATCCCATGGGGGTTGTTCCAATGCGTGCGGACTGGAATTAGGGTCAAATCTTTTAGTATAATAGATAAGGTTTGACTCTTTATGACTGGAATTATTTAAAAGACTCTTTAATTAGAATTAGAATCCCTGTGATTAATTATGCTTAGATTTATACTAGTAACTTTACAGGTGTTTATATATATTATATAGAAATTTTGGTCTGATTAGTCTATTAGTTTTCATGAAATTTATTATTAAATATCATGAGTTATAAGAGTAAATTTTTTGATCCACGGCAGAGGGAGAAGGCAGAAAAGATAGGAGTATAAATCATATTGTATAAGTCCTGGAGCTTTCAATATAGGAGACCAGGAGTCTATAATGTATGATATCAGAGCTATACCAGGAAGAGTAGAATAATCAGATAAAAAATCCACAAGCCCTGATTTGACAGAGGAAATCCCTAACCTCCATCACCCATCACTAGCCAGGTTGATCACTACATCGGATGTGCGCGTTTTTGTGTCATTGTAGTGTCTGTCCTGTTGGTGGAGAATCAGCCAAGTGGCGGATTGTGGCAGTGCTGACTTGGTTGTGCTACTTGGGTCGAATGGAAGGGTTGATCAGGTTTAGTGGCTGTTTTGAATTTACTAGAGAGTTTTGAATATGGCAATCCTTTCTTGGAGTCTAGTCCTGTGTATTAATGTTGGAGTTGAATCATCCATAACATCCAGAGAGTGGAATAGTTCAAAGGGTCTTTTCTGTGGATTTCCAGGGACGAACTGGGACACTAAACCCAAGTGGGAAAGGAGCTTGGAGCGGGTCCTTACCTAGTAGTTAACGTTAACTATGGACATCGGATCCACCGGAAGAGAGAGAGAGATGTTTTTCTTCATTCTTCCCACTCCTCTCCTCATCTTGCGGTAATGCCATCCCACTGATCCCCTAATGACTACTTACTGAACTACTCACTTTAAGTTTCTTAGATCTCGATCCTGGTTCCTTCGTCAAATTACATCCGTCCAAGTCAGTACTCGACGTCATCATCCCCTACCGGAAAGCCAGACGCTGGGTGAGGTGACCCACCGGGTTGAAGAGAGGCTGTGCACTCGGCATTTCTTCTTGGTCGAGAAGTGGGCTTCAATCCCCTCGATTCGTCCAGTGAGCCAATGAATGCTCCGGTCTAGCCGACACTCATCCCCTTGAGAGAGACTGAGACAGAGGAATCCCTGGAAAAGCTCCCAGACGTGGCTGGCGTTGAGCCACCACACCAACCTCCATTGGACGGACCTTGTTCTTCGCACGGCCCTGAGCTGATTTCCTTTTTATCCACTTGTTTGTTCACCCCGGTGGAACTTGAGAGAGCTTTTCCTATTAATCCCTCTTGTCATTGTGGAAAATTTCCTTCCTTTTTAGGGGTTTGAGGGAGAGCCAAGCACCGAAAATCGCAATAGAGACGGGGATTCCCTTTCTCTTTCTCCATCGAGCAAACCCACCGAGCCACACTCTTGAGAGTCAAGCCGCTTCTGACTCCGATCATTCGAGTCTCCATTTCGATCTCCAGTCAGGAATACCCGAGGCGTTGATTGTCTCCATCCATCGCAATAATCCTGACCAAAGAATTGGTCCAGATGTGTACGTCCCAAAGAACTTTACCTCTGTCTGTTACATGACCGAGGGGAGTCTCCTTTCATCTCTTACCTTTTTTCTCTCCTTTCATATCCATTGTTCCTGGTCCGGACTCTCCGCCACTCGTGATTTTCCCTCTTTTGCTCTTTCATCATACATACGTCGCTCACCAGATACTTATGCTTCCTGCCTGTCTTTCAACTATTAATCTCGTCTTTCTTTTTTTTTTGTCTGTCTTGCGGATTGATATGATTTGATCATACGCGTCATATATCTTCCATTTTTACACTCTCTCGGGTTAATCAGATATTTCCATCTTTTATTTTTCTATTGTCTTATTTCTCTACCTTATCTTAATCTCTTTTACGGGTTTATGACAAACAATTTCTTTGAAGCAAACTACTTGTTAATATCTTCATTTGCGCCCTGTCGGATCCTGCGGTCGAGCTTCTAGTGCCTGTATAGTTCCCCTAACGATCCTGTCGGATAGTGGCGCCTGGAAACGAAAAATCGTCCATCTACATCAGTGGCAGTTGAGCTAACAGGTTGTGGATATTCATACAGCGTTTCCAGTACCTTTGCGCTCGGCGTTTCGCTCGCATACATTGGGGCCCAGAAGAACCATGACTGGCCTTTCTTCGCCGCACAATGGCTCCCTCGAGCGGGGCGAGAGAGAGTCTCTGATCAACGAAACCACTCGACTCAATGCCAGTCTCGAACGGGAACGTTTCAAGCGGGACCATCGTTGGGCGCATTTCCCTGCCAATGTCGTTCGGTTGACCTGGACGACGTTAGTGCGCGATTATGTCAATGTCCTGCTCGTTTTCGTGCCTCTGGGCATCATCGCCGGGGCCCTCCACTGGGACAGCACCGTCGTGTTCACGCTGAACTTCATCGCCATCATCCCCCTCGCATCGTTGCTGAGTTTTGCGACCGAGGAGCTGGCGGCGGTCATGGGACAGGCCATGGGGGGTCTGATGAATGCGACCTTTGGTAATGCGGTGGAATTGATTGTATGTGCCAACACCCCTCTTTACGTCGTTCGCTCCGTGGACGGTATTCACTGACTCGGTCGGTTGCGCAGGTGAGCATCATCGCGTTACGGGACAACCAGATCCGGGTGGTCCAGGCCAGCATGCTGGGCAGCATTCTGTCCAATATCTTGCTGGTGCTGGGCTGCTGTTTCTTCGTCGGCGGCCTTCGCTACTCCGAGCAATCCTTCAACAGCACCGTGGCGTCGACCATGTCGTCTCTGATGACCGTGGCGTCGGCGTCTCTCATCATTCCGGCCACGCTCTACGCCTCCTTGACTGCCTCCAATGGCCCGGGGCACGACAAGACCCGGGAGAACATCCTCCTTCTCTCGCACGGAACCTCCATCATCCTGTTGGTCCTTTATGTCATGTACCTTTACTTCCAGCTCCGATCGCACGCGCGACTGTTCGAGGAGGTCAATTCCGATGCCGAGCATCATGGCGGTGACCCGGCCGAGACCGAGGACGAGGAGGAAGAACGCATTCTGGGTCCCTGGGCCGCGAGCATCGCGTTGGTCGTCGTGACTGTCCTCGTCGCCATCTGCGCCGACTTCCTGGTCGGGAGCATCGATGACATCGTCTCCCGGACCGGTATGAGCCGCACCTTCATCGGGTTGATCCTCATTCCGATTGTTGGAAATGCGGCGGAGCATGTGACGGCCGTCGTGGTCGCCTGGAAGGGTAAGATGGACCTGGCCATCGGGGTGGCCATCGGGAGCAGCCTGCAGATTGCCCTCTTTGTCACGCCGTTCTTGGTCATCCTGGGGTGGATTATTGGCCGCGACATGACGTTGCACTTCCACGTTTTCGAGACCGTCGCCTTCTTTATCTCTGGTTTGGTAGTTACGTTCCTCATCCAGGATGGAAAGTCGAATTACCTCGAAGGAGGCCTCTGTTTGGGGATGTATGTGGACTCTCCCCTCCTTGTTTACGATTTCATCCCTTGTGCAACCTGCTGACTGAACCCTCAGGTATATGATCCTGGCCCTCGCGTTCTACGTCTATCCAGACAATATCAACGAGGACAACCTGTTCATCGGTAACTCTTGAGGCAATATCGAGTTGGGAGACGCACGTTGCTCCGAAATTCTTTGTAATACCACGACATGACTTGTGCTTTCTCTTCTGTCTATTTTCCTATCATTTCTCAATACCACGCGCACGCCGTGTTTGATCGACCACATGCTTGACATCCATCGAAATTTGCCGTCACTCTTTGATGTCCAGTCCATACGTTGCCCTCGAAAGGCTTTCTCGAAACGGCTCCCATACCGCTTCGCGTTTCTCATACGACACCTGGGTTCAGCACTGCGGGTCAGTTTTTTCTTATCTTTATGAACAGGGGTTCCTGTTCACGTCTGGCGACTTGGTTTTTTTCTTTTCTTTTTTTTTGGTTCTTTCCCGCCTACCCGTAGATTGCTGCGAGATTCCCAGATGAGGGTCAGGATGGGCTAAAAAAGGACATCTTGTATTTGGGATTCGTAAGCTTATTTCCTGCGAAGGAAAAACACCATCCTTGATGGATTTTAATTCGTTGAATTCACTAGCTCTTTAGCCTCGCAGGCTTTCAAAATATCAAAATGTACTGTGCACTCTATACTCGTAGACAAGAATCATACGAATCCTATAAAACAGGCGCTCTTGGCGTCGCATGACTAAGCGGGTGGAGAAGAAAATCGTTTGCCCGATTTCAAGGCACATGGATACGGATACGTCGAGACGGCCAAAGATTGCTTCTCCTCCACACCCATCACGCCATTGAATCTCTACCTTTGACTGGGTTTCAAAAATGCCGCCCCGTTTGAATCTTTTTACGGCCAGAGCGGCGGTCTTCCGCCCGGCCTCCAGCAACCAGTCCGTGTCTCGCCGCAGTATCACCTCGCTTCTCAACGCCAACCGCTCGTCTGCCGCATCGTCGAGCGCGAATGGCCTGAAGTCGTACCTGCCGCAGACGCGATACAGCTCGTCGGATTCCAAGGGAAAGGATGATGCTGCGAAGGTGCCGGAAGAGCCTCTGCCTCATGTCAGTGAGGAGGCCGCAGAGGTGGCTAACATCATGAACAAGAAGTGTGATGGTAGTGCGCCGGCGAGTCCGGAGCTGGAGCAGGGGACGCCTATTTCGGAGGTGAGTTTTCTTCTATCTTTTCTTTTCCTTTTCCTGGCTCTCTTCATCCGTGTCTCTCAATGGACGACCCGCTAACCAGCCCGATTACTAGATCTTCAAACGAGACACCGACGACCAGAAGTACGCCCCCAAGGTGCTCAAGGACCAGAGCAAGGGTCCCTCGGGCACCCGCTCGTTCTCGACTTCGACCCGCCGGACACAGGCCGACCTCCAGGGCGATAACCAGATGGAGCCCGCCGCCGCCATGGTGGCCAGCATGATCTCCCAAGTCAACCAACAGGCGGCGGAGCTCAACCCGGGCCTGAAATTCCCCGCGCCCGAATCCCTCCCCAGGACCGAGAACTTCCGCACGCGTTACGATACTCTCCTCGATCAGTTCACCAAGCAGCTGATGCGGGATGGCAAGTTGGCTACTGCCCAACGGGTGTGTACACATCAAATATGGGTCTAATGTCACACATGCTAATCAGTGAACAGAACATGTCTATCATCCTGGACCATCTCCGGACCTCCTCCCCTCCCCAGGTCCACGCCAAGCGCCGCCTGCTCGGCAGTCCTTCCACCCCGCAACTCCCCATGAACCCCGTCCTCTACCTCACGCTGATCATCGACTCTGTGGCCCCCGTGATCAAGCTGCGCCAACAAAAAGGTATCGCCGGTGGTGGTGCGTCCGTGCCCGTGCCCTTCGCGCTGAACCAGCGACAGCGCCGCCGTCAGGCAATCCGGTGGATCATCGACGCCTCGGACAAGCGACGGGACAGCTCGCTCGCTCAGCGGGTCGCCAATGAGTTGGTTTCCGTTGCTGAGGGGCGTAGCGGTGTGTGGGAGCGTCGGGAGCACACGCATAAGATGGGTGTGGCTGGTCGGGCTAATGTTGGGTTGACTGCTCGTAAGTAGTTTACTGAGGGGAGGTTAGAAGGTAGGGGGATGGGTGGTGCTTTGTACGACTTATTTTTATTTTTATTTTCTATACCAAGATGGTAGTTTCTTTGGTCTAGGACGGGATGGGGAGGCTCCCATCTGATGTATTCTATTTGATTCTGTAGCCATTAAGATCATTCAAGCATATAGTCACTGGACCTATCTAGATTCGCCTCGTTCTCGTATGGTAAAGTCGTATTTCGTCTCCTTTGACTGGTGTGCTTGTTGGAGACAACTTAATCGCAATTTCCACTTGATGGACCATAAAATAACGACAGCCACAGCACCAAAATACCGCATCGGTATTTAATCAGGCTCAAAAGAACTAATATCCCAACAACTATACACGATCTCGAGATCATCCCCATCCAGTATCATACATTTGCCAGTGTGTAGCGTGCCGTCCGAGGTCATAAGCTGGAAAATGTAGCGTTGGCCATATACAGACGGGACATATTTGTTGGCTTTTTCCTTTCATAATAGCAGATTGCCAGATACGCAGTTGACTGTAGCTCAGCATTCCCAAATGTTTCTTTCTTCCTAGCTTCGACACAAACCAAAATGGAGTCTGAAGATCCACGCCTAGAGTGCCCCGCTGCCCAGTCTGCGAGATCAATGAACACATACATACATATGGAGCGCCGGAGACTGTTTGGGTTGTTGGTGGTTCCTGTTTGCAACTCGTGTATATGACAGCCACTGCGCCAGGATAATGTCGACTTGAGATGACTGATATCCCACATTGTACTCGTGGAACATTTTCAAGTCGTATATGTCGAGGGCGCCAGTATTAGGATCACGTCTCATTGGTGTCTTGAGCTAGAATGTTTTCTCTTGCGAGAGCCTTTGATAGATGACTGCAAAGGGACGTTGGCATTACATCTTGTCTGGATTTAACCTGTTCAGAAGTTAGTAGTGGGTCAATACAGAGCAATAATGGGAAGTGAACATTTACGGAGAGTTCCCGGTTATCTGAGAACTTGAGGCAAATGTTGATAGGATTGTATCAGTCATGGCAAGCCTGATCAACATGCTGATTCGGTCTTTTGGTGCAGTGCCTGAAATATGTTGATGTCCATATTCGAGGCGTTGATAGGATAGGATCAGATAATTGCAGTATCCTGTCTGCCTGAAGATGGTTTTAGAAGTCAATATGGCAACGTATCAAGTTAGATGCAGTGGACAAGATATGGAATAGGATTAGACCCGTGAAAGACAGGGGTTCGAGGCTTGTCAGATTTGGATTAAGGTCAGAAAGATGTATACACTGGTCTTGAATTATCTGATACTGTTAAGCTGTGCTTGTTCCTGTCTGAATCACTGTCATGTCTAAGTAGAGTGTTCGGTTTCAGACTGGTCTTGCTGTCACTGTATCTCTATACTGCTTCCTGTCACTATTCTAGTGATCATCCTTCTTGGTGGATAGAAGTAATTGTGTATATACTCCGTACTTGGTTAGACTGTTTTATATGCCGTGTTCTATGTATAATTACTTCTTAAGAGTCTATATTATAAGTTGTTTATCATATGACTTCTCTAGATGGTTATAGTTGTAGACTTGCATTTATCAATCACTAATATAGTGAAGATCCCATCACTAGTATCCATATAGTCTTGACATCTACTCCACCAGAACTATTACACACAACTGTTTGCATACAAGGATAAGATTATATATTGATATCTATAGCTACTAGTCTACTAATCCAGTAGATTGTAGGTTCTTACTAAATAGCTATTCAGTAGGTAAGATGCTGTATTGGTATTACCATCAGTGACTAATGTAATCAGAATATTACGTATCTCAAACCCTGTAATTACGTGATTTACTCCTGGCAAGCTTGGCCTCAGGCTTGGCCGGCCAGAGCCACCTAATCCTCCTCAGCCTTGTGAAGTAAGCCTGTTCCCTCTTCTACTTCCTCTCTCTCTCTCTCTCTCTCTCTCTCTCTCTCTCCATTTTCTCTACTCTTTCTATCTTTCGTATATTTCAATTGAGATTCTCTGGGTCATCCCTTGTTTGTCTCCCTGGATTGATTGATTGGTCCGTACCTAATGTGCTGTCTCTCCACTGCAAACCGAGACTAACCCAAGTGTCCACAGATCCAAACCAACGGTTCCTCAATTGATCTCCTCCCCTCCTACCATCGTGCCTTGATTTCCAATTAACTTGATCGTCATCCGATCTCCCCTCCCCCTCCTCTCTTCCTCTCCCTCCCCATTGTCCCCCTCTTGTCCGACACCGTGTCGTCGAATGCTGCCGGACCGAAAGTGGCACGCTTCGCTTCTGCGACGAGTGCCTTCAGTGACAACGACCACTTGAACCCCCCTGCGCCCCCCACTTCTGGCCAGAACATCGAGCTCCTCGACTATCCCGTACGACCTGAGACTGTCCCTGGCGCACCCTCGTCGCCGACCACATCCCCCAATCAGGACCCCCGATCCATTGACTCGTTCCGAGAGGCGAAAGAGCGTGCATACCCCAGGCGGTATCTCCGGGACAGACCCTTCACGCTTAAGTACTGGGTCGAGGCGCTTCACCGCCGCGCCCGCGATCCTCAGGACGCCGCCAACATGAAGTTCTCGCACAGTCTCCAGTTCAATGCGGTGCCGGAATGGAGCTCCCATTACATTGCTTACAGCAATCTCAAGAAATTGTATGTGCCTCGCCTGCTGTGTCTAGTCCACCGTGGCGCCTCCGGATCCCGGCTCGAGGCTTCAATCATGGTGTAACCCTGGTCGTCCCGCGTGCCAGTGCGACATCCGTCCGGACCAGCGGTCTCATAACGGATGACAACTCGATGGCTAACGACCCATTTGGTCTCTAGGGTATACACGTTGGAACAGCAAGTCCACAAGGCCAGTGGACGCCCCCGTGCCGATGTGGAATCTGCCCCGCTGCTGGATGATTCCCCCAACCCGGACGCCGTCTTCCGCCACGCTCTCAATACCGAACTGGATAAGATATGCCTCTTTTACGACGACAAGGAGGATGAGATCCTCCGGGAGGTCGATGGCGTCGTCAAAGAAGCCGATGATTATGCGATCAACTCCGCCGGTGTCAATATCGATCCGATGAGCGAGAACATGATCAAAGCGCGGACAATGAGTGCAGGCTCCCAGCCGCGACCGATGTTTTCCTTTCGCGACCACCATCCGGATGCCGACCGACGTCGGAGCGCCATCAGCGCGTCCGCGGCCGAGGACTTTGACGACGATAGCGACGACGAGGCACAAGCCCAGGCCTCCCGTCCGGGGACATCCCACTCACGTGGCGCAGAGTCCAACCCCCTGGAAGGAAACCACACCGATGGCATGGGCGACTCGAGCTACCTGGGCGACTCGCGACTGATGCGCAGCCGCAGTGGGCCCCAGGTCGAACATTTCACTGACCTCCACATTCTGGACCTGTACAATGCCGGCCTCTCGCTGAAGAAGCGGGCTGTCGACGCTTATGTCTCGCTCTGCGGGCTCAAGTCCTTCATCCAGTTGAACCGCACCGGTTTCTCCAAGATCCTCAAGAAGTACGACAAGACCCTGGATCGTAACCTCCGGCGAGAGTACATGAACTCCACCGTGGCCTGCGCCTATCCCTTCTCGGACTCGACCATGGCCACGGTGGAAGACCGCATCCATATGATGGAGAAAGTCTATGCGGACGTGGTCACCTCGGGGGACCTGCCGCTTGCCACGCGCGAGCTGCGGCTCCATCTGCGGGAGCATGTGGTCTGGGAGCGGAATACAGTCTGGCGCGAGATGATTGGCATCGAGAGGAAAGCCCAGGCGGCCAATGTCGGCATCCGCCGGACCCTCCTGGGCGGAGATGAAGATCCCGCCACTGCACGGCGCCAGGGTGACGAACAGGAGGGGGCCACTAAGGAGCTCCGGACTCCCCTAGGCGTGTTCTATCCGCCTCAGTGGCTCTGCAGCTTGAGTTTTGGGTCCCTCATCCTCATCCTATGTATCTTTGCGGCTTTGCTTGCTAGCCCTATCATGGAGAAGCCGGAGCAGCAAAACTGTCTGGCCATGCTGATCTTTGTTAGTATGCTGTGGGCTACAGAGGTACGAATCCAGTCGGTGTCAGAACATTCGTCATCATACTAAATCTTCTGGTTTGCAGGTCATTCCGCTCTTCGTCACTTCCCTCCTTATCCCCTTCTTGGTGGTCGTACTCCGCATCATGAAGTCGACAGACAAGCCCTATCACCGTTTAGGGACCAAGGAGGCCACCGGTGCTGCGTTCAGCGCCATGTGGACACCCGTCATCATGCTGCTGCTCGGAGGATTTACCATTGCAGCGGCATTGTCCAAGTACGATATTGCTCGTCGCATGGCTTTGGTAGTCTTGAGCAAGGCTGGTGCGAAACCGGGCATGGTGCTGCTTGCCAACATGTTCGTGAGCATGTTTCTCAGCATGTGGATTAGCAACGTCGCTTCGCCGGTGCTGTGCTATTCGATCATTCAGGTACGTCTGCTTATGTCCCGTGTGCCTTTGTGCGGTATACTAATTCATCTATCAGCCTCTGTTGCGGAATCTCCCTCCTGACTCCAGGTTTGCCAAAGCCCTCGTGCTGGGTATCGCGCTTGCGGCCAATGTAGGAGGTGCTGCGTCGCCTATCGCGTCGCCGCAGAATATTATCGCTCTGCAAAACATGTCCCCGAACATCAGCTGGGGCACGTGGTTCTTCGTCGCGCTTCCAGTCTGCATCATCTCCATCTTCCTCATCTGGGTGTTGTTGCTGATTACATTCAACGCCAACCACGGCACGACCATTGTCCCCATCCGACCGATCAAGGAGAAATTCACCGGCGTCCAGTGGTTCGTCACCTTGGTCACGTTGTCGACGATCGCCCTGTGGTGCGGCAGCCATCAACTCGAGCACGTCTTCGGCGACATGGGCGTCATCGCCATCATCCCGATGGTCCTCTTCTTCGGCACCGGCATCCTCAACAAAGAAGACTTCAACAACTTCCTCTGGACCATCATCATCCTCGCCGCAGGTGGCCTCTGCCTCGGCAAAGCGGTCACCTCCTCCGGCCTCCTCCACACCCTCGCCGGCAGCATCCGCACCCAGGTCGAGCATCTCAGTCTGTACGGCGTTTTGATCGTCTTCTCCGCCCTGATCCTCGTCGTCGCCTCCTTCATCTCCCACACCGTCGCCGCCCTGATCATGCTCCCGCTCGTCCGCCAGATCGGCGTCGGCATGGAAGACCCCCATCCCGATCTGTTGGTCATGGCCAGTGCCCTGATGTGCTCCGTCGCCATGGCCTTGCCAACCAGCGGTTTTCCCAACATGAGTACGTTTTACTTCTCTTTCTCTCACACATACATTCATATATAAGATAAATGCTAACAAAGATAACAGCCGCCATCATGACCGAAGTGCCCCAGACAGGCCAACGCTACCTCCAAGTCCGCCACTTCTTCACTCGCGGTATCCCAGCCAGTATCATGTCTTTTGCAGTCATCGTCACGCTGGGGTACGGATTGATGTATATAGCCGGATTATGATCTCCCCTCGCTTTCACTTTTCGAAGATCCTCTTCTGGTTTTCTTACCCTATCCACCTTTTTTCTTGTCTCCTCGAGTTTGAAAGACTTACTATACAGGTACAAGGGGTTCTGTGATGAGTTATCTTTCTTCTTTCTGCTATCTATATTGTTGGTTCAGATTTGCTGTGTTTGTTTGAAAAGATTAAGATTGGATGTGGGCGATTTCTGTCTGTCAATGATTAGACGACTGTCAGTTAGTTAGTTAGCTAGCTTAGCTTTGAGATTTTGCATATATACTGTTCTCTCTTCTCTTCTTCTCTTCTTCTCTTCTTTCGTATGATCTATTCTACTGTTCACGCGTGGAAGATCCATACATACATACGTCACACTACGATTCATAGCTGTAATATTATCCATATTGAGTCCAACGAGCTTTGTATAGATTTACTAGAGCTAGAGGTAACTAGTGTAGATAGTGTAGCCTTTATACTAAATACTGAATACGTGATGTGATTCGTTCATTCCACGACTTGTCCTCGTCTACCCTAGACATCAGATCGAACAAATTGGAGTCAATCTGACAAGACGAGACAAGCCAGTACTGTACATTGACGGCTATCGGCTATCTAGATAAGGCCTAAGGAGACATAAATGAGGAGGTAATCATAGATGAAACCCATAACTTTCATTAACAGAAAACGGAAACAACCGCGCAAAATGGAAACAGAAAATAGAACCTAGAAATCGAACCCTATCGATCTGAACACCGTGGATGACAAACACAAAACATGAAACATGAAACACGAGAGAGATGGAGGATATGTAGGATGGTTGCGGTGGAGAGGCAAGATCATCTTTCTATGTGGATAGATGGTAGATCGATCTGGTGTGGTGGGTTTGTTTATTTTCTGGAAATCGTTTAGTTTCTGTGGTCAAACGCGGTTAGTGTCTTGAACCGCACTCATTCTTTTTAAAGATATAAGGGAGGGGAAACACATGTAAAGAAAAGGGAAGGAAGGGAAGGGAAGGGAAGGGAAGGAGGGAAGCTTACAGTAAACCCAGCGTCAAATCACCATGAATCTTAGCCTTCAGCTGCACTTCAATATCAAGGTTGAGGTCCAGCCGCAACCGCAGTTGTTCATCTTTCCCACCACCACCGCCCTCTTCTTTCTCGCCCTGGTTGCCGCCCAGGATGCCGCCGACGGCCTTGCCCGCCGTGTTGGTCACGCCGTTGACGGCGTTACCGGCGGTGTTCTGCACGAGTTCGCCGGCCTGGTCGACGCCGCCGAGGCCGCCCAGCGGGCCGCCGTCTCCTTGGGGCTGGCGGCGCTGGCGGCGCTGGCGACGGGGCTTCTCGACGGCTTGGTCCATTTCGGGTTCCTCGCGTCGGGGGCGCTGAGGACGGGGACGTCGGCGTCGGGGGCTTCTTCTTGGGGTTGGGGTTGGGGCGAGGCCTCTTGAGGTTCTTGTTTGGGGGTTTAGGTGGGGATGAGTCTTCTTCTTGTTGTTCTTCCTGTTTGGGTTGGGAAGACGATTCTTCTTCTTCTTGCTTGGGTTCTTGGGAAGGAGATGACTCTTCTTCTGGCTTGGGTTCTTGGGAAGGGGACGACTCTTCTTCCTTTGGTGGGGGAGAGCTAGGGCCGTTCTCGTTGGGAGTCTGAGGGTTGTTGTTTTCTTGATCGGCCATATTGAAGAGAAAAGAAGCAAAGGAAAAGGATCAGAAGGGTTTGGTGTGGTAGGGGAGATTGGATGGTCTTCTTAAAGTAATCGCATCCCGCGCCTAAAACATCTTTTATAGTATCAAGTTGGAAACCGGTCAGCGTCATCTGCGGCCGAGAGCCGGGCGTTGCCCGGATTGGACCAGAGGAACGCCGATCGGTTGTAGAACAGCGTCATCTGTGCCACGGTTGGAGAATGACTGGTATGGGATATGGCGAGGTACATGGATGACTGGGGTTGGCAGTGTGAATGTGCAGGAGGGATATGACGTCTTTGGCGCAAGGACTGTCTGACTCGCCCCCCCTGGGCTACAGGGTCGGCGTGGTCCGCAATTTCCTCGGCCGTCCAGAGAAATACATCGACCACGCCTCTTGCACCGTGGCTGACTCCTGGGTGGGTCACACCAAGTAAGATGCGGACCACGCCGAAGTATCCACGGTATATTGCGTCGGAGTCCTGACCGAAGAATGGTACCGGTGGTGGTGGCAGAAATTTTGGACCAGGCTCAACTTGTCGTCCGATATTGCCTGGATGTCTCATCGAGGCGTTGGCGATCGTCGGCTATTCTATTCCAGGTAATTGTTTAATATACTTAGCGCCAGATTTCTGGCCCGATGGCTGGGGTTGAGGCCAATCGTGACGGGCGGAAAATTTGCGACCAGCCGTGTGTCTCCATTTCTGATCCACTTGGACGTTTAACAGATTGCCATGACGCCACGCGACGTCAGTGCGGTTGAAATGGGGGTCCAATGTCATTGATCTCGTCACACAGACCCATCTTTTGATCGAAATCGAGAATCGAAAGATCGAAAGATCTCCAGCACAAGACATCGATAGGCAGTATCGTGACCGCGTGTTAGAACTATAAAAAAAAAAATATGAAATAGAATAAGCAGGAAAAACACACGGTCAATCTCGGACATATAGTACCGCCTTGGAAATTGTAACCACGGAATCCTGGGCGCAGCCATTGTTGAGCCATGTTGAGCCATGGACCCACGTACCAGTCAGATATCCATCCCCCGTATTCATAAAGTAAGCGCCACATGGGCCCGCATCGGTTCCATCATTTAATATCGGCTGCCTGGTTGATGAACCTTAGTCCTGCCAAGTTTACCAGTCTGCTGACCAGTGTAATCATTGTAATCTCAAAATAACCATGGATACTGAGATCAGCGCGCCGCCGCGCCATCCTGCAGCGTTTCGGACCTGGAATGGTTGCACGGCCGAGAGAACAACGTCATCCGAGGACAGTCCGTAATCCCCTGTGGGTGGCGGCCGGGGGTTGGGCGTGACTGAGAGAAGAAAAAGGAACCAATGTCGTCGTTTTTTCCTTCGATCATTTGTTTTTCTTTCTTTCCCCATCGATATCATCTTCTGACAGTCCCCGCATATATCTATTGACATATCTTCTTGGCTGTATCTTTTGTTCAGCTGAATCACTTGCTTCCTTATACTTCCTATACTTCCTTGTACCTTCTGTGCGATCATCTCAGATCCAGTTCCCCGTTATCTCGCACTGCATTGAACAATGGCAACTGCCGAAAAGCAACAACAGAAGCCGGCCCTCCAGGCTGACGAGTATTCGGACGGCGATTATACCGACGACTACGACAGTGACGATCTGTCCGAGACCGAGGGCAAGCAGAAACCACAACAGTCGAACCAACGGCGCCAGCGACGCCGGCGTGACGACGACTATGACGACGATGCCTATTATTCCGACGAATACTCGGATGAATACTCAGACGACGATGACTATGACCAAGCGAACAACAGCCAAGCCATGGTCAAGCCCGGGGGGCGATCGGTAGCCCAGCCCAGCAATAACAACAACACCACCACCATCTCTAGCGGAGACACTGGGGAAATGGCTGCCCCCAAGGGGAGTGCATTAGACGAACAAGACGGGCTGAAGCTGAAGCTGGAATTGAACCTCGAGATTGAAGTGGAGTTGAAGGCTCACATCCATGGTGATTTGACCTTGTCGCTGCTGTAAGTTTCCCCAAGGCCTCTAATTTCCTGAGAAATATATCTCTAAGATAAACAGATCCTAACGAGAGCAGTGCATGAATGATGAGATGCCAATTTCGCTCTTGTCCTTGCAGGTCGACGCCGGTCTAGCACCCGCGGTCGGATTCGCCCTTCGAGATTATGCCTAGACCGCTTGTGTGGTAGCATCGGGTTGTGCTAGCATGAAGATTATGGGCCCATGCTCCTTTTTCTTTTTCCTGTTCTTTGAATTTGATTTCTGGGTTCTCATTGCTGGGTCGGAGTTAGTGCATTTGTTTCTCTGTTGATGTGATCTGGGTTATGCGTGGTGTTGATATTGGTCAATATTGAAAGATTCTTATACCACATTGCTTTGCTTCTGATGTTATTGTAAATGGCCAAGTCGACGTGTGGACTTTTTAGTATCTTCCGAGTATTTGGAGTTGTAGGTTCCGCTGTACTTTGGTAGATGTTTGGTAGATGCGTCTCGGAAGGTCCTGAACAAGCCGTGAGCCTTCTAATGGCAAGACCATAGTCTGGTGTGTGCACACATTGTAGGTTATCATTGTGGTCGCATGTAATCGAGATAGAACTGAGATAGACTTGGGATAGAACTGAGATAGACTTGGGATAGAACTGAGATAGGACCGGAATAGGTACGAGAGGGAGAAGATCACAATGTTGTTGGATCAGGAGTCCGAGGCAGTGTACAGTCAGGTATCACGCCATACCTCCTAAGTGGTCAACTTGAACCCAAATGAAATAGTTTACAACTCTAATATGACTCCTAGCAGTACAAGGGATGGTGTTGTGAAAGATAGTCAAGAAGCACGACCACATGGGCTCCGCACTGAAGCCGAGGTCAAGCTAGACACTACTAGAGATCGTCAGCGGCACCGGAAGAGGAGATGGCTAGTCCCACACTTCACCATCCCCCGACGATTACCTCCTCCTCGCTACCCCATCCTTGCGATCGCAATTCTAGACTCACCAGATCCAATTGACCCTCCTTACTACGAGAATCCGAGCAAACCTACGCGGTAGACGAAATAATCCAAAACAATGGCGACCTCCAGCGACTCCAGGTCTAATAAATCCTTCATCATCAACCACATGAATGGCGACCACCAAGACTCCCTGGCGCTCTACCTCCGCGTCTACTGCCACGTTTCGTCAGGAACCGCCCGCGCCGCAAAGCTCGAAGACATCACGCTGAACGACCTCCTCATCAGCGTCAAGGGCACCCGCTACACCGTGCCCCTGGACCCACCGATGAAGAGCCTCTCGGAGACGCGCGCGCGCGTCGTGGCCATGCACAAGGAATGCCTCGCGACACTGGGCCTGTCGGACATCGTGATCAAAGAGTACAAGCTGCCGCGCGGGGGCCAGATCGTGGCCTTTGGGCTCTGCGCGGCCTTCTTCGCGCTGTTCAGCCGGCGCAGTCACTTCCTGCCCGGCTCGGCGGTCTACGAGACGGTCGGATTGGACAAGTTCCCCAACGCTACGGAGTTCTGCCACCAGTACCAGCCGCATCTGTTCTTCGGTATCTTGGGTTGCCACATCGTCGAGGCGAGTCTGCTGGCCTGGAAGCGGTTGCGGGTGCACGGCGTCCCATTCCTGTCGGGGGTGTGGTGCGCGTGGTATGCGTCGACGGTGGTGGAGGGGATGTCGGCTTGGGTACGGATCAACGGGATGGTCAAGAAGGAGCAGTCGAAGCGGGAGAAGCATCAGTAGAGGATAGGGACCTGGACTGTACATAATTCAATTTGGCCTGCATACAACAATGGATGCCTGCATGAGCCTTATCAGCGATATACACTAACCTATTTAGGAACATAATAACTGCTTAGTCAGAAGGTAGATGATTTGCTGACTAAGGAAGTAGCCGTGCTATTAGTCATCCAATTAAACCCGATTAGAGTTAGGGCACTTAGGGCTCGGAGGGTCACGCACCCACAGACGAGAAATTCGTCCTCGAAACCATCACGAGAGTCTCCCGTCCAGCAACTCATCCGTCGACAACCCCCGCCCCTCGCGTTCCCGGTAAGAACTGAATCTCTAAAGGTATGTTTATTGCTGCGAATCCCTTCCCAATGTCTGTTCTAGATTTCCACGGTCCTTTTGCTGGAGTTTCGACATGCGCTCAGCTCTCGACACGACGATCCGGTTGAACAGCCGACAGTCTGGAGTTGGAGATCATGGAAGATAGCCAGAGATCAAGAAAGAGCATTGGTGCATCGCTTATGGCTTCGTCGCATTGGCATGCCACGATGTGTGCAATTTGTGGACAGCTGCAAATTCGATTGACTGAACCTGCTATTCTCGAACCATCGGCAAAGGATCACAACTGGAAACCACACCGGATCTGGAGACAGCATTGGGAGGGATCACCCTCCCAGCATGTCATTTACTAACGTGATGAATTCCTTCTCCAGTTCCAACCGCAAAAATGGGTATTTCTCGTGACTCCCGCCACAAGCGCTCGGCCACCGGTGCCAAGCGCTCCCAGTACCGCAAGAAGAGGTATGCTTCGACACTACAACAGACCGAGGAACTACGGACCTGCAGGGTCTCCTTCGGGGGATGACTGCAGGGCGTTCCGTCTGCCGGGGGCTCACCCCCCCAGGCAATGACACATGAAGAAAGATTCTGATGGTCTCGTCAATCCAGAGCGTTCGAGAAGGGTCGCCAGACCGCCAACACCCGTATCGGCGCCAAGCGTATCCACCTGGTCCGCACCCGTGGTGGCAACCGCAAGTTCCGTGCTCTCCGTCTCGAGTCCGGTAACTTCTCGTGGGGCTCCGAGGGTATCTCCCGCAAGACCCGTGTCATCGTCGTCGCCTACCACCCGTCGAACAACGAGCTGGTCCGCACCAACACCCTGACCAAGTCCGCCGTCGTCCAGATCGATGCCGCTCCCTTCCGTCAGTGGTACGAGGCCCACTACGGCCAGCCCATCGGCCGCAGACGCCAGCAGAAGTCCGAGGTCCCCGAGGAGAAGAAGAGCAACAGCGTGCAGAAGAAGCAGGCTGCCCGCTTCGCCGAGTCCGGCAAGGTCGAGTCCGCCGTCGAGCGCCAGTTCGAGTCCGGCCGTGTCTACGCCGTGATCGCCTCGCGTCCCGGCCAGAGCGGCCGTGTCGACGGTTACATCCTGGAGGGTGATGAGCTGGCTTTCTACCAGAAGGCTATCCGCAAGTAAGCTTGCAGATCCTAAAAAAAAAGGGAAGCACACGGGACATGTATGTTGGGGGTTTTAACAACGGAGGGTTATCTTTCGGGGTTGCAATATATCTCCCGCATCTTTGATAGGTGCATAGAACTCTGACAATAAACGATCCTGATGAATAATATGTAGATTATTACTTATTATTGGTAGCCGAGCAAGATTTCTAACTCCCGTATATGGAAATTCACATCCGTTGAAACGACGTCATATCACACTGAACTCCGCCCCACATCGCCATCAACTCTTAAGTATCCAGTATCTGTATCCACAACCCACATCAACACCTCAGCAAGTCACACCCTTCTTTAAACATAGACCAAAAAGTACATACACATACATATCCATAAACATCCATATCCTCATATCCCCAAATCCAAACAGAAAAAGAAAAAAGAAAATGCCATCCACAAAAACCCGCCTCTGCCTCCTCTCAGACACCCACACCACCCTCCCCGTCTCCCCAGCCCACACCACAAACCCCTACCGCCACCCCCTCCCCAAAGCCCACGTCCTCATCCACGCCGGCGACCTCACAAAAGTCAGCCGGCTCGAAGAACACACCCGCATGGTCGAGCTCCTCGCCTCCGCCCCCGCAGAACTTAAACTCGTCATCCCGGGGAACCACGATATCACCCTCGACGAGGAATACTACCATCGCATCGGACACTACCGCCATCGCTATCGCTCCGGACATAAGGGTTCGTCTGCGACGGCTGGACGGGAGGCGTTCCTTGCTGGGGGCGGAGGGGATAACGACAATGACAATGACAACACCTCCGGCGAAAACAGTCTCCCCCAAGAAGGCCCCACCGAAGACCCAGCAGTCGTCAAAGCGCTCTACACAGACGCCGCCGCGCGCGCCGCCGGAATCATCTACCTCGAAGAAGGCACGCACCGGCTGCGCGTGCCCAGCACAGGCGCCACATTCACCGTCTACGCCTCACCGTGGACGCCCGAGTTCTGCGAGTGGGCGTTCGCGTACGAGCGGGGCGCGGTCGACCGATTCAACCCGCCGTCGCCGCGGCGGAAGCTGAGCGAGGCTCAGCCCGGTGCGAGGCGTGCGTTTTCGGCGCCGCATCCTGTGCCGGATTTTCCGGACGTGGATATCGTGCTTACGCACGGCCCGCCGTATGGGGTGTTGGATGGGGTTGTGCCGGGGGGTGTTAGTGTCGGGTGTGAGGATTTGTTTCGGGCGGTTGAGAGGGCGAGGCCGCTGCTGCATGTGTTTGGGCATATTCATGAGGGGTATGGGGCTGTTAGGTATGAGTGGAGTTCGAGGAATCAGTCGATGATTCAGTGTGATGGGGGGAGGACGGTTAGGGAGCGGGGGGCGTATTTTGATGGGTCGGTGGGGTCGGGGGCGCCGTTGAGGGTGGGGGATGAGACGCTGTTTATTAATGCTAGTGTTTGTACGGTTGAGTATGAAGCGGTTAATGCGCCTTGGGTGGTGGATTTGGATCTGCCTATTCAGGTGGGGGGGTGATTTTTTTTTCTTTTGATATTATAGTTATTTGTTATATGGGTGAGTATTTGTGAGCGTTTATGTGATGACTTGTCTATACTGTGGGGTTATCTATATCGTGTAATTAGATGGATACCTAATACATCTACTGCATCTACACGTCTTTCAAATGTATGTATGAATCAATAACTCCAACCGGGTATACATCCATCCAGTCGGACAATCGCAGTAATGTACATGAGCGAATGAACAAATGAGAGCCGCCATGCGATCTGAGAAGGAGATGGTCTCAACGGATTGGATATGAGATCCGTACCAGATGAGTAGATAATAGATGGTGAAGGAAAACATCAGTAGAAGTATGGTATATCAAGGTAAGTCAGGTAAGTCAAGGTAATCAGGTAAGTCAAGGTATAAAGGTTTAAAGGTATCAAGGTATAAAGCTCAACACGGCTTATATCCAACCAGTAAGAAGACAAATTGAAAATGAATCAAAGGGAAGAAGATGAAAGGAAAGACAGCACTCATTAATGTCCAGACATTACAAGAATAAATAGGGAACTGTAAATGAAAGAGAAGGTAGGGAAAATGGGGTAAAGAAGGATCACTCCTCATGGACAGTCATAGCGCGCGAGTCCCGAAACTCAAGTCGGCTGTTCTTTCGTCCAACGCCTTTGAAGACACTCAGCCTCTTCCGGACCGAGTCCCGCACTCCTGTCGGACTCATGGGTCCCTGCGACAGGCTGCTGGGACTGCGTATCTCGGGACTCTTGATGGAATGCATGCTGCTCTGCGTCACCGGCCGCGGGGGGTCCATGATCGGGGGAATCGCCGACCATCCACCACCACTGCCTCCTCCTGCTGCTGCCCCATTTCGAGGACTGGTCACGGCCGGTTGGTCGCGATGGTTCGACACCCCGTTTACATGGCGCTGAGAGTTGCTCCGGCCGATGTTCTCGAGAGACTTGGCGGCCGCGCTTCGAGACGCGCTGCGGGACCGTCGCTTCTCTTGGGTTTGGGTGCCCTCCGCGACGGATTCACCGGCGCCCATCGATCGGTTCGATCGGTGGGATGTATGTCGGTGGAGTTTCTCGCCGAAGTCCCCGAAGAGACTGCGCCGCTTGCCGTGGGTGTCCCGAGAACGAGTCGTCGTTTGGCTGTGAACCGTGGCGGTATCGTCATCGCGGTCCTCGCCGTTAACCCGGCTGTTGGAACGTCTCCGCCGCGACTCGCCCTGGATTGTGGCTACCGAGTTACTCGCCCCGTGGCGTTTGAACGGATTGATGATGCTGATCCGGTGGCTCACAGACTGCTTATCGGGATGCTTGCTCTTGGCAGTTTTCTGGGTCCGGATCAACTCCTCCTCGGGGCTGGTAGCCCGCGGACGCGGCTTGCGGTCCGTCTTGGTGCTGAGGGACCGGCGCACGGGGAATTGCAAAGGCTCGAGCACCAGAGAACTGAGGGAAGCGAGCTCCGAGGCAAACACTTCCTCAGAGCGGCGCTGCAGCTCCGCTTGCGTGGCCTGGTGTGCCGGGCGGTTGTACAAGGCGAGAGACTGCTTGATCGCCAAGGCGTGGTCAATCAGTCCCACGGCAAGGGCGTTCTTCATCGGGTCCAACGGTGTAGGTGTCTCCTCACTGCCCTCGGGGTCCTCGTCTGCCAAAAACTCGCGGTAGAGAGCGACACAGCTGGGGGAGGAAGACTGGGTGTCGAGCAACTGCTCCAGTGCCTCCGTGAGGCCCATCAAGCTGGAGTCCTCCCCGTACACGGCCCGCCGTTGCAGCAAGAACAGTTCCTGGGTCTTGCGCCAGGTCCGTTCGACCGCGGTTTGCAGGGGTGTTAAGGCGACGGTGTCGACCGTGACAATCTCACTGCGGCGCAAGATATTCGGGAAAGACTCCGCCGTGGTGTAGATGACCTTCTCCACCCATTGCTCTTGCACGTTAGGGCTGCGAACGTGTCTCTTCAGGGTTGACGTGAAGCGGCAAGGTTCGGAGATCAGGAGATGGTCCCGGACGCCCGATGGAACCTTGGACCGTTGATACACAGGATGGCTCATGTCTCGATAAGCGGAGACAGGCGTGATGGTCAGGTACTGGCCCTCATAATCATGCACGTCCCCGGTAGACACGATCTGAGCCGCCGGATGATCCCGTTGCATCCGGTCGACGAAAGTGGCCATCCGCTCGGTCGGGGAACATTCCAGGATAAACTCCTTGTCACGCAACGTTGGCGGGAAGCCCAGGCCTTTGTAGATAACGCGGAAAAATCGTGCGAACTGTTTCTCCTCCTTAGCAATACGTTCGTTGATCTTGGCCATCGACCCTTGAGCCCGCGACAGCTTCATAAAGTCCATCACCGTCTCCTCATACTGCAGCGCGAGCTCCTTGTAGCAGGCAAGGGCATGCGTCCAGGCTTTGGCGTCCTCGAAATGCTGGATCACGGCAAAGTACAGGGTCTCTTTCCGCTCAAAGGCGGTCTGTTCGGGGAAACTGGGGTTGAGAAGGTGTGGGGCCACGGACTTCGGATCCCATTCATACAGGTCGGCATGGAATTGGAGGGCAAGACCGGCTTCGGTGAAGTTGCTCTGCGCAGCCTGCACCTCGGCCAGCTCATGAACGTAACGGATGAAGATATCCTCCCGGCCCATGTCCTTCATGTACTCCATCAGTCGGAGCGTGTGCATGTTCTCGGCCATGGAACCGCTCTGCGACGCCACAAACAGATCGAGCAGTTCGTCGACGGTGCCGATGAGGCCCTTGACGGCGTTGGTGAGTTCCGGATCGAAGGCCTCGCAGGCCTCGAAGTATTCGAGCAGCTCCCCGATGAAGAGCTTCTGGACGCCAAATTCACTCATATTCTTCGACTTGAAGAGGTTGTCCAGGCTGGAGATGATCTCCGTCTCGATGATGGACAGGTCCTGGTTTAGGGTCCACTCGCTCAGGATCATCGTCCGCAGGATCTCCACCGCCACATGCCGCAGGCCTTCGTGAACACTGAGGCAGAGCTCGATGATAGGAGCCACGAGACCAGGCACATACTGCACTTGGTAGCCGCCAAACCGCTCCAGCCCGAAGCGCTCTTGCTCCTCGTCCGTGGTCTCCCAGCCGATGGCCTCCCAGCTGGCGCGCAGCAGGGCCGCACCCTGTTCTCGGACGTCACCGGCGATCTTCCAGATCGCACGTCGTCGTTGCTCGGGGAAGGTCTCGAGGGCGAGAACGTTGCTGGAGACAACCTTCAACAGGGTCAGGAAGAGGTTCTCCCACATTCGAGTGTCAAACGACTCCGCATCATCGGGTCCCGGGAGGAACTTGTCCATCATAATGGTGGCCAGGAACTCCAGACTCTTGACGGTGGCCCGGTGGTTGTAGATATGGACACTGAGCCAGCTCTCGGGGTACGGCTCGCAGTTGAGAATCGACGTGTGCACCTCAAACGCCTGGTTGAGGAAGGACGACAGGTCCAGGCCCTTCAGCCGCGGCCGTTTGGGATGGGGGACCGCCGCGACGGCAGCCATGACCGCAGAGAGTTCCACCAAGGCTTCGTCCACCTTCTGCACGGTCTTCGAGGGTTTCATGTGGAACGGGAAAGTTTTGCTGAAGAGCAGCGAGAGATAGTCGGTGTCGTCCACGCCCTCCGGGATGATCGAGTAGTAGGAAGACACGATGCTGGGCATGAACTCGTACAGCTGCGGATCCGGCTCCTTCAGCAGCTCCGCAACGATGGCACAGTTCAGCCGGACCTGATCGCGGTACAGGTCGGACACCGAATTCATCCCACCCCAGTAGGGGGCCAGCCAGCCGACACAGCTGGAGATCAAGCCCTGCCGCTCCGACCCCGAGTCGAAGATGTCCAGGCGGGTGTAGTGCTGGATCAGGACCAGCTTGTACAGGATGAGCATCCCCTTGACGTCCTTGCACGCGTCCATGAAGCTGAACGCGATCATGACCATCTCGTCCTTGGGGAGAACCTTGGTGAGTTCCGGGAGCCACGTGTGGAAGTGCTGAACCACCAAGGTCTTGCTGCCGACCATGGCGGGCGAGGGGTTCTTCATGAGCTCCTCCAGCGCCTTGAAGATCGAATGCAGGTCGCGGTTGAAGGTGGACTGGACGCGCGTGATCCCGATCCCTTCTTCCTTGGCTTGCTGCTGCTGTCGGGCATTGATGATGAACTTGAGGACGTGCCGGCCCACCTTAAAGGTGGCCCGGAGATTCCGCGACTGGTTGGGCTCGGAGCTCGACTGGAGTAGACGTAGGTAGCTGCGGACGAGGCAGGGTGTCGCGAAGGGGAAGTTGAACTGGTTGTCGGCGTAGTGATCGACCAACGGGCCCAGATTGAACCGTCGGTCGTGCACGATGCCCAGAACCGTCACGAGATTGTGGAAGATCAGATCCTCATACTCCTCGTTCCCGGCGTTGTCCACCAGGATGCCGAACAGCGCGTCGAACACCCCGCTGAGCTGCTTGACGATCTCGATCTCCGGCACGAAGAGGACCCGCTTCAAGGTGTCGAGGACCTCGTCGACCGGTCGTTCGCGGAAGTTCAGCAGGCTCAATATGACCTGGTCCTGCGAATACTCCGTGCTGCACAGGTGCGTGTCCAGGCGCAGCGTGGCCAACGGGCCCGTGACCGCCTCGTCCTTGGTCGACTCGTTCTTCCCCAACGAGCTCCACGGGAGGCTTAGGTATGCCCCCTTGCCGTTCTCCACGTTTGACGTGAGCTTGTCGTACGCGTGCAGCAGCAGCGAGTGCGGGCCATCCCGAATGAACGCTTGGTTATCCCACAGGGGCATCCACGCCAGCGCAAACGGGAACCCGGGGGAATCCGCCACGCTCATCACCAGGTGGGACCCAGGGATCTGCTCGGACGGCACGTTGAGACGGATGGTCTGGTTCCACGGCGTGCCCCGGTCGGCGATCGTGGTGCGCCACGCGGTCTGCGCCGGGGCGTTGGAGGACGGGCAGACGCATTTGTCGACCCGGGCCCCCGACGCCGCCCGGACCTCCAGGGTCAATTGCAGGTTGCGCATGCCCGTGTGCGCAGGGACGGGCACCTGGCCCGTCTGCGGGTGCGAGAGCAGGGCGTCCGGCGGGAAGCTAGCACTGGAGACGGTCAGGTAGATATCGGACCGCGGTTTCGTGGGCGCCTGGGCGAAGCCGATGCGCTTGGTCTGGACGATGTGATGCATGATGGTTGGGTTCTTCCGCACCAGGGCGTCGGCGTCGGCATGCGCGAAGGGGGACAGGTGGAGATGGAGCCGCGCCGCCTGGTGGGAGCGCACATACTTCCCGCTGGCGCTGGGGAGCAAGGCGCGGATCAACCCGTCGAACTCGATCCCGTCCCCGTCGTCGCTGCTCTCCTCGGACGGGGACCAGATGCTCATCAGCTGCTCCGCGTCCTTTTCGGTGCGCAGGATCTGGGACACCTCCAGGAGCCCGACCCCCACGGTGCGGACCTGGCTGGTGTCCTTGGTCACCGGGGCGTTGCTGCGCTCCTTGGCGCTGGATGTGCTGTCCGACGTCTGCGGCGGCGCCCGCGGGGTCTCCTTGACGGGCTCGGGGCTCTGGATGCCGCGGGGCTTCGACCACATCATGCTCCGGCGCGTCTTCAGCTGGCCCTTGGCCGCGTGGTTGGTGCCGCCGTTCGGTTTGGCGGCCGCCGGGCCCTCCCGCGAGATGGACGGTCGCGATTGGAGCGCGGCGGTCGCGGTCGACTCGAGCGATCGGACGGCGACGACCAGGTACAACTTGGCGCCGCCGGGGGACCCGTCGCCCAGGTCGGTGCCACTCAGGTCGGTGAAGAGCGTCTTCAGCTTGCCGCTCGGTGCCTGGCTGACAAACTTCTCGGGTGACGGGATGTCCAGCGCGTAGGTCTCGGACAGGGACTTGAGCGCGCCGGTTTCCGACTGGGCGCACAGGTAGATTGCGAGCGACACGGGGCCGGGGAAGTTGCCGGACACCGCCGTGACCTCGAGCAGCAGGTGATGTAAAGCGGCGACGTCGGAGGGCTGGGTCGGACTGCTGTCGAGCATGCTCATCTCCGACTGGAGCTTCGTCATCTGGATGGCGGAATCCTCGCCGGTCAGCAACCGGCCCCGTTGCGCGGGGTCCCGCACGATGACATCGCCACCGAGCATCTTGTTGGCGCGGACCAGCTTCCAGACCACGTCTTGGCGGAGGCCTTCCTTCTCCTGCGCGGTGAGGACGTCGTACAGCAGCTGCCGGCGGGCGAAGTCGAGCTCCTGCACGATGGCGGACATCTCTTCGACGACGGCGTACTGGCGGCCCAGCAGCAATTGGTGGAGATTGGTCGAATGCCACTCCCGCAGGCACGAGGCGATCTCGTCGACCAACGGTTCGGCCAGCGCGGTGGCGCTCTCGTCGCCGATCTTGAGCATGGGGACGGGGGCGGCCGGTTTCGGAGCGTCGGCGTCGCGGGGCGCCGTCAGACTGAGGGGCGTATACGGGAGGGCGGGCGAATTGATGGCGTGGTTGGTCAGCGACCTGGGGCTCGCCAGCGCGTCGTCGTCCTGCTTGTGGATGAAGATCTGGGCGGGCTTCCCCTTCTTGGCGACGACCACGTTGGAGGCCTCCCCGACCACGTGCACGTCATCCTGCGAGAGAGCCAGGCTGCTTCGCAAATCGGCCTCCTCGGGGTCGGTGCGGTAACTCTGCCGGTCGCCATTCTTCGCGGGGCGGTTGGGGTCGGCGTCGCCGAGGACCTCGCGAATCTCGACGCAATTGCGGGGGAAGATGCCCGAAAAGACGCGCGCCTCGAGGGTCTGGCCCTTGCTGCTGGTCAGGCCCGCCAGCAGCGACGGCGGCGCGACCAAGTAGCCACGACACCATTCGCCATTGGCGCCCCCTTGTTCAATGATGTAGAGCTCATCGCCGAGCTCCAGCGGTAGGTCGGCCGGGGTGGAGGGCTGAAAGGGGTAGATGGCGACGGCGAAGGCGATGCGAGGCAGAGGCCTCCAGGGCATGTCTGCTAAGGAAGCGGCAATCCCGAAGGACACCCCGCAATGGTTGTCACAGTGGCCGATCGAGAAATGTTGTTAGAGGTCACCGAGGGAGCGGGGGCGCACGAGAGGAAGGCGGAAGGCGGGGAGAATTCTGTTCCAGATCGATCGATGGAATGGAGCGCCACATGCAGAGCGATCCTATCGTGAGCGCTGAGTGACGGCGAAAAGGGGGGAGAGGGAGGGCGAGGAATGTGGACGAATGCCGACAGGACGGGAATCAATTGCGGATGGAAAGGTCGGTATGTTGTCGCAGCGGCGGGACGTTGAAAGGGGGTGTGGGTAGGGAAAGAAAAACGAGGCTAGTCGAGAAAGGACACTACAGCTCCATGACAGAAATCCGCGGGATTGCAGAAACGAATGACCAGAGCTGTAGAGTAGGAAGAAGGAAAATAGACAAGGGAAAATAGGTCATCAATTGGGACCAGGAATGGAAAGGAGGGAGAGAGGGGAGTAGAGTAGCTCCGTAGGCGAGGAATCGCAATCACTAGCAATCGAGAAGTGTCCCCAGATGATCGGCTTGCCAATTTGGAACGACCGCAAAGACCAAGACAATGGGCATTGAAGGATTCTGCGGACGTACTTTTCCTTGTTTTCCCTTTTTTTCCCCTTCTTTTCCTGTGTGTCTCCGTTTCCTTTCTTTTTCGATTATGATTTTTAACTATTGTGGTCTCTCTTTCAATTTCTAACTCCCCATTCCGAAAGTTGTTATTGGGGAAGCCCTGGGACAATCACAGCCATTAGTTTGGCCCCTAGCAGATTATTGAATGGAAGGCCAGGCCTGGTGGAGCCCGACCCTCAGGTTGTTCACCTTGGCAGGAACCGTGTGGAGATGCACGAGTTGATGGTCAGTGTATCTTATTGGTCTAAGGAGTGGCGATGAGATATTCCAATGAAAGAATGTGGGAGATAGATAGAATGAATTAAGGAATGACAGATTGATGAGATGGAAGAAGAAGAAGAAGAGAAAGGAGAGAAAGAAGAAGAAGAAGAAGAAGAAGTGAAGGAAAGTAAAGTGAAGAGAAGAAAAGGAGAAGAAGATGGGCTGCCTGAGGCGACTCTCGAGAAAAGACACTCAAGCTCAGGAGATCAACATACGAAGTGTCTTCATTCAATCATTCAAGATGAAAGACATTAGGGAACTCTGATCAACAAGACAACGACCGTGCTCCTAGTACTATATACCTATATCCTCCCTACTTACTGACAACCCTGTTACCCCAGAGTATCAGTACCTACACCATACATCCATCAAGTCAATCATTCCAGATAGATCAGATCAAACGGTGCACGTTCAATCCAATCCAATCCCCCTCTAAACCTCCCAATCTGACCTATCACCTGCATCCTCTTTTACCTTTTTTTAACCTTTTCCTCTCGTCCCTTACATGACCTGTGTAAACTCACCCAGGTAACTAACGAACAAACCACCCAGTAACAAACAACCAGTTGATCGGGAAACACGGATAAGATCACCAGAACCAAGGTTCGACACGGTGAAACGAACCTCCTGAACCAGACCTACCGACCTGGATGAACCAAACTTCCACTTTCCGATCGGAAAATCCAATCGGTCGGTCCGTCCTTAGGCTGAGTTACTCTTAGGTTGTTCGGGAATGGTAGGTAAGCTTGGACCAGGGGATCGTTTGTTGCGATTGGTTTGGGGGATTGATTAACTATACTAATTTTATAGGTTGATAGGTGGGTTGGTATACCGTATGGATGGATGGACCGGTGTGTAGTTTCTATCTTATTCAGGAGTCTTGTTAAGTTCCTAAGGATTGTTAGATAAATTAAGCAGGAATTGGTCAGGTATTAGATAGGGGATACAACGATCGCCGAGTGCTACATTAGATAACTCATTGAAATCACCAGACAAAACTCATGAAAAATACATCTTAATTATATAATATAACAGGTACCCTGCAACTACAACGCATGTATTCAATCAACCCTGACGCCTCGGTTATATCATCCATGATATGAACAAATGCTCCCATCCTCGCCACCCAGATTACAGAACAACAGCAATGGAGAGATGAATGGAAGAAAGACATAAGAAAAAGGGAATCGACCGATCGGAGAATGAAAAAGACCATCGGATAATATCCAGAAAGTGAGAAGAAAAAACAAAAAAGGCGGAGAAAGAAAGACGAAGAGGCTACTTCTTGAACATGGCCGTGGCATCCTCCTTGCGCCAATCCGGCTCCAGCTGCCCTTCGTACACGGCGTCGAGAACCCGTCGCGTGCGGTCGTACGTCGCCTCGTACCGGCCCTCGCACTCGTGCTGCACCTTCGCCACCAGACTCCGGCTCAGGCCCGGGTCGTCCGCGTCGCCAAAGTGCTTCTCCACGCGTTTCTTGAGCAGTTCGATCCCGCGTTTGATCTCTTTGCTGTCGTACGCCGACAGCAGTTTCTTCGCCACCGACCGCGAGTGGCCCGGCCGGTTGGCAATGTCGGGCGGGTGGCCGGCCCCGGCCAACAGCCCTTCCAGGGACTCCACGAACTCGAGCAGCTTCCCCAGGGGTCGCCGGATGACCAGGTCCACGTAGAGTCCCATGTGCTCCGCCATGTCCTGGCGCGCTCGGTCGTGCCACCGCTCCAGCACGGGCAGCCCGCGGACATCAACCTCCTCGACGTAGTGGTTCATGTTCTCGATCAGGAGGATGTGGTAGTTCAGCACCTCCTTGTCTTCGGGATCGCCCCCCGAGGCGGCGGCCACCGCCGCCGAATGACCCGGCGCTTCCTTGGCGATGAACTTGAGAGACTCCCACATCGCCCGGTTGATCCGGTCGTAGGCGTCGTTGACACTGATCCGGATGTCGAAGAACTCCTGCTCCGGCTGCGAGAACATACCCTCCACCGCCGTGGAGAAGTGGGGGAACACGCGCATGAAGGAGATCACGCCCTTGCGCTTGTTCACCTTGACCTTGGTGTCTTCAATGCCCCGGATTTGCTCGTCCACGAATCGGTTGAAGAGTCCGATGAGCCGTGTGTGCAGCTTCTGCACCGAGTGAATGATGAAGTCCTGGTTGGTGTCGTCAAAGTCCGACAGTGCCTTCTCCAGGCTGAGAAGTATACCAATCCCTTGCCTAGAAAATTTGTGTTAGCCGTATTCACACCGCGGATTGATATGTCCACGCCAGATGTTAACTTACAGAGGATCCGCCTTAATGGCCCAGTCCACCATGTTCTGCATATCAGTCGGCCAAAACCCGTAGAGCTCATCCATGAGCTGTTCGACCCGCTTCGCCATGGCCCGATCAGGGTCGTGCGACTTGTTGGCCGCAAAGTTGGGACGCCGGCGTTCACCGGCGATGTCGGCAGCGACGAGGTCGGGAAATTCGGCCGTAGAAAGAGAGTCGAGGTGGAAGAAATGAACGACAAAGTTTTGCTCCACCGAGATCATGGTCAGTGTCTCTTGGAGTGCGCCGGCAAATACCTCGTACGAGTCGAGTTTCCCATGTTGCTTTTCGCCAAACGAGTGCCGCAGACCGGCGGCGGCCCTGATGGTCTTGCCACGCTTGACCGTCAGTTTGCGTGCCGCCATGGTAATGCCCTCGCTGTCCTTGTCTTTCTCTTGGTGGGTGAAGAGGAGTTCCTGCTCCTCCCCAGTGGGCTTCCTTGCCGCTTTCTTCCAGGCCAAACCATTCTCGCGGAATTCATTTTGGTAGGGCATCTTCGCTTGCTGCTCATAGAGATTCATCAGGCTATGCCATTCGGAGCCGCTGACTTCCCTGGCAAAGAGCATCAAGGCGTTGAACCTCCACAGCTCCTCGCGGGCGTGTTCGCGGGCCTCCCCGTCCAGCTTCATCTGATCCCGCGAGCGATTTGCGGCAGCGTCTACCCGCTTCTGTTCGGCCACCTTATAGGCAATCGACATGAACTGCCTGAGACGCTGCAGGAAGAGGCGCGACTCCGTGCGGTACTCCTCTTTCTTTTCCTTGATTGCGCGCATCTGTCCGATCCCCGTATCAGCGTACACTCCCAGGCCACCATGGTCGCCCGGCGTATCGACCAGTCGCTTTTTGTTCTGGAAGATGTTGGAGTCGATCATTAACATGGCCTTGTATAAGGTGGAAAGAGCAACTTCGGTGTCCCTTAGCCCGTCGGGGTTGCTCAGTGACGCCTCCTTCAGAGGCCGCAGGTCGGTCGACGAAATAGAAAGTGTCTTCAGCAAGTTCTGCAGCTCACTCTGGAGGAGCTTCTGATTGGCCGTCTGCACTTGCAGACCTTGCGATTGTGTCTCGATGTATGCCACGTCGTCGTTCAGAGTGTTAAGTTCGTGTGAGTACAGAGTCAGAAGATTATCCAGCTCCTCACACTCCTCCACGGTCTTGTCAATCAGCTTCGCAAGCTGGTCGATCTTGCCCTCCTGTTGTTCAAGGTTACCAAGCCAGCTGCTAGCTTCCACGCGTCCGATCTCTCGGCGAATGTCAGCCTCGAGGTCTTCGATCCTCTTCTCGTCACCCATGCGTCCGTTCCAGCCGAGATCAGTTAAGATATCATCGAATTCGATCCCGCGCCCTTCCAGAACGCCCGGTTCAATCCCAATCGCTTGGCAATATCGGATGGTATTATCGGCATGCCTCCTTCGGCGACGGCCATTGGGCGAAGGAGAGATGGACCGCATTCGCTCATCGTCCTCGGCTTTTATGCTGGCTCTGGAAGTCTCTCGCGGTTCCTCGTCGTGGACCTCGACCGTGGGGATCGCCGACACGTCAGGGGCGGCCTTTGTAACTTCCACAACAGGCGGTTCCTGCGCAGGGGACGGTACATCTGGTGTCTCTACTTCTGCTGCCGGGGACGGCATGGAGGGTGCTTCGGTGGTGACTGGGGTTTCAGGAGAACCTGGCCGTGTCGCCTCATGGCTTGTGCGCAATGACGGCGCAGGCACGACACCAGTGATCCCATCTGGTTCCGTGCCATCCTGTTGTCTCTTTGCGGCGGCAAGCAACCTCTCA